CTCTACCTCAATTGTGTGTGCTGCATCAAACCTGCATAGCCAATTGCATTCCCTTCTGAGTTCTAACTCGCCTCTAAAACGTGCCCAAGCTCAGCCTTAACGGTAAGATAGCAAAAAAACCTTGTGAGCTAACGCTAAACATCTGAAACACAAAAAGTCCAAGTTACAGAGATGTCACACAATCCGTCTTTTCTGCGGTCGTCGCAATCGCCGATGCTGAACCACCAGCAACTTCACCCCCACCATGGCCAGAGTTCTTCCAGAAAACCCTCCGTTGTAGAAATGTTGTCTTCCCCTCCACCATTGCCAGCTGACCAAACACAGACCTCCATAGATGAGATAAGCTTGTCACGAAACACCTCCATCTCGTCGAGATCATCGTCGGTGATTCAGCCTACCGTCAATTGGAGCGAGATTTTGTTGGCAGACCTAACGGAGGCAAACAAACTCATTACTATCAACTCGTCCTGCTCTGTACAGAAAGCATATGAAACGTTGGTTGACCACAATTTGACATCTGTGCCGGTGGTACTTTCTCAATCTGACGATGGTTCAACAAATTACTTGTCTTTTGATTATTCGGACTTAAACACATACCTTTTGTTGATCATGAACAGAATTAGCGTAGACGATGTTTTGCCCAGCCAGGACAGTGATGGCAGACGCCCTTCGTTGCAAGAGCGCAAAGATACTTTGACTAGTTATATCAATCGCGCCAAAAAGGGCGAGGAGGTTCCTGTGGAAATCATTGTCAGTTTGCAACCAAAAACGCCGTTCCTTAGATTCAAAGAGTCCGACACCTTGCTTAAAGCAGTTGAAGTGTTTGGAAGCGGTGCTCACAGAGTAGCCATCATCAACAACGATAACAAAATCTCGGGTATTCTTTCGCAGAGACGGACCATCAAGTTCTTTTGGGATAACGCACGTAGATTTACGTCGCTCGATTACCTTTTGAACTCGTCATTGCAGGATTTGAAGGTCATTTCAAGCAATCCGGTGACCATTCAAGGCGATTGCCCTTTGATCGAAGCATTGGAAAAGATGTTCACTGAGAGAATGTCCTCTCTTGCTGTCATTGACAAGAACAAATCTCTTGTGGGTAACATATCTATTGTCGATGTCAAGAACGTCTCTTCTACAAATAACTCTCATTTGTTGTTCAAGCCTGTGACTACGTTCATCTCGTACAACTTATCACAAAAGGGTATTGAAAAGGGTCAGGATCAGTTCCCCATTTTCCATGTTAACCCACAAACTTCTTTAGCGAGGGTGATTGCCAAATTAGTGGCTACTCAGTCCCATAGATTGTGGATTGTTGAAGCAAGGACGTCACATTACTCTGTTTCCAACGGCCCTGGTGCCACTGTGGAAACTGCACTTGCTGCAGAAAGTCCAGTGGCTTCGGCAGCAGCCACTAGCATTCAATTTGAAAGTGGCCGTCCGGGCAAACTCATAGGCGTAGTGACGTTGACGGACATTCTTGCTTTGTTTGCGCAGTGCAAGTCTGGAGTGAAAATCGACACGCAATCGGCCAGAAATCAGAGACGCAGATCGTCTACCCTGACAACTAGATCGTCCTTAGATGGCGTGTCTGGCTCGATCACTACTCCAACTACCCCAAAACAACCCAGCGTACCAATAAACCAGGAGATGTTCCGCAAGTCATACCAGACGGGAAAGGGAGACAATGTTTTCAGCAATGAATAGTATATATAGCCACATAGTAAAACCCCCTAACATACAGAGATGTAGCTACTTTGGACTGAACAGAAAAACTGCACTAAATTTCGCTGTAACTTCCACCTAATGCACGAAATCAAAGTCCATAATAAATCAGAACCAGCAAATGCAAAATTTAACCTAATATACGCAGTTTAAATAAGTTTAGCTTCTCACTGGATTAATGCAAATTGAAACGGTGCTTCTGTAGGCTGATCTACTCTCCAATTTTGTCGAATCTAAGTATGTTATAAGAAGAATCTATTGCAATAGATGTCACATCCAAAGAACTTGGATAGAGTTGTCAGTAATGGTTACAGAATATTTACAGACCACATAATTCGTGTTCACAAACATTTATTCGAAGGACATCACGTTGAGCCCTAAGCCGAAATTAGTGGGACATGCAGCCTGCACAATGGCCATATACTCTGCTGGCCCAATCTTAACGAGTCTTTCATTGGACCAGGGATGGGCTAGGCAACAATGCTTTCAGCAGAACAAGGCGGTAAAAAATTGGAGCATGGAAGAGGCAAGTGAAAAGTCTAAATAGTGCCTAGAAGGCGTAGTGAAGGCGAAAATAAGGGCTGAAGCCCCAGAAGCACGTGACATGTATGCACGATGGCCCACTCTTGTTGCTCCCAGCAACCAACAGTCTGCCCCCCAAGATAGAAATTGGGCCACAGGCAGAATTACGAGGCGGAGAAAAAAAATTCTACAAGATTATTTCTCTGCCTGAAAACGAGGCTAAGCAGAGAAAAAGATTGCTTTATCCACTGGCTGCCGATCAGAAAGTAGCCCGAAATGGTACGGGAGGGTATGTGGTAACTGCAGGACAGATGTCGATTTTTTTTTTTGCCTCTTGGTTATATTGCCATTTCGCTATAGAAGCTGGAACGGCTTTGGAAGAAAAACTAGAGATTCGAGTGGCGCGCACGCGCGTAAACCACAGCATGCACCGGGTATTTGTAGGAACGACACCTGGTCTGATGCTGTTACCCGGCCGGGAAAAAACAATTTTTTTTTTTTCCGACAGTGGCCATTATATAAAAGTCGCACCCGCTGACCGAAAAGGAACCCCCCTTTTGAAAACTTTTTTTCTTAGTACATCTATCAATCACAATGGGTAAGGAGAAAGCTCACGTCAACGTCGTTGTTATCGGTCACGTCGATTCCGGTAAGTCTACCACCACCGGTCACTTGATTTACAAGTGTGGTGGTATTGACAAGAGAACTATTGAAAAGTTCGAAAAGGAAGCCGCTGAATTGGGTAAGGGTTCTTTCAAGTACGCTTGGGTTTTGGACAAGTTGAAGGCTGAGAGAGAAAGAGGTATCACCATCGATATCGCTTTGTGGAAGTTCGAGACTCCAAAGTACCACGTTACCGTCATTGACGCTCCAGGTCACAGAGATTTCATCAAGAACATGATCACTGGTACTTCCCAAGCTGACTGTGCTATCTTGATTATCGCTGGTGGTGTCGGTGAGTTCGAAGCCGGTATCTCTAAGGACGGTCAAACCAGAGAGCACGCTTTGTTGGCTTACACCTTGGGTGTCAAGCAGTTGATTGTTGCTGTCAACAAGATGGACTCCGTCAAGTGGGACCAATCTAGATTCGAGGAAATCATCAAGGAAACCTCTAACTTCGTCAAGAAGGTTGGTTACAACCCTAAGACTGTTCCATTCGTCCCAATCTCTGGTTGGAACGGTGACAACATGATTGAGCCATCCACCAACTGCCCATGGTACAAGGGTTGGGAGAAGGAGACCAAGTCTGGTAAGTCCACCGGTAAGACCTTGTTGGAGGCCATTGACGCCATTGAGCCACCTTCGAGACCAACCGACAAGCCATTGAGATTGCCATTGCAAGATGTCTACAAGATTGGTGGTATTGGTACTGTGCCAGTCGGTAGAGTTGAGACCGGTGTCATCAAGGCCGGTATGGTTGTCACCTTTGCTCCAGCTGGTGTCACCACTGAAGTCAAGTCCGTGGAAATGCACCACGAACAATTGGCTGAGGGTGTCCCAGGTGACAACGTTGGTTTCAACGTCAAGAACGTTTCCGTCAAGGAAATCAGAAGAGGTAACGTCTGTGGTGACTCCAAGAACGACCCACCAAAGGCTGCTGCTTCCTTCACTGCTCAAGTCATCGTCTTGAACCACCCAGGTCAAATCTCCTCCGGTTACTCTCCAGTTTTGGACTGTCACACTGCCCACATTGCTTGTAAGTTCGACACCTTGATTGAGAAGATCGACAGAAGAACTGGTAAGAAGTTGGAAGAAGAGCCAAAGTTCATCAAGTCTGGTGACGCTGCTATCGTCAAGATGGTCCCAACCAAGCCAATGTGTGTTGAAGCTTTCACCGACTACCCACCATTGGGTAGATTCGCTGTCAGAGACATGAGACAAACCGTTGCTGTTGGTGTCATCAAGGCTGTTGAGAAGACCGACAAGGCCGGTAAGGTCACCAAGGCTGCTCAAAAGGCTGCTAAGAAATAAGCAAGCTGACTGATTGTGTATTATTGAATTTTACATCTGAGCTTTGAACACTGTAGTTGCAAGCAATTGTATCGAATTTGCATATGCCTATTCCTGGGTTTACTCGAAGTTGTGTAAGATTGGATAGTGTTTTCTCCCGTAAGTCTAGAGATAGTTAGATGCTCTCCAGATTCCAATCTCTTGTCTCTATATTATCCTTCAATAATTAAACTACTCGTTTCTGATATTCACGTCAAAGCTGAGAATTGCCCACTTGCTTGTTCGATCATGGCAGGTATGGCCATTCCTAGTTCCATGTTTACACTCAAGAGTATATTTTTTCGCGGCCGCATATAGACCTCGCTTGACCTGGATACGAGATTGACTCGGACCAGAACATCGCGGGCCGTTACCATGGATCGATTGCTGCGGCCTCTATGTCTCCTCTTCAGTTTTGACTGGCCGTCAAGGACGATCTCGTATGCTTTGCTTCTCTCGAACTGGCTCATCGAGTGTTTCTTAGGCGACTGGAGCAATAAATGGACAGAGTCAAGCGGCGCGCGTCGAAGTCAGGCCCGTTCAAATCTGGCGCATCTGATATCGGCCGCATCTCCAACTTGGGACGCAACGTCTGCGTTTTTGGACAAGAATTGCAAATGCAACACAAGTGAGCAGCAAAACAACACTTTGATTAATTGAAATTTCGACATTTGAGATTCACCCGGCCAATCACTCTTTGTTATGTTTCTGCCTGGTTTATTCTTTTCTTTTTTTTTTTTTTTTTTTCCTTTCGTGTTGATCCGAGTCACTGACTGCGCGCCCCGAAATACGCCTGGCGCATAAATGGCTAGTGAGATATCCGTACGCCCTTTTCCCATATATATATAATAATCTAGTGCAACCAGTTAGCACACCATAGTTTTTTTTCTTCGAAATTCATGATTCGCAGTGTCCGCCTCAGAAACAGGGTGCTCCCTACCGTTTCTCGTGCCCTTTTACGCTCGAGTCCTTTCATTCACAGCCCAAGAAGATGCTACTCTAGCCCTAGCACCAACACACCGGGACAAGACATACCCGAAAGCCACAAATGCGACACGCTGAGCCAAAACTACGCCAGAATATACGAGCCGGCTCCACTTGGCGGGCTCGACTCGTTCCAACGCCGCCATTTCGGCCCAACCCCAAAAGATACCGAGCATATGCTTTCTACCCTAGGATACGACGACATGGACCAGTTTTTGGCTGCTGCCATCCCACCACACGTTTTGGTCAAGCGCCCATTGCAGGTGCAGCCACAAAACGGATACACAGAGCTGGAAATGCAAGAGCACTTAGCTTCTCTTGCCGGTGAGAACCATATAGCCAAATCCTTTATTGGAAAGGGTTACTACGGCACCCACGTGCCTCCAGTGGTTCAACGTAACTTGTTGGAACTGCCCGAATGGTACACATCGTACACCCCTTACCAGCCGGAAATCTCCCAAGGCCGTTTACAGCTGTTGCTCAACTTCCAGACCATGGTGACGTCTTTGACTGGTTTGGATGTTGCCAACGCCTCATTGTTAGATGAAGGAACTGCCGCCGGTGAAGCCATGGCCATGGCATATCACCATCTTCGTGGCCGCAAACCTGTCTATGCTGTAGACACACTTGTTCACCCACAAACGCTTGATGTGCTTCGCCTGAGAGCCGAGAAGATCGGCGTGGAGGTTGTCGAGCTCCCACTTTCAACCGCTGACGGCATTGCAGAATTGGCTAAGCTTTCTGACCGCTTGTGTGGTGCTTTGGCTCAGTACCCAGCAACAGATGGTAGCATTCATGTTTTCAGCGAAGTAGCCCAAATCGTTCACGAGAACAAGGGTCTTTTCGCTATGGCCTCTGACTTGCTTGCATTGACTTTGTTGCGTTCGCCTGCTGAGCTCGGTGCAGACATTGCATTTGGAAATGCCCAAAGATTTGGTGTTCCATTTGGCTACGGTGGCCCACACGCCGCATTTTTCGCTACAGCTTCATCCTTTGCCCGGAAAATGCCTGGCCGTCTTGTGGGTGTTTCCAAGGACCGCTTGGGTAAGCCTGCATTGCGGTTGGCTTTGCAGACTCGTGAACAGCACATCCGCCGTGAAAAGGCCACCTCCAACATTTGCACAGCTCAAGCTTTGTTGGCAAACATGTCTGCAATGTACGCTGTCTACCACGGCCCAGAAGGCTTGAAGAAAATCGCCAACCGAGTTTATGGATTGACTGCTCACTTGGCGCAGCAAATTAGTCAAACAAACCACACCGTGGCAAACTCCAGCTTTTTCGATACCTTGACCGTTGAGCTTAGTGGAGTTTCTGCAGATGAAATCTTGCAAGAAGCTTTTCAGAAATATAACATCAACTTGTTCCGTGTCGACGATAAGACTATTTCGGTGTCTTTGGACGAGACGGCTACGGTGGAAGATGTATTGAACTTGGGAGCATTGTTTGGAAAGCAAATTCCCGTTGAAAAATTGGCCACTGTGCCTCTGGAATATCTCCGTGAGGACGAGATCTTGCCACACTCTGTTTTCCATTCCCACCATTCTGAAACTGCTATGTTGCGTTACTTGCATCTTCTTCAGTCAAAGGACTTGTCCCTCGCCAACTCCATGATCCCTCTTGGTCTGTGCACCATGAAATTGAACGGTACTGCCCAGATGCAAACACTTTCTATGCCTGGCTTCACTCAAATCCACCCTTTTGCCCCATCCACTCAGGCTCTTGGCTATCAGAAATTGGTGAGCGAATTTGAACGTGATTTGAACGACATCACAGGCTTTGCTGCTACCACTCTCATGCCTAACTCTGGTGCCCAAGGTGAGTACACTGGATTGGCTCTTATCCGTGCTTACCACCGTTCGCGTGGTGAGTATGACCAAAGAAACGTGTGTTTGATTCCTGTTTCGGCACACGGTACCAACCCAGCCAGTGCAGCCATGTGTGGCCTCAAGGTTGTGCCCGTTAAGTGCTTAGACGATGGTCTGGTAGACTTGGCCGATTTAGAAGCAAAGGCAGAGAAACTTAGTAAGCAACTTTGCGCCATCATGATCACATACCCATCTACATACGGTTTGTTCGAGCCTGGTGTTCGTCGTGCCATTGATATTGTTCACTCTCATGGTGGTCTTGTGTACTTGGATGGTGCCAACATGAATGCACAAGTTGGCTTGACTTCCCCTGGTGACTTGGGCGCAGATGTGTGCCACTTGAACATTCACAAGACCTTTGCCTTGTCACACGGTGGTGGTGGACCTGGCCAAGGCCCTGTGTGTGTTGCCGAGCGCCTTGTGCCATTTTTGCCTTCTCATAGATTTGCCGACACCCCGCACGCCACCGCAGAGTCTATTCGTGCTGTGAACTCAGCACCTTTCGGATCTGCTGCTGTCCTTCCTGTTTCTTACTCTTACATCAAGATGCTCGGTGGCCGTGCGCTTCCATATGCCTCGGCACTCGCCATGTTGAATGCCAACTACATGATGGCCCGTTTGCGCGGCTCATACAAGATCATGTTTGTTGGTGCAAGTTCTGAACTGGCCATCCGCCATTGTGCCCATGAGTTCATTCTTGATCTTCGCGAGTTCAAGGCCGCTGGAATTGAAGCAATCGATGTTGCCAAAAGATTGCAGGATTACGGCTTCCATGCGCCAACTATGTCTTTCCCTGTCGCAGGCACCTTGATGGTGGAGCCTACTGAATCCGAAAACTTGGCTGAATTGGACCGCTTTGTGGAGGCCATGTTGTCTATCCGTCGCGAGATCGAAGCTTATGCTAACGGAGAGTCGTGGGGTCGTGTTTTGAAGAATGCCCCTCATTCTATGGAAGACATTGTTTCGACATCACAGGAAGATTGGGAAGCTCGTGGATACACGAGAGAACAGGCCGCTTACCCACTCCCATACTTGAAGACAAGCAAGTGTTGGCCAACAGTTGCACGTGTAGACGACACCTATGGTGACATGAATTTGCTGTGCACATGTCCTTCTGTGGAAGAGGTTGCCGCATACTAAGAATGATGTTAAGTCTTTACATCAGTTAAAGAGTACCGGCTATGGCAAACTTTCCTTACTTTATGCAGCATGTTTTGTTGTGCTGGGAATATTTAATAACAAGTGAATAGAATAACCATCTAATCCATGAAATACTTTGGGTGTTGCGTCAAGTAATCAGTTGGTACCATTACTGTTATACTGAGTATGACGCTGTAAACAATCGTTTTCTTTCCATTGAAGTCACAAGTCAATTTTTTTTTCCAGCATGTATAATTAGCATAAAAAGATTAACCATATGTTGCGTTCGTGTTCTATGCTTTTAACTTAAAGTTTTGTTGCTATTTTTGGTTGCCTTCATTTCCGTGTTTCCTGTTGTCATGTTTCCATCTTTAACCTCTTCAAACATTCCTTATTTCATTTTCTAATTTGCCTTTATTTTCTTATTTGCTTACCTTTTGATTTGCCTTTGATTTGCCTTTTTTTTCATTCTTCACACTTTAACTTGAATTTCTCAACACTGATTAGAGAATTCGGAACGCAGTCTTTGAATGGAACTCGGAAGTAAATTTTGAAGATCAAGATTGGAGGGCCCGTTATTTGAAGAATTCTTTAGGTTGCCGGAATCCCACCTTATGTTTTGAAGTTTGAGACTTGCCAATATGAAAGAATATATAAGTTGAGTAAGACCCGAACACCACCTATTACTTGCAATGTACCTTTAAACCAAAAAATCCAATATGGTTGAGCCATAAACTAAGTTGGATATACCTGCTAGTTTGTTTTTGCAATCAAGAGCATGACCGCTGGTCAAGAACGTTTTATCAAGGGAGATTTAATATGAAGAAGGAGAAATGGATTTTTTTAGTGTTTCTCTCATTGAGTATTTAGTCACGAAAGGGCCAATGAAAAGAACTATCTAGCAAATTCCTTCTTCCTTCTTTACTTACTCCTTCCCCATCTCGTATGTTTCACTGTTCCCGAACAAAATATGACGACAATCGTACGTAAGGCAAGATACATAAGTTAACAGTAACCCATTGTCAACAGATAAGATCCAGCCTTAGTTGGCTTTTCAGACCTCCATATTCCATCTTCTTTTGCTTACCGACTATACTAATCTTCACTTGGCTTCATTGCCCACCCGATTTTTGCAGCCTTTCCATCTGTTGACATTCTGCATAGAGATGCGCGCCCGATAGCGCGACATCCACCTTAGAGGGGTTCGCAATCCAACTACTTCACCGAAACCTCACGATCTACATCAGCACCAACCATGGACTGGAATAACAAAAGAACATTCCGTAGTCCACATCTGCCTGTGGCGCTGGTAGCACCATCCTTTAGCTCACAGTACCCACTATATGCAGCAGATTGGGCGAACGACGGCAGTGACTGGATTGCTCTAGGTTCTTTTCGTGAGGGCTTTCTGAACCGCATCCAGGTCATACGAGGAGACGTGGACACAGGCTCGCCAATGCTGGCTGCTGAATGTCACGCGGGATCGCTGTTCGCCTCCATGGCAGAGACAGCAGTGGATTACCCAGTGACAAGGTTACAATGGGAGCCACATCTGGCACAGCGGCTAGCTGCTCTGCTGGAGGTGTTGCGTTTATACCAAATGGAAGACGAAGGCCTCGTGCAGACGCATATGTTGGCCAATAACCTGGCCGGCGATGGTGATGTCAGCACATTTCCTCCAGTAACTGCGTTCGATTGGAACCGTGCAGACCCATCTGTTTTGATCACACTGTCGGTGGACACCACATGCACTGTATGGGACCTTGGACGGTCTACTGCACACGTCAAGACCCAGTTGATTGCTCATGATCTGGAGGTGTTTGATGTTCGCTTTCTCTACCAATCCACTAGCGTATTCGCCAGTGTGAGCAACGACGGCTCCATGCGCGTGTTTGACCTTCGCTCTCTCGAGCATTCCACTATAGTTTACGAACCACCAGGGGCCCCTGGACCCACAACCAACTACAATCCGCTAGCGCTTGTGCGTCTTCTGGCGTCCAATGTGGACCAGCACCATTTGGCCACAGTTGGTGTCAATCTGAACCAGGTGCTCGTAATTGACATGCGCATGCCTGGTGTCCCTGTGACCACGTTGGATGGTCTGTTTGGAGGCTTGGCTACGGGTGCAGTCAACTCCCTTGAGTGGCATCCACAACTGAACTTGCTTCTCACAGGCGGAGACGACTGTCAGGCAGTTGTGTGGGACATTGGTTCGACGCGACCGCAACCAGAACCTATAACAATCGACACACCAGTACTTGCGCACAGCGAAGACTTGGAAGTCAATCGTGTTTGTTGGCGACCTAGCGGAGACTGGATAGGTGTGGTTAGTGGAAAGGACTTCCGGGCGGTGCAAGCGTAGCTGCGACTTTTAATTACCGATAATATGTACGTGAGAGAGTGAAAATAGAAGGTTGGGCGCTGTGAATGCAAACAGACTGTCGAGCAGACAGCAAGGGCATGACGCATTAGACAATTGGCATGGTGGCCCGCGATGAATTAAGACGGAAGCATACATGACGTTGAATACACGTGTCCCGAAATTTTTGGAAACAAAGGACCCTTTTTAACTACAGTGGTGTATTTTTATGTGGAATAGAGTATAGGTGGAAGGGGCTTTCTATAAATGGGCAATGTTGTATCTTTTCATTCCTAGCGCATCTTCGTAACCCGATTGTTCCTCGGATACGTGTTCCATAATGTTCTATAATCGCATATATACGAGCACCTTCGACGCTGTTATGGTATATGGTGACCCGCGGGCCTGCATATCCAGCCGCATGCATTGCCGCACTGCAACCACTTAACCCCTTTGGGCCCTCTCCTTCGGTTGATCCGCAATGTCTCACTATTGCATATGCCCCTGGCATGGACAGGGACTAGAGGAAATATATTTCTCTCTGATCTCCAGGTCTTTCTGTTCCTTCCTTTCTTCGTTTTTCCTGTTTTCCCGTCGTCCTAGTGCCACGTTGAACGAATCTCCAATCCGACTCATTCGAGCCGTAGCTACCATCATTGAGCAACTACTTGCATATCGAGAACCGGCTTTCACAGCGATCTCATTCTGATTCGTTCGAAGTTCTCTCTCCCACTTCTAACGATTTCCAAGCCCTGTGTTGTTGTCAGTGGCCACATCTGAAATTGCTCCTTGTTTGATTTCCCTGCATATGTGCTCGATGAGGCTCACTATTTTTAGAAGAGCACCTCCTGCTCCTTTGACGAATTCCACCTTAGTTTCTTCTTCCATAATTTCAGCCTCCACCTTAATTGCATCTTCAGCCGTTTCTGGCCCATTGTCATCTTCATCACCATCCATGGCATCTTTTTCTACCCTGGCTGACGTCGACCTGCACACATCATCCACCTTTCGACAGACTTCCTTTTCCCCCTCGACGTCCACACCTCTGTCCTCCATGTCTTTAGGATCTCCATCGACCACGTTTACCACACTGTCGCCACTGGCAGAAATCCTGTCTCTGGACACCACAGTGTCGCTGTCACAATCCGAGCAATCTGGAGTGTCGTCGGAGTTGTCATCTACGCTGTCAACGGCAACATCATCTGATGCTCAGTCTTCGACCACTTCCTCTTCGACATCATTCTCACTGCAGTCCATAGGATCACTGACATTGGATAGTCTGTCTCTGGCTGCTCTGCCACTGTCATCTGAGGCTCTGTCGTCAGAGACACTGTCCCTGTTATCATCCAGTTCAGTTGCATCAAGCAGTCAACCCAGCAGCAGCTCCAGTGAATCCTCCAGCTCGTCACCATCATCATCTGCATCATCTTCATCATCATCATCTTCATCATCATCATTTTCATCGTCTGCACAAAGCTCTTCATTCAGCTCTTCGTCGAGCAGTTCATCTCTGTCATCTAGTGATTCTTCCAGCAGTTCTATTGCATCCAGCAGTTCTGCTTTCCCTTCTAGCTCTTCATTCAGCAGTTCTACTGTGTCTTCCCGAGACATCTACTGCTTCTACTGCGTCTCCATCATCGAGTTCATCTATTGCTCCATCGACGCTGTCCTCGGCAGCGCTGTCCACGTTTTCATCACTGGCCCAGACTAGCCTGTCTTCCCACCTGCCTCTGACAACAAGCCATCTGACACCTCTGTCTTCGCTGTCATTCAGCTCGTACATCTCCACCATAAGTGTACTTCCCGATACCACGATTACTACATTGGTGACTGTGCCGACCGCTGCCAATTCTGTTAATAACCCCTCTACTGGATCTTCCAATAAGAGTGCCAAGCTTATTGGAGGCTTGGTTGGCTCCATTGGTGGCACAATTGTCATCGGTGCACTTGTCGTAGTCTTCTTACTTTTACGTCGGAAGAGAAGCACCGTGACCAACCCACTGCCAGACTTTGGTGCAGACGACCCATCGCGCGATCTGTTGGAGAAAACACCAACAGAACCTTCTGGTTTCAAGAAGCTATTTGGATCAAAAGCTGCCGCGTATGGACGTTCTAGCAAAGCTATTGACTTGGAGAAAGACGTACCGTTGCATGCTGCGGATGATGACTTTGAATACCGTGGAGTGACCAACAGCAACAACTTGGATCCCGTTTTCCGATCTGCTGGTAGTTCTGTGCCTGTTTCTGGTGCAGGTTCCAGCCAGACCAGCACCAAGCACCATTCGCGATACAATTCCGAGGTTACTCCCTTATTCACAATGCATGAGCACTCACAAGATGCTGCTGGTCAGCCCGAAGAACATAATGTATCGAGCGATTTGGAAGCTGTATCGGATGACGAATTTCTCTTTCGAAATGAGCCGCATGCGGTTTGGACGGGCGATAATAGCAACAACTCTCGCCTGCGCTTTGCTGAAGAGTTTTAATCTACATTGGCTGAGCGCCTCCTCCTACAGTGTATAAATTAATTAGAGATCGACTTTTATACTCTCGGTATTTTCAACAAGCTCGTGGCGTTTTACCAGTTTCCTCTGCACGTCGTATCGACGTCTTAAAATATTTCTCTAGTATAATCGTCTAGTTCCTTATTTGTCCCTGTTATTGACTCAATCTTAAGCCTAGTCAATTTTCTCAGTAATAATAGGACTACGCACTCAAATACCCAAACATCTATACTCTACTGCTTCAGCAGATTATACTTAAGATTGCATTTTTGATATCCTATGTCGGTTCTATTTGGAAACATCTGCTACAAACTCCTTTATACACATTTGGACTGATAAATTTCGCTGCTCTTGAATCATCATCCTTCACTCTGGCAAACACATCCGTGCACCACCATACTTAATCTTGAGAAAAAAAAAGTCCTTTCGTCAGATCTCCATCATGTCTACGAAAAACGTTCTCGTCAAGTTGATTGTTGGTGCGGGCCAGGCTGCCCCTGCTCCTCCAGTCGGACCTGCTTTGGGATCCAAGGGTGTCAAAGCGATCGATTTTTGCAAAGAATTCAACGCTAGAACGGCGCATTTCCAACCAGGTACGCCCATCCCGGTTCTTTTAACTGTCAAGCCTGACAGGTCTTTCACATTCGAGATGAAGCTGCCCCCAACGTCATGGCTCATCATGAAAGCCGCCAATGTTTCTAAAGGTAGCGACAAACCCACACACAATATGGTGGGAAAAATCTCGTTGAAGCACGTTTATGAAATCGCCAAAATCAAGAAAACCGACGAGAGACACAAGAATGTGGACTTGCAGTCGATCTGCGGTGCCATCATTCTGACAGCAGACGCCGTGGGTGTTGAAGTTGTCCCATAGAGAGCATCATCTTGTACATAGACACAAATTCCAAGTAATACGAACATGGAGTAGATATGAAGACGCAAGCAACGGTAGGTAAACTAGAGAAAACTGACATACAAAGACTTAGCAAGCGGCCGGAAACCCACATTTTGTTAATACTAGCTGTGGTTTTGTAAGTGAATAATTAAAGTCCCGAATAATATATCACTACTGCGACGTATTTCAACACGACTCCATTTTTAACGAACCGCCGTGGCTAGGAAGGAGCATAATAATAAAAACCATTCGTAGTGTTCCTAAAATTGAGGTAGACGAGAGTGCTTCATTGTACTTCAGCTCATACACCGTCATAAAATCGCTCCATGTATTCTAAATCAAAATTACATCTTCCATGAATTGATATAAAACAGAAAATAATGTTAAATGTTACATGCACGGGTAGTCGTCGGACGCTTCATGAACACACGCCCGATCAAGACTATACTATGTCTTATCTAAATGTCATAGGCGTCCCATTATTTCTTTTTCTTTTCAAACGCCGCAATGTGAGCCTTGGATTGGTCCACAATAGTGTGGTCGTGATCATCGCCCTTGAAAACTCTGGCAGTTCATCGACCCGTCCGCATTGACAACCTCCTCCACAGTACACATGTGCACAGACTTCAACCACTCATCTTCAAAACATTCTTCGACAGAAATCCGGCACGCTGGAGCCAACTCTACCATGCGTCCCAACAAAGGACGACAATCCTCTGGTAATGCAAGCAATAATCTTCCGGCACCCGTCTCACTAGATGTATGAGCTTTTCCAGCAGCCGCAGCGTCGACGTCTGCCAGTTCAGCGACTTCATCGATAGCTTGCGAGATAACACCGAGATCAGTGAGGCCACTATGCTCTGCTGGTTTGGGCTCAGGCATTTTGATGAGCATTTCACTCAAAGGAAGGCCTTCACTGCGTGTGGCGAACATCTTAAAACTGCTATCTATCATCTTGGGAACCTTCCATGGGAACTTCTTGAGCATCATGCAGCAGTAGATAATTGCCACTGACCAAACGTCGACAGGGCGAGGGTCGTATTTGTTGAAGACGCAGACTTCCGGAGCCAAATAGGGGTCCGACCCAACAATACCTTGAGCTTCAATCAAAGTTTTCGTGAAAGGATACGAAAACACAACTGCAGAGCCGAAATCAATGATTTTCACAATTCCGCGGGCGTCAATAACACAGTTGTCCAACTTCAAGTCTCTGTGAGCAAGCCCCATCGAATGCAAGTAGTTGACACCACACAAAATTTGCTTGAAACAGCAGTTGATTTCTTCACGAGACATTTGGTTGGACATGACAATGGCGAACAAGTCAAAATCACAATACTCCATCACTTGCAAAAGACGATCATTCTCGTAACAAATCTCCACCGTTTCAATGATGTTCGGATGCTTCAAAGTTGAACCGATACAGTACTCACCTGTAATCTTTTTGGCATAGTCCTTTTTTGTTTCATTTTGGTGTTTAGTCCTGAACTCCTTGACGGCGAAAGTTTTCTTATCCGATAAGCGTGTGACAAGTTTCACAGCACCTCCTGCTCCCGCACCCAAGCTCTCACCAAACTTACTATATCTTTTTGAGAACGGCAACTGTTGGTGCTGCTGGGTGAGCATGGTCAGAACAGAAGTTCTCCGTTCCTGCGGGCCACGCATAGATGGGGTTCTACTTACGAAACCGCCCGGCGACTGTGAGTAGGATGTGTCAGAGGTGAGGGAGTTAGCTGACTGATTAGTGTAAGAGGCGTTAAACATAGAACTGTTGATCGGTGTCGCATTGGCCGAAGGCATGTTATTGGAGCGCAAGGAAGAAGACATGTTCCCCACTGGGATGGGCTGTGATGGCGTAGTCGAACCCTTTTTGAAGAAGCGCATCAAGTTAGCCATGGAGTTGTGCCGGGAGCTCGCATGCATGGGCACCGAGTCCATGGATGATGTCGAAGATGGCGAGCTGCCAGGCATCTGGTTATCCTGTGGGTGTGCATTACTGTAGAAGTGGCCCAAATCAGTTGACGATGCGCTGTTTTTAGGCTGCTTCTTTGAGGAGAAGAAAAGCAGGAGACTTGACTGCGATCCCAGGCGTGCAGACGTTGACAACGAAGCTGCAGCCTGAGCCTGCGCCACCCGTTGTTTGGACACCACAAACCGCGGTTCGATCAGCAGCGAACCCACTTGCGGAGACAGGAAATGGACGGACGAAATGGGTTGTCCGTTGGGCAAGTTGGGCACATGGTCTTGCGAGGGCGACGACATGTGCAACGCCGTGGAGAGGTTGGACGGCGTTCCGAAGCCGTTGGACTTGCTCAACGAACTTGCAGCCATATGTCCAGCCCTTCCTCCAGGGGCGCTATAGGGAATAGAAGATGACAAGCTTTCTCCGCCATAACCGCCAGTGGAAAAGAAAGACGTATGTGACACAGAATTAGTGCGATTGATTCTAGGGCTGAGGCCACTTGGGGTGCGGCTAAACGAACGGCTGGGCATAGCATCGCTAGGCGAGTCGAAGCCGCCACTCACAACGACAGGGGCCCGTTGCAGAGGCAGTAAATCTTCGGTTAGATCACTTGGATCGGGGATTCCCAAGGGGATAGTGAGACCCGGTTCGAGATCGGGCTGCGCAACGGTATCATTCGATGATTCATTAATAGGAGTTGTTTTTTCTGACTGCTTACGGTTAAGTCCATTAAGTGAGGTCAGCGAAGCATTTGCAGAAGCAGCAGCAGAATTATTTTCGCTCAAAAGTTTGGTCAACGAAGAAACAGGTTGTTTGGGAGGAACTGGAGCGCCCGGAGGCACAAAGGGTTCCATTTTCTTCGGAGTTTTGAGGTGGAATGGTGGATACAACGGTATGCTGGAGCAAAAAGTGGGTTTTATGAGTCAGCAGACCAAAAGAAAAAAAACGGTAGCAAAAAGCAGTAAAGTCGAGACAGGACAGACCTCAAAGATGCAAGATGCGATAACAATATAGAAAACAAAACAGTAGCCTCGAGAAGGAGATGGGAATGGTCTGTTTAGAAAGACTGGTGATCTGTTGAATTGTGGAAACAAATAATGAGTGAGCGAAGGAAGATTGGAGGAAAGATAAGCACGTGATGCTCGTCCTCCGGTGATTTATCGCGCGCTTTAGATAGCGCTCTACATGTGCAGTACCGGCAAACTTTAAAGTTTCGATGCTTTGGGATAAGAATACGAAAGGAAAGATATGCTGCAGAGCGGAGGAAAGCGGATTAAGAATGGCGGTACACTAGTGAGATATGGTTACTGTGTTGAACATTTTTCTGCTCCATGAAAGACCGGAAATTGTTCCGGATATAGGTGTCGATCATGCACTCCTCCTAACACTCAAACTCATAACCACCAATCAAGGCACGCCAAAGTAGATAATCTGTTTTGTAGCCGACGCTGTGGAAATGCAAGATAAAGCGAAGCTTAATTGGTAGGTGGCGTGTATTTACATGGAGGATGAGGAGAGAACGTGAGAAAAATCATTGGGCACATTAGAGAAAATGTGCACGAGATAAGAAACATAGAAAGTGACAGCTGGTCTCGATCCGGATGAGAAGTTTGTAGAGCGGCACGCAAGATAAGCCAAACCAAAGCAATTAGTGGATGCCACGAGCCATAATTGACGTATAGGGCAAACAAAGCGTTTCTTGGTAGTTGACCGTAAAAGCCTCCGCATGTTAACATCCCATTGTAATCGACCAGTGGTAAGAACACCACATGTCGATCCGCCAACGTGGATTCCAAATTGTTACTAACACATCGTGGCTGGTTACGTAACTAATTCTATCCGATGTCCAAATATGCCAAGTGTGCTTTGACGCGAAGTAACCACAAAGCGTTGAGCAGGGACCAGCAGATAGTCACTTAAGAACCAGATCCGCCACAGAATCCATTCTTGGCCACTACGCCTTTTTCTCGCGCCGGCGAGCCGGTTCAAAGAGCGATGCCCGTCCTGTGCCCATGGGTGCCATCGCACTACGCATGGCTTCCAACTTGCGCTCCAAATCCTCCTGGGACGTCGGTTTGTCACGGAGATCAGCCTCCGACACCTTCTTGTCGGATTTTCCTGCGCGCTTCCGCTCCACCGCCAGCTGACGCTCCAATTGTTCGATGGCCTTTTGCGTCTCGGCTGCCAATTCATCCTGAAGGTCGTAATCCCAGTACTCCTTGCGACCACGAGTAAGAATCTTGCACTCCTGAACAAGATTGCCGCCGTCTTGTGCGCCAAGAACCGGAGAGAACAAGGCCCACAAGACCGACTGCGCGCCTTGACGAGCGTCTTTCAAGAACAAGAACCATATTGGGAACAAGAGCACGTACAACACCAAGCCCCAGATGGTGCCCATCAGCAAAAAGCGGCGGGTCGACGGCGTGCGCATGATCCCCGGATTGACAATGCTTACCTTGATGTTACATGGTGCCTTGTCCTTGCGCTCGTAGCGGCACAACTCGCGCTGGAACAGGCGCGCAAACATGCCCAACATGAGTTTGGAGGCGCCAAAAACCGTCCAGGGCCGTGTGGCCGGGTATGCTCTGCGCAGCCACGTCAAGTCTGTCACGTCCAATTCTCCCACAGCCTGCGACGCACACGTCACCACCACCACACGGATGTCTCGGTCTGGCGGCTGTACGTGTAGAGCTGGCTGCAAAAGTGTGAGCAAGTGGCAATGCGCCAAGTAGTTGACGCCCGTCTGGCGTTCGACGCCGTCTACGGTCGCCTGGCGCACTTTACCGCGGGGAAGGCAGTCGGCGGCGCAACACACCACCCCGTCCAAGCGGCGCGGCGGCTGGTTGTCAAGCCAGCGCGTGGCGAAGAGTCGCACCGAGTGGAGCAGCGCCAAGTCGCAGCTCTCAGCGTAGATCATAAAGTTGTTTGTCTTTGTGCGCAAGTCTTCAATAAAGTCAATCGTCCACGGGTCGTCTGTCTGGCGGCACAAGAGCACAAGCTGCGCGCCCCGCAGGGCCAACTCGTATGCGACCTGGGCACCGAGCCCCGAAGTGCCGCCCGTAAGAATGAAAACTCGCCCGTGCAACTCGCGGTCGAAGTTGGATGACGCGCCACCGAAGTAGTACTTGATGGCGCCGGCCGCTGCCACATATGGCGCGTATGTTCGGAAATATTGCCACCCGGGGATACTCTCCGGTCCATCAAAAATGGCTGTGGAAAGAATGTCGATCGGCATGATGCTGTGTTGTTGAAAAAGGTGTAATGTAGCGCGGAGTCTTTTGTTCCTTGAACTGGCGGTTCTTTTTGAATTGCGGTACTATGCTTGTGTTTGGGCCAAAGCTGGATTTCCTGGCTGGTGTGGACAGTGTGTTGAAAACCAAATTGTAGGCGGCTCCTAGGTTGTGTAGCAGCGTCGATTGCACCTTTTTATTGGTATGTATCGAACTGGCTTGATCTGACTATAAAGTTCTGAACAGTTTGTGAAACATCCGCGCCTACTTTTCAGTCCACGACCAAACGCGCTGAGACGCAAATTAAACTACTCTACATTAGAATGCAAGGTGTAAGTACGTTTCAATACTTTCCGCCAGAAATGTCACCAATTTATCTCTACTTAGCACATTTTTCCACTAATGATCTTTATATGACTGTTGTCGTGCCACTGTAAGGCCATCAAGAAGACTATCTGAGTCGACAATGGTTGTTTCCTGCTACTGTTAAGCCCTGATTCGTTATCTTTTCCAGTCCTTTTCCGGTGACGGCTCTACTCGATCTTTGTCGAATCTTGTTGTACTCTCCTCATGATTCAGACTAGTACTGGCCGAGAAGTAAAAGTGTATTGGAATTGGCTGTCCAAAGAGAATGCTTAGCTGAATGACGGTTCATGGAAAGAGCATTACTTTAGCTTAAAATTTGAAGACATATATTCATGCGCTCGGCTTTTGTTTTCCTCAAATAAGCAAGACAATGCAAAAATGTAGAAACTGGAATAAGCTACGAGAGAAGAAAAGCTTAGGACATTATCGGCAGAATTACTGAGAATTTATCGTTTTAATGGGACATAGAAGCGAATTATACTGCAATCACCAGTGAATACGGGTGCTAAAAATAGAGAATGCTCATGCTATACTAGATGCGTCGTTGATTTACGCATTATTAGACATCAAAGGACATTGTCTTCACACTCTCCAAATGCATGTTTTGATTGATTGGGAAGCATGGTTCTTCCATACGAATACGTCGAGTATATTGATCAAAGGCTGAGCCAGATTCTTACCACTAAAGAATGACCATTCACGATTATATCGAATCTGCGAAAATCATTCTGCGCAAACACTGCGAAAAAGTGAAATCGAGCAGTAGTAAACCTGCACAACCCAGCTCATCTCACACCCAAAGTTATACCTTGTGAAAAGTCAAGTGACTATTTGTCTTCTGCCCTAAAGCGAAAAGCCCAACAAAACTGTTGTATCGGAACCATACGAGCATCGAATTGTTCCACCTATTTTGAGTTCTAGCATCCATCTCATCGCACACTATACATTCCCAAATGGAAGAAGCAGTTTTCTACATCCAGGGTTTGCCTGAGAAAAAAAGCGAGCCGCTAGCTTCTGCCACATCTATTCACAGCGGACAGCACGTTGCGCTGTTTCGGGCGGGCGCTCCAAGACACGGAGCTGCTCTTTCAGGTATAGGTCCAAACGAGCGTCTTTTCGTGGCCGGCGCCAGCGCCATCATCTTTTCGTATTTGTGGGGAAAGGAGAGCGTGGACCAGCGGTTCCCTGTTCCTGAACAGATGGCTTGTCTTGCGGTGGCAAACCATCCAGAAACTGTCTCTGACAAAACCAATGTGACTTCTCCATCCTCATCGCCATTGTCTGCGCCAGCCTGTCCCTGGCTTCTTGCGGCCGGTGCTCCATCAGGCCGCTTGTACGTGTGGGAGCTTGCGTCGGGCCGCCTTCTATGTGTGAAGGATGCCCATTACCAGGCGCTCACGATGATCCAGTTTTCTCGTTGCGGCACGTTTGCGGTGACAGCAGGAGAAGATGCGCGGGTTCTGGTGTGGCGGACAAGCGACTTGGTTACAGGCACAGCGGCGCCGTTTGCTACTTTTGCCGACCACACATTGGCGGTGACGGATATTTGCGTCGACTCGGGCTCTCTTTCTGTCGTGTCGGCCTCGCGCGACGGCACAGTGCGGGTGTACGATATTATGAGCAAAACGCTCCGGTCGACGTTTGTGTTTTCGCAGCCCGTTTCGAGCGTGGCGCGCGATCCCGCAGGCCGCGCGCTCTACGCAGCTTTGGCCGACGGAACCATTCGACAAGTGCAAATGTACACGGTAAATCCACACACACACATGATGGAGGCCGTTGGCAGTGGGATTGTCACAGTTCCAGCAGACCCAGAATTGGCCTACACATTTGTGCACCATGGTTCGGCCGAGGTGACGCTGTTGGCCATGTCGATGGATGGAATTAACCTTGTTTCAGGCGACAGCGAGGGCCGCGTTTTCGTCACAGACGTGGTGACCAAGCAAGTTGTGCGCGCCTTCACTGCGGGAGCAAGCGTTTCGCACTTGGAGGTTGGCGTGTTCTCGCGTGAGAAAAAGGCCGCGCCTGCGCGCATGCTTATTCCGCTCAAGCGCGTGGTGGCGGCGCAAGATCCGCTCGAGCATCTGGTGGCAGTGCAGATCCGCGCCGATGAACACGGTTCTGCCGCCGCTAAATCGGCGCCCGACTTTGCGGCGTGGCTCGAGGAAAAAGCGCACCAACAATGGGAATTTGCACAAGAGGCACCCGAACAACAAAAGTTACAAAAATTGTCAGCAGCATACAATGCATTGAAGGAGAACTATGAAAAGTTGCTTGCGGGAAAGGAGGAAAACTGAAGCTTGCGGAAAAGAAGAAAACTGAAGCTTGCGGAAAAGAAGAAAACTGAAGCTTGCGGAAAAGAAGAAAACTGAAGCTTGCGGAAAAGAAGAAAACTGAAGCTTGACGGTTTAGAAGCACCAAATATTAGCCCATCGCATCTTAGCAATCTTGTGTATTATATGGATTTTCATAGAAGCTCTCTGTATTTTTTCCAATCAACCCGTAGAAACTCCACAATGGCTTGAAATTATCTTACAAACTGTATGATATATAAATAGTGAAACTTTTCTCAGTCTACCTTATATTCCAAAAGACCTCATTAGCAACGTTTGTACATCGGATGCTCTAATATTCAACTTGATTCTCCAGGGATTACTAAATGGACATCAAGGATACTCTAACTTAACCGCAAATTAAATCATCTAAAAGTAGATATCAGTTCTTTGGGCTGCTAAAAACAATAGACGTCTTAGTTTTTCGGATGATTATCAATTAATTTTTCCCGTAAGAAATTTCCAAAATCCTCCTAATTTGGCTATTGTTACGAGATACTTTTACACTTCGTCCAAATAAGACGCTCCACAAATATTCCAATTCTCACAAATGAAAACAATAAAACAACATGCCACTTTTTGACTACGAAATTACCTAAATGGCCTCTTGACTAAATTCGGCTGATGTAATTCGTCGATATGGTGATTTCTTAGGACGAGATGCCAGCGTGCATACAAAATGCCGATGCGCTCAAGTCAAAAAGATAGAGCATCGCATCTCCAAGTATCATGGCTGAAGAGAAGGTGAACAAGAAAAAGCAGAAGGCATTGGCCTTCCGTAAGTCCAAAGAGGAAAGGGAACAGGAGAAGGCAGCAAAAGCTGAGCAGAAAATAAAAGCCGAACAGGAGACCAAAACCACCACAGAGAAGAGAAAGGCCGAAGACGAAAGCGAGGCTGGTCAAGATGGAGAAGAGCCAGCGAAAAAGAAGAGGAAAACCAGAAGAGGGAAAAAAGGCAAAGGTGTTAACGGCGGCAAGGGTCCGCGGTTTATTCTTTTCGTGGGAAATCTTCCGTTTGATATCCAACAGGCAGAATTGGTGGCACATTTCAAGAATGCCAATCCTGACCGGATCAGGTTGAGAAAGGAAAAGGGAATCGCCTTCTTGGAGTTTGACAACGACAACAAAGAGATCCAGAGGAAAATGGACCTTGCCCTTAGACTACACCACTCGGTGATCCGCAAGAGAAAAATCAATGTTGAGCTCACTGTCGGTGGTGGAGGAAACTCGGAAAATAGGCAACAGAAACTCAAGGAGAAAAATGATAAGCTAGAGGAGGAGAGACGGGAGCGGAAGAAGAAGGAGGACGCCCAGAAGAAAAAGGACGAGCCAGCACCAACAGGAGGTATGCATCCGGCAAGAGCCGCTTTATTAAAGAAAGACTGAACTATTGTACATTAGAGAAATACAAGGAGAATTACTTAGAGCTTTTACAAAAAAAACAAAATAAGCGAGTGACGCGGCCAGCGCACACAGTGTACGCTTCCAAGGAGTAGCATAAGCCGGCTTGCAGCTTTGGAACGAACGACCGGGAAAAAAAAGCACACCAGAAGGCCAGAAATAGCGAGAGGAGAGGAGATGTAAGCCAGAGGACCCGTCCTGGGCCTGAATTATTAGTGGATGGTGCAGCATCTGGTCCAGTAACTGGCAGAGACGATGCCTCACAAAATAGAGCATTTCTTTGCCCGTTTGACCTTTCTTTTGGGCTTAGGCAGCTGGGTGGTTTTTCCGGACGTGTTTGGGGCAGGAGCAGCCGGTTCGTGTTGTTCATGGGGCGGGTTCAAAACAGCCTTAATGGCATAATTAAAGAGCTCCTGGATGCCCTGCTGTGTAGCAGCTGAACATTCAACATAGTCCACAGCACCAACCTCTTTGGCCAACTTCTTACCTTGCTGCTCTGTGATGGGTTTTAGACCTTTCGATTGCAAATCGTCCAACACATGCATGTCGTCACGCAAGTCGGCTTTGGTGCCCACAAGCAAAATCAAAATGTCCTTGGGCGAGTGATGCAACACTTCGGGAATCCACTTCGACTTGACATTCTGGAAGGAAGTAGGGCTGATGACGGAAAAACAGCACAAGAAGATTTCTGTTTGCGGATACGACAACGGGCGCAAACGGTCGTACTCGGCCTGGCCCGCAGTGTCCCAAAGCCCAAGTTTTATGGGCTCACCATCGACCATAACCGAAGCCGAGTAGTTGTCGAAAACAGTGGGGATGTAATCATTGGGGAAAGTGTTGGTGGTGTACGAGATCAAGAGACAGGTTTTGCCTACTCCTCCGTCGCCAACGACAACGGCTTTTATGCTTCTCATGGGGGGTTGGAAGAAAGTGAGTTTGCAAGGCCTGTAAATAGTCCCATCACCAGGAAAAAACCGCACGAAAAAGCGTGCGACACTGCTCCTGCAAGAAAGATGCACACAGCCGGTAGAGAACGGCTAAAGCATCGGACAATGAAGTTGCGGCAGGAAACTCGTTAGTAGCGCCTGTTTATTATTTTTTTTTTGCGAATGGCGATTGTCTTGAGATCGAGCACAAAAATTGCCAGCGCGGGGGCATGGAGGTATTACGTAAATGGTCGGTGAGATGCAAGGCGGATCTTACAGGCCGAAGTCATTACTTGTTAGTTGCATGTAGCAGAAGGGATTGTTTGAGAAAAAAAAAAAAGATGCCAGGAAGCCATCAGATGAAATTGAAACATGCACCGTTCTAGGCTTTTCGGTGTCTTGGCCAGAGCAATGTTTTGCAAGCATCTTGCTTGATCACATCTGGCTTTACATTGTTCTTTGCGCATTCTACAATGTCTGCCTGCGAACAATAAATGTTCTGAGACATCCACCAATCTCTCTTGCGAACGGTAGAAATACTCTAATCACCTGAAACACAAAACCGCTCTCACATTCCCCATGACCCTGGGCTGAAATACCTGAATGCATATAGCAGCCGGTACAGGCGCTGGCGCCAACGTTATCGGAGGAAAGAGCAAAAAATCCAAAGAAAACTACTCGTGCACGCGCACGTGACCGCACGCCCATTATCGCCCACCCATTATCGCCCGCCTAAAAAAATCTCCAATCCCTACTCTACACCATGGCTTACAAAGACATTGTCCCCGTGGGCACGGGTCTTATCATTTGCGCAACCTCGTTTGCGTTGGGTGTCATCTACGCCAACTTGCCTTACGATTATTTCACGTTGTGGACTTTCGATCCCAATGGCATTGAACGTTCGGTGGCACACTATAGTGCATGGGCCAATGCCCCAATGAGAGTGCACCACATCTTGCATGTGGTAGCCCTTTTGGGCTTGAGCGGCTGTTTCATCAAGTTGTACAAGCCCCACCCTGAAATCAAGTACTTTGAGTATGGAACGTTGGGTTTGATGATGGTGGCTATCGTTATTTACTTGACCAACTTGAGAATTGGCGTCAACAGTGCCTTGACCGGCTTGTGGGGCGACGTGGACATGGCAACGGGTATCAATGTGATGGCCGCGTCGCAGTTCATGATGGTGGTGGCGTTGTTTGGTGTCTTGATCTTGCAAGGTGGCTTGTACTATGCCGAATGGTATGACAAGAAGATCCAGCATGAGTTCCTTGAGAAGGAGAGAGCCAGAGCCGAGGCCAGAGCCGAGGCTGCTGCTGACGCTGAAACCAAGGAGGTGCCATCGGCCACTGCTTCTGGCGCTGAACCTAAGAAGACCGAGGTGAAGAAGACCGAGAAGAAGAAGTCGAAGAAGAAAGCTTAGAGGATGTGAGTAGTCATCAATAAATCTGAGTATGTAAGAGTGCAGTAAAAGGCAGTACAAAGACAGTAAGAAGGTAGTAGGAGTAGGCGAATAAAAAGAGGACAGAATGCTAGAGGCACAAAATGCAAATTGCAAATCTACCAGGTACTCTACTAATGCGCATTCTATCACATTTTCAAGCTCATAAACAAAAGCAGCGGAGGAACAAAAACAACAAAGTTCAAAAAGCAGCAAAGCAAAGAATATGATAATTCAAGCCCTGCCAGAATCGATTACAGAATGAAAAGGCAATTAACTTGTACAATGGCGATGCGTTAGTGCTTTCCATAGTGGGCCCCAGGGCCCGACTGCACAGACCTGCATCAACCAATTAGAAAAAGCACGTTCCAGAAAAAAACCAACCTCAACCAAACTACATTATGGGTGTTGCCGATCACGTCTGGGGCGAGTACCCAGTATACTACAAGCAGCCAATTAGAGTATGTTGATAGTCTCTCCGCGACGCTGAAAACCGTACTAACAAGTCCAGTGGTTCCGCTACCATGCTCACACCAAACCACACTTTGTCTTTTCCATCGTCATGGGCTTGGCCGCTCCAGCGTTTTTGTTTGCCACTCCATTGAGAGAGAAGTACATCTACGCCAGCCACACACCTATTCCGCATGTTTACCCATTGCCAACCAGAGAGCGCGATGCCTCTTTGACCGGCTACGACGACGAATAAGCACATATTTATAATACAAGAGCCGTTGAATTGAAGTAGAGGAGAACCAGCGGAAATGTGGCAATGTCTCAGACTACAACGAGGCTGACCAGATCCCGCAAGAGCCTCAAACCGTAGTATTTCACCCATAATGGTCCCAGCATGAAGAAGCAGAACATAAGCGACCAAAATAATAGCAGAGAAAGAGAATGGGAACAAGAACACATTGAAGAATACAAAGCTGACGACACATGCCACAAGACAGAAAATTGAACCACTATGTTCATTCGCCGATAACCTTACTAAAAACTTGTAGTGCCAAAGTCGTGCACACACCGCACAGCTACGCAAGAAAAAAAAATCTGGTAGATCTATTTGTGCCATACATGTTCAGAACAGGACATCTGGAGTGCAGCTGCTGCCAGCAACAACGTCGGACAGCCCAGATCTGGGCGTGCTCCAAATTGCATGCGGCCCTTTTCATATTCCGCGGTTCGCCCGGCAAGTTTGTTTGGTGAAGTGACGGAAGGGAAAAACCCGTGCCAGTGGAAAACGCCGACACGCCTCTCGAACAGGACGACATTCTGCCCGAAACCGACACGAAATTACAAGAACACTATGCGGCCGAGATCCAGAAGGCTCGTGAGGTGAGCGAAAAGTACATTACGCCCGCTCAAGAGAAGGCTTTTCGATTTGAGCGTGGCCCAGCATGGGTTTTTCAAAAATAACCACATTGTGGTAGACCGTGAAAACGGTAAGCTGTACAAGGTTCAGTTGACGAACGAAGAGATTGATATTTTAGAGCCCACCATCTATTTGCAGTCTTACCGAATCAAGTCCTCGATGAAAAAGGCCACCGTCGTGAACCGTTTTGTCCGTGGCTACACAGTGAAGAATGCCATTAACCAGTTGCACTTTAACCCGAAAAAGATGGCTACAGAGTTGGAAAAGTTGTTGAAGCAGGGTTTGGAACAAGCCCGGAAGCAAGGCATCCCGGAAGACGGGCTTTATATCCAAGCTTTATGGACGGGTTCGGATGGAGGCTGGGTCAAGAGGGCCGACATCAAGGGCCGTGGAAGAACAGGTATACTTGAACATCCGTACGTGCACTTGAAAGCAATTTTGAAAACAGAGCAAACACAAAAACGGTTGGCTTGGGAGAAGGAGCAAGCCAGACGCCAGGCCAAGCCAAGACTGTTCTTGAACAATGAGCCATTGAACTTCAAGGTGCGTGCCTTTTACAAGTGGTAAGTAGAGGAGTGGTATCTGTACATAGCAAGACATTAGCATGTTAGTATGCGGTTGGTGAAGAATTTGTAAGATATTCTGGTCGGATATTGACGCAAACCACCTGAACGAGGAATGAAGAATGGGCAGTGATAAAGAATGTTAGATTATGGTGATCATGAGGCAAACTTTTAAAGAAGGTAATTATTTCGTGATTGTAATTGGTTACAGTGTGATTGGATACAGTGATGGTTTATTGATAGAGGATTTGTCGAAGAGAACACTACAGACCCGAAAAGTGACATGCATCAAGCCCACTTTAGAGCATACGAAAACTGGCCATTGCAACGAAAGAAGAGCTAACTTTAGAGCTTTACTTAGAAAAGAATATGGTTAAAGACACCAACTCGAAAGACGCTGTGAAGGGAATAGACTCCACCAATGCCGAAAGGGGAAGATCCTACTCACGGTAGGAGATCATATACAATGACAAAAGACCCCAAAAGAGGTAAGCACTGAAACTGGAAAGTATAAAAGAAGTGCCTGCAGCTGACTCATAACGGCGTCGTACGGGAGATTAAAAGGGCAAACGGTAGGAGGACTGTAAACCAAAACAACAACAAATGGGTTGCCAATTGCGGCACCCCTTTTACTTTTCGTCTTTGGGGTTGGTATTACTTTGTATGAAGGCGATTGGCTCAAATTCTCTTCCAGCTTGCGCCGTTGTCTGCCCAAATATAACTTGCAGATGCGGCTCAATGCGACTAGACTCGCACCAATTGAGAACAAAAGAAAGAAAAGACCACAACGCCACGGCGTGCAAAAAAAACAATACCATGAACGAAAAAAATTGTGGAATCGGGCGTTCAGACATGTAGAACCAACAGTAGACACATTTCAGACTTGTCAGAATAAAACAAGCGCTTTTTCTGTAGGCTCGGGCACATGAGGTTAGCGCGACATTGTCTCGGGGCATGTACCAAGGGCAAGGAGACAGACGACATAATAATGCACCGGATGCCACTATCCGCGACACGAGACCTTGTGACCCAGGGATTGCATGGAAATGTCGTCCCAGGGTGTGGATTTTATAGGCTGCGGAGCAAAAGACTAGGCAACTTTTCCTACTTATACCGCTCAACGGCTTCCTTTGCTACTTTTTTTCCTTTGCAACCTTTTTCGCTTCCCTTATAACCCGCGCTTCTGTTTCCCTGTGCTTATCGCTCCTACTGCGTTATCTCCCCGCAATATCCCTGAGCCCTTAAGATCAGTCACTTCTACGAAGTAGCTGCCAGTTTTTGCCCCTGACCTTATCGACTGCCAAAAGTCTGTTTTGCGCTTGAGAGCACAAGTGCTGATTGTCGTTGGGGCGTTTCTGTTGCAAAACTGCTCCCTCTCGTAAACCACGGCATTTGCGCCTTTTTGCAGTAACTGGCGCCATCACACAAAATATAGAGCCACCACCAAAGTCTCTGAAACCGCCGAAAAGAACCCACAGAGGCCCAAATAACAAACCACTGAAGGTTTCCGTTGCAATAGAGGAGCCTTGAAACTTCAATTAACAATAGTTTGGCGCATTCCCATTTGCAACCGTACCGAACACCATGGGCTTGAAGAGTACTGATTTCTTCGAGAACACCTCCTACGAGGCCGACACACACATCATTGTGTGCAACGAGTGTCTGACACATTTGTGTTTGTCGTCGCTCGTGCTCCTGGACAAGTTTTGCAGCCAGCTGGGCGACGCCTACCTAGTGGACCGCGTAATCAACGTGCAGCCAGATGGCGAGGACCGCAAAACGCCCATGAAGACGGGCGTGTATTTGATCAACAAGATCCGGTGTCTGCAGTGTGCCACCACGCTTGGCTGGCTCTACAAGAAACTGTTCAGCTACTCGGAGTTGTACAAGGAAGGCAAGTATGTGATTGAACGAGCCTTCATCCACGAAATCCCAAACCTCAGCTCGAACGAGGCATTAGTGCGGCAGGCCCGCCGTCTGCGCCGCCGCCGCTCCTCCAATATGTCCAGTGTGTCTTCGAGCTCAGACGAGGTTTTGCCAACTCCAAGTTCGCTTGATCCGATGTTGCGTCGTGCCTTGGTTGGCAAGGACGACGACCACGTTTTTGTGGACGCTTAAGCCGGTTGACATTACTGACGTCGCTCTCTAACATTCCATCTTCATGCACCTTTCTTTGACCCTCTCGTTCATATCTATTTGAACTCTTGTTCTCTCTATTGCCACTTCTTTCTCTTTCTACATCTCTCTCTCCCTCCATCACCCTACACCGTCTTGTTTCTGCGTTCTTAAAAATGTACGCTATGCTATGCTACACGGGCCCTCTTGGCCTCTTGATTACCACCCTGTTTCTGGGTTCTCTTCACACGTTCCGATCCCTCTCCCTCTTTGCGTCTCTCCAACCGCGTATACACAAGGCAGTATGCGGCAGGGTCGTTCAAAGCGTCGCGCTCAGCAATCTGATTAATGTACTCGTCGTCATATGTTGCCCACGTGCCATCTGGTTGAAGACAATGCGCCACGTAGTGGCCAGACAGCATGGACCGGCCCTCGTGCACAATAACAGCCAAAAGTTGATAACGACATTCGGATCCCAGAGTCATGTACGGCGTCAAGTCAAGATACTTTGTGTATGCCACAGGCTGTTTGACCTTGGCCAGCGAGTTTCCATTGAACTTGAACCGTTTCACGTGTACCACTAGTGTTTGCGGTGCCTCAGCCACGGTGCTCTTTTTTGTCGCCACGGTTCGTTGTTGGCACCGTTCGCAATGGTAGCCACTGGCGGCATCGGCTGCATCACGTTTAATGGTTTCGCGGGAGAAGAAATCGGCAATGCTTTTCTCGATGGAGTACCGGCCACCTTCTGCGCGGCGTTTGCGAAGCCCAAGAGAAAGATCATAGAATTCTTGCTTGGTAGTACTTACCCCACCACACTGCTGGCACACCACCTCTTGGTCAAGCACACCTCCGAAAATGTCGTACACGACCGACTCGGCCAATTTGCGGCCCTTGGGAGTCAGATCCTCTTGAAGGCGAGCCATCAAGCTCATCAAGTACTCGTGCAGATCTTCCTGCTGCCACTCGCTCATCATGCAGTTGATGTCACCTAACCGCTGGACCAAGCGTTTTGGGTTGACGTACTTGCGCAGGCCAGACCGCCACATCTTGTTCGCAAGCTCAGCGAATGTGTGCGTAACCAGTCGAGGTGGGAGCTTATGCTTGCCCTGTTGTACTTCAGCCAAATATTGCTGCACGGCTGGAATGTGCATCATGGCTTGGATAGCCAGGTTCATGTAGCACGTGACGCCAAAGTTCACTAGACCCAGCGGACGTGAAGAAACACACGAAGGTGACCAGTGAGTAGCAATGCGTCCACTTTGCGGGCGTGGCTCATTCGGGCGGAGAAACTCGTATAGTTCTTGAGAATCTTCCTGTTTGGTTTGAGTAAGTTTCCCAGAATGGTGAGGATCATCGTCCTGTTCCTTGTCGATGAGTTCTTTCTCATTCTGATGTAAGCTTCCGTTTTCGTTCTCTGGTAACTTGCCCTTGGGGTCTTCCTGAAGCTCCTCTTTGAGCTCGCGCTTGAGTGTGCGTAGGGTCTCATTTGGTGTTTCTGTTTCTCTATCTGATTCTTGTGATGGCTCATCGAACAGACTCTCTTTGGATTGTGTTTCTGTGGATGGTGTCATAGGCTCAGATTTCGTTTCTGTTTCTACTTCTGACTTCTCTTCGTCAGATTGTTCACCTGATTCCTCTTCTAATGCCGACCCCTCTAACTGCGAGTCTGATTCAGGCTCAGAATCAGATCCTGATTCCTCTCCATCAGTCTCACTATCTATAGAAACACCTGCCAGTTCATACTCGCCGTCTTCACTATCGCTTTCGTCACTTTTGTCACTTTTGTCGCTCTTGGTGTCGCTGCCTTCTGAGCTTTTAAACCCTTGGAAAGACAGGTCTGTCTGAAACTCCGAAGCAGACTCATACTTCTCGTCGTCCGACGACTCAGGCCGCGGCTTGGGCTTTTTCTCTTTACTCGCATACTTCTTTCCGGTGTACGCCGCGATAGCCTCTGCCATGGACTTTGGCCGTTTTACTTCGGGTTTTGCCGTTTTTGGTTTGAGCATATTGGGGAGCGGCTTGCTTTTTTTGCCGAGCACAATATAACTGGGTGGCTGCTCGTGCGTTTCCTTTTCGGGCTGTTTCGCCGCGACAAATGTCAAGGGGTTACTGAGGATGCGGTCCACCAACGGGTTGGACATGGGAGAATAGGACTGGAGGCGTGTATGTTCCAGAAAATGCTTGGGCAAAAAATCCGATGCGATGGTTGGTACTGCATGTTGAGCAGCCGATAAGAAAGAAACAACGTGAGCAGCAAATGAAAGAAACGTAATTTGGCTTCTGGATTCAACTTTGGCCAGTAATGAAAAAGGTTTGGATCAGCTTAAGGTGCCCCGCCTAACTAATTTTTCTTGCCGAATTGTCTTCTTTGTGGTTGTTTGGCAACTAAGGTAATCGCCCTTACTGCATGCACTCCCGTACCTTCGATGCCAGGGCAACCCATGTATTTGCAAGAGAAAAAGAAATGATTTAAAGATGATTACGGTAAAATGAGGGCAATGTGTGATCTGCAGCTATAGCATAAAACTTCCTATTCGGATCTGTTTTTTCTTGATTGACGAGCCACAACAATTCGTGACGTTCGCACGCGTCACTACTACTGAGACAGCGAACCTTCTAAAAGATGGGCTGGTTGAGCTTATAGCAACTTCAGTTTCGAACTCCAATTTTTGTACCAGCACTCAATAAGTAATATCATGTCAATGAAGGCTTCTTCGTCGCGCTCACGCAGGCTTCATGCATGAGATGCTAATAAGTGAACCTTAAAACAGAACAAGAAGCATATCGGTGCGATGTCAATTGAACACCTAATGCAAACAAAAATTTGGCACGTCCCATCAATAAAAAGGTTAACTTCCGCATGTTCCACCAGCAAAAAGTCACAACTTGCACAAATTACCATAGAGTTGGGACGTGTTTTGGCGGAAATAACTTTCATATTGATCATTTAACCCCCCAGCCAGGTCTTGAATATTGTATATTCTTCGACGACAGAATTAAAAGAGCATGCGAAAGAGAAGATGACGTGAAAGAATGAATGTAGCGGCCATGAATATATACAACATTCGAAGGTTATAATTCTGTAACATATATATTCACGGATATGTACTCACTTATCGCATTACATCATAATCCGCCAAACACTTGTCGCTGCACCTTTGCCGCCAAAAAGCTTTTGAACTCTGCCTTGCCGACATTTTTTGTCATATCACGCCATGCATTGAGTTCCGCTTGCGTTGCACTCATTTTCTGGATAAGCTGCTGGCTTAGAGCACCCTCGCTAGCAGCAAAACGCTTTCGCAGAAGCCCTTGAATGGCACTACTTCTTGATTCTGTTGACGACGCACGAAACACCCGTTTTTTTCCTGAGCCGCTCATCTCTTCATCATCATCGTGTCCAACAGTACCCTCTCCCTCTCTAGTCTTCTCAATTCCCGTGAGCTTGAACTTACCTATTTCCATTTCTGTCCCCATTTCCTCTTCCCTCATCTTCTCTTCGATTTTCTCATCATTCTCTTCTTCATTATCGTCGTCAACATCCTCATCTTCCACATCTTCTTCATCTTCTTCATCTTCTTCATCTCCTGTTTCAAGAATCGCTTGCAAGGAGTCGCTATCTGATGCGTTGCTGCTTGGTTCGAGGGTGCGTGATATAAACTCTTCACAAAGCTCATGCATTCGCCTCCATTCCTTACTTTCTATTAGTATCGGCTCCTGGAATAGCTTTAGTAATTCCTGAACTTTGGAAACGAACCTGCGGTGATAATCGTTCTTGCCCTCAATAGACTCCAAAAGCTTTGACACCCACGATTTGTCTAGGATTGTATCGATAAATTTCAGGTCATAAACCGCATGGTAAAAGGAAATGTTTAGCAGGTAAAATTGATCTGCGTGCATCCCATAATCTTGACGCTTGCTCTTCGCAACGTGGGATGGGCTTCGAATCAGTTTTTTAGAGGAAGCATGGCCAGGTGGAAAAGCACGAAATGCACCAATATCTACCTTTCTCTGTCGAATTGTTCGTATTGGATCGACAACAATTGCTAAGTAAGGATCTTGAAAATTCTGATTTAGACTTTGCGTAGCCACGTCAATACCGCTAAGCCAGCAACCATATCCAGGGTGCAGATGGTACCATCCCACGATATGTTCTTCTCTTTGAACCATCTTGAGAAGATCTAAGTATTGTACCATATACTCATAAGCCTCATTCTGAGCATTAACACGTGTCTCAGTACCTTCAACAGGTAGCGGGTAAACATCACACACAACAATAGAGCTGCCGACAATCTTCCCAGTTAGCATACCCATTACCTCAATAGAACCGCCAAACTTTGCATGCATGCTCATTTTTGTTAAGGCCAATGTGGATATTCTGGCATTTTCAAAAAATCGTGCCAGTTTTTTCCATGGTCGAGCGGCGAGTTCATCTGGATTGGTTTTGATATCATATAAATTTGCTGGCAGCGAGCTATATAAGGCTGATCTCTCTCTCGAATCCAGACAAAGCGTGTCAGTACTTGAGTCTCTTGATGCCTGCATCAAAAGAGACCGATGGAGGTCTACCATTTCACTGTAGCGTGCAATCTCACTAGTTTTATCCTCAGAACACAGTGCATAGATACACGAGACTGTACACAAATAGATATCACAACAGCTGCGGAATGAAATAATACAAACCGCCCTGTGCCCCTCTTTTCCTAAAACCTCTTGCCCCGGATACGAGGCCAACTTTATTTTCTTTCAGTTGGTAGTCTCGATGTGTTCCTTGTGAGCCCTCTGGTTTTGCGGTTTGGAAATCGCCCCCGTTGGTGTACTTCGCACGTAATCCCTTTTTCCTTAAATTGATGGGCGGAGGTGCCAATGCAACGGGGGATCTTGGAGATAAAATAACTTTGGGAGTTTGTTTGCGTGAAATTTCTTTGTACTGAACATGTATGGTTTTGTCCATGAACATTGAGTGATTGTCGCGCTCAACAGCACTTGCTGCGGCTTCTTCAGTTGTGTAAGTGACAAATGCAAAAGAAGAACTGAGTCTGTTGATGACAGAAACCTCTTCTATCTCACCATGAGCAGAAAAATGAGTTGTAATCTCCTTCTCGGTCACATTAGGTCCAAGCAGACCAATGTAGATTGAAGTACGATCGATGTTACACCCGAGGGTATTAACATCGTCGATGTTTTGGGCCCATTCGACATGAAAGTGGGAATCTTCAGCCAAACTTGCAAAAGCTCGTATAGCATCATCTCTGTACGAAAATTTAACAAACCAGCTGAAACTTGTTGCGCCTTGTACCATGTGAACTACGTCACCTTCTGGTGTACTTCCCAAAAGAAGCTCGATCTCACCAAACCTGCTCACAGTGGTTTGCAAATCTTCCAAACGCAAAGGGCGCGAGGAGGACACAAATAGAGTCCTGTTTACTTTTGCCGCCTCGCATCTAAGTTTCCTACCTTCCAACTCAGTGCCGTGGCCCAATGTAATTGCATTCTTACAATCCTCATCGTTAGCGTATTGAGCAAACGCGTAGGGCCTATTCAATGGGTCCCTGAGTACTTTGACTGAGACAAGTTCGCCAAACTTACTAAAGAGGGATGTGACCGAGCGACATAGCTCATCGTCAGTCTTACTCGACCGAAGACTGGCAACAAAAACACATGCAGATGGTTTTCCTTTCGCTTTTGGTTGCTTTATATCAGGGCTAATATTTTCTTTATCGATATCGAAATCTTTGGATCCTTTAGCGAAAGAAGTTTGGGATATAGCTGGATTGGATAAGTTATTTGAAGCCATTATAAGAAGCGCAATCTGTAAGAAAGTGATTAGAAATATTTGATTTATAAAAATCGACAACGAAAGCAGAAAAAATAGAGAGATAAATGGTGAAAAATTGAAAATAAAAGCAGATCCGACATTTAAAGACACAAGGTGGCTGCAAAAAAAAAAAGGTACAAAAGAAGTGCGCGCACTTTGCAGCCTCCGCGCAAGACAGCTTGAGCATCCAACTAAAGGAGCAATGAAGCAAACATTATAGGAATGAATGCAAAAAACAATAAATCTGGCCGGCTGATGGATGCAGCATTTAGCAATGTGACGTATACAGTGGAAACGTAGCATATACCCGTAGCTGTTGCCAAGGTGGAAACATTGCTCCACGTTGTCGCAACAGAAGTAACAGAGTGATTGATGTGTTCACTCGCATCTGAGTTGGAAGGAGCGGGCAGTACACTTATAACTGGAAAATATGAACTAACCTCTTCTCCATTACTTAAGTTGGATACACTGGTGCAGATGCCAGCATGAAAAGTTGATTGACTTCGGCAATGCATAGTGACAATTTGGCTGTATGTTGAGAAGTATGTCAGGTAACTTGTTTGCTGTGGGATCGAGCAGGGAACCGTTGTTACAATAGTTTGAGTCATCCAAATGGTAGAAACATAGATGCTGGCATCGGAAATGAAAAGAGAGATTGGCGGATTCGTGGTGTGACTACCGGGGCTCACAGATACCAAAGAGTCGGGCCCGGTAGATTGCAGAGTAGTGGTTGTTGGAAGAAAAGGAAATGTGGTAGTGATTGTGAAGGTAGTCAACGAATCGCTAATAGTAAGGGTGCTAATTTCAAAAACTTCAGTTTCAGAAACAGAAGAGGATGTGTCTGTACTGTCAGAAGAGAAGGTGTCGAAGTCAGGCGAGGATATCACAGGAGATTGTACCGATGTTCTTGTTGTAGCAGCTGATATGGAGGAAAACGGGCTCAAAGGAGAGGAAGCCACGCTCAACGAAGTGTCATACGTTTCAGGGGCAGAGGAAGTATGCCCACCAACCAAAGAAGTTTCAGGAACTGAAGGAAAGGTACTTACTAAAGTGGAAGTGGCAGAAGATAGATCAGCCGAAGCGATGGACAGTACAGGATTGGGTTCTCTAATAGAGGTCAACAGAGACACGGAAGTGACAATTGAAGGGGGCAGGGTAGCTAATGTAGGTGCATCGGTGGATACGGTTGAAGTTACTGGGGTAAGAGTTGGCGAAGTTATCAGGGACGTGGGTCCAACGACTACTTCTGAAGATAAAATAGGCTCGTCTTTTGTTGTATCTGAGGTCACTGTAGAAAGAGCTGGACTTGACGTCTCTTGACTACCAGTGTAGGAAAGTGTTCCCTGAAGAGAAGAAGGCGTTGTTATAAGCAGACATTCGGGGCAGTTAAAAAAACTTGAATTGATCTGGCGTTAATAAAAGGATAAAAAAGAAAGAGTGTGGACATACTCTGTCAGAAACAACTAACAGGAAGAGACGGAAATACAATATTATTCTAAAATTGACGGATGGGTAAAACATTACAACGAAAGAAAAAGATGTCAGACAAAAGGGTTGCTTTTAATTTCAAAATAAGAAGGAGAAAAAGAAGCGCAAAGTATAATCAAAGAAAAATGGACAGCGGGAAAGAAAATAGAAAATTTGAATCCAATACAAAAAGGCTGCAAAGATTCCAAACGAATATAAAAAGGAAAAATGCCCCACCTCAAAAAAAAAAAAAAAAAAAAAAAAAAAAACGTCGTCAACTACAAATCGGAAAAATGCGGGACTATATACAAGACAAACACGCATTTACGGGGATGAGGATTTTCATGGATTACGGCACGATTCATAGGATTTAAGGGCAAATTTCAGCAACAAAAACACTTCACCTGTGGACAAAGACAGGGTTATACAACAAAAAGGGAAAGGGGGCAAAGGGGGCAAAAAAGATAGTTGATGTGTATGATAGGTCAGCTGAGGATGGAAATGGAGAGGTAGATATGGAGAATGGCGCAGCAATAATTAGAGCGAAAAAAAAAAAAGAAAAGACGGTTTACCAGGACATGGAAATGTCAAGACATAAAGACAGAGGCACCGAAATAGGATAATAGGCGGTTACTCAAAACAATTGTATTATCGACTAAAGCAAAAACAAAGAGAAATGCCCTTTGCCAAAATCAAAATAAAAAACAATGAACTGATAAGGCTAGGCGAACGGCGTTGTTTTCCTTTTTCAACCCAGCCACATGTGACGGAAGACGCCAACCCGCATGCAGGCAAAAGGTGCTGGCTTCTCCACTTCTCCTCAACTGGGCTCGAATGCAGGCCGTTGCATTTCCTGGAGAGATTTTTTTTCCTTACCCCATATTTTTTCGTGCGGACATCTTCTGCTTTTTTTTTCGTGGACCACCCGATCTTTTTTTCCCGTTTGTGGATACCCCTGAATTTTTTTCTTTCTCCAGCTCTTGCTGCCCCGTGCACAAAAAAAAAATCACCAAGGAGGCTCCTTCTATTTTTCTTCGCTGGCCCTGCCCTTCCCATCGCTAATTATTCTCTTCGCTTTTCCGTCATGATGTCGACAAAGCAGGAACCGAGAAGGAAGGACCCCGCCTCTCGCCCGTACAAATGCCCCATGTGCGATAAAGCGTTTCACCGACTTGAGCATCAAACCCGCCACATCAGAACCCACACGGGCGAAAAACCCCATTTGTGCTCTTTTCCGGGGTGCAACAAGCGCTTCTCGCGGCTGGACGAGCTCACGCGCCATCTGAGAATACACACCAACCCGAACTCGCGTCGGAACAAAAACTTGTCAAAGGTTGTGGCCACACACCAGGTGACGCCACTGCCACAGACGAAAACTGTTTCTGTCCCTATCGGTTCGGCTCCTGTTGGTGCTACTCCTGTGTCTGCATCCGCAGCGATTTCCATCCCGTTTTCAGCCGAAGCGGATTCCCTGAAAACCTCTGGGGATGAGCCTATGCATTCATTGTCGTCTTCTGCTCTGTCCACAGCGCTGTCTATTGAGAAACCTGATACCCACTCTGACCAACCTTCCACATCTACTAGAAGCGAGTCTAATTCTAATACGCGACCTGCTCTCCGTGGGCCTTCACGGTCAACCATGAACATTGATCTTCTAGCCTCAGCAGCAACTGAAGAGTTGAAGGTGTTGAAGAAAGGCCCAAGCACACACTCGGGCGGCATAGATGCTAACTCACGTTCACTTCCGTCGCTCACAGATTATTTCAACACCGCGAAGAACAAGTCGGCGGTATTTGACCCCGGACACAACCTACAATATTTGTCTAAGATGGCTCTTTCAAGCAAAAACAATAGTGGTCTAGCTTCACCAAAGGCATTTGGCACCCTTCTGTCTCTTCAGAAAATGACGCCGCTTAACCCAGCCGTGACGGTTCATCAGCCTACACCATCGCGTGCTAAGATAATGGAGGATAGTGACTTGGAGTACGTGCAGCAGAGGTTGAAAAAGAGCAGACCCAACTCGCCTGCTCCGAACTTCACGCTCCCGAACTCACCTATACTTGGACTATCCACGTCTAACACCCCTCTCATGTCGGCCAACTCATCGTCGACAAACTTGTCGAGCTTCTTCATGACCCCTATGAATTCAGTAGTGCCTACAGCAGACAAGACGCCATCCATGTCACGCCAAACAACACGCACGCCACCGCCACTGGGAGCTGCTGATGTGCATTCTCCTGGCTACGAACTTGAGCTGGCTGCCCCCACAAACTTGCCACCACTTCGCAGCTTGAAACTAGACTTACCGAAGAACCTCTCCATGGCAGGTAGCGCAGGCCCACAAATATTGATGGGCACGCGACCCGAGCCAGCATCATTACTGCATCAAGGCATGCCTAGTGCCGACCGGATGACAGACGACTAGCCGGTTTGCTAGTCGTCACGAGATTTCATAGAGAGTTGTATATTAGATGTACTATAGGGAATGGAAGAATGAGGTTTATAATTTTTTTTTTCAACAATACTTTTCATTTAAGTTACCTTCAAGCTTCATATGTTTTCATGTTTCTTGGTATATGAATTCTGAAGGTACTAGCATACTTAACAAGATTCGTTAACGCTTAAGCTATTTTAGTTTTGTATTTGATAATGTTTGTTTTCGTAATAGATGCTTCTTCATTCATGGGTGGTATTATGTACTTATGGAGACACAATTCATTATTGTCATCTGAAATGGGTTTTAACATATTGTTAGGTTTTCTTGAACAATAATGTATCGCTTTTTTGATGGCCTTGAGATTATTCTGTTATTGAAACCGAAATATTGCTTCCACAATCTTTCACCTTATGAATATGCATGTAATGAATCTAAAGTCTCATCTACATGTCATGAATATGATTGGGAGAGGTTGTTAATATTGCTTGTATTCCAAGAATACTTATGTATTAGGTTCATCGAAATATAGACATGCATTGGGCACTTTTGTAAATCTAACAGCAGTAATCATTCAAATTTACATTGATAAACCAACAATCCGAATAAATGGTCTATGGGAATCCAATATTAATCACACGATCGTAGTATGCTTTTGACCAATATTTTCTATAAAAGTATTATCAAAAGTAGGCCACTTTTTTGAATACCCAATGAAGAATAATGAAAACAACAAAGGAGAAAGGAAAGCGTGAAAACATTCTCCAAGAATATAATTTCCTCGAAGTATTAAAGAGAATCATGTGGTTTGTTCACGTCGTCCATGTAAGCGGTTTTGGATGGTGTCAACCATGGTCATTCGTCTATCATTACGAAGATGATACTTGATACTCCAAAACCAACAGCAAAGTAAACTCACTTTCTTCCGACGCTGTCTTATGAAATTGAGTTAATCTCCAAGCGTTAAGTGTCTTGCAAAGCTCTAAACCCAATCGAAAAGACTTTCACTTACTTACATTTCCATGACATCAAATAACGTTCTTCTATTACTGTACAACATTTATTCTGCTGATCTAATTGTTAGCGGCAGACGGTCAGCAGCCGCCCACAGCCCAAATTTCCTTTTCATCTTCGTAACGGTCGCTGAACATTGCTTCAGCATCACCACCAGCTGAGATTTTCTCACGCTCCACTCCTGCTAAACGGCCTGCAACTCTCTTGGTGTAGTCGCCAATCGAACGGGGTTGGAAAACAGTGCCCACTGCATTTTTGATTTCACCCACCAGCGCAAACCACTCAGTGAAGTCCTTCATATCCACATCATCCACCAAATTGAAAAGAGCCAAGTATGCCTTCTCAGCCGCCAAACGGATCGGAATGATGGCGTCTCGCAAGCACGAAAACACGGCTGGTACCAAAACATCCCAGTGAGGCTTGAGCGCCTCATACCGATGACGTGCCGCAGTACGTACAACCACAAGCGCCAAACGTCTCGTGTCGGGAGAATTCGAAGCGGGCTGTACTGCGCAGCGTGCCAACTCACACACAAGGGTGCGAAGATGGTCACCTAGCATGAAAGAGGCGCCAGAACTGTTGTCGTCTCTCTCCTTCCCGTCAAGCAAAAGAAGTTTTCCGAGTGCCACAACAGCATTGTCACTAATATATGGCTGAGACGATGCACACGCGGCTACAACAAAATCAACCACATCTCCAAGCACGCCGGTGTCGAAAATGTGCGAGGGTGCCTCACGCAAGAACGAGTTAATGGCCAACACTGAGAAGGGCGAGGCGCCGTCCTTCAAGATCTTGTCGCGCACGAGCGCTGCCGCCTCTTCTGGCGACAAAACACGCGCCACTGCCCCAAGCAAGCGCGCATATGCCACTGCGGGTGCACCATCTTCGAGCGAGCCAAGCTCGCCCTCCACAAGACCCATAACTGCAGCCTTTGACTGTTCGCTCATGTGCGTACCACCACGCGCCACAACTTGCAACATTGCCTGGACCATAGTTTGACGAATAGGCGGCTCTGCTGTTTTAGCCGATGTAACCAATTCAGTAACCAACAGGTCAACACGGGGCTGGAAGGCCACTAAAACACCAAGAGCTGACACTGCGCCTGCGCGCAATTCGCTGTTTCCAGCATCCGAGAGTGACCGCACAAACGTACGTTGAAGTTGGGGCACAAACGGACGAAGGAACTGGGGAATCTTCTCCAACAACGCTGCCAACGCACCCAAAATGGCGGTTTTGGCACCTGGTGGCACACGTTCTCCAATGACACGGATTAATGGACCGGCAAGAGTGGTGGCAAGTGGACGCAATTTTTCAGGCGGCGTACGCGTGATGATCTGCGCAATGGCATGAGCAGAAAGCTCACGCTGGTCGCCAGTGCCATACATCAAGCCGTGTGCGAACACGGGCACAATACAGGCGGGGCCGCCCAAAACAAAGGCTCGCAAAGGCTCGTCGCGCACGCCAGCGAGGTTCAAGGCATCGTGAGCTGGGCGCACCATGCGGGCCAATTGCGGCTTGTCTTGGGCACGAACCAACGACAAAAGCGCCGCAGCGTTTGCACGAACAACACGGTCATCGGCATCGCCCAAACCAAGAACAAGTTGCGATACAAGGTCCGGAATGTATGATGAGTAGTCAAGCGACGTTTGGCCAAAGAAGACGGCCATGCGCTCTCCTGCCACAGCACGTTTGTTAGAATCCTCGTGGCGAGCAAAGTGCATAAGTTGCAGCATCACCGCATGAACACCCGAGTCGTCTGCGCAAAGGAGAATACGGTCGAGCGAAGTCTCCAATACTTCCACGGAGCCATCCTTGCTTTCCTTGTCGTTGCTCGAGGAGATCGCTTGCACGAGAGCCCCCACAATAGAGCCTAATCTCAGGTACACGGCAGAACCGGCCGCTTCTGCAAGCAGCGCAAGGGCCTGGGCCTTTGGTGCATCAAGCGGAGGCGCCAACAACAGCGCAAGCAAAGTGCCGAAAAGTTCGGCGCGTGCCAGAACAAGCTCCTCCAAAGCCAGCAACGCCAGCGGATTCGAGCTGGCCTGCGCCAACAAACCAGGAACAATCGAGTCCACAACCGTCTTGCCCAATTTCTCCTGCAAAGCCTCGAAAGCTTGCGCAGCGGCAGCACGAACCTCGGCGTTATCGTCCACAAGCGCCTTCTGCACAATGCCAATAAACGTGTCTTGGTGGGCGAGAACCGCCTCTTCCGAAGCGGCTGCAACCAATTCGCTGAGTGCTATACAGATACCCAGGCGCGCAGGAGCGTCGCCCGACGAAAGGGCGTCTTCAAGCGTAGGCAAAAAGCGCGCCAACGCCAGCGAGCCAACACGGCGGACAACATCGCCAAGCGTAGCGGCTGCAATCTGGCGCAGCACAGCATCGCCACCAGCCAAACGGTCGATGATGGCATGCGTCAAGCTTGGCACAATTTCCTTGACGGCACGAGGAGTATTGGCCACAAGAGCCTTCCAAATGTCGATGGCGGCAGCGCGGACAGGCGCAGAAACATCAGCACGGCACACGAACAAGGCGGCCAAGACACGGTCGCGACGCTCGGCGCCCAAAACATCCACGAGCGCGCGGCCAACCTCCACCTGCTCTTCGGAGAGCTCGTTTTTGCCCGACACACCAGTAACCTGGAACAAAAGATCTCCAGTAAGCTCGAGCGATGAGAGACGAATGCGGGGCGACAGATCGGCCAAACCACGTTCAAGTTCAGGAAGCAAGAGGTCGACAGCACGGCTGGCGTAGTTCTTGACAATCAAACGACCCGCGCGCAAAGCAGTGGAGCGAATGTCCTCATCCAGATCAGCCAAGCCGGCCAAAACAGGCGGAACAATGCGGCTAAGGTAGGGCGCAAACTGCAGGCCGAAACACACAGGCAAAAACAAAAGCATTGGCATGAAACCGGCACGGACGTGGGATTCGGGAGACTGGGCCGCATCCAAAATGATGGGCAACATTTCATCCAACTTGGCAAGGCCAAGACCACAAATGACTTCGGCGAGCGCTTGAGCAGAACCAAGACGGTCGCCTGCGCGCGCCGGATCGCGCAACGTCGCGAGAAGGCGCGGAATCAAGTCTGGGAACTGGTCCTCGCCCAATTTCTCAACCAACAGACCCAATGCGCGCGCACCAGTAGAACGGGTCGCAGGCACCGGGTCCACCATAGCAACTTCCAACTCGGCCACCAACGCCGCCAAGTACGGAAGAAGATCGCGCGCGTCCACCAAAATCGCCATATTGCCCACAATCTGACATGCCTTCTTCTTTGTTGCCGCAGACCGGTCGCGCATACCACGATGGATTACATGGATAATGAGCGCTAACAGCGGGCCGTCAATGTAGTGGACGAACTGAGTACGGATCAATTTTTCCAATGCTGCGTCTGTGTGGTTTGCAGGGTCGCCAATGGCACGGATCAAGTCAGGCACGATCGCCTGGATTTCGGGGTTTCGAATCACCTCACCAAAACGCTTGAGCGCTTGGTCGGCCGCGCGACGCACCTCTTTGTGCGAGTCGCCCAAAACACCCACGATTTCTGGCACAATGGTCGACAAAGATGCCGACAACTGCGCAGGATCAAGGTACGCCATGGAACCAAGCAATTCGACCGCTCCCTTCTTTGACCGCCATGCATGCTCGGCCAAATGGCTGATGGCCACGGGGATCAATTTCTTAACTCCGTAACTTGTTGTGCTCTTCATGATTTGACGAGCTGCCATGTCAGTAGCCTCACGCACTCCAGGACTAGCGTCACCCAAAGACTTGAGAACGAGCGGTAACGTTTCAATCACATAAGGTTCAAAGTATGCTCCTAAACTCTGCAGAAGACAATCAAGCACAAATGCAACACCTTCACGCAGCTCCGGCTTCTTGTCATCAGCAGCAGTGGAAATCTCTCTCATTACATCAAATGCATAAATCAGACGAATACCAGCACCCTTGACCAAACCAGAGATACCGTAGGCGGCACCTTTACGCACCGCCAAGCTGCTTCCACTCCAAAGCTTTGCGAAAAGATTATCAAAGTGCGCTTGCAAGTTGGGCTCGAATGCCTGAGACAATGGCGCAATACACTCAGAAACAGCATATTGCACATCCTCAGATGGCGTGTCAAGTGTCTGGAGCAATCTTTCAACAATAAGGTGCAAACGTTCGTCATCGGCCTTCAAATGCCGTCCCAAAGAACCGTAAAGAATGATGACCGATTCACGAAGACGGTCCTGTCTCTTCGAGCCAGTGTCAGCCTGGGCAAGGCATTTCTCAAAGATTGGAACCAAGGACTCAACGTGGGCCAAACCATGAAGTGTGATGATCTCGATTCCAGCTTCAAGAAGCTCTTGCGCAACAAGTTCGTTCTTGTCACCCAAAGCTTCCGAGGCAACCAAAAATTCAAATATTTTGGTGACCGATTCTTGACTGGAACAGAGCGGACTCATGAATTTCAATGCCAAAGCAATAGTAGAACGTGCTTCCCATTGATCTTTTTCGAGTGCGTGCTTATTGATGGCGAGACCAAATTTGTCTAGTTCAGGGTGGAGGTGGTTTCTGCTTTTCGCAAAACAAGTCAAGTAACTTCTGAAGTGTCGACTCGAAAATGTCGCTTTGTTCCTCTTGTAAAACTTCAACACTGGCAACAATTGCTTTGGCGACGGTCAAACGCATACCAGCATCTTCGCTCGAGATATAATTCATCAATAAATCTGGGGCATTAGAAACGAGTGCGAATTCGTTATCACTCCAAATAGTTTTGGCGAGTTCGGCCACATTATGATCATTATCATAGGAAGAAATCCAAATTTCACTCGAGTAAGACATCTCTTCGGTCAAATCGAACTGCGAATCAAGACCTTGAAGAATTGCGGTCTTCACAAAGTTATCGGTCGTGATGAGGTTTTCGAGTAATAATTGAACATCAGAGAGCACGACATTGATGGAAATTTGCTGGCACACAGTAAGGAAACATTCTTTGGCCATCTTGGATTTCGTGCGAATTCCCATCAAAGAAATCAACAGCTTAATTATAGACGACCGTGGAATGGCTTCATTTTGAAGCATCGATTGCGACGAAATGATATCCACAACCAATGAGAGAAGTTCTTCCTCTGGATCTTCATCCGCAAACTCTGAAGTGACTACTTGCTTTTTCGAATTGCGAATCGCGACTTCTTTGCCAGTATCTAACATTCTGGTGATCAATGGGAGAATGTATGCGAAAGAAAGGATATCGAAGTAGTCGTCCGCCAAAATCTTGATACGGAACAACACTTTGCTCAACAAACCTAGAAGTGGTTGCTCGAGGAAATTTTCCCTCACACCTTCAATGTTATTAGCTCTCAAGATTGCCACACCTACAGACTCCTTCAAGTAACCGAGTCTAGCCGTAAGGATATTGGAAACCCCAATAAAAATGTCTGTTCCAAAAGTGCCAAAAATCTCGGATGATAATGGAGACTTCAAGAGTTCAATCATATCTATGGAGACCACCAAAAGCCACAGCAAATCATTTTCCCGAATATAGACGGAATCTCTTCCGCTCAATTCCCTGATAACGTAGAAAGCACGGTAAAACTTTTTGATACACTCACTCACGCTCTTGCGGATGTCGGATTCCTTGGTCAATTGCTCTTTAACCAAAATTTGTTCTTCCTTCGTCAATTTCTTATTGTTCTTCTTTTGCGCAAGTTCCTTCTTCAAACTTTCTTCCCATTTTCTGGTCTCATAGTCCTTGGTGTTTTTATCTTCCGCCTTTTTGGGTTTCGAGTTCAATACGTCGACAACCATTTCACCTTCAGGTGCTTTCCAAATTTGAAGACTTGTGGCGTCTATCTCCGAGAGGTTATTGACATCAATATCCAGTTTCAATAATTTAGCAATCTTATCGGGAATAACACCGGGATTCACGAAATCAGCAGTAGCAATAGCTCTGCATGCAGCTTTATAGGACTCTGTTTCTGGTTCTGCTTTCAAAAGATTATCGTAAAGTTGTTGAAGAATGTAATCTGCATATTCTCCAACAAGAGTCTCCGGGTCAAGAGAAGCTCTTAAGACAAAACCAATCCATCTTTCCTTGACAGGAATTTGGCTATGATGAGCCACCAGTATTAACTCCACTAATCCTTTCGCTTTCACTTCCTTATCTGGTACCTGGACAAGATAGTTCAACACGGGGACTAAATTCTTTAAATTGTAGTGAAGATCGCCATCTGCACCCAAAGTATCTGCCAGAGAAACAATTTCTTTGATGCTGGAAATGAACGCTTCGCTGACCTGAGCAGAATCGACGGCAAGAAGTGTTTTCAAGCTTTCGAGAGCTTCAAGTCTAGTCTGATAAAGTGTGTTGGACGAAATTAAAAAGTATAAGTAGGATTTTGCATAAGCAATGTGGTTTGTGGCATGCTTCCAGCTTGCTACCAACGCACGCAAACACCAAACCTGTTCTGAACCTGATAATTTAGAAATAACCTTTGGACTGGTCAAAATAGAAAATTTTTCCTCAGAATCAGCAAGCGAGTCAACAAAAACTTTTTTGGTGTCAATAGAGGATTGGTATAAGTTACTCAAGGCAATGCAAATGTATGCACAAGAAATACCTTTGTTGGTGACAGTCAACAACGGAGATTTTTGTGCCGCCTCAAGAGATTTGAGCAAGCTAGCATAAACCTTTGCAAGAAATTCTGCGAGTTTGGAAGACTCGGACAACTTTTCCGAATACAAAATGTCACCAAGCTTTGTTGCCCATATTGATCTAAGAGGCAACTTTGGATTTTGCAAGCCTGCTTCAAACTGTGCGGTAATCTGGGAACATTCTGCGTCCGACACCACAGGCTTGCCTGACTTCAAGACGGCAATATACTCTGAAGCCAACACCTCAACCAATGGGGTAAGGATGATCTCGTTTTGCTCCTTAGCAGTCAACGGAAGAGTGCTGGATAATAACTTTGCAGTCACCGAATCATCCACATGAGCCAATTTTTTGAGGCCCTTGACAAGGAAGACTTTGCTATCAGCGTTGGAAGTGCCTTTAAATGCTTTGAAAAGCTCATCGATGATTTTATTGGAGTCCTCGACCAGAAGGCGAGGCAAGGTATTAGAAAAGGCTGCACATAAAGTTTCAAATGCCTTCTCTCTGACATTCTCCTTTGTTGACTTGATGCCACTGAGAATGTGTGTGAAGAGCTTGCTGGAAGCAAAAACATCGCTGAGATCGATAATATCCTTTGTACCGAAAAAGGGCAAAGTAAGATGAGTAAATGCAGACTCCGAGGAACGCATAATGGCCTTCTCTATAGCTGGGATTATCTTGGCATTAACTTGCTCGTTGCTGATGAAGTTACCGACATAAGAAACTGTGAACGTCCTGAGTGCATAAGAACAAGGTGGAACTTTGGCAAGAATGGCTTGGTTCGCCACATAGTCGACCACATCAGAATTCAAATTGTCTGCCGTTTTCAATGTTTCATACATCGAAGGATATTCTGGTTGCATGTGAGCCAAGGCATCGCCCAAAACACCAAGGTACAACAAAACTGCAGATGGTCCAATGGTTGATTTAACCATCAGCTCTACAGACAACCGTGCCAAATTCTGGCCATCTTCAGCCAGTCCGAAGGTCAAAACAGACTCGAAAGCCTTTTTTGTGTTCGCCACAGCTGATACGAGAATCCTCCTTCTGTGAAGAGCCTGAGACGTATTCGCCTCGGAACATGAGTGGAGCAACAAGGCCTGGGCCTCAGCAATCTGGGGCCAGAGCGAAGTTGATTTTGCCTGAACCTCAAGCTCTGCAAATTTATTTGCCCACGCTAGCAACGTAAGAATGTCTGTTGGAGCCAAGTTCGAAGATTTCGTGGCTGCTTCGTGTACATAGGACACGAACACTTGCAAGTATTTCCCATCGTAACCAACATAAGCTTGTAAAACTGCTAAAGCAGCGGATCGCGACTTTTTGTCTTGGTAGTAGTTGTACGTTCTCAAGACAAGAATTGCTAGTTTCTGTAATGTCTCTTTTTCAGCCGCTAACAGGTCTGCGTCGCCGGAAACAAGAAACTTGCGGATCTTTTCCAAAGCAGGCAACCTATTACGTGTAAGAGAGTCGTGGAGGAGACCAAAGCCATTGGCCTTTAAGTCATCCCATTCAATTTCTACACCACTAGACATGGTGGAATGTAAAGAGTAGAATGCTTTTGGGCTTCTGGTGGAAAAATTTGAGGGTCACGTTGGAGCGCGCACGTGATCTACGCCTGTTCTTGTTTCTACAAAGAAAACGTTACAGTAGTGTGGATGGGTTCCATGAATACTTGACTTTGTGATCTTTGGAAATGTTGGCGTGTTGGGGCTGTACCATGTCTTTCCAACCCTACGGCCAAACGTTACCCGGCGCGCCATATATAAGGCGCGGCGATCGCTCAGTTTCGTTTTTTTTTCTTCATCAACTATAACAGTCGATGAGGAAAGGCTACAGTTAAGTCATCCGGTGCAGCAAGACAGGCTTGCCTGTCGTCTCGCGTTGCGGGCGCTGTGGAAAACATCACGGCCGTTTTCACCACTCATATAGTGATGTATTTTGTCTGAGGCTGTTGTTGATATGAATCTGTTGTTGTGAGGTAACTCTTGTTTGGTACTCTGAATTCGAGTTTGCATTTGCAGTAGAATATGGTTTCTGCCATTGTATGACCTATTCGTCCTCCATGTTTTCTTGTATTCTTGTATTCTTGCTTGGTGAAAGTTTCGCGCGAACATTTTGCCACGGCGTTAATCTTTCATTTTCTAAACCTCTTGTTTCTTTCAAGTTTCCTTATTGTTTGTCACTCTGCAAGGGACTTGTAACGTCTTTTCACATTCCTCCTAGTGTCCGCCTTCATCTTTTCCGTCTAGTATCCTCGCTAGTGCTTAGTGCTCATTATTTCATATCTCGCCTTATAATCCTGGAGAATGTTGGTTGAAGAAGTTCCGAAACAAACACAGGCCAGCAGTTCTTCTGTGTATTTCCTGTCGCTGGTAAACCTTTCAGCACGTCCTTTTTCCAAAGCCTTTGAAGGCGACGAGAACCGCAACTCAAAGAACAGACCCAAGGTCAATTATAATCTTACAGACTTGCTTAACGCCCAGACACAGGTAAACTACAGCAATGGATCTGTCAACAGCGGGGTTTTCAAGCTGTCACAGCAGATGCAGCTTGAACGACTTATTTCTAAGCGGTTGGGCGATCTTAGTAAAGAAACACCAAACAGCAACTTTGAAATTCCAAAGAGTTTCGGGTACACCAGCATTCACAAGTCTCTTTCCGGAGGAGACAAAAAAAAGATCCGGCTAGGCAACACACCCTCAACCAAACGTATCTTGGCCGCTCGCAGAAACCTCAATTCATACTTCGAGGAGGAGAAAAACTTGATTTCCATCAACACCATTCTTTCCGTGAACTATTCATTTGCGGAGCAACAAGATTTCGGAACGGACTCAAAAAGAAGAAAGACAGAGCGCCGCTTCAAGCCAAAGGTCAAACTATGTTGTATTTGTGGCGGCCAGTCTCATTATTCTCGGTGTGCAAGCTGTGGACTCTATTCATGCAGTGTAAGATGCAATCGTTTGCATTTGGAGCTGCGTTGTGTTTAATACTTCAGTTCATTACGGTGAATAACAATTGCATTTAAGGACGAATGAGATGTCACGGGACAACTTCGCTGAACATTCCTATCACCCTGACGCCCTAAGTGTATCAACTTCAGATTCCTTAGTGGCACGGGTTCCCTTGTTCGATTATCAATCACATTTCCACTTTGGAGCACCTTTCGGAATATGTGTCAAGGAACTGTGTCCATGCTTCTTACATTTTTGCGTCTTTACCATACGTGAGCATGCTATATCTGACTTGGTGCATAGGTAACTTAGTCTTCACGTTTAATGAAGAATACATCTTGCATTTACATTAGGCATTAGTGTTAAGATCTTTAGAGATAGAGATGCCCCTACGCAAGCTACATTAATTTAAATCTGGTTAGTCTTGGTCAACATTTTGAAAACGTGTATCAATAAACACATGCATGATCGTCAGTTCGTAAGCGTGAATAAATAAGCGAGCTAGTCGCCGTGCTTGAAGCAGCATCTTTTGCCGTAGCGGCAAGAGCCATATTTGGCCCAGTTGGAACATGGTTTCGAGCGATAATTGGCTGGACGAGGCACCGACTTCAAGTCATGTTCGCCGTGCGCAAACTGGCACTTGGCGCCATACGGACAGCCACCCATCTTCATATACGATACACAAAGCTCTGTCTTGTACAATTGTGTGTTGATGTTCTTGCCCTTGGAAGATGTAGAGGACAGCAGGCCGCGGCGAGCCTTGGGCGCATTGTGTGTGTTGTTGGGGCGCGCATGTTCTGCGTGCGGCTCGTGGGAGCACTTTTTCTGGGCGTGCGCGCCGGCGCGGAAAAATTGCTCGCCTGAAAGTGAGTCGTTGTAGTCCAAGTTTTCTTCGGTCAATGGGGCGAGCAAGCTGTGAGGCAAAAGCAGCTGGGCGTACTCCAAAGACGCCTCGCGAAGCATCGCTGTGGTGTTGTAGTTGTTAGCATCAGGCATTTTCGGAGCACCAAAGTCCGTTGGGAAACCCGAAGCATACTTTTTAGGTTCTTCAAGCCACAAGTCAGGCAAAAGATCGTCCTGCGAGTCAGAAAAAGTCGAGCTGGCGGTGGCCGAGGGCAGAGAAGTTGTGGTGTAGGATGTGATGTTGAACGCCGGCTGTTTCACGTCCGAAAACGAAGGGAAGTGTAGTTGTCTGTGAAGAGTTTCCATGGCTTAAAGGGGAGGCAGAAAATATTTGGTTGGGAGATGGGACAGAAACTCAAAGATGCGTCAAAGTATATATGTTGGTGGTTGTATGCACAAAATGAGGAGAGCAGGTCTTCGCAAAGTGGAGAAGCGGATTAATTGTATCAATTCGCGAGGGGAAGGAAATGTAAAGAGGAGAAAGGTGAAGCGGAGACGGAAGCCTTTTCTTTTTTTGCAGGGCTTGATATTTTTTCGCGGAGTGATGGGGTATTGCGATGCAAACGCTTAAGGAGAAGAAGGTCAATTATATATTTGGCATCTGGTGACGTGACACTGGCAAGAATTATCCGATCGGTGTGGATGCAAGACGAAAGTGGCGCTATCGTCTGCGAGTGGGCCGATGCCCGGAAAAGGGTTGCGCGCTGGCCGGAGATGGGTTATTTCCGAGGGCGGAGTCGAATATTTTTTTGGCCTTGCCCACAATATGCAGTTCCCCATGCAGGCTTCTTCTCCGATTCTCACTGGGTTAATGTCGCAACAAACTTTGGGCGAGTGGGAATGTCGTGATGTCCGAGGGAATATCCGAGGGCACAACCGAGGTTTTTTTCACCTACGCACGCCACCATATTTGCTAAAGAAGAAGCCCTGCCTATGCACCTGCAACATCTCTACCTATCCAAAATCTCCCCACACGGGTTTTGGGCATCGGATAACCGAATGTTTCTCCCATTCAGTAGATTATCACGAAGGAGTCAATTTTCAAGTGTGCCTTGGCTTCTTCGACCACAAAGGGAATTCCCGACTCGGCCTGGCCACAACCACGTGCAGGATCACGTGCCCGCTGAGAATGCCGATGCGGTTTTTGCTCCCATGTGTGCAGGGCTCCGAACCAAATGGTGTCGCACTTCTCACTGTAACTGCATTCCCAAATCGGGACCCATCCCCACCCTCCTGATTGTGATGTCCGGGTGTTTCAACATTGTTGTTTAAGCTTTTTGATTGGTATGGAAGCTTTACGCGGGGACGAACCCCTGTCAATGAGAAATGCCCTTATCCGACACGGATACTTGTGTTACTTGTTCATATTGATGTAGTAACTGTGTATGAGTTTTATCAAGTTAAAGCAGATGCTCCTGTGCACTTTCGGTCTGCGGCTGAGGTTGTTGAAGATGGTTCTGTAATATCAGAACCTTTACGTTGACCCAATCGGAGACGAAAAGAAAAAGAGCAGAAAATGTTACCAGCCCAATATGTTCACGTGAAGCTGAACAATGTATTGTTAAAGGGGCACTGTATTTACCAGCTAGTATGTTCAACATACAATTGTGTCTGGAACCAGGGTTATTCTGGATTAGTACGAGGAAAACACCCTCCAAGCCGCGTAATTTTTTAAGCTAGAAGAATGGCGATCCAAAATTGGCCGTAGAAGTTGATGTGGGACTTTCCACAAAAAATTCTCTACTGCACTCCTTGGGGATGGTTTGATTCACAGGTATTCGAATGAATAACACTGCACGTGCAACTCATGTTAGCTTTACATTTTCCGTAGAGAATTGTGGATCTGCCAGTGGATCTGCCAGTGGATCTGCTGCCTTGCAATAAATGCCTAGAAATATCATGACAAAGGGTTCTCCCGTTCAAGAGCTTGACCATAATTATCTTCTACTGCGTGAGCATGTTTACCATTCAGTCTACTCAGTTTATCAGCTGATTTAAGCATGGATATCAGTCCGTGTGGTTGTGAGGCCAAGTCGCTGCTTTGTTCTCATCTTGGAAAAGTACGCTGCGACGGCGTTTCGATCTTAATGAGACTGTTCCCTTCTCCAGCCTCTAAACCAAGATCAATGTTACCGTTCTTCCGATTGTGTGGTTTTCCGCTGAACCATACATCGCTTTGCTTAGCTAAGCGTATTTTTGGCACTTTCTACAATGACCTCTTTAATCCCGTTTCCTCTCGAGTGTTCACTCTCTCGTCTTTTACCCCAACTTCACTGTTTAGATCGATTTTCTCAATCTTGTGTATCTTCTAGTAACGCGCGCATTCTTCGCGTATCAACACGCGCTACTACTAACCACTATGGCCATACAAAACAATTTGAAGGAGGCCAAAGCTTGGTTGGCGGCTGAAAAGCCCCAGCTCCCGCCGTCTTGGCTTGTGGACCTTTTGAAGAAGCCTGTCCAACCGCTGGCGCCTTTCAACTTCCCATTATCTGCATCTTCAGCTACTCCTCTGCTACGAAATGGCCTTTCCAAAATTCCACAGGAAAAAAGCCAGCCGCAGCCGCTTCAGACATCTACCCAGGCGTTGGTTTTGGAAGACTTGTCGGACTTTAGCGACAACGAAGACCTCAAACTCATCGATACAACCGAGTTGGGATTGCCTCGCTTGAAGCGACAGGCGACCCTAGATGAGCGACTACTAAAGAAACAGAAAGCACATATTCCAGAACAAAATCCCCGGTCTGGCTCTGCAGAAAACGGGCTGAGCTCACCCCAACACTCGGGCAGCTTGCTTACGAATGAATCTCATAATACAACTAAAGGCTCCTCCCACATCGCAGTGTCTAGCATGCTGGCAAATGCACAAAGTGCTTCACATTCTCGGAATCTTTATAGCGCTCAGAAAAATACCAGTCTGAATATCCTCAATCATGGTTCTAATTTCGAAAACAATACTCCCCAAACTGGTTCTGTCCATCTACAAAGGGGAACAGCCAGTAGAAATCCCAGTCTTCAAATGCTGAATGCACCTTCTAATGGTAAACCACCAGTATTTACCCATCAAACTTCTTTCACAAGCAACATAGAGCCTCTGCGAAAACTTACGCCGCAACTGTCTTCTTTGGCCAATGACAGTAACGTTGCTCTGCTCCAGAACTACATCCGCATTTGTGAGAGTAAGATCGCCTTGCTCTCTAAATGGAACGCCATCAACGAGTCTACATCTCTTTCTCTCGATGCAAAGAACTTGTGGCATACCAATAATTTTTTGCCACAACTACAGAAAATCGAGGCTTCTCAACATGCACTAAGGTCCTCCTTCTCTTTCCTTGATCCACTTCCTGCAACACAGAATCTATCTAAAATCTCTACTTCAAGCCCGAATCTCTCTAATCTCGCATCAGGATCCATCCTTTCACCCATCCATACTACTGTTCCTCAAAGTCCATCTGTTGAAGTAACGGAGAAGAGAAACGAGCAAAATCATGTTACTGATATAAGGACCTCCGATGATGACATGTCTGGATTTCTGCAGATTCATCATGTTACTTCTCCCCTAAATGTAATGTCTCCTCCTGCAATCCCTCCAGAGATTTCTGTGGAAGCGACTAAAACGAGTACTGAAAGTGAGTACAAATTGAATAATGCCGAAGCTAGAAATTTCATTATGGAAAGACGAGCGGCCAAGCCACTTCCTGTCTCACAAACTGTGATAGACGATGAGCTTGAAGACGATTTTGGAGAACAATTCATGGACGGGTTACATTCCTCTCAAGTCGACGATGCGGCAACAGATCTCAGTGGATTTTTGGCCAGAGATGACGAAGATCTTTCCTCAGTGGATGGAACTTACATGACACAACCAATGAGTCAAACAAAAAGCGACATCGACGAAGTAGAAAGTGACGAACCGAATGATACAAAAGACGATGATTTGCTAGATGAAATGAGAGATATTGTTCTTTCACAAGATGTGGCACAACGTTATGGGGTCAAGTACGATAATGTGGAGCCTATAGAGATTTCAGACCACGAAATTGAGGAGGAAAATGAAAACGAAAATGATGATGAAAATATGGCAGACTTCACCACTCAGCTCAAAGAGGGACATGACGAAGTAGTCGAAATAACATCTGAAGATGAAATCCCTGATGCTGATCTCAATGTTTTAACTGAACTTCTGCAGTCGCGACCGCTCAAGATAGAAGTTGTAAGTGAAAGTGATTTCAGTGACGATGACCAAGAGTTGATTGAGCTTTCAAAATCCGTTGGGACCAAGAAGCCAGGAGAGGGCAAAACTATTCCTCCAAACTCAGGACATTTTATTGATGAAGTATATGATGTCCTTCATAATGTGTTCAAACTTCCTGATTTTAGGCCAAACCAATTAGAAGCTGTGGTAGCAGCGTTAAATGGGAAAGATGTTTTTGTTTTGATCCCCACAGGTGGAGGAAAGTCTCTCTGCTATCAACTACCTGCTCTTGTCAAGGGAGGAAAAACAAGAGGTGTCACCATAGTTATCTCTCCGTTGATTTCATTGATGCAAGACCAGGTCCAACATTTGAGAGATCGCAACATTAACGCCGCAATGATTAGTTCCAGAGGAACTACGGAAGAAAAGCACGCAGCGATTAGAGAATTGACAAGCGGTCAACTTGACTTAGTGTACTTGTCACCAGAAATGGTGAACTCATCAAACATGATTCAGCGTGTTCTCTCGAAATTGTATGAGAGCAACATGTTAGCCAGAGTTGTTGTGGATGAAGCACATTGTGTGAGTTCGTGGGGTCACGATTTCCGACCCGATTACCAAGGTATGAGCTTGTTCAAGGAGAAGTTTCCTGAAGTCCCTATAATGGCACTAACGGCCACGGCAAACGAAAAAGTACGATTGGACATTGTCCACCACTTACGAATGAAAAATTTGGTCTTGTTAAAGCAGAGTTTCAACCGAACCAATTTGTTCTACGAGGTGCGCAACAAGCCGCCGAATTTGTACGAATGGATTCGTGATTATGTTATGGGAAAGATGGCTGGGAAAACCGGTATTATTTATTGCCATTCTAAACAATCTTGCGAGACCACAGCGCAAAAACTTAATGATTGGGGTATAAAATGCATGTACTATCATGCTGGGATGGACCCTAATGAGCGCTTTGACGTTCAGACTCAATGGCAGCACAATAAAATTCAGTTGATTTGCGCCACAATAGCATTTGGCATGGGCATCGATAAGCCCGATGTTCGATTTGTCATTCACATGTACATTCCCAAATCATTGGAAGGTTATTACCAGGAAACAGGACGTGCTGGAAGAGATGGGAAGGAGAGTGAGTGTATCATGTTCTATTCATACAAGGATGCGAGGGCACTCCAGAGTTTAATTCAACGAGATCGGAATTTGGAGGAGAGTGCCCGTGAAAGTCATCTTTCAAAACTTCGCCAGGTCGTACAATATTGCGAGAACAAAACAGATTGTCGACGGAAACAAGTTCTTCATTTTTTCAATGAATCTTTTGATCCGGCTAACTGCGCTCGCAAGTGTGACAATTGTTGCAGCGATGTTGTTTCCGTGACTCGCGACGTGACAGAACACTGTCTGAATATTGTGAAAATGGTTCAGTCGCTTCAAGCCGACAAGGTGACGGTGATTCATTGTCAAGATGTTTATAAGGGATCTCGTGGAAACAAGATTTTAAAGCTTGGCCACCATGAAAATCCGTACCATGGAAAGGGAAGGGAGTTGGACCGGGGTGATATGGAGCGAATTTTCTTCCACTTGCAAAGTCAAGACTGCTTGCTTGAGTACCAAGTAATGAAGGGCGGCTTCGCTTCTACGTATGTGAAATTGGGACCTAATGCTAACTCAGTATTGAGCGGACGAAACCGCGTGCAACTTTCTTTTGCACAAAACAGCAGACCATCGACAGGAAACTCGAATAGGGCACCTAGGCTCACTGCTCTGGGAAACGGCTCTGGGATTGGGCATTTGCGTTACCAAGAGTCATTTGTCAGTGCTAGGGAAGTGCGTTACGAACAAGAAAAAGAAAACATCAATGTTGAAAGAAGCAGTAGCAAGATTACATTGGAGAAGCATACATTCGATGGAGCGGTGAATGCAAGCAATGAGCAAGCTGTGGAGCAGGCGTATCACGAGCTACGTAATTTACGACTTCAAAAGCTGGAGGAACTTGGCTACGGGCGGCCGCATTTTTTCATGAGCGATACTCTCTTGAAGGAGATGGCAGTCAAGCTCCCCACAAACGCCCGTGACTTTGCCAAGTTGCAGAACATCAGCAAGGACCAAGTGTCGCATTTCCAGTACTTCAAGCGTCTTCTAGGAACATTGTCGCGTGAGCGGAAGCGCCAATCCTCACAAGGAGACTCGGCGACGCAGCATTCAACATTTACACAGGCAAACAGCACTATAAGCGAGCACGCTTCGCCGTACTTCCAAAGGCTGGGGCCAGGTTCGCAGGTGAGGAAGAAAAGTCAGGGAAGAAAGCAACGGCGTCCTGCCCATCGCAAACAGGCAGAAACAAGAAAAGGGACACCTAGCCAAGTTAGGCAGATGCCCATATAGCATATTTAGTATACGGTTAACAGGGTTTATGGTAATCATTTGTCTACACCATCAGGTGAGTAGGAGCTAGACTTGTAACTGCATGGTCGCATCTCAGTGGCGCCAGACAATAGAAAGGCACAAGGGTGAAAGCAAGGAAAAAAGATTTAACTATCTACGGTTGTTTTCTGCAAACCAGGAGAATTTCAGATCGAGAGAAAAATTGGTGTTTGCAATGAAGTGTCTATGGGTGTTGAGAGGATAAATGTCGTTGTGGATAACGCCGTGGTGTGGATGACAATTTGTGGCTCTGTCGTGGTTTGGCCGTTTTTGGACAATGTCGTAATACGCCCCGCCGGATCGAATGGGCCCGCACACTACTAGGGCGGTGTCACGTGTGCGACATTCGTTCCCCACGATTCGGGGTTTACAAACTCACCTTGGGGGGAAAAAAAGAACTTAAAAACCAACTTACTACAAAAGGAACAGAAGAAACCACATTTCTTATGCTGCACCCGTTTGCTCGTCGACTCCAGAAGGAGTATAAAACGCTCTCTCGCAACCCACTCCCAAAAGTTACTATGCTCTCCGAGAGCGACATGACCAACTACAAATTTGAAATGGCCATCGACAACGACATATACGCTGGCCAAAAATATCTTCTCCAGGTCAATATCGAGAACGATTATCCCGTTGACCCGCCCATTGTGCGTTTTGGACGATCTGATGACTACGTTGTTCCCCTCCATCCTCACATTTACTCAAACGGCCACATTTGCCTAAACATCCTTGGGAAAGACTGGACTCCGGCGTGCTCTGTGGAAAGCATTGTTTTAAGTATTCAAAGCATGCTTTACAACAATGAGCTCGAAGAAAGACCGCCAGATGATGATCGCTATGTGGCCCTGGCGCCTAAAAACCCCAAACACACACTATTTGCCTATCATGACGACAATGTGTAATGCGGCATTGAAACGTCTGGCCATTCAAGATACTTGATTGTTTAAGACATCACATGGGACATTTGGGGCAGGTTTACGGTGCGCCAAGTTTTAGGTTTTTTGCCAGGTTTTTTTTGTCAGCATTCTTGTCTGCACTGCGCGCACTCTTTGTCCGCATATGGCGGTGCTTTCCAGTTTGGACTTTGATGTCCGGCAGCATAATATAGCTCTGGGCTGAGCCCCGCACGTCCACATCCTGCAGTGCCGTCAAAGTTTTTCCGAGTTTCTGCCCGCCAATGCCTAATGTGCAGGCCGCGTGATTGACGTCTTTTCGCAGTTGTCAGCGTGGCTTCGCCCCGTTTGCAGCATTTTTTGCAAGACGAGCCGGCTAGATGCTCTTCATGTACCACGCATTGCAATGCGCTTCCCGTATACGCATAGCCATGCTTGGCGCGGCGCGAAAAGCAAGTCCGATCCCGACAATTCTCTATGCACGCCCATCATGTCCCCTCAACGGTTTTTTACGCCTGCACGCAGGTGTCCATCTGGAAAAACTCAACGTCACCATGCAGTGCCGCCGATGTACGGGCAATCCTGTGTTGGGTTTAACGAAGATGGTAATTGTGTGCAGGTGCCTTTCAGAAACTAACATTTCGGAGTTGATAGTAACAGACGATCGTGAAGACTAAACAAGGAGCCACTCGTTCATGAGGCGGCATACGCACCCAACTGCTGTGTTGCCTTTTCCGGCAATTCCGCAAGGTCGGGGTTAAGCAAAAGTATAACACCATGTGTCTGTGTCCTGCATACTCGGCTTGACCTTTGGCCGGGCTACCTCGATCCAATCTACATTACCCCTCTTCGTCGCCTGTCGTCGCAGATTTTTTTGTCCCCATCCGGGCTTGCTCCTCAGACGTTGCTAGATTCCACAAGCCCGTCCTTTTTTGTGCCTATCTCGGAATACAGAAATAATCTTTTGCTTGCCTTCTCCAGTGTTTCCATTGAACCGGAGGTCTTGCATATCCCCTGATCGACTTTTTCAACCACGCAACCACGTTGCTTGCACCTATATACCATATGACTTCCGTGAAGCAAGAGCCCAGCTCCCCTCCATTTTTTTCCATGGAGAACTTGTCTAATTTGCCCTCCGAAAGTCTTGCTGAAGAAAAATTCGATGCGCTAGATTTGGGTGAGCTTAAGCATTCGGAGATAGATTCTAAGCCAGAGCAACAGCTCAAGCAACCGCAATTAGAGCTTACCCATCCAGAGTTGGATCTTAAGCAACCATTGGTTGATCAAACTCCTTTCACAGTTCCTGTCATGGCAAATGTTCCCTCTCAGGCTCCTCCTGTTGCACTCAATGCCTCTGTCCCTCCTCCTGTTCTCCAGAGCAACATGCATAGTGCCAAACCGGCACCTGCTGCTGACACTTTGACTCAATCGGGTTCTAAGGATGAATGCAACTCGAAGGAAGAGTCCGATATGAACAATCTAAACATTGAGCAAGCCTGCGACTCGTGTCGCAAGCGCAAACTCAAATGCTCTAAAGAGTACCCCAAATGTCTGAAGTGCATTCAGCACAATTGGTGTTGTTCGTACTCGCCACGCACCGTGAGATCGCCTCTCACCAGAGCACATTTGACGGAGGTGGAAACACGCTTGACCCGTGTCACACAAATGTTGCGGTTTTTGTTACCTCCGGGCGTAGATGTTGACAAATTAATGGAAAGCGGCCGGTTTGAAGGGGCATTGCGGCCATTCCGCGAAAAGTTGCGTGGATCGGAGCCCACCAGTCTTTCTCCTCTGGCGTGCTCTGTTTTCTCTGGCGAAGAATCGTTGAACGGATCTTTGCCCAAGAAGCTGCTCACGTTTGACCGCGGTTATGATAAGGAGAAGATCAAGAGGGAGATTATAGATGACTTTGTTCTCAACAACATCCATACGGACAAAAGACCGTTTGGAACGGAAAATCGGCTGGGCTCAGAATTGGGGCCTGAAATGGCGATGCTCGGGGCGGGCTCCAAGCAGGTGCTGTCTTTTGAGTCGACCAATCCTGTGTCGCTTACTAGTCCTTCGTCACTTCTCTCGTTGGATTCGTTTGACTACGAAGTTGACGAGGAGCTCGACGAAAAGTGCATCAAGAAACAGAAAACGCACCCGAGCGAGTACACGTCCATTTTCGATGAGGTGATGTGTGACTTTACCTAACGATATCCACGCTTTTCTTCTCCCTTATATTTTAGTCTACGTTGTCTGAGTCTACATAGAATCTACGCAGTTATTGTGTTTGAAGCATCTGTAAGCAACTAAAGTGAGGGCTGAGCAATAGTCAAGTGGCAATAGTCAAAACGAAATAAATTAGCATTAAGCTCGGTGTTGTGGTATAATTGTTGGGCCATCGTGAATCTGTCATCTCGTCTCTCTTCACACATATCCTTCAAATCCCGGATTTGGTGCACAATTCGATACTCATTAATGGATTCTTCATGGAGCCTGCTCATGCGCGTGTTCTCTTTTGACAGATGCATGATGCTTCTCCTGTTCCCCATGTTATCATGAGGAGCCTAAATCCGAGCCATTGCCAATTTCAACCATTACAATGCCACAAATGATGCATCTATGCACAAAATCATGCACCTATGCCCGAGATCATGCGTCTATACCCGGGCATACGTGCCTATGCCCGAGATCATGTGCCTATGTCCGAAATTCGTGCAGCTATCTCCAGATGGTTCGATCTTCCTCGTGTCATCCAATCTGGGAAGCGCACCTCTGCTGTGCGCACCTTCCCTAAATGTAGTCGCATTTGCCGGGTCCGAACTTCGGGAGTTGGTCGTGCTGTGTTCAAGTAGTCCCATATCAATATCCGCTGTCTTCTCCCTTCCGCTTCTCCACAATTTGGGCATGCCATGTCAACACTAAAAAACCTTTCCGCTCTCCGCAAAAAAATCGCCAAGCGTATACGTGAAGCGCTCTCGGAACTTCATGAAAACTTGGGTCGAGGTCAGAGCGCCGTTCCTGTCCCAGTCCCCGTTCCAATGAGATCGCCTAGGGGCTTCCGGATGTGCCCTCTTTCGTGTTATTCGAATGCCTCTTTCGGCGCCAGAAGATTCTACTGTACTTATTCGAATCGTTTCTCTGGCTTTGCCAACTTGCGCTGGGCCAAAATCACCGACTCGGTGCTCTTCCAGAACTTTTCGTCCAGAACCCATTTCCGCCTGCGCCTGTTTGCCAATTTTTACAAGACGCCTACAGTCATGCAGTTGCTCAAACTAAAGCCAAGTGTCGAAGATGCAAATGGGATGCGGGCTAAACATCGCATTCCTACGAGACTGGCGACTGCCATGGAGCAAGTTCCGTCTGGATTGCGTCTCAACGTGCTGTTGTCTAAACGGTTCCATGATATGGTCATGGACCTTGCGAAACCGGTGTCAAATGTGGCAGAGGGATGCTATGTAGACTTCCAGATCCAGCCCCGCATTCTCATTCCGCAAAACACCATGATGAGCCCAGAAGTGTTGAGTGAGTTGTTAGTCAACTTGAAACACTTTGAAAAACATATCCGTGACTTGCAGAGTGACTTGGCTCGCCTTGGCGAGTTGGGTGAACTTCCTGTGCAATTTCTCGGTGCCCAGAATACCATTCGTGTGTATTTCCCCAACTGCGATAGAGAGCGCTTGGAGACACTTTTGCGTGAGAAGAACGTTGTAAACGGTGTGGTCTATGAGGATTATCTGAATGAGTGTGTTGAGCTTGAGAGCAGCAGCTCGGTGTCGTCTTTGTCGGACTTTGACATTTTGTCCAGTTTCAATCTTCTGTCGCTGGCGTCGTCAGACTCAGATGCATACGACGACGTGTTGTCGTCTTCAGAAGGAAGCCGGTTGGAGCCGGCTCTGTCTTATCACAGAGTGGAAATTGTCGATGCCGACAGTTATTATTGGACCTGAGGGTTATTTAAGGATTTTGGTGGGTTGGCGGTTATATTATGTTATGATGAATATTCACGTTTACGACTTGGGTGTAGCAAAGGGGTTTGGGTTTGATATGGAAGCTAAATTCATTAAACAGAATGAAGTAAATAATGGTCACTTTGGGAAAACACATTTTGTGAGAAGCTCATTACATGACGGTATGAAGCAAAAGATAGAGATGGGGTTATCGGCTACCAGTGTTAAAGCTATGTAAACTTGTATGTGTCCACTGTATAACTCCCTTGCTATATGAATAAAATGGGTAATGTGTGATTCTGAAGGTAAAACAGGTGGGTGAATAATACCAAGACTAAAAAGTTTAAAATTATAGCAGAAAACCAATAAGCAAGGCTGAACCTTCAAAAACAAATTACACTTCTAATATAGGTTTATTCGCTCTCTTTCATTTTCAATCATCACGATCGTCTTCTTCAAGTACCGTCTCCTCTTCATTCTTCCTATTTCGATCTATACATGTTCGCATTTTTAACTGTCCATAACAAAAAAAAAGCAGAAATACTCCAAAAAACAAAAAAAAGGTACAACCACCTCCGTAAACTATCTATACATCAATATCAGCAAATACCATATCTGCAATCTATTTTTTGTAACACTTCAAAGAGTGAACTTCATTCATGACCCGATTCTACCAACTGAGCCCACTGACGTGCATACAAATCAACCCTCATATACATGAAGCTCAGATAGGTTCTGCTAACTTATACCCTTCTGCGGACAATGGACCAAGAAAACGACCAAAGTGAATTTTCGGAGGCATTGGGATTTCCAGAGGAGAAATCCAATGTGGAATCCAAAGGTGCTGAGCCGGATCAAGAGGTCGAGGAAAAGACAGAACAGAATGACGCAAACACAAACCAGAGTGATTCGGAACCAGAAACCACAGCACCCGAAGCAGAGGAGAAAAAGGAGAGCGAAGGAAAAAGTGACAACGAATCGTTTCTTCTGACATCGTCTACGCAAATTCCGCTGCGGACTTTCATTGCGCTGAGTCTTCAAGCGGATCTTTCCGGAAAACCGCCGGTGACCAACTTGGCGAGCCTGTTAATTGAAGCAAGGCAGACAGAAAGCTCTAGCCGATTCCAAGCAAAAAATGAATCGCAGCAATCTGCAATCAATAGCGGCAGCGACAGCGTGAAGAAGACGTTTCAAAACATAAAAAGTACCATTGGGCACATGTCCCCCGAGCTTTTGGGCACAGAACCTATCGATTGGGACTTTTGGAGCCGCGTGGCCGAAAACTATGATGCTGTAGTACAAGAAGACCCAGAATTGCTTTTGCAAATGGTGGCTCGAGGAATTCCCAAGGAGTTTCGAGGAATTATCTGGCAGTTGGTGGCCAAATCAAAAAACCTCCAGCTTGAGGAATTGTATCTCCAAATGAAGAACGAGGCGTCCGTACATGAAAAAGCCATTAAGCGGGATTTAACCCGAACGTCATTTTTCACAAATGTGGATGCAGTGAAAAAAGCTGACGAGCTCTTTAATGTCATAAAAGCGTACTCCCTCTTTGATCCCGACGTGGGTTACACACAAGGAATGGTTTTTATTGCTGTTCCATTGGTGATGAACATGTCTGAAGCAGAATGTTTTTCGCTCCTTGTCACATTAATGAAGGATTACGGACTTCGGGACTTGTTTTGTCCCGAAATGCAAGGATTACATCTCCTTTTGCACCAATTCGACAGAGTTCTTGAAAGCCAACTGCCTGCTTTGTTCAACCATCTCATCCGCCAAGGCGTGAAGCTGCTGATGTATGCCTCTCAATGGTTCCTTACTTTCTTCAGCTACAAATTTCCATTAGACGTGGTGTTGCGCATCTTTGATATGGTTATCACGCAGGGAATCGAGGTGATTTTGCAACTTGCAATCAACCTCATGTTACAGAATGAGGAGAATTTGCTCTTATTGAAATTTGATCACCTCTTAGAATTTCTCAAACTTAACCTTTTCAACGTTTACGTGAGCGACGATTTCGTTGAAAGCCCAGAAAAGGAAACCAGGAGATTTTCATTGCTTGGACGCAAACAGCAAGGAAACCCAAAGAATTACTATAAGCTTGATGCCTTTGTCACTGACGCACTTCTGGTCAAAATAATTCCAGCTGACCTTACGCGATACAAGCAAGAATTTGAGAGTCTTTGCGAGAAGGACGCAGCACGACTTCATGACATTGAAAGACTCAAGGTGGAAAACGGCTCCTTGAGACATGAGATCAAGGAGGTCGAAAGCCAGTACTACAAATTGAGCCAGAGCCACATCAAAGTGGTGCAACAACTAGTGGATATCAAGATGCGTCTTCCTGACATGCGCAATGATGTTGAAGAAACGCGTTCCACAGTGAATGAGCTACAAACTGATATCAAAGCGCTCGAAGAAAAGCTCAAGTCTAATCCTCAAGGGCTCTCTGAAGACACAGAAACCCGCATACAGGAGTTATTAGCGGAGAACGCCAAAGAAACCGAGCGGTTTTCTAATTTGGAGGAGAAAATGAGCCAGTTGACCATTGAGAACAATAAGCTCACGGCCGAGTTGAAGCAAAGCCATGGACAGAAGTGGTTTTGGTGAAAGTGATGCATTTAAGAGCTAAGGTGGTGACTCGCAGGCATTTGCACGTGACAACATGATATGTAAACGCGGGCAAAAGCCCTAACAACTCTGCAGGAACACCTTCTGCTGGTGCGCTCCGTCCCACTGAAAATTTTTAGGCTCTGCGTTTAGTGCATTTTTCCCTTCACCACACCTAAGCACCAAAAATGGCCAGAGGACCAAAGAAGCACCTTAAGAGATTGGCAGCCCCATCCCACTGGATGTTGGACAAATTGTCCGGCACCTACGCCCCAAGACCATCTGCTGGTCCACACAAGTTGAGAGAGTCCTTGCCTTTGATCGTTTTCTTGAGAAACAGATTGAAGTACGCTTTGAACGGTAGAGAAGTCAAGGCTATCTTGATGCAAGAGCACGTCAAGGTCGACGGTAAGGTCAGAACCGACTCCACCTACCCAGCTGGTTTCATGGATGTCATCACCTTGGAGGCCACCAACGAAAACTTCAGATTGGTGTACGACATCAAGGGTAGATTCACTGTCCACAGAATCACCGCTGAGGAAGGTTCCTACAAGTTGGGTAAGGTCAAGAAGATCGCTTTGGGCAAGAAGGCTATCCCATACGTGGTTACCCACGATGGTAGAACCATCAGATACCCAGACCCAGCTATCAGAGCCAACGACACTGTCAAGATTGACTTGGCCACTGGCAAGATCACTGACTTCATCAAGTTTGACACTGGTAGATTGGTTATGGTTACCGGTGGTAAGAACTTGGGTAGAGTTGGTGTCATTGTGCACAGAGAAAAGCACGAGGGTGGTTTCGACTTGGTCCACATCAAGGACGCTTTGGACAACACCTTCGTCACCAGACAATCTAACGTTTTCGTTGTTGGTACTGAGGCTGGTAAGCCATGGGTGTCTTTGCCAAAGGGTAAGGGTATCAAGTTGTCTATCGCTGAGGAGCGTGACAGAAGAAGAGCCCAACAGGGTTTGTAAGTGCGAGGTAAGACCTTAGCTTAATAAACGCCATCTAATAATACCTGTAGATTCATGAAGGATTAGTTATTAGGCTATGTGGGACAGAACGATTTTAGAGTTCTCGCTAACGAAAAGTTGTTTTATCCGCTATCTGCAATATTCGTAAGTCTTCCGGAGACACCAAAGAGGCACATTATTCCCATGGACATTATTTCAGCTTTTGATAGAAAGTGACTCAAAATAAGATATTGAAAAGCCCACTTGTTGTATAGTTTGTGTTCAAACGAATTGTAGAGGCGAGGATGATCATAGTTCCGTGCTTGAATCTCTATCAATCGTCAATTTGGTAACTCGGAAACACTTCATAAATGGATATTACATATTATGCAAGGGCCGTAAATCATTACTTCAAATCCTCGACGTTCAATTTATGAATAGCCACTATCTAATACACACTGAAGAGTGCCGATACTTTGTCAACATGACGTCTGATGAAAGGGCGAGTTCTATGCTCGTTAATTCGAAGTGTATATGTGATTGAAAAGTATCTCTTATGGAGAGGACAACCGTAAACCCAATTATGAGATAAGTGTGGCTAAGAGATCATTAGTCCGGACAGAATTAAATAGAATATAAGATAATATATGTCAGCGTACTCGTCCGGAAGCCGCCAGTTTTAATGGAGAATACAATTCATAGTCATATAAACCATGTACCGGGCTTTAAGTGATATTGTTTCAGGTAACTTTACTCATCATTGTGGATAAATGCCAAAGATAAGTTTTTCTTGCTTTCAATGAATGTAATTACGTTTGGTGTATTTGACAACCAGCAAGGTCAGCAATTTTTGTGCTTCGCGTAATTCTTGCCTGCGAAACATTTTATGGTGAGATAAGATACGAGATAACAAGTGCAGACAGTCTCATCAACATTATTCTCATCAACATTTTCACCAACATTCTTATCAACTTTATAACTACCCCACGGACAGCCACAGTAAACAAATCATGTTCCTGCCGCTAGCGCTCGTGTCGTTCCTTTTACTTCTTTTCAAAAGCCCTGTCCAGCAGAGTCAGCAGAAACGGCCTCTTGTGTTTAGCGATATCAATTTCCTCCATACCACGGATACCCATGGATGGTACTCGGGACACATAAACCAGAAAACGTACGATGCGGACTGGGGCGATTTCGTTCTGTTTGCAAGTCACATGAAAGAAAAGGCTGCCGAACAGGGCCAGGATCTTTTGTTGGTGGATAGTGGCGACCGCCATGATGGAAATGGCTTATCGGACATAACTGTGCCCAATGGAGAAAAATCGTTACCCATTTTCATGCAACAGCACTACGACATCATTACCTTGGGCAACCACGAGCTCTATTTGGCCGAGAATTCTGCCCAAGAAGTGGATTTACTCATTCCCCACTATAAGGAGAAGTACATCTGCTCTAATGTAGAGTTCGAAAAGAACGGCACCTGGCACCCGTTTGGAACAAAGTACAGGTACTTTCTGACACCAATTCAAGGAGCACGGGTGCTTTCGTTTGCATTTTTGTTTGATTTCAACAGGAACAATGTCAAAACAAAAGTCACTCCCATCGTCGATGCCATTGAGCAAGATTGGTTTCAGGAGGTTTTGGATATGTATCCCCCAGAATCAGTAGACTTGCTTTTGATAGTGGGCCATCTTCCAATCACCAGAAAATGGAGTGAAGTAGGTGTACTCCACGCTAAGTTGAGAACTTATTACCCTGACACCAAAATTCAGTATTTTGGTGGTCACAGCCACATCAGAGATTTTGTTGTGTACGATGAGAAGCTGACAGGACTCCAGAGTGGCAGGTTCTGCGAAACTGTCGGCTTTCTTAGTCTCAATTTGAGCTCATCCGATCTTGACGCCCGTGAAAGATATTTCCGTTCATACATTGACTTTAACACTGACCTGTTTGAGTTTCACTCTGGCGCAGGAGGCGATTTCGAAACAAAAAAAGGAAAGGAGGTTTCTCAATTGATTCACCAAACACGCAAGGACTTGAACTTGGACATGCGTTTGGGCGAGGTGGCACAAAATTACTACATGGACTACGTACCCATTTCGCATCCACATAGCATTTTCCGCTTACTTACGAAAAGGGTTTTACCGCTGCTCCATCCACAAGGAAACATATCCGTAAATGAAGAAAGGATCATAATAATCAATACCGGCTCAATTCGCTACGATTTATACAAGGGGAATTACACAGTGGACTCGCATTACATCGTTTCGCCGTTTCAAAATGAATGGGTGCGGATCTCTCTTCCCAAACGGCTTGCCGTCAAGATCAGCCCTCTTCTTAACAGAAACGACTACATTGCCAGTGCCGGGAGTGGGACGTTCTCGAATCTGGACTTGCGGCCTCCACATCAAAGATTCATGGAAAATAAAATATCAGCTTCGAAATTTTCAGCAGCACAAATCCCAATGATACGCCCAGGAGTTTTTGCACCGGAATCTACGGCTGGAAAACTTTCCAAGGGTTATGTGACGCATGATGACTTTGGTACTGATGGCGACGATACACGCCACCGACCAGTGATAAATTACCCGATTCCAAATGTCGTTCAGAGTATGGAATTTCAGAAGAGCAATCCCGATGCAACAGTGGACGTGGTATTCTATAGTTTTCTCCTTCCTAATATCGAGTGGGCTATGAAAGAATTGAACCACGCTATGCCTCAGGTCGATTTTTATTCAGACAAGTACTTGGGTCTTCTTCTTGATGAGTACGTGCAAAAGAATGAAGTTTAGTTAGTATCAAATGTTAGTTAATGTACGTTTAGCAGGGCAAAGAAACTAGTTGAATGCATACTTCGAGTTTGCTTAAACTAATGTACCATACAAGTCTTCGCTAAATGGCAAGTACATCTTTGTGTTAATCATTCGAGAACGACTGCTGTTATGAAATTTATGCCTATTTTCGAAATTTATACCATTTCTATCATTTTGGAATTCTACAAACTTTATCAAGAGTCTTTGTATTTAAGTATGTTAAACGCTCAGACCCTTTCGATATATAAAGCAGACATCATTCTGATAACCTGCGAACAGAAATAGCAATAATTCGTAATGGATTGCGTATTTACATAGATGTCCTTAGACGTATGTAGTTGGATTTGCTTTTAAAACATCAGCTCACTTATCTATTACTGCCGTCTCAATCCTTTCCGTGAACTGTACTACCAGTTCAATGCATTTTTTTAACATTTATATACGCACTGCACTATCGTGAGGCTTGAACGTAAGTCTATAGTTAAAGCTGTTGATACACTCAACTTCGTCATTTTGTGCCACGGTCTGATCTATGACCAAGTTGGCATTGAAGCCAAACCAGCTGCCCCAGATTGGACGAGGCTTGGCGTTAGCTGCGGCCGGCACCAAATCGCTGCTTTCGCCCAAGCGAGATCGCCCACTCTCATCAAAGCGAACTTTTCCATTGAGAATTACCGTGTACATGCCTGTTCCTGGCACCAAATGACAATCGAACGAGCTGAGCAGGTGGTTTGTCAACGGCGATGCGAGCCATTTTTTCTGAAACTCCAACCGAGCGTCATTTGCCAGCGGAATAATTGGATTTCCGTCCACGATGACTGCGGCAGAAGGTTTTATTTGCTTTCCGAATTGCGTGGCATATGCTTCCACATTGGCATATTGCGGCTGGGCGAACCCAGAGGAGTAGTACAGTAGGTCCAAGGAGGCCAAGAACTTCTTCAAAAACACTTCCACTGGTTGCGCTGGAATGTTAGGATGTCTTTTCTTTGTATCATCTATAGCTTTACATACTCGGATCCTGTTGCTGGGTATTCATTGAGGCACTGAAGCAGAGCGAAGAGAAAACGCACATATAAAAGTTGCACACGTGACACGTCACGTGAAAGAGGACCCCACACTATGGCTCATGTTCTGATTTCGAGATTTGGAATTTCGTTGGAAGTGATATTTTTATCAGCGCTTTAGATTGCCACGTGGTGTTCTCAAAAGGAAGGAGGCGTCCGAACGGGGCCCCAAGTTTCATGTGCTCCTATCCCCAGCAACCGAAGAAACCTATTTGCAGGGCACACAACCAACAGCAAGTGACGGATATATATAAATATGTCACATCAAGCCCAGGGGGGCACTTTACGAAAAGCAAACATGGCTGGAGACAAACTCGAAACTGCGAAAAATATTGGTGTGTCTGTTGCTGGATCTATGGGAGGCAATAAGGTTGCAGATGCCCTTCACTTAGGAACTGCGGGCCATATTGCTGGAGGCGTTGCTGGAAGTATGGCCGCCAACGATGCCGAACAGAAGGCCGAAAACAAGGCAGGCAAGTAGGAGCAGCAACATTTGTTTTAGTTTTATAGGAAAATACTACTCCATTAGAGAAGCACATGTAAAGGCAATGACCAAGACGAGATTTCTACTTCGAAACGTGGGGGCTTGGAAGTGAGAAGTGCACGGCTGAAACGGATGCCTTTAAATTTCATTCTATAATTGGCAGGCGCTTTACAACAATCAGGCTGGCCACTGTAATTTTCTATCAACACAATGTGACACTCAAATATAGATGTGGTACAGTGCATGTGTGCTCTGCACAAATCTGCAAGTTTCGTACCCCAAACTGTTCCCATTCATGTATATCGCACGCTTAAGCACTTCCACACATGAAGGGACAGGGCAAGCCAGCGCAAGAAGATTGCCGAATCGTACACGCGCGCCGAATCAGGCAACGGCCCGCCAGCAGCATGCACACAAACGCGCACATGTGGAATTCTGCCGCTCGCGCGTGGCGCACCCGTGGCTGGATCGTGCCCAATCCGGATGCAAAAGTGCTGAATCTGGCCGCATTCATGTGTCTGCTCCTTTGATCCACCTTGATCCGCCCTGATCTGATATCAGCTACCAGCAATTTTAGCATTGATGCAGCCGTAGTCTCTTGATCTGCCCTCTCCATTTAAGGCCCTTTCCCTGCCCTCTTTTTCTTCCCCTCAACCAACCTTCTTTCTTTCGTTAGCATTTTCTGTTTGATTTTCCCATTAGGGCCACAACTTGTTCTAGGCCCCATCACTTTCCCAAGGACCTTGTCTCTCTAATCTTAGTCATTCGCTTTTGATATCGACAGCTGTCAAAAATCTCGTTCATTTCTTCACCACCAGCATCACCACGACAAGATCACCTGTACTTGTCACATTTGTCCTCAGCCCAAGTCGAATCTCCCAGCACTAATTGATCAAATACCGGAGTCTTCACTTGCTTGTTCCACGTCACCAAGCATAACCCATTATCATAATCCAATTCCTTGCACGCCAGCATCAGCATTATTTTGCACCCATTGCCCTAGTATTATGAGTGTTGCACAACCAGTTATGTACGGAGACCAGCTCAATTCTTTTACCAGGGGAAGCCACCATAGAGATTCGTCTTTCAATGATTTGCTTTCCTCTTTCAAAGCCCGAGTGTCTGCTCAAAACTTTTCTTCAAGAAGCTCCAGTTCCACACCCAACAATTCTGCATCCGCATACGTCAAAAAACGTTCTTACAGTGACCAGGCCAGCGACACACACCACCTGCAGCAGCCTGAACTTCACAAAGCTAAGAGATCCCGGACTGCTCCTCCTTCGCCTCCAACATTCCTGGGCCATCTGCCATTGAGCAATTGGCCTGACGCGAAGCCATGCCAGCAAGCGCACCTCAAAATCACTTTGCCCAGTCTCAGCGATGCTTTGAAAGCCTCGTCTGCAAAGCCACTCAGGCCAATCATTCCGACCGTCTCACTTGACTATTTTGACACGTATAAGCCCAACGATGAGAATTGGCGTTATGGCTTGTTGGACACTATCAAACACACCAGACCTTCATTCAATTTAGACAAGTACAGCTACTTGAACAAGCACGTTTCGCCGCAGATCCCCTCATTCGACGAATTGAGTAAAGGCCTGCGGCCCCATTTTGATGCCCGAGTCAGCCCAAAAGCGTTGCCCGAGCTGCGCGAGCGCAAGATCAATTTCCCTTATGAGTCCAACTACACCTACCTTAATAAGACATATATGACTGACGTGGAAAGATACTCGGAGTACTTAGAGCTTGCGCATTCTCTAGTCAAACTTTCCAAACCACAGCACTCAACTCCTGAACAAAAGTACTCCGCTTTGCATCCTTTGGATACCTTTCCGCTTGATAAGGTGCGTCCACTCTCTGAGTTGGGCCTTACCCACAGCCAACAGAGCGCTCCATTGCAGTACCATAACCACAACCAGAGGGCGATTAATCACATGATGCATACTGAAAGAACGACTCAAGACAGAAGCACACAGAGAACGTACGAGAGGCCACAAGAGGGAATTCAAGAGAGAAACACACATGCGCAAGAGCCGACCCAAGGCCATAAAAGTCCCCAGAGCCAGAGCAGCCCAATTCAGTATCTGCACATGGATGTCAGCAAGTCTCCATTGGGTCTGTCTCCATATTCATACATTACTCCAGAAAGCAGTTTTGAAAAAACTTCAAAGGAGAAAAAGGTTCAGCGTACGCGGTTCATCCCAATTACACCTCCATCGGTCAAAAACAAGTCGAGGTCTGACTTGATGAAGTCTCCTCCAAAACTGGCTCCTGCTGTGCCTCGTGTATGCATTTCGTGTGGCTCCGACCAGTCTCCCTGCTGGCGTCCTTCCTGGAGCTCCAAAGAGGGACAGCTTTGCAACTCTTGCGGATTGAGATACAAGAAGACCGGTGCTCGGTGCCTCAACAATGAATGCAAGAAGATTCCAGCCAAGGGAGAATGGTCTGTGATGCAAAGTAAGGGTAGAATCCAGTTTGGTGACGATACCGCATACGCTTGTCTCGACTGCGGAAGTAAAGTAGAGGTTAATAAGTAGCATATTTTCAATTCTTTAATGTCATGTTCGATAAGATCCAATATCTAAAATACCCACTTCTTAAGAATCTGGATGATGTGATTCATTCAAATCAGTGATTATTACATCGTCCAGATTGACCAATATCAATGCAGAGACATACTAAAGGACTCACGAAGAACAAAGGATCGTATATAGAGAGATTAGCCAAATTTGATACTTAGCAAAAAAAAAAATAGCACCATATTAGTTTTTGGAACATCTTTGTGTCGTTATTGGAGCAATTAAGCTTGAAAAACAATTAAATAAGTAGACACGGACCCCCTTTGAGATTGGTCATACGTGAACGTTGAGTTGCATTTCAGAAGAAAAAGTAATATAATCCATTAAAATCAAAGAAACTCGAAATTTGTGACAGGTTTTAAATTTACTGAAGACTTATTTGTACGTCAAAAGTTTGTAAAGCAGACATCTGTAACACCCTGTCTTCTCTCTTTCCATTTTTTTTGTTATGTACTCAGACCCATTATTCAACCCGATCATCGTGCTTTCGCTATCAATTTTGTATGGTATCGACTGAAGTTCAATAGTGTCGTATATAGATTTTTCCAGAAGCAGTGCTCTCAGCGAAAAAATGGGACACCATGTCAAGAGTTCGCAATAGAGTCTAAATTACCACCAACAAGTAGCATTCCACACGTGAAAAAAACATATAAAAACCCCATCTCCACCAAAGTAAACACCTCTCCTTGCCAATATGGTAACTTTAAAAACTTCTCCGATAGCGCTTAAGTAGCCAAGTTCTTATCGCCCCAGCCTGTGCTTTGATGGCAAGCCTGCACACGGCCCCGACCCATAATCTCGCACAACCCACACCTCGTTTCTTTCTTAAGCATGTCCACCATTTCGATCCACATCAAGTCCTCGGGCGACAAAAAATACGAGGTTGAGGTTGACACTTCGTCAACAATCGAAGATTTGAAAGCCATTATCGCGGCCCAGGCCGATGTTCCTCCAGAGCGCCAGAGATTGATCTACAGCGGCAAAGTATTGAAAGACCACGAAACAGTGGCTTTTTACAAGATCCAGAGCGGGCACACTGTCCACTTGGTCAAAGGTGCTGCGCCCAAGTCTGCTTCACCGCCTGCAGAGGCCAGTGCAGCTCCATCGGCTTCTTCGTCTGGCGATTCTTCTGTTCCATCGAACATTGCCACAGGAACAGGACTGTTTAATCCATTGGCTGACTTGACAGGCGCTCGTTACGCGGGGTACACACAGTTGCCTTCAGCTTCGATGTTTGGACCTGATGGAGGCATGGGCCTGTTCCTCACGCCTGATCTGGTTTCTTCTATGATACTGAGCCCCGGTTTCCAGGAGCAATTGAACGCCATGCTTCTGAACCCGCAAATGTTGGACTTTATGATCCAGCAGAACCCACAATTGCGTGCCATGGGTCCCCAGGCACGCGCTATGTTGCAGCTGCCTATGTTTCGCCAAATGATGTCGAACCCGGAAATGTTGCGCAGCATGATGAGTATGACTGGTGGTGCTGGTGGTGCTGGTGGCGCTGGTGCCTCATTTCCAGCACCAGGAGAGAATCCTACTGTTGGCGGTGCTGCTACGTCCGAGACTGGAGCTTCTGGTACTGGTTCTACTGGTTCTGGCGATTCGGGCTCTCCAGGTTCTTCTGGCGCTGCTAACCCATTTGCAGCATTGTTCCCTGGCGGTATGCCCCCAATCGACCCAGCAATGTTTGGCGGTGCTGCTGCTCCCGCTCCACAGGACAATCGTCCTCCAGAAGAGCGTTATGAGAGCCAATTGCGCCAGCTCAATGACATGGGCTTCTTCGACTTTGACCGCAACGTGGCGGCATTGAGACGTAGCGGAGGAAGCGTGCAAGGCGCAATTGAAGTTTTGTTGTCAGGAATTTGAACAAGACATGGGCAATGAACGTACACCTCGATAGCGGTGGTGAACAATTGTAGCGGTCCTCATTCCATTCAAGAGTTCAAATGAGTTCTTGATTGCAGTGGACTCTACATCCCTATGGCACGAGCTGATCGCCATGGTGTATTGCTTGTACACATGATTAATACACAGACAGATCTGTGCACGCTAAGATCTATACACAATCATCTATTGGTCGTCATAGCTAGTACATAACAACCGTTGAGCAATATCTAAACAGGTGTAGATAGGGATCATTGCATTCTCAGCTGCAATTTTTACTAAACTCGAATGAAAGCGGAGAGTTGACTTTGAATAAGTTACAAGGTTCTTGCAAACATTGTAGATTTATTACATAGCCTTATCTCATGAACTTGATTTTCACTTCCATAATGTGATATTTAGCTTGCAAATTTCATGGCCCGTGTTTATTGCCTGATATTCTTCATGCCCGGAGACAGTAAGAAATCATTTGACCGCAAGATCAACTTATTGAATACACTCTGAGTTTAATCCTGTGACATCAATCATTATGGTGGTCATGTTACCTTCGAGAAGAAAAGATATGTAACAAGATGATGATGCACTCTTTATAAGAAGCATGAGCCATGGTCACTTTCAACGTTGAACTTATAACATGTAGATCAGCCTACTTTGAATTCGCCACACGAGTAAATTGGGAAGCTAAAGCGCTAAAAATGTTTGGGGTGAATACCATCCATAGTTAGGTTTTTCGTCATTTTAACTTCCCATGGTTTCGCACCACATACATAACAGAGAATTTCTCATTTACTTAGATGTGCAGCATAAAAAGATTTAGATTCATCTTGCATAAACGTTGACGTTATGCGTTACTTATTGAGCTCGCAATGGAGCTAAAAAAGCTCTTGGACCAACCTGGTTATACACCCGTACATCCCGCACATCAACAGAAGCACACAAACTACCGAACTAACAAACGTTCTTCTGTTCGCCAGTATAAAGCCCAGCTAACAAGAAAAACCTTAGCTTCTTGCGAGCCATGGAAAGTGATAAGCCAAATATTGCTCATCGTACGCGCAATGCGTCGCGCAAAGATACGGTGGAAAAACCAGCGCCTAAGCCAGAAAAGCGTCGGCGAAAACCAGACTACATTCCTCCCCTTTCTCGTCGTTTGGGTCCATATACCAACCTCGTCAAGCCTCCTGTGTCGTCGCTCGAGGTTTCAGGTCCTATTGATCTTGCTTTCAAGAAAATCACAGGGCTTCTTGTGAAGAATACAGCTCCTGATTTCAGCAGCGAGTTTCTTTGTGGCGTTTCCAACTTGGCATCAGAGTATATGTGTCACCTTTTCACACTGCTCCACGAGCTCACAGAAGTGCAGCGACATCTGCGGCCTGGTGTCGCCGATCTCCAAATGTGTTTAGACCAACACTACTTGACTCCCACTGATCTTTACCACCAATACGAACGAACGCTACAGTTTCCCAAAGAGTTGCGCCCAACGATTGCCATGCTCAAAGCACAAGTGGAAAAGCTGCAGAGCGAATTCTATGCTGAAAATTACACCCTAGACAAAGATGACCCATCACTTGTGTTCCATGCCAATGAACAGTATGAGATTGCTGCCCTTGTCCCAAGACAATCGAAAAAAAGGAACTATATCCCCGATTATTTGCCAGACTTGCCTCCCGATTATACTTATCAAGATACAGGCCATTATATGAGCACACTTACAGACCTTAAGCAAATCAAACTTAAGTTGGTGGAAGAGTCGCGGCTTAACGAGGCGTCACTTTACAAGTTGATTGATAACGAGAATCCATTGCGTGATATTGATAAAGACATCCTGATGCTGAGCTATTCCGACCTTGAATCTGACGATGATGGAATCATGAGTGATGTCGGAGCACGGAGCATTTCCGACGTCGAGTCACCTGCAGAAGTGACAGATAAATCAGAACAAAGGCCAGAAGAAAAATTAGATGAAAGATCGCAAGAAAAGAAAGAAGAAAAGGCAGAAAATATTTTGGAAAAGATGGCCGAAGATAGCGAAGAAAACATCGAAGCTAAGCAAGACGAACCACAAGAAGCTTCATCCCTTGATACTCCTCAACCCATTGTTCATAAGGACAAGAAATTTGACTTTGTGGGCTATGCACAGAAATGTCGACTTGCAACTGAAAGAAAAGCAAAGGAACTCGAACTTCGGCGTCAAAAACGACAGAAAGATATTTTTCTTAGAGCTGAAAAACTGTTTTCGTGTTATGCCGAAGGACCGCCATCTCTTAGTGAGCGAGAGTATTTTAAGAAGGTGCTTGACGGAGGATTCAAGAAGGTGATTCGGGCTACACGCATTGCAGAGCGGAAGAAAAAGGAAAAGATTGCCGAACTTCTTGCACGCAAGGCCCAGGCAGAGCAGGAGCTCGAAAAAGACAATGCGTTCGAGTTTGGTTTTGCTTTCAATCATGCATCTAATCTTTCAGACAGCGAAGAAGAAGACATGCCAATTGAATTTGACTTTGGCGACGAGAAGGATGAGGTTATTTCTGAGAAACCATCACCTGGACAATTGGCAGGCAAGGCGCCGCCAAATAATATAAGCGATAATAATGTCCAAGATGATGGAGAACGCGGTGATATACAAGAAACTGCAGAATCGAACCACACGGATGATGTGGACGATATGAGCAAAAAGATGAACGACGAGCTAGACTCTGTGCTTAATGCAGCTGAAGAATCTACGGCTGGAGTGCATCTGGATTGGCAGATGGCACTTGGAGCAGATGCAGATTCGGACGAAGACGAGTTAGAAGACTTATAAATAATGAATGACGACTAAGCACGCGGTAGTAAGAATGTAACGAAAGAGAGTAAATAGTAAAAGATTGAGAGGCAAGTGAGATTTTCCACCCAAGGAATTCATTGAACAGTATCACTATCACGTACTAACCAGAATTTACACCCGTACACCTCAGCATTTTCGTACGTAAACACAACCGTTTCTTACCCATAAAGGACTCTTTTGCTATCGGACGCCAATATTACTTGAAAAAGCCGTTTCGTCAGTGAAAATTACTAGCACAGCAAAGCTCCCTTCATAGTTTCCTGGCAACCGGCATTTTTCACCTTTGGCCTTCGCCCCTTTCCAAACTTTTCTCTATCCGCTTAACTATGACCGTGATATATCTACCCCCATCGGCACCTTTCCCCGTCACGGTAACCGCCGTATTATGTCGTGTCGGTGACACAATTCAGCGACACGCCCCTGTCATAAAATACAAGTACTGGGATTATCAGGATGACCCAAATTCTAAGGACGACCCACCGCCAAAAATACGCGTGGAGAGAATAGGAACATTCGAGTCCCCCATTGAGGGAGAAGTTACTGAATTATCCATCGCCGTAAATGATGAGGTTGCCCATTGTGAAGTGGAACTATGCCAAATCGAGGAGCCCTGCTCACACACTGTTCAATATGGTGGGCTCTGTGCACTTTGCGGAAAAGCGGTAGAAGACGAGAAAGACTACACGGGCTACAATTACGAAGACAGGGCAACAATTGCCATGTCGCACGATAACACAGGTCTTCGGATCTCGTTGGACGAGGCAACGAAGATCGAACAAAGCTCCACTGAACGTTTGGCTGCTGACAAGAAACTTATCTTGGTTGTGGATTTGGACCAGACAGTCATCCATGCGACTGTCGACCCTACGGTAGGCGAGTGGCAGCGAGACCCACAAAATCCAAACTATCCGTTTGTTAAAGACGTGCAACTTTTCAGCCTTGAAGAGGAACCCATAGTTCCACCAGGTTGGGTTGGCCCGCGTCCACCGCCAACAAAATGCTGGTATTACGTCAAGTTGAGACCTGGACTCAAGGAATTTTTGGCCGAAGTGTCGAAACTTTACGAGCTCCATATCTATACCATGGCTACTCGAAATTATGCACTTGCCATTGCCTCCATAATAGATCCAGATGGAAAATACTTTGGCGATCGCATTTTGAGTAGAGATGAAAGCGGGCTGCTCACACACAAAAATTTAAGGCGTCTCTTCCCCGTCGACCAGTCCATGGTAGTTATCATTGATGACAGAGGTGACGTGTGGCAATGGGAAGCGAATTTGATTAAGGTGGTGCCATATGATTTTTTCGTTGGTATTGGAGATATCAATCTGAGTTTCCTACCCAAGAAAAATGGCCAGCTTGTGGGCCCGACGAAAAAACGTAAAACGATTGCAAGATTGGAAGCTATGGAAGAAGCCGAAGAATCGGAGAACGAGTTACGAGAAGAGTCTGCTACCCCTGATAGAGCTGATTCTGAACGAAGCGACGATGCTCCTGAGTCTGATGCTCCAGATTCAGATTCTGAGGGCTCGTCTCCAGTGGAAAGAATTCTTGAAATGGGAGGCGGCGAAAACAACCACGAACTTTTAATTGAGCAACGGATTACTCGAAGTCAATCGATAGAGCAGCAGCAACACGAAAGACCATTGGCCAAGCTCCAGCATAATTTGGACAAAATCATTCATGACCATGAAACTCCAGCCCCTGAATCTGATGGGAAGGAAGAAGAAGAAGATAACCTTTTATATGATGACGATAGCGAGCTCTCCACTTTACAAACAGCATTGGAAAAAATTCATCAAGAGTACTACAAGCTCTACGCGAAATACAAGCTGAACCCTGGCCTTCCTCGACCAGACTTGGCCACTATCATTCCACGTTTGAAATCGCCGTGTCTTTCTGGTGTTGTTGTTTTATTTTCAGGAATTCTCCCTTTAGGAATGAATATCGATAATGCTGATATTGTGATCTGGTGCCGTCAATTCGGAGTGAAAGTGGTGAATGAGGTTTATCCCGACGTGACGCATGTTGTTTGTCGAGATCCCGAGTCCTCGCTCATGAAACCGGGACTCACACTCAAAGTACGTGTGGCCAAGAAAGTTCTTCCTGACTGCAAAATCGTGAACCCTGATTGGCTTTTTGCTTGTTTGAGCCTGTGGGGAAAAGTTGATGAAAAGGAGTATTTGATCAATGTTCCACTGCAAGACTGGTATGTTTCGGAGCTGGACTTGGAAAAGTACATGAATTCACTTGAGACACTGAAACGGTCAGAGCAAACCCCTGCATTGGAGATGTCTAGCCGCGGGCGCGAGGGTTCACTTTCGTCGATCGAGGAGTATGATTTCAACACCGCTAGTGCAGAAGTGGACGATTTCTTGGCAGGAATCAGTGATGATGACGACGATGATGACGAAGGAAATGATGATGACGATGACGAAGCAGACATGAACGGAGATGCAGAGCTAGAGGGGGAGAAAGCGCCTTCGGGAGGCAAAAGTACATTTCTACAGAGCCTTTATGCTGCTCCATCGCGCAAAAGAAAAACGCTTGATGATGATAGCGATGAGGAGATTGAGAGCAAGAAAAAGCCAAAAGAAGACAACTTTGATGAGCTCGAACAGGAGCTCTTAGACGAATTGAATGAGCTTGAGGAGTAGAAAACTAGGCTGGTGGGGCTAGTCGTTTCCATGTGCTACAACCAAATCATCCGTGTGCAGTATTAGGTTGTGCTTTGTCTTATTTATCTGTTCCAGATCGTTTTTCAATCATGTATGTGCTATTTTTCTCCTAAAACTAGCGTACCATACGCCACAGGGCCAAGAGGAGAGTGTAACTACGCCGGAAATAACGGAGCATTGCGTGGCTAATCGGTCATTCTCAGATCCAAAAATAACACGCTCAGCCGCGTAGCCAGCATGTGTAAACTATACAGGAGTGCTTACTCTGTGTAGAAGAGCCAGCAATAAAAGCTTTGCCAATTCACAATTATAGTTATCTGTCCAGCCATGTTTTTCCGCCTGGTGTCCCTTCTATTGACGTTAGCCGTAGCCGTTCTTTCGGCATGGTCGCTAGTGGGCTCCTACAAGAACAAAAGTTATCTTACAGACAATTATTTGATTACCGTACAGCTTTCCAACGTCAATGTCTCTGCGCTCATCTCGGAAGCCAATGCGAAGAGGGATCTTGTAGAAGATTTTGATCTTTCGTCGAGACAGATTCCCAAAGCGGACAGAAGCCTTCCCTTAGATCAGAGAGACCTCGAGTCCGTCACTGCCGAATTAGGCAATCTTTTTGGATCAGCAACTGCAGACGTGGCTTCCCTTGTGGCACAAGCTACTAACTCCGGATCCGTGCCTACCAATGTGGCTTCGCTCGTCAACCAGGCTACAAAATCCGGATCTATACCTACCGGCGACATTTTGTCCCAGATACAGAGTATAGTATCGACTGCGTCGATTCCAGACTCTGTGGCTACACTTGCAGCGGGTTTAGCAGGCGCAGACTCAATCTCTGCGCTTGTGAAAAACTTGAATGCACTGGACCTTGGTCTTGCCGACATGTACTCCATCGGATATTGGGGCTATTGTCGCGGCACCATTGAGGGCAAAAATAAATTTGTTGGTGACTTGGGAAAGGCAGGGAAGCCATTCAGCAATAAAAACGTTGACTACAATTATTGCTCACCACCTAAGGCTGGGTATAAGTTTGATCCGCTTGGATTGTTGCGCCGTGAAATTGTTAACCACATCAAAGACGAGGCAGATGGGGTTCTGTCTGCTCTAGCTCCGATCACGGATGCTTTGTCTGCTCAGCTTCTCGCAATCGCCGGCTCCATCACGTACGAGGATTTAGGATTTCCTGGTGACTTGAAGAAGAACCTTGATTTGTTACACCGCGTCACAGTGGCATCATTTGCGTTGATATTGGTGGGGACCATTTTAGCAGTCATATCCTTTGTTTTCCAGCTCACGGGGCTCTGTTGCTCTCCAAAGAATATGTGCCTCTCGGTCATGAACTATGCCTTCATGATCTTGATGTTTATAGTGGTCCTAGTGGGCTCAGCCTTGAGCACTGGCGGTTATATTTATGCTCGGAAGGAAGTGAACGACAATATTGATCAGTTCGGGGCCAAGTCTTTTCTTTCGGTGCAATACTATGCGCTCCTGTGGTCTGCCGTGGCGGCAGGCTTACTTTTGGTGATTTTCATGACCTTGGGGTACTGTTGTGGCTGTTTCCACTCGAGCCCACGCTATAACCGTGTGAATCCCGAACCTCAGATGCTCTATGATCACAAGCCATATGGCCAGTAAGGATTATGGTCACTGCGGGTCAGTGAGACATTTTGGGATTAGCATAGAGATTACTCAATATATATTCCGCTGGTATACAGTCAGCGTTCAGAATTTGGATTGTCATAGCAATACACAGACTCTCTGGGTCCATATTCATTAAACTCTATCATCTTATACTTAAAGATAAGGCATGCACTCTGACTGATGTTACTGTGAGTGACGTTGCACTCTTATATGGTGTAATGAGTTGCATCTCAGCAGAACCACGGTGTGATACAGAAGGAAGTTATTCTAGAAAGCAGAGAAAAGTAATCCAGCGACATAAGAAAGCAAATATATATGGCCTTTCCCACCAAAGTTTCGTGATTGTCTATATTCTAAAGACGCCAAATGGCCTGTTGGACGAAAATTCATGATGGGAAAGTTGTGAATGCTTTGTAATATATGAGCGACATGATATTTTTAGAAAGAGGCTAAGGAGGTAGTACAGAAGAATCTATGGCCATGTAGATAGTACTGTACTATGCCGATGGTGCTACTATAGATACTACACAGTCGCGCATCTCAAAGTTTCTATCCATGCTCTGTTCACTTTCGGGCGAAACGCCAAAAGAACCTGTGGTTTCGCCAAAAAGTGGGGCGATCTTCGAGCGTCGCCTCATCGAGTCTTACTTAGCTTCTACAGGGAAAGATCCTGTGTCGGATGAGCCACTATCGGTGCAAGAGTTGGTGCCGATAAAAACTCAAGTTCCAGAAGTCACGCCGCCTCGCCCACCGACTTTCAATTCCATTCCAACAATGTTGGCAGCGTTCCAGAATGAGTGGGATGCGCTAGCTTTGGAAACATACACTTTGCGCAAACAGCTCCACACTGCTCGAGAGGAACTCAGTTTGGCGTTATATCAATACGACGCTGCAGTTCGCGTAGCAGCGAAAGCAATTCGGGAACGTGATGAAGCCCGCCTGGCTCTTACAGAGTTGTCGGCCGCATTCGGAGCTCAAGAAAAACAAGCAGGCGGAAGCGAGAAAATTCCGGTTCAGGCGTTGAACGCTGCTAGGGATCGTCTTTTTGCCGAACACAAGAACCAGAAAGTGACCCTTGGTGTGTCCTCATCGTCAAAAGTCCAATTCTCAGCTTCTACCGAAGACCTCGATATAGACAATGTCGCTTTCCTCTCTGCGGAACCAGTGACTCAAAGAACCATAGTGGCTTCTACAGAACAGTGTCATGTACTCCCTGACGGCAAGAAATTGTCACTTCCGGATATTTCAGAAACGTTCTTCTTATCGAAGAGCGAAGAAAAACTACCTTTCCTTGTGTCTGGCCGGTCGTTGTTAGGAATCGATTCTGGTTCAGAAAATGCCTTGGATGTATCACCAAAACAAATTGTACCTCATCCAACTGAACCTCTCTTTTGTGTTTTGACGGACAAGGGCGAGTGGGCTCTTTGTGATAGAGATAATGTGCTTTACAAGTCCGAGAATGTTCCTTCTACTGCTATAGATCTTCACGTGGATGGAGTTTTACTAGGAGTGGGAACCGCTTCCGAAGTTTTGATCTTCGACCTCACTTCTACAGAGCAGGTTGCTGCTATATCTACTAAGCACGCTCATGTCAACAAAATCCAATTTGCATTAAATGGGTATTGGCTTGTTGTAGGGTCGTCCTCGGAGGATAAGAGTGCTGTGCAAATATTTGACTTGCGTAAAAATTCTTTGGTGCATGAGATTGACTTTGATGCTGCATCAGATTTTGTCTTGGACCCATCGTGTCTGGTTTTGACCACATACTCCAATCTCCAATTAGTGGCACATTTGTATGTGAAGAAGGGTAAGAAATGGTATGATGCCGTATCGGCTTTATCCGTGCAACCTTTGCATGCCTTGACTTTGAACTCGACTGCTGCCACAGTTCAGGAAACAAACACAATAGAAATTATTGGCTTGGGAGAAAAGCACTTATGCCGCTACACTTTATCTCTCTCACAAGAATCTGTATAATAAAAGACGATGGAAGATTAAGTTACTTGATATTCCACAAGTAGTAATATAACGAAAATAGAAGACATTGTTATCGTAGTGGAAACAGGTGGCATATACCCATATAAACGGCTTGTTTGCGCTTTTCATCATATCTGTTAATGCATTTACTAACAAATGTCAACGCGAACATGGTCTCAACCAAAATAATATTCGCACTGTTACGCAATCATTACACACATTTTCATTTAGCTATCCAAATGATAAGCCAAGAGAAAATAGATACATTGGTCCGCGAATGGGCCAGTGTTGACCCTAATCCCAATTCCCGACTTGAGATTTTGTCGCTCCAGAAAGATCAAAAGTATGATGTTTTACGCAAGAAACTCTATCCTCGCATAGCTTTTGGCACTGCGGGGCTTCGTTCGTCGATGGAATCAGGTTTTGCTCATATGAATGATGTAACCATTTTACAGGCATCACAAGGTTTGGTAGAGCACATTGTGTCGCATGGAGGCTCTTCCATTGTGATTGGATATGACCATCGGCACCACTCACAAAGATTCGCCGAAATCACCGCTAGTGTAGCGCTTTTGCGGGGACTTCGGGTTTTTTACTTGGGCTCTGCTTCCAACTTGTCTGATGAAAGCTTAGGAAGCTCGGATGCGGGAAAATCAGGGAAAGTAGATCGTCTGTACGTTCATACACCGATGGTTCCATTTGGAATTAACTTCTACAAGGCATCGGCGGGAGTGATGGTTACGGCATCGCATAACCCGGCCAAAGATAACGGCTACAAGGTTTATTATGGCAACGGCTGCCAGATTATTTCACCCCAGGATAAAGAAATTGCTCAGTGCATAGATGAAAATCTTCAGCCATGGTCAGATCAAGTATGGCGAGTACAAGAGAATATTGAGGCGGGAATGAAATCTGGAAAATTGGTTTTGGTAAAGAAGGAGTTGTCTGCCCACTATGTGGAACAAGTGGCAAAGAAATTAGTACGGGAAAAGACCATTTCCTACAAATTTGTCTACACCCCGATGCATGGTGTGGGATTGGAGATATTTCGCCAAGTCTGTAATATTTTCAATGCTGAATGTGAAACCGTGCCTGAACAGGAACACCCGGATCCAGATTTCCCCACGGTACGCTTCCCCAACCCAGAAGAGGCGGGTGCGCTTGATTTAGCGATTGAACATGCAAAAAAAGTTGGCGCAAAATTGGTAGTTGCCAGTGATCCAGACGCAGACCGCTTCAGCGTTGCCGTAGAGAAAAATGGCAAATGGCGTCAGCTTACTGGGAATGAGATCGGTATTTTGTTTGCCGTGTATGTTGTGGAAGAGCTCACGCCCGAGACACAATTGGCTAAAACAGTTCTTTTGAATTCCACTGTATCTTCTCAACTTTTGCGCTCCTTGGCAGAGAAATCTGGATGCTTATTCCAAGATACCTTGACTGGATTCAAATGGATTGGAAATAAGGCCCTCGACTTGAAAGCTCAAGGGTACCTTGTTCCCTTTGGCTATGAGGAGGCGATTGGATACATGTTTCCGCTTGTAAATGATAAGGATGGCATCTCCGCCGCAGCCATGTGGCTCCAACTATATGAGAAGTGGTTTTCCTCTGGCAAAAGTGATGCGATAGACAAACTTGAGCAAATCTACGCCCGTTACGGCTATTTTAAAGAGTGCAATGGCTACTACAAAGTGGATGACGTGGAAAAGACCTCGTACATTTTTGATAAAATCATTCGGAGCTCCTATGGCACGGACAGACACTACCCCGAGTTTTTAGGCGACTTCAAAGTGGCTGAGTGGAGAGACTTGACCATTGGGTACGAATCTTCCACTAAGGACAATGTGCCTCTTTTGCCCACCGACCCCAGCTCCCAGATGATAACAGGTGTATTGGAGAAAGCCAGTTCAGGCAAAGTGCGTTTTACTTGTCGAGGCTCTGGCACAGAGCCGAAGCTCAAGGTGTATATAGAGGGCACGTCAGAAAAAAGTGAAGAAGAAGCTCAAACACTAGCAAAAGAGTGCTGGACCACCTTGCGAGAACTTTGGTTCCGTCCAAAAGACAATGGGCTTGTTGAAGTCGTATGAGAGGGCCATAAAGTCAAGTTTTATGCCACAATACAAATACTATAATGCATACACATACAATTGGCGCGTTTATATATTCCTAGCCTTGTGTGTTTTTCTACGGCGTATATTGATGCTACATTTAACATGACATGCGCAGTCAAATAGTGTATCGGCGAAACTGCGCGATAATTAGAACTAAGATAAGCCAGTACAATGTTTACCCACAAATTGCAAACTTTAAAAGCGATTTTCAAAGCATTTTAAAACACTGATTGCAATTCATTTGCTGTTATATGGATTCGGCCCGGAAATAATATAAAGGCGCCTGGGCATATTTGTCCTATTCGCATAACACGTTTCTGCGATTTCAAGTTTTTTTTTCTCTAGGCGTCGCAACTAGATGAAAAGAACACACTGCCGGAGTTTGTGTGCAGGCCGCGGTCCCTGATCGTTTCTGCCAGCTTTTTTTTTTTGGTCCACGCTTTTCTTGTTGCACGAAACTCGGCGGTTCAAACATGGCTGTGCTCAAACGAAACAAGTTGGAGTTGCCTGTGTATGTTTTTCTTTTGCAGATTGAAGGCTCTACGGTGCGGATCGGCCAAATCTGGTCCTGTGACAGAAGATCAATACCAGATCCCGCTGCGGGCTTCTCATGTACATCATTTTACTAACCTCCAGCCACAACAGCAGATTCCATCCCCGAAGACCAGGAAAAGGTCTCACACGCGCCTTGTGGGCTGCATGTGTCTTTCTACTATTTTTGTGGGTCATTTTAAGACGCTCCAACTCGCATGAAGCGTCTTTCCCAGCGACAGACGCTGTACTTCAACAAGTGGAGGCGGAAGAGAAAAGCCACCAGCTATATACAGCCACCAAAGACGGCATCACAGAAGAAAATTTGGATCTACTCTCCGAGGAGGAACGAGACAAATTGTACCGCGATACGGTGGAATTCTACGATCTCAACGAATATGACGGAGAGCCCGATGGTGAGAAAATTGGCGACGCCAAGGGCGATGTGGTTTTGTTTTTGATGCCGCTCCGGAATGCGGAGCATGTAATGCCCATGGCTTTCCAAAACATCATGAACTTAACATACGACCATCTGTTGATTGATATTGCATTCTTGGTGTCGGACTGTCTGCCAGGGGACACGACGTTGCAGACGTTGTTCGAGTATCTGATTTTGTTGCAAAACGGCACATTGGCTGACCATTTGTTAGCCGAGGAAGAACGCAAAAGAAACGCAAACGTGCGGGCCACCAGCGACTTGTACAAATTGTACATGGACCACGATTACATGGAGAACGTGCGCAAGGCATACGACCCCTCGTCCCAACACGCGGGATACAAAACTCCTTTCCGTTCTGTGTCCATCTACGTCAAGGATTTCGGCCAGGTGATTGGACAGGGCTTTAGCGACCGGCACGCAGTGAAAGTTCAGGGAATCCGACGCAAATTGATGGGCCGTGCGCGTAACTGGTTGACGGCCAGTGCTTTGAAGCCGCATCATTCGTGGGTCTACTGGAGAGACGTGGATATAGAAATGTGTCCAGGCACTGTGATTCAGGACATGATGAAGTTCAACTACGATGTGATGGTGCCCAACATTTGGCGGCCTTTACCCACATTCTTGGGCTCGGAGCAAGCGTATGATTTGAATTCATGGGTGGAGTCTGACTCTGCTTTGGACTTGGCCAAAACTTTGGACGAGGACGATGTGATTGTCGAAGGATACGCCGAGTACCCTACCTACAGAGTGCATTTGGGATACATCCGTGGCATGAGCGACAATCCGGACGAGATCTTGGACCTCGATGGTGTGGGTGGAGTATCTATCTTGGCCAAGGCAAAAATCTTTCGCCAGGGCGTTCACTTCCCGGCATTCACTTTCCGCAACCACGCTGAGACGGAGGCGTTTGGAAAAATGGCACGGGCCATGGGCTTCCGCGTGGGGGGCTTGCCCAACTACACCATCTGGCATATTTACGAGCCCAGCGAGGACGATTTGAAGAAAATTGCGGGCATGGAGCGGAAAAAGAGACGACAACGAAACTCTCGTTAGAACTTTTTTATGCATTACCAGTAGGTATTTATTAATCCACAACTAGAAAAGAGGAAAAATGTGAATACTCAGTGAAGGGCAAAGGCTGGCTAAGTAGCTGAGAAAACCTGTTTCCAGATCTCTTTGTCAAACCATTTTCGTCGGTCGCCATTTTCGTCTGTCGCAACACAGAAAATCTCATGTTTGATGTTGATGCATTAACATTGTTTCGAACTTATAATAGATGCCGTGTACTATTTTTGTTCTTCCCGCATAATATTTTGTGACGAAAATATTCACTTCATTTCATATCTGAATTACACATGCTCACAATAATTTTTCAACAATCGAAATAGGCAAAATTTCCGATCGTAAGATATGGCGTCATATCCATATTTTTAGGTAGTGAATTACGACTCGTGCAGAAATAAAAGAAAAAAAAAAAAAAAAAAACATTAATCAGTAGGAAGGCAGGTGTTTTAATCCATGTGGAGCGTAAGCACCACTCAGAGATTGTTCACATCCGTTTTGATCATCATTAATGTTGTTCGCCGAAGGAATCGAACCTCCGCATGCCGGATCGCGCATTGCGCGTCCCGACTGGGCCACAGCAAATGAAATAACAACATTTTTTTTTCTCAGCGAGTATGAGCAACCTGTAGTGAAAAATGTAAGTGATTTCATGAAGAAATGTCTGCGAAGATATGAGGTGGTTTTAGCTGCGTCTGTGATTGTGCCTGTTTGGGTTATTGTGTTTTCTTCACTGAAAGTATGTTGGTAGTTTACGTGTACTGAAGAAGACATGATTGCACAACTCACTAGGTATATTTGGTTACATTTACATATTCATGGCTTGCACAGCAATAAATAATGCCATATGTCGCAAGCTTAATTCATTAAAGTTATGGGTAGCCTCGTAATTACTCGCACCTTTTAGTACATCATGTATTAAGTGCTAGAAACCTCGGGTTACAATTATGTTATGACGGTAAGATATGCCAAAACGGTGTACATCAAAGCAACCGGATACATGGCCAAAAATACTCTTCCAGGCAATACTCCCAGACAACGTAGGCTCATTCCTGCGGCATAAATGCTCCAAGTTGTGAGAAAACACATAATGAGCAAACGCAACCATCTCCATTTGATTGCTAAAGTGTTCACCACGGCACCAACCACGACAGGAAACATGGAATATCCTGATGCACTGATGGCAGACAAGAAGGAGATTGTACCCCCTAAAAGTTGGATGTTCAAGCCACCAATTAAGTAAAACACCCAGATGAAAGAAAACGTTCCCGAGAAGACCATATTGGTCTGAGAGTTGGGTGCAGCGAACCCCAAAGTGACCGAATAAGCCAAGGAGAAAATCAAAGGGCCCCAAAGATCCCAGTCTAGAGCAGGAACCATGGCCAGGCTGTTTTCCTCTTCGTCATCTTCTGGAACAGCCCTAGAAGCGTTTATAATGGAGGCTGGTAAACGAATGCCGTTACTGGACGCCAAGTCAATGAGACCAGCTTGATGCTTTTGTGCAAGTTGTTTAAGTTGCGCAGGCCAAATTACAATGGCTAGCCGCTTGCTAATCTGAAGCAAGTCTCGTTTCAATGTATGCCACACGGGTTCATCCAAAGTATCTCCACCCGAGTATTGACGCTCGCTAACTTTGTTCGAGTCGGGAAGCGCAGGTGTGATGAATGGGGTAAAGGCAGTGGATAAGTCCACCTTTGGAGTCCATGAAAAGCCACTCTGGCTATTCGTGGGCTGTGGCTGGTTTGTCACTCCTCGAGGAACATTAGATGTTTGATTTGGGTTAGGAATGTCCTCGTCTGGAATTATAAATTCGTCTGCTGAAGGACCAGACTGCCAGTTATCCATTGTAAAAGTGGGTGTGTTCTAATCTGACAGATCCGTGAGACTGGTATTCTAAGCATAGAAATGCGTCCCGATAAAGCACATGTGTGCAGTACCATTTTTATGCATACCAGTTGCAAGTGCTATAGTTGTATGTAATTACGTCTATTTGAGAAGATAATAAAAAGTTCCATGCAATAGATGCAGATGGACAGGGAAGATTGTGGTTATGGAACGGAAACTTCAACTGACTTCGGCAAAAACCTCGTCTTTGTTGTCCTGTGGAGTCAACTCCTTGATCACACGAGCGGGCGAGCCAACGACAACAGTATTGGCCGGAACATTCTTAGTAACCACACTTCCAGCTCCAATGACAGCGCCGTCGCCAATCTGTACGCCTGGCAAAACCACAACGTTGCATCCTAACCACACGTTATTGCCTATGGTGATTGGATACGCATATTCGACGCCGCTGGCTCTTTGCAGAGGGTCTGTAGGGTGAGTAGCAGTGGTGAAGGTGCAATTGGGTCCGACCAAGACATTGTCTCCTATGGTGATCAATGTGCAGTCCAAAAACACCAAATTGAAGTTGCCGTAGAAACCTTTGCCTATGCTGATGTTGCAGCCATAATCGACATAAAATGGGGGTTCCAAAACAATGTCGGGTTGGCAGCGGCCAAAAATGGTGGATAAGAAGTCAAAGCGGGCCTTTTGGTGCTTTTCAAAACTGAAGTCATAGTCCTTCATACGAATCTGGTGATAGTCCGCGACAATTTCGTGAGCCAAGTTCCGCTTGAGCCAGAGCTCCTTGTTAAAGCAATCATAAGGAACCCCCAGAATCATTTTTTCATATTCCTCTCCTTTGGGGAGATTGCTGAGATGTTTGTATGCATACTCAACGAGTTCTTTGTTGATTTTCTTTGCGTCAGTCATGGAATGGAGAAAAAGAAGGAATATCTGGGGTATTTTTAATATTTCGCGCTCTCCACATGTGGTGGAACCATGGCCAAATTTTGAATGACCAAAAGAGGCAATACATCCGAAATTATTAAGAAACAAGAAAAAAAATCTTTACGCGAAGCAATATATGTCGAGAGCTATTTTAAGTTAAGAAAATGTAGATGCCAAATAATGTAGAAAGGGGAGAATATGCAAAAGGCTAAAAAACTAGAGCAACAAACTCTGCTACGTGAAACCAAGCAGCTTTGCAACTTTACGAAATGGACGGATCATTGTTGCTCCAAACGAATTTTAGGTCGATTTATTCTCGAAATTTTTCGCTTTTACATTTTGTAACTAGTTGATATATTGTGGAGAAAAATACCAATATGTCTCGCATCACATCTATAATTCAGCCTAACCTCTAATGACCTTTCTTGAAAACCTTTGTTCCTCATTAAAAATGTTGCAAATTCTACAAATTTTCTAGTTAACATTTCATTTTTATAAATCATAGAGCATTCAAGTAGCTACTAGCTCGTTCATGGGTCATTCGAAAACACATCCCATGGGGTGTCATTCACTCTTTGAGAACCTTCCTTCTTGCTCAAATTGTTCAAAGCCTCAAAGTCTTCATCAGCCAATGTGAAAGTCTTCAAGTTAGAGATGATTCTCTCTTCGTGCACAGATTTGGGCAATACCACAGTTCCTCTTTGTACCGCCCAACTGATAAGAACCTGGGCTGGATCCACGCCATATTTCTCAGCCACCGATGTTATGAGCGAATTTTTAAACAATGGTGAGTCGCCACTACTGTGTCCCAAGGGCGAGTAAGCTTCAATCAAGATGTTTTCCTTCTTCGCGTAGTTGAACAATTCGGGTTGGGTCAACAATGGGTGTGCTTCAATCTGAAGAGCAGCTGGCTTAATGGTGACTTCTGGGTCAGACAACAACTTTTCAATACGCTCCTTTGTGAAGTTGCTAATGCCAATGGCCTTTGCCTTGCCGGATTTGGCCAACTCTTGCATCTTCTTGTAAGTTTCAATGTAGTCATAGTCCTTCTCCTCACTCTTTCTACCATCCGAGTTGCTGACTGGCCAATGCATCAAGTACAAGTCGAGGTACTCCAATCCCAAGTCCTTCAAAAGATTTTTCAAAGGCTGCACTTGGATTCTTGTGGTCATCGTTCCACAACTTGGATGTGACGAAGATTTCTTCTCTGGGGACTCCCGAGTCCTTGATTGCTTGGCCAACCTCTTTCTCGTTTCCATAGGCTGCTGCCGTGTCAATGTGTCTGTAGCCGTTCTCCAATGCCGCTTTCACGGACTTGTAGGCATCTCCGCCTTTCGACTCCCAGGTTCCAAGAGCCACTGCAGGAATTTTGTTTCCGTTGCCCAAAGTAAATACGTCGGTGTTTGTTTTCACAGCTGCCATTTTGTTTGTTGAGGTTCACAGAGAGGAGAAATCACACTCAATATATAGTACTGAGGTCTATTGTTGCTTGCTACGTTTGGTTGCTTCTTATTTGCACCCAGTGCGCATCGGAGTTCTTCGGCTCATGATCCACGGAATAAAGCAAGCAAGTGAAACTCTCGGAAGATTCTTGAAGAAATGGAATGTTCTTGAAGATGTGGAATATTTTTAATTGGTTAAAAGTTGGGACTACAACCGATTTCAAGGCAAGCAAGGATCAGTTGGCTGACCTCATATAGGTTAAGCACAGTACTTGGAAACACAAGTATGGTGGACTTTCAAGATGTAATTTCTCTAATAACCATGGATTTCAAGGAAGCCAACATTACCACACTAAAAACCACGCTAGGAAGTGCTGGTTTACGAGTACTTAGATTGCCCTTGAGGCATGAATACTAAAATGGTGTGGCTCGTATATATGCATGAACCAACAAGTAGTTGCTTGGTTCGTAGACAGGTTCAATTACTAGAGATCTAAACGAATATTCGAACTGCGTTGATTAGATATTCACCGACCTAAAACGCCGAGTGGAAGAATAGTCTTCGTTATCGCAACACCCTTAAATTCTCTACAATCTCTCACAATTGAGGTTGAACCTACAGATGATTCATCATCTTTTGTTTTTTGTAAAAATCAAGTAACTTTATTACGGACTGTGCGTCCATCTCCTAAGTAATTGCGATAATTATCGATCCGATTCCTTAGTTGCGGCCCTTTTTCCGGAGCCCGAAAAAACCCTTTTTCGAAGTACGGCTCAGGCCCAGTGTCAAGCTTGTGCTCAGCTCCGTACGCGAAAGCCCAACAGACCTCGACATCTCCATGTCTGCTGACTGCTTTGTACGAGTGAATTTGCGCAAAAGACCAGGCCGCGATGAATCACCCTGGAGCAGAAGCACATCGTCGTCTGGTCTCTTCTTCAGCTGCGCTCTTTCACGCTTGGCCAACTTCTGCTTGATTTTCTCGTCGAGCTTGATCATCTGCGCTATCCGGCGATCCACATCCTTGTTACTTTCCACCTCTGATTTCTTGTGCGGTGTAAGTTTGAACGCCAGCGGACTGCGGCTGATTTCAGGCTGCGACGCACTCCGTGCCTCCACAGATCCTGAACGAACCGAACCTAGCCCACCCAGCGTCTGCAGCATCGCCCTAGGTGGATCGATTGGAGTACTAGGCCCAGAAAGCACAATGGTCGATGCTACTGAAAGTCGTGGTGTGGCGTGGCCTTCAGGAGAAGAGGCCTGCTCCAGGGTGTTTGCCAGAGGAGTTTCTTGCTGTTTGAATTCTTCCTCCGTACGTTCAAGCGCTTGCTGCATGAAACGAGTATTTAAGGCACGTAACATCAACTTCATATCCAGACAAAGCGATGCAGACTCGTATATCATGTCAATGACCAGACTGCTGGGAGCTGGCGCGCTAGCAGAAACCAACTGCTCAATAGTAGTGTAAGCCGAACCTTCCTTGTCGTCATCATCGTAGTAATCGGAAAGAGGAGCAGAGTTCACACGGTCGAATACAGAGCGCACTCTTGGGCCAGAGCGGCGTTCACGGAATTCCGAGAGTGGTGTCAGAAAGCCCCATTCATTATCGCTGTTAAGCGGGCTCTCTTTATGGAGAGGGCTGTCAGGGCTAGCAGGATCTGCCTTCACAGCAGCGTCCTTGTTGCTTGCGTCCGTGGCAGGCTTCTCAGACTCGGGTTTTCCAAACTCATGGCTTTCCTCTGCGCAATCATCCACGCGTTTCTCCGAGTTCACTTTTCTTTCGTCGTCATCAGACCGTACATAAAGACTAGATGACTTACGAAGAAGCGCGATGTCCAAATATCCATCATCCACGGTATTCATCAAACCTTCGTACGCATCCATTGGGAAGCTGGTTCTTTCTGGGACAACACCTTGTTTTGCCAACTCCGTATACCTTTCCTTGAATCGGCGGCCCTGCCGCACGAGATGTGCTTCTTTACGACCAATGATGCCGTAGAGCACTTCGCAGAGTAGATCGTAAAGGTGGGGAATTTCAAAGAAGCGGGCCATAAGCAAACAGTCGAGCGCACATGGATGAAGTGCCCATCGATTACCAACCTGACCCGTGTATAAGTACTCAGCAAACGCTTTAAGCGACTCGGTACCAAATGGAACATACATTTTCCGAGGTATCAACGACGGTTCCATCTGAAACGTGGCCGGATCAATGTGTTCGAAGTTGAGCAAAGCATGTGTGGTTTTCAGCGATCCTGGAGGGTTGGTATTTCCATATGGATCATTATCATTCTGCAGATCCATACTATTTTGCTTGTCGGTACTCTTTTGTGGGCTCAACTTCTCCTGGGCAGGATGCGTCTGAGTGTCATCCTTGGGCAACAGTTCTCCGTTTGGATCCAATGGGTCGCTCTGTCGCCGTGTAAGAGGCTCAGGAAATGAATGTGGTTCGTGAGACATCAGACCACGCGGTGAAGCGAACGGCGAAGCACGCGGCGACTTGTTAGCATTCGAAGGTATGTTGCGAAGAGCTGTCAATGTGTGTATCAAAGAAGTCCGTGGTGAGTGAGCATCAGAAGAGTTTTTCCTAGACGACGTACGGTATGACGCAGGCGTGGCCGGAACTGGCGGAGTAGGTTCATTGGGCACAGGTAGCTGTGGTGGGATATCCAGGAAGTGCGAGGTCAACAACGATGGTTCGGATGTGATCAGCGTCACAGAGTTCTTCCGGTGTGGGTCCACTGACACTAAAGGCACAGAGCTCTCACGGGAATGTTGTGGTGAGATAGAGCCAGAGTCTTGGAAAGGAAGCCGAAAATGCGGCGTTTCCTTTTGGGTCGGCTTGGGTATCTGCATGGTAAGGTGTGTATTCTCCGTCTTTTCGGGCAGAGTGTCGTCGGAAGCATTGCTGCCTGATTTTCCTTTGGACACGATACTGCTCGTTCCGCTGCTTTTCGACGACCGCAAACCTTGCACACTTGGGCTTCGGACCTGTTCATTCTCAAAATGGTCTATGGCCTGAACATACGCTCTCGAAAGTAAACGGATAAAATACGCTCCCCAGCGATCAACTAATATGGCTAAGCATACGGGAATACGATCACCGCTAGCAGAAATTAACTCAAAGTCCGAGATCATGTCACCATATCGATCAAAGGCGTTACGTCCTAATGTGATAGCTGCTGCCGGAAAAACGGACCGTACTTTTGTGAACTTCGCCTTTCGGTGCTGCGTAGTGGATGTAGTCCGAAAACGATAATGCGTTTTGCGGTGCCTTGCCGTCACTCTTTCGGGACATGGTAGAGAATTTGCGCCCAAGGCGAAACGCAGAAAGCTCTTCGGCATCCTGGTCACTTGACTGCAGTACAGACGAACTTGTTTCATCATCGCATGACAGACTGGTTGACAATGCTTCATCCAAAGATTCCACGACCTTATTTAGATAGACAGAATGTGTTTTTTCATTCGCTAACTCGAAGGAGGCAAGGATATTGGTGACGGGCAAGCTGACAGTAATTAAGGATGAAAAGTACCTCACACTACTAGTTGTTTTTGAAGTAGCATAATTGCCCAATAAGACCACCTTGTGATGCGACGACCAGACAAATCCACCCCAAAAGCGGTGAGTGCCATACTCATGGTTACACACCACATTCAAACGCGACCATATTCCAGTAGTTTTGTTGAATATGAAAATGGAAATGTCAAAGTCATCAGGTAGAAATCCTGTGATCACTAAGTTGTGTCCAAATAATCCGCCTGTAGGGTATCGCAACCGCAAAGGTATGGTTTGCCGCTGAATTTGAAAAGATAGCTTTTCCTCTGAGCTCTTATACTTTTGCAAATTGAGCACTTTGCCATTGCAGAAGCTAGTTCCAATTTTAAATGATAGAAGTGGGTTTAAGATCGAATCCGCCTCCGGCTCGTATACCGGCGAGTATATGAGGACAGACTCTTGTTCTTTAGAATGCGATCCTTGAGATGTTTCAGGCAGCTGTGGACTTGTACTCCTATTATGCCCCAGCGTCAGCTTTAGGCTGTGCGTGTGGTCTTTGTTATGGCGATGCAGATGGACTTCTTCCAGGAAATCCACAATGATGCTGTTAAGATAATTCACATTGACATTATGGTTCACGTCCGTAGCGCAGAACTGATCGAGACCTGTCTCGGAGTCCTTCTCCTTATCGCCCGAAGTTGCACGGAACATCAATGGAGATTCTGTTTCGAGGTAGGACTTCTCTACCAAATCGAAGATCGCATTTCCATATAACGGTTTCGAATCGCTGTCCAAACCGCCTGCAATGATAATCCCGGGATGATCTCTGCTTTTAGGACACGGGAGTCTTTCTATCATGGTCATTTTGTGGCAGAAGCGGGGGCTGGGGATGGAAAACTTATTTTGCGGGTTTGTGCCGTCGTGAAGAAGAATCCAGGAGCGTTGTTCCAAGTTGAACTCCCAGAGATCATTCATTGGCACGAGATCAGATGGAGAATCATCAGCGTCTGCAGTTTCGGAAACAGAAAGACCCCCAAATAGGTAGATACAGCCTCTACCCAGTGCCAATTCGTGAAACATGCGAGGCTTGGGTCGAGGGGCGTCAAGTGGAACATCAATTCTGGCCCATGATTTGTTGATCAAATCAAGGCAAAATAGTTCACCCGACACGCAACGGCTTAGGCTTTTCATTCTGCTACCAACAACATTTTGGGAGAACATGGCACGAATGTTTTCAATGGAGACATTGTCGGAAAGATCCAAGGGGACAGTGATTCCGCCAAAGGTGAAAACAAATGAGTTATATAGAACCGACGCAGAACCTGTTCGGACATTCAAATTGAGCCGCTCATCCTTCTCTGTTGGAGGCAACTGCAACATGTGGCAGGCGCTGGAAGCGGGCCGAAAGGTGGACATTTAGGCAGTCGGATTTTTTTTTTTTGACAAAATTAACACTGCTGAGCGTCTAGAGACATTCTATGCGCTTCGAATCCGCAATAGAGCTTTGGCCTATGTGTTAATGGAATGGGCCTAAAGATGAGATGGGTGAAAATCTGAAGAAACAAGGAACACAACTTTAGCCGAATCTTATTGGGGGCGTATATCGCACGGCAGACGGTTTTGCAATTGAATGGGTGGAAAAAGACAGCCAATACTTGGGAAATGGGCGTGATTGCTCTTGTTGGGAGGTGTGTGTTGTGTTGGAAAGAATCTTTTCTTTTGTTACAATTCAGCCTCTAGTACGATTGATAAATCAAGCATGTACTATTCCGCGCGTATATTCAGATGCAGGCCGCTTGGTCATGAGCACCCGGAATAAGTTTGGGCGCCTCGTAAGAGAGAGTTTCCAGATATTACCAATGATACGAACGGTGGAATTTAGGACAGGAGAGATAAGAGAGTATGGAGAAGCATATGGGCTTGATACACTGGACTTGCACGATATTCTTTCACTAATAAACGGTCTCTTAATTGCGGTAGTGTCGAATTCGCACTGACATGGGTCGCTTTGACCGACACTTCTATTTTTTTGGCAAATGCTAGCCGAAAAATTCCCATTCTTAATCTGAAGAGCAAGTGGGCTGTTGTGAAATTAAGCCCAAGAAAGTGTAAGTGAAACCAGACGCCCCGGGGGTTCCATGCATTCCAAGCCGAATATGGTATTAGACTATTGTACTGTACTCTCCGCGTGTCCAATAATGGAACGGGGATATTTTTTTGGTGCCACATCATTCCTGTTCATAAAGCTGCGGGTTTCAAACAAACATCTCGGGAAATCTCCGTTTCTAGTGGGGCACGCATGGAGGAAAGAAATAGGCGAAGCACAATGGACATGACATTAGAAAGAAAAAAAAATCAGAACAGTAAAGTCCAGTTTGGAATAAGGAGGAAAATTGAAATTTTTCACAGAACCTTTTATGCAACTACAGCGTATTAGAGTTGGAAGTTTGCATATACAAGTGACGTATGGAAGATCATGGGGAGAAGGAGCTTAATCTTAGTTGCTGCGACGTAAAGTAGGAAAGCATTCTATGTCAAAGCGGGGGAAATTAATCAATGTGCCTGACCTCTATCAGGCACATTGTGTAATGTGACAACATAGAGCAAAAGTATTCCTCATTCAAATGATGTGGATACGGCACAAAAACAGCCACATCATATTTTCTGGGCAAAATTTTCGTTCAGAAACGGTCCCTTGGCCCAGTTGGTTAAGGCGTGGTGCTAATAACGCCAAGATCAGCAGTTCGATCCTGCTAGGGACCACTTCTACAACGGGCGTGTGGCGTAGTTGGTAGCGCGTTCCCTTAGCATGGGAAAGGTCTCCGGTTCGACTCCGGACTCGTCCATTTTTTTGCACTTCGCGAACAATGCCATATTTTCTATGCATGAGAATTTCCGCTTGTGTGCATTCCTTTTTCCTAAAGAAGCCGAAGTGGATAACAGTGCCCTCGGAAATACGGCATATATCACTTGTACACATGACTACAATCGCCAATGTGGGCCATTTCCGAGGGTCTGCTTCCCACCCCCTCGCTTGCGATAATTGACTTGCTGGTGTGACCATAAAGTTTTCCTAGTTTGACTATAGCATTTGTGGGAGACAGCTAATTCCCAAAGACCACTCGTGAAACTTAAAACATCAATGCTGGAAACAATTTCTCCACCCAAGGGGTCCAGTCGGTTGAAGAAGTTGACTTCTTCTTCTACTTGGACGTCACCTTTCCGCTCCAACGAAGGCAGAAAGAATGTCATCGCTGAATTCAAGGACAACAATTCCGTTTCAAAATTGAGCGTGCCAAAAAAGTACACCACTCACCAGGTTTTGCAAGAAGAAGAGAGGAAGAAGCTAGCTGAGAAGGAAGCTGCGCAGAAAGAAAAGGAAGAGAAGGAGAGAAAGGAAAAGGAAAAGGAAAACAAGGAAAAGGAAGAAGCCGAGGCAGCAGAAAATGGAGAGGATGAAAACGAAGTTGAAGCAAAGGAACATGATGATAAAGAAACAGCGGAAGCAGACACTGAATCTGAAAAGCCTTTAGATGACGCTGAGTCTGAGAAGCCATTGGCCGATGTTAAGAAGGAAGCACTTGCTGATGCTGAGCCTGAGAATGCTGAGGCTGGAAAGGTCGAAGGAAGTGACGCAGCTGTTGAGAATGAGGTAAAAGATGAAGAGAAACCAGCCGAAGGCACATCGGAAGTCACAGAGACAAAGGAGATTGAGCCTGAAGCACCAGCTGAAGCCATTGTTGACGACTCAAAACCTCTTGACGCCGAGGACTCTGAACCTGCTGACGATTCCAAACCTGCTGAACAGGATTCCAAAGAGGTTGCCGACCATGAGTCTGAGAAGCCAATCGAGGATTCTGAAAAATTGGAAGGTGATGACGAAATTGAGAAACAGGTCAAAGAGAACCCCATTGAGCTTGTTACACAGCCTGGAGCCAAATACGAGCCGGTTGAGAATCCCAACCAGGCAGTGTTGGACAGCTTGCAGGACAAGCCCAATTTGTTGAACAGATACCAAGCTTTGAATGCCACAGCTATTGGTTCTGTGTCCAAAAGCTTGGATGATCCTAACAAACGCATTGATTTGGGAGCAGGCATGTTTTTGACCCAGCAACAATTGTTGGATATTGCGGCCAAGCGCATTGCTCCTGTGATCCAGAACATCAATGATGAGGTGGAAAAGAGCCGTCAGGAAGATGCCATCTTGGAAAAGAGAAACTTGGACTCAAAAGTCGCCCTGCACCAGGGAAAGCTTGAAAAAGCATTTGGCAAACATTTGACCAAGATAGGTAAACTCAGGTCCAAATTCGACAAGGATATTGAAAACCAACTTGCTGGTGTGGCCGCTGAAAGTGCTGCTGCCGTCACAGCAGCAGAGACTTTCAAGACTACTACGAAGCAAGAAATTGAGACTGCCACTGCGGAATATGAAGAACGTGAGAGAAAGGCTGTTGAGCAACATGCTATTGACAAGGAAACATTGATCAAGAACCACGATGAGTTAGAAGCGACAAAGAAACAGGAATTGGAAGATGCCAAGACGGGACAAGAAACAACTACGAAGGAAATCGAGGATTTGCATGAAAAGAAGGCTGATTTGGATAACAAAAATTCTGAGCTTTCGAATGAAATTGAAGAATTGACCAAACAGTTAGAAGAGCGCACTCAAGTTTTGAATTCATTGAAGGAGAAACATGCTACCGAACTGGAACTGCTCTCTAAGAACTTGGCCACCAAGGACGATTTGAACAAAAAAATTGCCACTGTGGAAAAAGGTGTTAGCGACAAAAAGGCTAAACACGCAGCTTTACTTGCGGAAGTGGGGGTTATTGGTGCTGCTGTAGGTGCCTTAGCTACCAAGTTGACGTCTTTGAAATCGGACAAGTCTCACCGTATGAACCGGTTGTCCGAAGCTAAAGAGAAATTCCAGTCTTGGGAGAAGGAGAAACAGGACATTGCTGAGAAGGTGAGAAGAGAACATGAACAGAAGAGGGTGGAAGCTAAGGAAAGTGCAGAAACTGAGCGTGTTCTTCAGGAAATCGAGGAAGAGAAGCAGAGATTGATTGCCGAAAAGGAAAAAATGGAGCAGGAGAGAGCACAGCTTGAAAGAGAGGCTGCAGAGAGAAAAGAGGCTGATGAACAGAAAGAGGCTGAGAGAAAGGCTGAACATGAAAAGGCCCTTGCTGCTCTCGAGGCGCTGCAGTTGGAGTATGAGGAGCAAAAGAAAGCGAAAGATAAGCTTATCAATGAAGAAGCCGCAAGATTGAAGGAGGCAGAGGAAAAGTCAAAGGAACACAAATCTAAAGGAGCTACTGGTGCTATTTTGGGTGGAGCTGCTGTGGGCGGAGCTGCTATAGGTAGTGCTGCTGGAGCTGTTGGTTCCGCTGGAGCAGGAGCCGTAAATTCTGCTGGTTCTGCTTTAGGTGGAGCCAAGAATGTTTCCTCCGGCAGCTCGGGTGAAAGGTCGAACAGTATGAGCCGCAGAAAAAGTCTTAGACGCAAATTGAAGAGCATCATTGGAGGAGACGAAGATGTTGCTCCAGCATCGGAAGGAGCTGGCACGGCTTCTAAAGCAAAGGATGCAGGCTCTGTGCCACAAGCGAAAAGCGTCGTTCCTGAAGGAAAGAAAGAGACTGCGGCGCCTGAGGTGAAAAGTGACTCAGCTGAAAAGACTAAGGTAGGCCCGGTCGACACTTCTGCTCAACCAGCACCTGTCGATACTTCCAAGGTACCAGAAGCCGATGGGGACGACTCTTCTGCCGAGATGATTTCTTTGTACGATGAAGTTTCCGATGAAGAGTATGAGCTCCACAAGGGAGATCCAAATTACATGGAGGTTTCTGAGGACGATGCTAGCAACTATCTTTCCAAAAACAGAAATCGTCTTGAAGCGGCTGAGTAGCTTCCGCTCATTCATTCACATTTTTTTTTTATTCTGCGGTCCATGAGACCTTTTTAGCACATTGTTTCTATATTCTATGTATTTTTAAAACTTCTTTACTGAGTGTTTGCGATGTTTAAATCAATGATGGAGCCAGATCGTGTATTAAGGTTACTCTCTAAAAATCATCACCTGTATTGTGTGGAGCAAATCGTAAAGATGTGAGCATTTGTAGAAACGTTCATTAGGTACTTAGTACGATGTGTCGACTACATAACGACCCATAACCTCGCCTTTTTCCATCTCTTCAAAGATACGTGGCAACTCAGACAAGCCTGCCATTTTAATTGGCGAGTGCACCAAGCCGCGAGCGAAAAAGTCAAGCGCCTCGCGCGTGTCGGCACGGTTTCCCACATAAGAGCCAGCTACTGTGATGGACTTGAGCACGGCATTGAAAACGGGCAACTCGACTTTGGCTCCTGGAGGCAAACCAACCAATACGACAGTACCTGTTGGGCGGACATATTCAACCGACTGGGCAATGGCCTTGGGCGAAACAGAGACGTTAATTACGCCTTGCGCGCCGCCTGCGGTTGCTTCGCGCACTGCGCCCACCAAGTCGTCGGTCAGGGTGAAGTCAATAAACTTGTCTGCGCCCAAGCCGCGCACCAAGTCTGCCTTTTTAGGTCCATCGATAGCCGCCACCATAAGGCCCATGGCCTTGGCATATTGCACGGCCAAAGTGCCCAATCCGCCGCCTGCGCCCGAAATGGCCACCCAGTCGCCTGCCTTGACGTTGGCAGTCTTCAATGCCTTGTACACGGTGATACCCGCACACAAAATAGGTGCGACCGCCGCCAAGTCTGTTCCGGGCGGAATCTGCGCCGCCTGGATTGCGTCCGCGGTGGCGTATTGCTGGAAGGAGCCGTCGTGTGTGTAGCCCGAAAGCAGCGCGTGCGAACAGTTGGGTTCGTTGCCTGTTTCACACAAGGCGCACTGCTGGCACGAGCCATTCAACCACTTGATGCCGGCGTAGTCGCCGATTTTCCACCCAACCACGTTATGGCCCATTCCCACCACGACGCCTGCGCCCTCGTGGCCACCGACCAAAGGAAACTTGACGGGGAAATCCCAGTCGCCACGCCACGCGTGCAAATCCGTGTGGCAGACGCCCGAATACTTGACGTGGATCAACAATTCGTTGGGTTTGGGCGTGGGCACAGGGATATCCTTGTACACTAGAGGGGCGCGCGGCGCATCAAACACCACCGCCTTTTGGGTCGAAGGAATGGTTGGTGCAGTCGAGTAGGAGCGCGCAAGAGCGCTTGAGGCAAGAGAAGAGTGCGTGCTGGAAAGAAGGCGCCGAATGCTGCTCTGCGCAAGACTTAGCCCCGCAACCAGAGGCCAGCATTTCGTGCGAGTCACCACTTCGCAAACAGAAAACATGTTGGCCGTGCAAGATGCGCGAATGCCCCACTTATATATGTTTTGGGTCCGGCAGGCGGCGCCGTTGGAGGATTTTCGATGACGGATGTGCTTTGGAATTGCATTTCGCATTTACGCGAGTGGGCGTCCACATTGACTCAAATCTGCACCGCTTCCGCTGGCTTTCTTTTTTTTGTGCTTTATCTTTTCCGCTACTTCCGCTTACACACAGTGCTGCTTTCTTTGTTTTACTATAGCTTGTCAATGCCTCTTTTTGCCTTCTCGGTTACTAGTTAACGTTGTTCCAGTTGCTGCGCGGCTCTGTTGAATGCGCTTAAGTCCGGCGGCCTGTTCATCCTCCGCGGGTCATGCTGCATCTATCTCGCGTTAGAATACAGTGGGGTGATTTACGCGCATAAATGCAGGGAGCCGCTTATCGCACTTGTAAGTCCAGATGACTGCGTCACCACTTTCGAGTCAATTCGAATGTTATAACCCAGTTCAGGCCTCAATGGGCCACAAATGAAACCGGGGTGGCCTATAAAATTGTGTCAATTGTATAAACCTACCGAACATCTATTGAACAAAATTAATAGGGCAACTCTTTTCACAGATTACAGCTCGACTCAGATGTATCTTCCCATCACAGTTTGTTCGAGTGTTCTAGCAAACTGGTTTTTTCTTACAATTGAACAATCTTCTGATTTTCTCACCTCTGATAACTTTGCAATCGAGCATATTAGTCATACTGTCTGGCATGCGATTGGCGATTCTGGTCGCATTGGACCTGTAGTTAGTCATGTCTCACCTTGTCCTGTCCAGCACAATTGCGCTCGCTTTGTTTTGCCAAATGGGAATCCACTTTACTCACTTTACTTGGTTTTGACAGTCATACATGCACATTGCCTAGTTTTATCCTCTGTGCATCTTTTCAACCATGAGTAATCACGTTGTTATTCTGACACCTACAGTTTTTGGTGCCTTCCTTCATATTAGTCTCGAGTCTCGGGCGTTCTAACCGGGCATACGGATATTACTAAAGTTGGCCTACCGTTTCTCCCGGGGTTTCTTCGCTTCGTATTTATGTCTGTATTTGCGTCGTCCCCCACATTTTCCACGTACGCCTCTTTGCACGGACTTGATTCCGATTTTGCGCCTTCAGAACAAAACAGCCACTGTAATGTTAAATGTGTCCACAATTACCACTTTCTAGACGTTGGTGCACACTTTTTTCGAAATTTCAACATTACTATACGTTGTGGAGTTTTTTCCCCGCCCAGGTCATGTCTCTGTATCGTCCCATTTAATGTCCGCATAATTGCATACGGTATATTTCAACGGTGGGAAAAATCAACAATAGACTAATGTGACTAGTCCTTTTGATGTCCATTATTGATAAGAATCGCCTATTTTCGTTGGTGCGTAAAACTACTATTGATCTTAAAAATCTCTTGAAGTATGTCTTTTCCGATTCTTCTATTACCCTATTCAGTCAAAGGTTGTCTTCTTTCCCTGGGATGGAACAATGGCCGCAGAAGCTCTTTGTGCTGTCGCCAAAGCGATCGAAGATTTGACTCTTTTACCTGGCTGCTCGTAGTCATTATATTGTCTTTTTGGTGGTCTTGCTGGTCTCTCTCTTTGAGGGGTCCGTGTCATTTCCCTGCTATCTCTTTCTCTTTCAGCTGGTTCTGCTCCAGAGCCTTCTCTTTCTTCTCTTTCCGGTCTTTCCTCCCCAGCGAATCTCTTAGGGTTACGCTTGGATCTGTCTTCACCGTATTCCAATCTCAAAGGTCTGTTGATGAGCTTTTTCGCAAGCTTCGACTTGAGTGCCGCTGTAGGTCCACTTTCATCCTTAAAGTCGATGAAGGCAAAACCTTTGCACTTTCCTGTGTCTTCGAAAGTGGCCATACGGATTCTCACAATATCACCACAATGTCTGAAATGCTCTTCAAGATTATCCTCCGTAGTATCAAACGACAAGTTTCCAACAAATAAAATGCGCAGCGGAGGGTTCTTCAGCAATGGCTTTTTGGAGTCCGCCTCTGGTCTGCCTTCAAAGGAGCTAGAATTTTTGATCAAAAGCTTTCTGCCATTCAATACAGACTCGCTCAAAGAGACAACACTATCCACATGCTTTGCAGACGGAAGATCCACGTAGGCAAAACCCTTGATTTTGTTTTCTTTCTTGGGGAGATTGACCCTAGTGATGTCTTTTTCTTCCACAGGAACATGATCTCCTTCTTCGCCAAATGAAGCAGTCTTGGCGGTGATGAAACGAACAAGATCTTCCTTCGAGGTGTCGTAGGACAAGTTCCCGATCCAAACACCAAACTCCGATCTGGCTGGTTTTGCTTCTGCTTCTTCGTTGGCTGGACGAGGAGCTGGGTGCTTTTTGGAGATTTTCTCCAAATCCAATTTTCCCTTCTTCAAAAGACGTTGCTGTTTTTTGGACAATGGAACCTGTGCACTCAAATCGATTTCCAACTCGTTGTTTGTACCTTCTTCGGCATTTGGCTCATCTGAAGTTTTGGAATCTTCCTTTTCTTCCTTGTCTTCATCGTCCTCATTAACATTATCGCTTTCATCTTCCAACTTCCTCTTGCGATCTTTCTTCTCCTTCTTTTCCTTTTTTCTGTCTCTCTTCTCCTTCTTCGACTCCTTTCTCTCTATAGTTTCAGTCATGATGAGGAGTAAGTTGCGATGCGCATCGTGAAAATTCCATGTACCAGATCTTTTCATATAGCCATGGGTGCAAAAATTTTGCTCAATCGAAAGACTTGTTAATGATTTTCAAGCTGAACTCATTTAACAATTATCTACCGTTGTTGCACTCTCTTCTTTTATTTTATCCTTCATTCGTTTATTCTTATTTCGATCCAAAGTCTGTTCGCCAATACCCTCTTTTCGTCAAAATAGGATATATCCTAATCGAGTTCAATAAATCTCTCTGATTCATACCTAGTCTATTTGCACTTTCTAATTAGTTAATTCTCCATTTTTATGGGCTTCCCTCTCTTTTTCGTCTTGATTCCGATACATGCTAGTCTAACTTCGCAGAGTGATACTTTGTCTGAGAAAGGTAAGATTATCAATTGATGAAAAAGTAGATAGAAGGGGAAACTACTATAATAACAATGTAGGTTAAAATAGAGACCCACCGTAAAATCAGTCAATTGTTTTTCAACGAAACATATAGATCACTTCATAAATTTCTCACTCGTATATATTGCATAGTAAGACTGGTAAGACTAGTTCGGCTCATAATTGCCAACTTGGTTGCTACTCAATTCGATCTTTACAGTCAATCATGATATATGAGCGTCTAATACTATTTGTCTTGAGCTGGCAGAACCAGAACAAACCTATGAGTACTAGGTGTCTCGTATGTAGATCTCTCCTACAGGAACCACGTGCAAATTGATAAGACTTGAGATAACAAGCACATTTTATTACCACAACATATCGGAGAACTGCTACAACTAGGATCGTTTTAGCAATTAGCCTCTGAATAAACTTGTCTGCTACGGTTTGATTTGAGAAACAGGTCTTCTGTTCTTCTGCACATTTACTTATCATCTTCAGCAATCAAAACCCATGTCTGGAAGTTCTCGGGAGGAAGTGGTCGGAAAGAGTACGGGCAGAGCTCGGTTTGACGAACCATTTAGGAGAAGCTCGGCATCTGAGCAAGACCTCATCGACTTGCTGTGTGCTGTCGAAGAAGCAGAAGATGATGAAAGTGATGCTATGTCAGTTGCGTCGACATCATTGAACCGAAGCGATTCGACGCTGTCGGTTTCGTTTATCGACCTATCCAAGCTATTGTTAATCCCTGAATTCGACTTTGGTACGGGGTTTGACCAGATGAATACGTCTACCAAGAAAAGATTGAACAGCATGAAGAATAAAACCAAGGAAACGTTGCGTCGGCTAAAAGAGGACAGACTGGCCAGCTTCAAAACGAGAAAGTTCACCCAGCAAGAACTCATAAAGTTCCAGGAACTGATGAATAGGCGATTGGCCAATTTCGATAAGCGTGTTCATAACAGTTTGCAAAGCTCGGCTACAGAGAAGTTATTTTATGCATTTGCTGTATCTTTAATTGCTGCTGCCGGATATATCATAGGAAAATACCCCACGTATTTCCCAATTTTCCACACGGTCTTGTTTTGTTTCCTTATGCCGATCCGTTTCTACACATACTTTAAGATCGGATTCCAGTACTACTTGGCAGATCTTTGCTACTATGTGAACGTTCTTCTATTGCTATTTCTCTGGGTATTCCCCAGGTCCAAGTCACTTTTCATATCGGTCTTTTCGCTTACTATGGGGACCCTTTCGTTTGCGGTCATCACATGGCGGAATTCGTTGGTGTTGCACTCCATTGAAAAGACAACTAGTTCGATCATTCATGTAATGCCTCCCGTGACGATGTTTGTCCTTGTGCATCAGACTCCAAAAAGCTACATTCAAGAAAGGTATCCGGCGATCGCCGAGGTTGAAAACTGGAATTTTGTCAACGGCATTATCTGGACATCTATCTATTACACAATATGGCAAGTGGGCTATCATTACTTTATCACCGTTCGCAGAAGAGAACAAATTGCCAAAGGCCGCGTCACCTCTTTCACATACTTGAAGGAGAAGAATAGCAAGAGTTTTTTGGGTCGACTCGTCAACAAACAGCCTTATGCATGGATGCAAGTAACCCTCTTCACGCTCATTCAATTTGGCTATCAGATTTTGACCATGCTCCCTTGTCCCATCTGGTTTCGGTATAAGCATGTATGTGCTACATTTGTCAGTTTTATCTTCTCGTGGTCAGCGTACAACGGCGCCACCTACTACATTGAAGTTTTTGGCAAGCGCTTCGAAAAGGAACTGAAGCAGTTGCAAATCGAATTGGCCGAATTACAGCTGAGAGTGGCCAGACAAGAAGCTGAAAGAAGTACGCCGCTGTTTTCGCCTGTTTCTGAGTCGATTCCGTCGGCAGAGAGCTTTACCGAACTTAAGCTCGATAGTCCACGTGTCTCTGCTTCAGAGGATGTTATTTAAGAATGTTTACAAGTAGATTTAGGACTTGACGAATATAGAGTAAACGTCTCATAGACATGTGTTGCATGCCGTACTGTGTGTGCGAGAAAAAAAAATCTATAGAAAAAGAGTGTTCCAAACGAAAAAGCGGGTCCGATCAAACGTTTCTGGGATAGTCAGAGAATAAAAAACTCCAAGATGTTCAGAACCACGCTAAGCCGTCTTGCCCCTGCCAACAGGTGCTTTTCTTCTGGGCGCGCTGTTTTGCAAAACGAAAACAAAAAAGTCACCAAGCACATTGACTTTTTGTCGAAGTTCTACTCGCCGGAACTTTTGCAGAGCATCAAAATCACAGAGTCTCTTGTGGATCCAAAGGAGTACTTGGAGATGAAAAAAAGAGGAGGCCACGAGATCTCCAAAGTCGCTCCATCAAACCCAGTTGAGGACTACTCCAAGTCTGACCCAAAGTGGGAAGAGGCTATACTTTATCCGAACCAGGCTAACAACCGTACGCCATACCCTGAAATTCCACAGATTCAAGGCGCAGATAGAACGGATTTGAAATTGAGATTCGACACAGCTGCTGCCACCACTACCAAAGGTGGACCAGCAGTAAATGATCAGTTTTTCGACCAATTGCACAAGTTGACCGGGATGGAGCCATGGTACATGAAGAAATTGTACGTGCGTCCTATTGTCATGAAGAGAGTTTCGTGCCAGACTTCAAAGGGTAAAATCCCTAACTTTTACGCATTGACTGTTGTGGGAGATAAGAACGGAATGATTGGTTTGGGCGAGGGAAAATCCAGAGACGGTATGAGAACCGCCTTGTATAAAGCACACTGGAATGCCATCAAGAACTTGGGACCCATCCCAAGATACGAGAACAGAACCATCATCGGAGACATTGACTACAAATTCCATGCTGTCAAGTTGTTTATCAAGTCAGCCCCAGCAGGTTTCGGCTTGAGAGTCAACCCAAACATTTTTGAAGTCTGTCAGGCTGCAGGTATCAAGGACTTGAGAGGTAAAGTGTACAAGTCTAGAAATCCAATGAACGTGGTCAAAGGTTTTGTCGAGGCTTTGACTAAGCAAACTTCTTTGGAAGACTTGGCCGCTGGAAGAGGTAAAAAGTTGGTGGACTTGAGAAAGGTGTACTACTCGGCCTAAGCCAATTCATGTATATATTGATTACACGACGTCAGGTATGAAGCAAAGTGTATTTGCGTCCTTTCCTACTGAACTTCGAGTTAGGATTTCAACATGCATAAGATTTAGATCTCTATGGTGTGAAATAAATGGTAGAAGCTGCATCTCCCGAATTTTGGAAGCAGATATTCTTCGGTTTTGGTCGTCCAAGCAGTATACTCTATCGATTCTTTTCCCTCTCGCAATGATGGGTCGTGTGCACTATCATCTATAATCAATATATCAGAGGCTAAATACATCTACAAGAATATTACACAATAAATACCTGAGGAATATGGTTGCCGACACGACATATTATGACATTTTGGGTGTCCCATCCACCTCAACTGCCCTTGACATCAAAAAGGCATATCGGAAAGCGGCTATCAAATTCCATCCTGATAAAAACCCAGATGACCCGGAGGCAATTGCCAAATTCCAGGCCATTGGCGAAGCATACCAAGTTCTTTCAGATGACCGGCTAAGAGAAAAGTACGATAAGTATGGTAAACAGGAGTCTGTCCCATCAGAGGGATTTGAAGATCCTACGGAGTTCTTTTCAATGATTTTTGGCGGCGAAGCTTTCAAAGATTGGATTGGCGAATTATCATTGTTACAAGAGATGAGCAAAACGGCAGAGCTTTCAGGCATGGGTGACGATGCTGATGCTGATACTAAGAAGACCGACGCGAAGGCTTCAGACGAAACCTATCCCGAAACATATCCTGAGACTTCAGAAGCTCTGAAGGCAACCTTGTATCTCGAAGATGGAAGCACTGTTTTAGACGCTGATGGTAAAAAAATAACTCACCAAGAAGCGGAGAAGCGCAGGCGACAGGAGGAACTCGAAAAGTTTGAAGAAGAGTGCAGAGTCAAAAAGATTGAGACTCGAAATGAGCTTGCCAAGAGACTTGTGGAAAAGTTGTCTTTATTTACAGAAACAGACATGGCCGACGATGTTGCAGAGTCCTTCCGTCAGAAACTCAAGTATGAGGCAGAATCTTTGAAAATGGAAAGCTTTGGCTTGGATATCTTGCACACGCTAGGTTCCATTTACAAGACCAAGGCGAAAATTCTTTTGAAGAGCCAGACTTTCTTAGGCGGAATTGGTGGATTATGGTGGTCTATGAAGGACAAAGGTGGAGTTATCAGAGACACGTTCAAGACTGTTAGTTCTGCGTTGGACGCACAGCTGACCATGGAAGAATACACCAAAATGCAAGAAGATAATGAGTACCACGCTCGCAAAGATGCAGAGGAAGAAAGCAAAGGCGACGGTGCTGGTGAAAGTGACCTTGAGAAAGCTGAAGCAGAAAGACGAAGAGCCCAAAAGGAGGTCGACGAACTAGAGGCAGAGTTGAAGAAAGTCCATCTAGAACAAGAAGAACAGAGGGCCCATCTAGGCGACGCCAGCTCAAAGCCTGAACAAGAACAAAAGAAGGGACTGCAAGAAAGCGAAGGCGCTACCAATAAGGAGCCTACTAAAGATACGAAGAAGGACGAACCGAAGGAACCAGAAAGGCATACGCCAGAAGAATTGGCTGAGATGGAGAAATACCTTCTCGGAAAAGTTCTTGCTGCGGCATGGTCAGGATCCAAATTCGAAATTCAGGGCACTGTACGTGCCGTGTGTGACCAGATTCTCTACGATAAGGAAGTTCCATTGGAAAAGAGAGTAGCAAGAGCAAAGGGTTTAAAGATAATTGGTGATGTTTTCGCGGCTACCACAAGAACAGAATTAGAAGATGAAGAGGCTCGTATGTTTGAAGAATTGGTAGCTGAGGCATCTCAGAAGCGCAAAAAGAGAAAGGCGCCCAAGACAGAAGAAGCAGAACCATAGTTCCATTCCCAGTAGCATTTAAATCCCCACCCCTATATTTATCTTTCTTTTAATACCACAATTTCTTTAATGCCACAACATTTCGTACTCATTGCATGTCTCACGTAGCCTCTGTCTTCAAATCGTCAACTATGAAAACTCGCACCGCCAAGTAGAGCTGAAGTCACGATTCACACCACTCAAATTAGGAAAAATATAATCAAAATACCTCTTTTTCTCGGTTGTTGGTCTGTTTCGCCTCATTAAGCTTATCTCTGGATCTGGTGTGGCACCATTGCGCCATGCGAAAAAAAGCGTGAAGTGTGGAGTATATAAACCTCAGATCCACCACTCTACTTCACCATGGAGTACCTCACCAATTTGGATCCGGAGCACCCTGAAAAGGCTACAACTCCTATTGTTTCAGGTCTTACTTGGACCGAGCCCGTGCAATATTGGGATTTCCATGTCTACTACGATGATGCAACCAGAAGTGAGTCGAATTCACTTCGCACCAAATTATTGGAGGATTTCGAAGGCTACGCCAAAGAAGGGGCAATCATAGTTAAAAAATTGCCCACGGAGAAGGCAATTGGGCCCCATTATGATCTTTTTTGGGAGGCTGATATTGCCCGGGTAGATGTTTTCGCCAAAGTGTTAAGCTGGTTTGTTCAGCACCATGGCAGCTTATCAGTGTTGATCCATCCCCAAACGGGGAACGATCTTTTGGATCACACCAAGCATGCCTTGTGGCTAGGCGAGAAAAAAAGACTCAAGACGGAAGTTTTCCCGAAAGAACCAACTCTGATTCCCGAGTTTGGTGTGCGGCGTATTCCAAAGCAGAAATGATAGTAGTATCTTATCTAATAAATGCCCATGTATTGATCTAACTATTGTCTAGGGATTTTCGCTTTTGAACTGGTCTAGTTTCTTCTGGTACAGCTGGATAAACTTGATTACCTTTTTCCTGTTCTCACGCAAAACATCGTTTCCTGCGGTGTCGATACCGTCCAACTTCATCAACTCTTTCAACAACATCTCCTCAAAATACTTGAACTTGTACTCACGATTCTCAGGAGAGATGGTGGAATATTTCTCGAAAAATTCTTCGATCTGGGGAACGTAAGTTTCCTCGACAAAGTCCAATACCGCTTGGATCTCTTTGTTGGCCTTTTGCGTCTTCGTGAGCTTCTTCTTTTTCTTCTTGGTTGGTGCCGGTTTGGAACCCGACAGCGAAGATTTGAACAATTTATTAAGGAAAAAAACCATCGCTACTGTCGTGAGAGAAATTGTCACCGTGGCTGGTGTAATTTTCAACAGAGCCAAGTCGCTGAGTGCTTCGTCTTTTGAAGTATTGGCCAAAGCGTGGGCATACGACTTCAACGCCAAATCGATATTTTCGGGAACTTTGTGCTCTATGTTGGCATATAAGTTATGTATCGAAGTTTCCAAAGACGATTTGACCTGTGTTAAATGGCGTGTCACGGAATCCATTTTGGGGAACTTTGAACAACTGTGCTCACCAACTTTTGTCTTGCACTTAAAGGCCCAGTCCTGCACATTTAACAACACACCACCAGATGCAAAAATCTAAGATATGTTGGCTAAATGAAAAGCTCGCCACTTACCACTCGCCGCTTGATTTCTAAATTTGGCTTCTTGCCCTTGATCGGTGGGGGTGTTTTCTTGTTGGGTTTGGGAAGTGGTTTAGTCACTTGAAGTATGGGTTCGTCTTTCTTGATATCATCGACCTTTGTTGTAGAGCTCATGTTTTGTTTTGGTAGTCTCCGCTTCGGCCCCTTTGACCTCGACTTGTTCGGATGGGTAAGCAGTTTCCGAGATTCGACTGGGTCAGTATTTGATCTTCTGACTGCAGCTTCAGACTTTTTCGGGGCATTCAGTGATGGGTCTGTATTAGCTCTGAGAATACTTGATAATTGCGCTTGGAACTTAGCTTTCGGGTCGAGTTTTGTGTAAGACAAATCCGATGCCAGTCTGTCAGCAGTTTCTGTTTTGAAACCGTGTGAGCCCAAAACCGCATTGTCGTTATTAATTTCGTTTGGTCCTTTTTCGATGATTGTAGGTCCTTTCTTAGCTATGCTGGGTACTTCTTTAATCGACGTTTGACCTCTTTTGATTGTGCTCTGTCCCATATTAATTGGGGTTGGTGCTGGTTTTTTGGCTAGTCCTGAACCAATCTTGTCAGTAGAATTCGTTTTTAGAGGTTCTCCAGTGTCATGCTTTTTCATTGTTTCAAAACGGCGAAGAGCTTCTGGTTTGGGTTCGGGTTTCGGAGGCGCAGGTTTAGCCGGCTTCAATTTCAGAAGAAAAGATAACGCTTCAGGTTTGGGGGCTTCAGGTTTTTCAACCGTCCGTGGTTTGAGGGGCTTTTCCGGCTTCATACGGCGTGACTCCGAAAGCTTCTTGATATGGTCTTCAGGTGTGAAATCTTCTTTTTCCTCAATGAGAACCTTCTTAGAAGGAGAAAGTTGCTTAATTCGCTGTCTAAGCATTTCAGTGTCCTTTTCTTCGTATGACTTCAAGTTTACTTTTGGTTTCGTTGGAATCTTAGGCTTCTCTATTATGGGTGCAGCTTTCTTTGAGACTAGATTATCATTTTGTTCTTCGTCGCTTCTGTTCATAACAGATGGGTTAGGAGATTGAGAACTCTTTTTCCTCAAAGGAAGCATAGGCGCATCAGGTGTTTTATCTCTTGAAGGAAGTTTGGGCGGGGTTTCGACCAATTTCTCTCTCGAAGGAAGTTTAGGAGGATATTCAACCGCCTTGTTTCTTGAAGGAAGGCTCGGTGCATCTTCTTCTAGCTCTAGATTCTGCGTAACTCCGGACTTCTTAATTCTCTCCTCGAGAGCACTGAAAGAAAACTGTCCGGTCCCAGATGATGTGGGCTTTTCAGTTCTTGTAGAAACCCACGTTGGTTTGGTTTCGGGCTTCCCTGGTTTGGCTGGTGATTTCCTGGCAACAGGCCTAATGAGGTCAATTGTAACCTTTTCTTCAACCACCTGCAGCTCTGGTGAATGCTCACGCCCAATTTCGGCTGCAAAGATGCTAGGCTTGTTCGGTTTCATTGGTTTTTGTTTCGGGCGGCTTCTTTTCGGTAACTCTGGTGCCTGCTGAGGTTGGCTATCTTTCCATTTCTCGTAAAACAGATTTCTTGCAGAACGATTGAATGAAAGTTCTCTAATTCCATGGGAACGTGGGGTCAGGCTGAGACTGCTCGGCTTCTGTGGTTTGGAAGTGGAAGACAGACGTAAATGGTCAATGTCTCTTTGAAGACTCCGCTGACGCAGTTGGTTCTCTTTAAGACGTTCTTGCGAGATTTCTGACAAGCTCGAAAGAAAGTCGTCGACTTTCTGAGATGACGGCGACACGCTCATTCGTATCGGATATGGTTTTGTTTTATTCGGTGATGATAGCACAATCTACAAAATTGGAGAAATGCGCGCACTATCAGACGAGTATCTGAACGAGTGGAATTTTTCCTGGCGCAGTATCTGGAGTTATAGAATGGCGCCCATACACTTTGTGTCGCTCATTTCTCGTGACGATAAGCCGCTTTATATCCAGCTGTTTGATGCAGATATGGAGACGGCAGACCCACTAAAGAAAACTGAAAATGCAAACAAGTTCCTCAAGTACAACTTCCTTTCGCATATGGCTGTGGATGTGTTCGCCTCTCCTGTTTCTCTTAACTTGCGCGAGCAACAGCAGAGTGACGGGGTCCTTCTTTTGTTCATTCAAGATGATGTCACAGTTTACGGGTTAGAGACAAACAATGGCTTGAAGATTGTCGTAGGTACAAGTGGAGACGATGCGCCTTCTGCTGCATTGAAAACGCTCTTTTCCAATCTCCACAAAAGCTACCTCAAGGCAATCTGCAACCCATTTGCTGACTTGGAGGGGCAGAACTCAGAAAAGGCACTACAATCTGCTCGTTTTGACCGGAACATAGCACAGATCGTGGAAGAATGGAATAAATAAGGACTTGGAAGGTTTCTGCCGTAGATAAGGTCTATGTGTTGCAGTCATCCTGAAAGATACGAATGTGCAGCGAAGGCTTGGATATTTTAGAGAATTCCCAGCGAAAGCTCCACATTGAATCGGAATAGACTCAGTCAAGGAAGCAAGAACAACAGATATGGCTACTCGAATAGCACAATGACGGATAACCGCATCGACAAGGCGACTCGACCGATTTGTTACAGTTTAATCTTACTCAATGTCACATTTATGCTGCGTGTGAACTCTTGAACAGATATAGAATACAACACATCGTATGGCCATGATGAAACTTGTGTCTCAGGCCTAGATGGCCCGCCTCACTTGACGACAGCTACTGTATTTTCGCTCAATCAACACTCTACATGGTTCTACTTCTCCCTGTAGATTCTAATGCTCAACCGTATATTCCTAAAATTGCTTACCGCGTATGATCTTCACTTCAATACAACGTTTGCTCCCCGTAAACTCAAATACTCCTGGTCGAGTCCGGGTGCCATTGGTCGGATGACTTCCTGGTAAATTTCCACATTGTGGAAGCGCAAGGCATTTGTTGGTGACTTGTACTTGCCCTCAAGACCAGTGATATCACAGTAATGTTTCTGTGGCTTCAAGCTTGGAGGTGCTTGGATGGAAATGTATGTCGGTGTGTCATAGGCCAACTTTTTGGTCTGGAGGTACTTTGTTTCGTCGCTTATAAGCTGCTTGGCCGTTTTGAAACGGCGATTGCTTGTGCGTGGCCTGTTTGGGTTCTGTTTGAATGAGTGTTCTTTTGTGGTGATGTATGAGAGTTCCCACGCGTTGGACTCTGGTTTTGGTGTTTCGGCCATGGCGTAAAGTAGCTTGAAAGTTTAACTTCGGTGCGCACATGTAGATGTAGGTTATCGAAAAGTGCATGCATTATTAGTAGAGATCAATTGGAAGGAAGTTCATCAATATAACTTTCGAGACACGAGTTCATTGAGCATATTGGAAATATGAACTGGTTGAAGTAAGTATCTGGTATTCCGAAGGATCATACTGAGTATTATTTAGGATTCGGAGAATATTAGCAAAACTCGCTGTGAATCAGATACATTGCGAATACCGTCAATCGAATACACCGAAACTCATTCGAACCACACATACTTTAACTTTGTTGTTCAGTCTGTTTCTGAATTTCGAGCACAACTTCTAGGTTATTTTAGCAGGTGAGGGCTAAATCAGATGGACGTAGTCAGCCAGTGGCTCTCGTACAAATTTTGCATTTTAAATTTCCACTTATTCAATTTGGTATTTATTTGGGGCTATCCCAGAACTGCCATGTTGTGGCTATTCGTTCCCGTGGATGTTAGTTTTTCTCGCCTCGTAATTTTCAAGTGGGCTACTGAGATCTACGATAATGGGAGCTAAACAAGGTGCATACATAGTCATACCTGAGTACTTTTAAAACTGGAAGTTGGCCAATGGAAAGTATAGAAGTGGTAGATTCCTAAAGGCATATCTCTCAATTGGAAATTATTTTCTGGCCCTGGCTCTAAGGATCTGATCAATGGTGTCTTTGAACGACTTTTCAACCGGTATCCATTCGATTCCAGTCAATCTTGTTGTTTCAGAATTGTCAATTGTCAGCGCAGTCTTCTTGGCCTCTTCGCTGCTTCCGGGAGTTCCTTCTGGCAAATCCTTTGCAAGCTCTGGGTAGTTCTTTTGAATAAACTCCAAAATAATTTGAGTGTCCCAATAGCCAGCATATGCGAGCAATCTTTTTCCAGCAAGATTGTCGTTTTCTAATGCAGCAATGTGTAACTTCGCCACATCTCTAACGTCAACGGCCGCTCCTTTTGCGTCAAACAATTTCTCGCCCTTTCTAGTTTTAAGAACGTCGGGAATGAAGGCGGAAGTTGACGTAAAAGTATCCCCTGCTGCATCTTCATCAAAAGCTAAGGGACCAAAGACATACACTGGGTTGACTGTAGTGAATGTGAAGGGAGGCTTTTCGGTTTCCATGAATTTCCAAGCGCCTCTTTCAGCAAAAGTTTTGGAACCCTGGTATAAACAACCTGGTTCTGTTTTCGCCGCTTCGTACGTTATGTGGTTCCACAGTTTTTCGGTGACGTATGTCTTCTCTTTCAAGAAGTACATAGATGCGACAGACGACGTATATATGAACTTTCTGATGTTCGGCCCGTACTTTTGCGCCGCCTTCAACGCATTTTGCGTTCCCTGAATTGCAGGCAAGAGAACATCATTTTCAGGGTCCTTTGATGCTTGGACGACAGGGGACGCAGCATGGAAAAATGCAATTACGCCCGGATGCTTTTTCAAGGCCTCGTCAAAAGCACCATCCACAACAAAAGAAGGAACGACTTCATAGGAGAAGTTCACACCAAATTGGCGTTTTAACTTCTCGCCTTTCTCCGCCGTCCGTACACTTCCAATCACCTCGTAGCCCTTTTCAATGAGATGTTTCGCTATCTGGGCTGCTATGAAGCCATTGGCGCCTGAAAGGAAAACTTGAGGCATATCAAACACGGGTTAGTTGATGCCAATTTAACTAAGCGGTTGCGAAATATTGTATAGCGGAGCAGCTACTTATATGGATGGCTCAATGCTAATCGCCTACTGCTTACTAATAAACTTGAAGACGGGATCGAATATTTTGAAGCAGTGGTACTTGTGCGGACTTAAGGACATGGTGGCGTCGGTCCGAATGATGTTATTTTGTTCGCATTCGGGTATGCTATACATGAAGGTGCTGTGTCATTTTTGACCATCGGCATTCCTTCTCTCTGACACAATTCTTTGCGGAGTAAAAGATTCTCTTGCACGAATTATCGCAAACTACAGTTTCCAGCCTACCTTGGACTGTATGGTTTACCCACGTATATGCTACTTTAGTCTGTCTGAGTACTCAGTTCGCAACGTTTCCATGTTCTTGCCAAGAAAAGTCGGACATCAAACGAAGATCAGCAAGGACATCACACCATCTTTTTTCAATGTGGTTTTCAGCTCTTGTATATGCATACCCCACCGTATAATGTTATGTATGTGTAATGTACTAGATGCATACATACTTTCTGAAGTCATCCGATTACGAGCAGACACGGCTGGATAGACTTTGCAAGTAGAATGACTTGCCTAGTTCTAGTGGATGGTTCTGGAGAGGTTGATCCACTAATCCATAGGGAATCTTATCATTCTAGAAACATACGATCGAGTGGCTTGATACGTAAGCTATACTTTTTGATACGATACATCGGCACATTGTGGTAATTGCAACGATGAAGAATGTGCATTGGCAAATAATGAATCGTTGTATTTTGGTCGCCTTCTTCGGGGCATTCTAAAAGCTCTATGGAATCGTGCAACTAATTGGTCTCTTTTCACATATGCTCGTTGGAGAATAGTGTTCATTTGTACGGATCATTTTCAAATCAGCAGCATTTCAGCTCAACATGCACGTGGCCGCTGCTTAACAACTCGTCCAATTTATCGTGTGGATCAATCTTGAACACCTTATCTGGGTTCAAAATGGCCCGTGGGTCCAACGCAAACTTAATGTGACGCATCAAGTCTACGGCATTAACACCCAACTCAGGTTCCAAATACGATCTTTTTCCAACACCAACTCCGTGTTCACCTGTGCATGTACCTTCGTACTTCAAAGCCCGTCCAACCATACGATCAACCACATCTTTGGCACGATCATAATCCTTGGAGTTGTAGAGAAGCAAAAAATGACAGTTTCCATCGCCCACATGGCCCAACACAGAGAAACGGTCGCGGAAACCCGACGCAATCAAATCATCGTTGGTCTCGTCAATAAGAGTGGCCAATTTTGAAAGAGGGACGGCAAAGTCTGTTGTCCAGATTTGTACATCGTCTTTGTCATCCAAGACCTTCTTTCCGTATTCAAAAGTAGACCACAAACCAGCACGACGGGCACCCCACAAAACCTCGTTATCTTCTGGGTTTTGGGATTGCTCAAATTGGATCAAGTTGTTCAGGCGTGCGATTTGCTCCACAATGTCTAGTTGCTGGCGAATCACCGACTCACTAGGCCCACCAATTTTCAAAAGTAACGATGGACGCTCCAAGAACTTCTTGGCTACCGCACCACTTTCATTGACAAAAGACATGGTAGTTTCGTTCACAAGCTCAATCGCGTTAGCGTGAATTCCCAGTTTGCTGATGATATGTTGTGCTGTTGCTGCAGCATCTCTGATGTTGGGGAAAGACGCGATGCAAACCAACTCACGGAAAGACCGAGGTTGCAATTTCACCGTGATTTCTGTCACCACACCCAAGGTACCTTCAGAGCCAATGAAAAGATGAGTCAAGTCATATCCTGCGCTTGACTTCCGTGGTCTCTGTTTGGTCTTCACAATGGTACCATCGGCCAAAACAACAGTCAAGTTGACCACGTTTTCTTTCATGGTACCGTACTTGTAAGCGTTGGTTCCACTTGCTGATGTTCCAACCATACCTGCAATTGTGGCACCCATACCTGGGTCTGGCCCAAACATAAGGTGCTTCCCATCTTCACTGTCCAAAAGATACTGGTCGAGCTCCTGCCAGCCGAGCCCTGCTTGTACCACAATATCCATGTCGTCAGGATGGAATTCCACAACGTCGTTGAGGTTGCCAAACGCCAAAGAAACCGAGTTGGGTCCACGTGTGTGCATATTATGGCCTTCGAGAGATGTGAGGCCAGAGTTGGCCACAACAGGCACCCGGTAGCGATGCGCCACTTTCAAGATAGCCGAGACTTGCTCTGTGTTGGCAGGGTAAATGACAACCGCTGGTCTTTGTTTCTCTGGCTCTGGTGGATGGTGGGTGCTGAAAAATGTGTCTGCGTGAGCGTCCGTAACCTCTTTGGATGAAGATACGTTTTCTTCTCCGACAATGGCACGGAACTGCTCTAAAGCAGCTGCAAACTCCTCGTCGGAAGCGTACTTGGGGCTGTCAAGCGTGTCTAAAGGGGTTGTTGAGGCGTCCACTGAGCCCTTATCAGAACTCTCTTTGCCTGCTTTTGCGTCAGCATGAACTGTCTTTGCTGGAGTCTGGGAATACAATTGCAGCCCAAAATATCCGCCAGCAACTCCAGCAAACAAGGCAGCGCCAACTTTTACACCAGAAACAGAACTAGAGCTCTGTGTCAGATAGCATCTGGAGCCTAGACCCGGCGCTTTTCCAGGCCAGTGTCGTTTGCAGAGTCGAACTGACGTTCTAAAAGAGCGAGAGAACATGTTGGACTTTTGCTGTTGTTTTTTTTATTTGCTCCGGGTGTCACTTCTTATATATGTGGAGGTCCGTGTATGCCGGGACTTACCTGCAGGCTACTCCACAGTTAGTGAGCTTTCGGAAAAGCTCAAAGATGTGCGGCAGATTTTTCAGTGTGGTTTTTCAGTCCTTGGTGCACGGAATATTTCATTTCATCAATCTGTGGTTTATTGGCTGCGTTATTGTTTTCTCTTCTTTTTTTTCCTTTTTCCTCGAGCCATTCCATTGCTCTGATTCATTTCTTCTGCTCATATGAGCGTTGTTTAAGAGTCTTATCCGCGGAGCTAGACATGGCGTAATACGCTGGTTTTGAGCACAATTCGCAATCTGAGCCTCATCTAAGCCTGTCAGACTTCGCTTGCACGGTTGTAGACCACCACATTTGAGATCTGGGTTTCCTCAAAAGATAGAATGTCCCCAATTATGAAGAGCTCACTCACTGCTTTCGATTTGTTACTTCTCTTCTTTTCTTATTTTAAGTTCTTTATCACCGATAGCTGGGCGCCGATTCCGTCCTTTATATGCCGGACACTTCTAGAATGGAGCATTTTCCAGGCTCCGAATACCTTCTCCCGAAATGTTGTACTTTGCAAATTGAGAGTAGCCGTTTTCCTTGAAAGGTCGGGATGTTGCTTCCAGGAAGGATAACTGTTAGTTTGTGGGAAGGAAATGGATAATAGAGTGTGACATCAAATTTTCGCTTTATTGATGAAGACACTATGAGCTATATAGATCCCGATCGTAGTATCCCAAATTTGCCAAAGAATAAAAGAAACATGCTAATGTATGGTCACAGCAAAAATGTTTACTGAGTAAAAAGATTAGGGGGAAGCATAGCAATAATGGGAAAAAAATAAAATTGAACAAAGAAAACGCACATGGAACAATGAACAAAACCGCAGGAGAATAAATAGCAGATGATACATAAAATGTACTCAAGAGAAACAAACAACAATCACAAATGAACATTTGCTGGTCTTATATTGTAGGACTTCTTCGCATACACGTATGCTCTTTGTGTGGGATGACATGATTATTAACTGAACAATACTCAAAACTCATCTGCTTAATTGAGTGAACATTGATGCGTACTTGCCGAAAGTCTGAAAAGCTAGATCGGCTAACCTTTTATGTATTAATCATTTATTAATAATAGAAAACGCATAGACAAGGCAAGAAATATGACTTGTCGTACCAATAAACTGCCAACTACCAAACAATCTGCAACCCAAAGATAAGAACCATTAGAGTGGTTGGTAATTACTGCCACTTCTCAAGGATAACCTGAAGTCATTATTACATTAGCTACGCTTATTTAAGGATACCATAGTTGACACTAGTTACAGATTTATTTTCTAAGATCTAATAATTATCTCTGGAACTGTGAAACGACTGAAATCCTGAACTGAAAACCCAATGTATAGGTGCATTCCAATTGCAATTTCTAATAAGCGAATGAATCTGTAAAGCTATGCTCTGGAGGCCATTGCAATAGATCCTGAATAACATAGCGGAACGAAATTGGGCATGATTTTTTCAACAATACTTTCAAGTATCATACAAGTATCCTTCAAGTATCATATAAATATCTTTCAGTTTCTCCCAGCATTTTTTAGGTGATTTCAAGTATTCACTATACTTCCTAATTCTGAGTAGGACCTTTCTTTTAATGAGTCTATGACAGGTCCAAATGCCGCCCATCGACTTATCGATCGCGAACTTACCTGATCTTCAATTTCAGGGCCACCCGACGACAAACGAACAAAACACAACACAAACTTCCAACATTTAGATTTTGCTACCGGCATTCGCCCCAATTATCACCACCTCTTCCTTTGCTTATCTATCCGCCCCCAAAGTAGCGGTAAAACTCGTCTACGATAAGGTCACGTGCATATCGCCATGTCACGTGCACTTGTGAATCACCAATCTTCTTCAAACTTCAGCCGCCCATCAAGAAACCACAACCACCATGTCTTTTGCTGCCAACGGGAAGAGTGCGCTGCCTCCAGCGGAAAGCTTTTCAGAGGGCCCCTTTGGGCTTTCTTCTGATCCTGCTTCTTTGAAGCAGACCGTATATTCTTCTGCCTCGACCATTATCAGCCAAACCATCTATTCTTTGGCCAGCACCATTTTCTCCTTTGAAAGTTTGGGCGCCGAAAACTTTGTGGATGGGGAATTGCAGCTTTGGGCGCAACAGTATCGCCGCCCTAATGCTGTAGGCGCCGTGCCTCCTTTGCATCGGCTCGAGCCCCGCACGGGCGCTGCGCATGCTCTCTTGGGGTATGCGCGCAACGGTGCCCCTACTACGGCCGTGTTGGGCTGCCAAATGCGGTGTCGTACAATGCAACCCAGTTTTAGCAAGCCCCTGCCCCGGGGTCCGATCTGCTTGCATGTGAGCGCAGTCGACTATGATGTGGAGCTGAGCACTTATGTGTCCAGCTACGCGGGTGCGGTGGCTGCCGCCCGTGCTGCCGGTCGCCCAGTGGTGAGTGCAGTGGACTCGCGCGCCCTGGATTTGCAGCACTCGACCATCTTTGCGCACTTTCTCTCGGCCGCCACGCGCGCCCCAGCGCTTCATGTGTTTGACGGCCCAGAGTTCGCACGCACTTTTGCGCGCTTCCACGGCGTCATGTCTGTGCCCGCGCTTGGCCGTTTGTACCAGCAACTTCTTGCTGTTGGAAGTGGTGCACCTGCCAGCATCGATGCGGCTGTCGACTGGGCTTTTGCAACATACAACAAGGAGGCTGGCACAAATTTGCAGCCATTTGAGTATGTGGGCCATGCATCGCCCGAGACTGTGTTTGTGGTGCATGGTGCGCATGAGGCCGCACAGCTCAAGGCTGTAGTGAAGCGTGCTGCCCAAACGGCTCCAGTCGGTGTTGTTACTGTTCGTGTGCCTTTCCCATTCAGCCAGGCTCGCTTCACCGAAGTTATTCCTTTGACAACTAAGAACGTGGTGGTATTGTCTGCCGAAGAGGGCTCAGCATTGAAGGCCGACGCTGCCGCTGCATTGTTCTTTGCCGGTCGCTTTTCCCTGGTCGTTGTGGACGAGTTCATCTATCCACCTAACTTTGTTTGGTCGCCCATCACCGTGTTGAAGGTTGTGACCGAGTTTGCACCTTCTGTCGACCATGCTGTCGTGTTGGCAAGCGAGCGTGCCCCAGTCGGTGAGATAACGGCCAACACCTCCCCTGAGGGGGCCTTTTTGGTGTGGGCTAAGGACAACAGTGATGTTGTCCACACGGCTGGAAAGTTGGCACTCTCTTTGTCTTTGGACAACTCCAAGGAACGTGAGTATCAGAAACAAGTTTGACACTTCTGTTGGTGGTGGTATTTTCCATTCGCAGATAATCTCTTCCTCTTCCCCAGACCTGTCTTCCGCCGTGGACTCTGCTGATGTGGTCTTCGTCGAGGACGCCTCGATTTTGTCCTCTTTCGATGTGTTAGCTACTGCCAAGCCAGGTGCTACTATCTTGTTGGCTAACCACAAGAAGATTGCTACTACTGTGGAGCAGGACTTTGTGGAAAAATTGCCTGTGGAATTTAAACGCACCTTGTCGAAGAACCATCTTCAACTTACAGTCGTCGACTTCTCTATCGTTGATGAATTGGATGCCTTGAGCGATTCGACTAAAGGATTCTCCGCTGATTTCTTAGCTCAGGTTGCGTTCTGGCGTGCAGCAATGCCCGACTTGGGTGGCTTTGTTGTAAACAAATTGTTGCAGGCGAACGGAAATAACTTCGAATTATTGGCCGCCGTCTTGGACAAATTTGTTGCGACAGTAGATGAAAAACAAGCTTTGAAGTCCGTAAGTGTTCCTTCCGAATGGGCATACTTGGAAGATGCAGAGGAGGAGGAAGACCTGTTGCCTTTGCCTTACTTCCCAAGTGAAACATCGTTCTTCCCTAATCCTCGAGTTGAACCAGCAAGTGCGGAGGAGTCTGCCCATGTTGGTGTTTCTGACTTGGCTGCTAAACTTGCATTCCCGGAAGCCTTTGGTGTTTCCAAGGAATTGAGACCCGATTTGCCTGTGAAGAACTTTGTGGTCAAGGTCCAGGAAAACAAGAGGTTGACACCTTCGGAGTACTCCAGAAACATTTTCCACATTGAGTTTGACATTACGGGCACCGGCTTGACTTATGAAATTGGTGAAGCTTTGGGCATCCATGGTCGCAACAACTCAGAACATGTGGAGGAGTTTTTGAAATTCTACAACGTGGATGGCGACTCATTAGTTGAAGTTACTAACAAGGATGACACATCTTTGTATGAAGTTAGATCAGCTAGACAAGCATTGGCAGACAATGTTGACTTTTTGGGTAAGCCACCGAAGCGTTTTTACGAGGCGTTGGCCCACATATGCTACAGACGAAAAAGAAAAAGCAGCATTAGAGAAGTTGGCTAGTGGAGAAGGTGCAGAAGAACTAAAGAAAAGACAGGAAGTTGATTTCTCTAGTTATGTCGACATTTTAGAGGAGTTTAAATCGGCGCGTCCATCCTTTAGTGAATTGGTTAGAATCATTGCACCATTGAAGAGAAGAGAGTATTCTATTGCTTCTTCTCAGAAAATGCATCCTAATGCAGTGCATTTATTGATTGTTGTTGTGGACTGGGTCGACTCCAAGGGTAGGACCAGATATGGTCATTGCTCGAAGTACTTGTCGGACTTGAAGATTGGTGATGAATTGGTGGTCAGTGTAAAGCCAAGTGTCATGAAATTGCCTAAGTTGCCAGAGCAGCCAATTGTAATGTCTGGTTTGGGTACAGGTTTGGCTCCGTTCAAGGCTTTCATTGAGGAAAAGATTTGGCAACAAAGCCAGGGCCATAAGATTGGTGAGATCTACTTGTACATGGGTTCCAGACATAGAAAGGAGGAGTATCTTTACGGTGAGTTGTGGGAAGCGTATAAAGCGGCTGGTATTTTGACTCATATTGGAGCAGCTTTCTCGCGTGATCAACCCCAGAAGATCTACATTCAAGATAAGATTAGAAGCTCCATTGAAGAGTTGACTGATGCCATTGTTACCAAGAATGGTTCTTTCTACTTGTGTGGTCCTACTTGGCCTGTTCCAGATATCACCGCTTGTTTGCAGGACATTGTCCAGAACGGAGCTAAGAGAGAAGGCAAAGAAATCAAGGACGTCGCTAAGGTTGTTGAAGACATGAAGGAAGAAGGACGCTACATTTTGGAGGTTTACTAGAGCCTTTTCTAAAACGAACGTATATTTATAAAGCGAATGGACGTTGAATTCAAAGGATGATCACCACGGCGATAACAATTCCGAGTAAAACCTGAATCTGATAAACCGCAGTGGATGAAACAGAACCTGCGATGGGCAATACCTTGTTTGCCGCGCCGACGTATGTCAGGACGAAAGCAGAAGAGACAGTCAGAAGCGACTCTGTAGTCAGTAGTGTCGAGGTAACCAAAGCTGCTTGTAAAACAGGATGTGCACACCCGAGGGTAGGAGGAATTGATTGCGAGTTTTCCGGAGAAGTGAAACGTAGGTGGTGAAATAGAATATGAAACATAAGGAATTGAGGAAAGTGAGCCCTCTGGAGGAAATTCAGATGTGGACTCTGATTGAGAAGTCGAAGGGACGTCAGAAGTTGATTCGAAGTCAGACGTTGACTCAAAGTCAGACGTTGACTCAAAGTCAGAAGTTGATTCAAAGTCAGAAGTTGATTCGAAGTCAGACGAAAGCGAAGGAAAAGGTATTGCGGTTGTGGAAACACTTAATGCTTCCTCTGGACTAGTTCCAGATGTTAAAGTAGAGCTGGAAGTAATATCCTCGCTAGACATATCAGATGTGGAGATCTGTTGAGGAGTAGAAGGACTGATTTCTGGATGCTTTTGAACTCCACAATCGGCAGACGTACAAGCAAGGTCAGTCAGGACAGGTTCGCATGTTGAATCGTGACAAGTAATAGTCGAGATTGTAGTAGAAGATAGGGTTGATAAATATGTTGACTCTGGAGTAGATGTGACCTCGCTTGAGGTAAGTTTGGAAGACGAAAGAGTTGAAGACAATTCCGAAGGAGTTGAAGAATATTCCACGGTAGAAGGAAGAGAAGAAAAGTCGGGGGAAGAAACGGATGTTGAAACGTCGGGAATAGACAGGGGAGGTGAAGACGAAGTGAAGGGAACGAATGGAGAAGAGAAAAAGCTGGAAGTCGACGTAGAGACAGAAACTGAAGATGTAGAGGGGGTTGAAGAAGTAGAACCAGAACTGGTAGTTGGATTAGAATTTGAACTAGAACTGGAACTTGAGCTAATGCTAGAGCTGTAACTAGAACCAACTCTAGAACCGGAACTTGAACTAATGCTAGAACTTGAACTAGAGTTAATGCTAGAACTTGAACTAGAGCTAATGCTAGAACTGAAACTGGTGCTGGAGCTTATCCTGAAACTAGAAACAGAACTAATGCTGGTGCTAGAACTCAATGACAGGGTTGATAGACTAGAAAGCATAGTCAGGGAAGTTTCTGCGCAGAGAGAACAGGGCAAAGTTGTAGTGGTGCAGGGAGTGGTGGTAGAAGTGGAACAGTTCTGCTCGACTGTAGATGTTGAATAGACAGAAACTGGCGTAGAGGTGATGAGTGAAGAGCTAGAGTCGACAGAGGTAGAGCTGGAAGAAATGGTGAAAGAAGACAATGGCTCGATCTGGTATGGGAACTTTCACTTGTAGAGGAGACTGCCAGAGAGCTTGAAGAACTGAATAGATGTACTTGAGCTCAAAGAAGAACTAGATGAGGAAGACACCTTCGAGGAAGAATCTGCAGAGCTCGATACTGTAGAACTCGAGCTAGAGACGACGGTAGAACTGGAGGTAGAACTGAAGGTAGAACTGGAAGAAGAAATGGAAGAAGAAATGAAACTCGAGGTTTAGCTTGAGCTTGAACTTGAGCTTGAACTTGAAATTGAACTTGAAATTGAACTTGATGTTGAGCTTGAGCTCGAGACAGAAGTTGAGCTAGAGATTGAACTCGAGCTAGAAGATGTACTTGAACTAGAAATTGCGCTCGTGCTTGAACTCGAGCTTGTAGTCAGACTCGTGTGTGTCGTACATGGGGGAGTAGACAGAGCTGGAGTAGAGCTCAAAGCAGAGGAGAGAACCGAATGTGGAGTTGGGCTTGTCAGAGAACTGTATCTGGAAGCAACCGAAGATGTGGGCTCAGAAGCGGAGGAGGAAGTGACAATGGAGCTCAAAGAATCAGAACTAGAACTGAAACTAGTAGAACTGGAACTAATAGAACTGGAACTAGTAGAACTGGAACTAGTAGAACTGGAACTAATAGAACTGGAACTAATAGAACTGGAACTAAGAGAACTGGAACTAAGAGAACTGGAACTAAGAGAACTGGAACTAATAGAACTGGAACTAATAGAACTGGAACTAATAGAACTGGAACTAATAGAACTGGAACTAATAGAACTGGAACTAATAGAACTAATAGAACTGGAGCTAGTAGATGTCGTCGTGCAAGGCGATGTCGTAACGGTAGTTGAAGAGGTTGTACATGGCTCTGGCTCAGATGTAGATGTAGTGGTGGAACTTGTAGTGGTGGAGTCTGTTTCTGGACAATAAGTCAGGTAATCAGTGGAATAAACTTCAGATGTCACGACGTCTGTGTATGTCCTGGGTTTTAAACTGCATCCATTGTCTGAACAATGGGTTACTGTTATCACCCGAATGGAAGTAGTTAGAAAAGTGGATGTGACATAAACAATATCTGCCAACGCAAGAGAGGATAGGAAAGCGAGAGACAAGAGCATGGCGTGCTGCCGTTATCTCAAGATCACGGCTGCCATCTTATACGTTTACAAAGCTAGTGGTTGATGAATCTAGATGTTTCGAGTGGATTTTGACGTGCTTCTGTTTCCCACTTCTGACTGGGATGCGACGTTTGAGATTGTAGATGTGAGACAAGCTGAAACAGTGGCGAAACAATAACGAAACTGGCACAAGAGCAAAAAATTAAGAGGAATTGGTGGTAACTAGGAGAAAATATGTTAGTGGTGATGAAAGGAGCCAACCCTTGCTGTCTCTTTGCAATTGCCGGTCGGAATGGCCTAGTCTTTGGCTTAAACTTTCCATGAACTAATCATGCACGAGATGCGCTAAGCCGCATGCATGAGAAATTCAAATGCAAGCATAGATGCATCTCGAGATTTTCCTGCATTCCCTCTTGAAAATATAGAATACGGACCGTGTCGAAGGGGAATGCACAACGGCAAATCTAGAAAATACTTTTTCCGCGTTGAAAAGCAAACGCCGGCTAGTGCTATCCCAATTCGTCTTCAGATTCAAATCCGTCTTTGGATAGGGCTGGCTTCACCTCAATGTGATAAGTGCTAGGGAAGGTTACGGTCCTTATGCATATCGTATTATACGGGATCGTATGGTTATGGTGTTTTTCTATCTGTTATACTCTGAATCCTGCTCAGTTGCTGGCCCTCTGACTCAAAAGGATTGATTGGAGCTTCTGCAGGATAAGAATCTCCGCAGACGGATCAGATGCTGCGCCGCTTATTCGCAAAACCAGCCACCAAACTACCCAATTTGTATTATTGTGCTTCGGGTTCTACTAAAATTACAAAATTTTGAAAACCTTCAAACGTTTATGAAAGTAAATAAGCTGTCCGTAAAAGAGGGCGTGCCCACACAGTGGAAGCACTTAGCAACTAGAAAGCACCAAAGTACAATGCAGAATTGCTCGTACGTCCCGAAATTAAAACACCATGAAAATTATGCAAAACGCATGCGTTGGAAAAGTAGAATGCAAAGTTGTGGTTTCTCCCGAATATTAGAGGTTTTTCTAGATTGTTTACAAAAGGTAAGCAGCTGGAATAGCAACCAAAGCCAACAAAGAACCACCGACCTTGGCAGCACCACCGAAAGCAGTGGTGACAGCTGGAGCAGAAGAGGTACCAGCGCTGGTGACAGTGGAAAGGGTGACAACTGGAGCAGTGGTCTCTGGGTTAGATGGACCAGTGGTAACCTCAGTAGAGGTGACTGGGCACCAAGTAGAGTAGACAGTGGTCTCACCACCCTTGGTCTCAGTAGTCTCACCCCAGGTGGCTGGAGCAGTGGTCTCGTGGCACTTGTTGTCAGAGCAAGAAGTCACGGTGACAACGGTGGTAGAAACAGTCTCAGTAGCAGTAGAAGGAACTGGGCACCAAGTGGAGTAGACAGTGGTCTCACCACCCTTGGTCTCAGTAGTCTCACCCCAGGTGGCTGGAGCAGTGGTCTCGTGGCACTTGTTGTCAGCACAAGAAGTGATAGTAACAACAGTGGTAGAGGCAACCTCAGTGGTGGTGACTGGGCACCAAAGTAGAGTAGACAGTGGTCTCACCACCCTTCTTGGTCTCAGTGGTCTCACCCCAGTGGCTGGAGCAGTGGTCTCGTGGCACTTGTTGTCAGAACAAGAAGTGATGGTGACAAGAGTGGTAGAGAGCTCAGTCTTGGTCACAACTGGGCACCAGGTAGAGTAGATGATGGTGGTGTCAGCCTTAGTCTCGGTGGTGACGCCCCAAGTGGCTGGAGCAGTGGTCTCAGTACACTTGTGGTCAGAGCAAGAGGTGATGGTGACAATGGTAGAAGAGACGCCGGTAACGGTGGAGGTGACGTCAGAGCCAGAGGCAGTAGCAGAGCCAGAGGCGGATTCAGATTCAGTAGTAGAACCAGAGCCAGGAGCAGAAGAAGAGGAGGTGTCTGGGTCGGTGACGTCGAAAGTCAATTCAGAGCTTGGAACGGCGGTACCAGTAGCAGCCTCGACCTTGGCAACGATGTCGGCCTCGTCTCTCTTCTCAGTCTCGATTTGGAATCTCTTTCTCAAAGCAGCAGTAGAGTTGGAAGCTGGAGACTCTTCAAGGTGGACGTGGAAAAGAGCAGCAGCAGCAGCGTTGTACAAGTCCTTGGCTGGAATCTCAATGACTCTGCCAGCACCTGCAATGTCGTTGAAGATCTTTCCAGATTGGACCTCAGTGTAGTAAGCGTCAACAAGGTAGTCCTCGTCAGAAGCATAACGGAAGTTGACTGGGAGAGAGCTTGGGATTGTGAATGGACAAACACCAGTGTCCAAGTCAACGACGGATTGTTGAACACCGTTGACACGGCAAGCAACATCTTGAGCAATAGCAGTGGCGGCGACCACAGAGGTGGCAACAACAGTGGAGAACTTCATTGAGTAGCGAATGGAAGAAGTTGAAGCTGTTGGAAGGAGAAATCTAGGGTTGCGGAAGGCGCTCCTTTTATTGTGCTTTGGGAAGCTTTGCTGCAAAAAAAAACGTGGTTTGGCGCGTTGCGGCAAACGCAGGATGGTATGCATGTCGGTAATATTTTCTATGCCGTGTTGTACGATCGCGCATAGACGCTTAAAGGATGAAATACCTGCATCTCACTCTGTACGCAGACCTCTGAGCTGATATCTGGGCGGTGTTCTGGGGAACCCCCTTTTGTAAAGGACCAACATGGTCTGAAGGGCAATTGGGGCTAGGTGGTATATCTTGAAATGGCTTATTTTTGGCTGCGGTTGTTTTTATTTCCCTCACGCTACTAAAAGCCTATGGTGGCGAAGTTGTTTGACGAAGGCACGGTGCGTCAAATCTGTGCGCAATACAGGCGCGATCTCTAGTGGACTTTTTCCGCGGACTCCCAATTTAACATGGACTAAAGCTGCAAGTACTACCGAAGGCCCTCTGCAGGCAAATGGGAAAGCAAAATAGTGCAAAAGAAAAAAGAGGCCCCGCATAGGCGCCAATACATCTGCAATTGCAAAGATAGATTGCACTTCAGAGAATCTTGATCGCTGCTTTGGGCTCAAACACCAACGCAAAGCAAGCCAAGTTTTAGGTGGCAAAGGCTCATACGGTGTTCCAATAATACATGGTACTGTAGGGATCTGCACCTATTGCAGCCCAGTGCGTCCGAGATCCTTCACTCAAATGTGTGCAGGTGTAAATACAGCTATGTGCCAGATATTATTTTGGGGCTGGCTCTCTTCACTGTTTAGTAAGCCCCTCGTACCCCATGTTGCTCATGTAGATGCTATTACCTCACATACGGAATTCTCGATCAGTAAGTATTCGCGTGGCAAATGCTCTCTTGGCTAAGTTCGCCATTCTGTGTTGTCTGATGCTTCCGATGTGTTGTGGTTATTTTTTCTTTATCGCAATCCAATATTTTGTAGCCTCGACATGGATGTTTATTTTCTAGTATCTAAACTCTCAATGGGCGCATTATTATCTCGATATTGCCAAGAACTCAAACCTCCTAAGTATGATCCTCAATTGAGTACTTTGGACGCGGTCACTTTTAGAAGATATCAAAACGAAGCTTGACTTCTCGTAACTACCATTACATTATCTCCCCTAGTGGCCAGAAGACCGAGCAAAATAGAATAATATAGAAAAAAATTCAGCTACGTTTTTCGATTCAACCTAACCAAGCTTATCTCCACCATAGTATATTTTAGAAGCACTTTTATTTGTTTTCATTGCGTAAAGCGTAAAGCTTCATTGGGTGAATCGGCTTCTCTTCAAGTTGCGTGCTTCCTTCTGTCGGTCTAAGCGCATTCGTGATTTCGCGATACGAGATATACCGTCTGTTTGTTTTCCCCAGAGGCTTGGCACATTACGATAAATGCCATACTCTTTCATTGGAGGCCGCTTCAATCAATTGTTGGCAACTCATATGTTTTTTTTTAGTATGAATAAGAATATTCACATTGTATGGTGATTTTTGGTGAGGCTACGAGATGATCTGGTTATGAAAATTTCCCATGTATCCCGTTTCTCGTATGAAGGTTTGCATGATAACCTGAAATTGGACAGTCTTCATTTGCATGAATCGGAATCTTCACGAAAAAAGCGCACGACGCATTCATTTACTAATGCAAACCTTACAGTCATTATACAGGCCTCTCGTCATTTCGGGAATGTAGATCCTTGATCCAAGTGCGAGAATCATTAGCGGCATTTTCGAACACTACAGAAACATTGCACACACGCACACACACACGCGTACATGTTCAATATCTTTTCTGATCGATTGTGAACAATCGTTGATTGAAAGAAAATAATGATTCCTGACGCGTGACAGCCTACATGTAACAATTTTCATCATAACTGGCATTGTGGCCGAGTGGTTAAGGCGATGCACTCGAATTATTTCGGGCACATGCATTGGGCTCTGCCCGCGCAGGTTCGAATCCTGCTGATGTCGTTATTTTTTTCTCTTTCTTAGAAGATAGTCGAATTTTGCTTGTAGTGAACCACCACAGGTTTTCAGATGGTGGCGGGACTAAGAAGATATTGTTAAACCATGTGTTATGGATTTTTTTCGACTCGTTACTTTTGGCGCAGGGCTTCGTTTAGTAAGACAATCGCATTTTCTAGATAATGCATTCATGCGCTTTTCTCATCAAATCTTACGATGTGACAGGCGACGACTTCATGGCACTTGTGTGTTTTATAATGGATGCCTGTATTGCACCGCAAAATATATGTAGTTATCAATAGTCATCCAATTCTCTGTCAATGAATGTGTGCTATCCATTCACGATGCAGAGTAAGGGAGAGCTTGTCGGGTTCTCAACATCAACATGTAAAGGAACTAATCAAGACTGTAAAGGCACTAAAGAGCCACGCACAGAGTCTAACATTATCAGATCAGGTGAAGAACATCAAAAATAATCCTTCAAATATAGCATCCCCTACTTGTGCATAGGCAAATCAAATATTTATAGAATCAATCAACAAACTGAAAAGGGAAACATACTCAAGGTTCCCCCTTGACGTTAAAACGCATATTCAAAAAAATTGCGCATACATAATCCGGATGCACAGCAAATGTATATCAAGTATGCTTGATAGCCGCAAGGGGCGGATAAAATTAGAACAAGAACTCACATGCTTTTCTTGGTGCTTTTTGTTCGGAGATAGCTATCCCTGATGTTCACATTGGATGATGTTATTTATAGTAATTGAACGAGCATGTTCCTTACAATTACATCCCAGTTTTATGTTCCGCTGAGTCTTAATTGACCTAAAAAGTAATCTGTCATAACTGGCATTGTGGCCGAGTGGTTAAGGCGATGCACTCGAATTATTTCGGGCACATGCATTGGGCTCTGCCCGCGCAGGTTCGAATCCTGCTGATGTCGTTATTTTTTGTAGCGCTTTTCTTTTTGAATTCTACACATAAAGTCATCTCATCTTCTCCACATTAAACCATGCCCAAAGTCAGCAATAAAAAAACGCCTCCCGAAGGATACGACCGCATTGAACCCACTCTTACGAAACTTCGAGAAAAACTAAAAGATGCTCAAAAAGCGTCATTGAAGACGGAAACGAAAAACACATCGCTCTGGCCAATCTTCAAGCTCAACCATCAGATTAGTCGATATGTATACATGATGTACTATGAGCGTAAACTTATCTCCCGTGAGTTATACGACTATCTTCTTCGACAGAAGTATGTCAATGCGGATTTGATTGCCAAATGGAAGAAGCAAGGGTATGAAAAGCTCTGCTGTGTCAATTGCATTATCGTCAATGAGAAAAACCACGAAACAACATGCATATGCCGAGTGCCTAGATCGGAACTAAAAGAAAACCGCAACAAAGACGGATGTGTGACATGCGGATGTCGTGGATGTGCAAGTACAGACTAGGCTCTGTTATTCCTTGTGCTTCCCAAGGATAATTGGAGAGTTCATCACTGAATTACAGATTTTTGCTTGCCCTGAAATGCTAATTCAGCTAAACAATAGTCACTTTTTAGTCTTGAAGAATGCATCATAGTCGTATAGCCGACATAATTTTACTCGGTGTCTTTCCTTTGAAACTTTGGAGTGATAATAGATGGCCTTCAGCATATTGCGGAAACTTCAGTTTTGATCCTCTGTCTCACATATATGGGACAATCATTGGCGAACTGTCAGTTTGGTGCCGTTGCGTGTCTACTAATTTACTTTGGTCGGAATACTATGAGAAACCAAATAATCATTTAGCATATTGCAAGCTCTGGTTTCTATGGTAAAGGGACATTTGTAAAGAAAGTCAAGTCTAATGTATGATTATCGAAAGGAGTAATATGTAGTGATATTAATAGAGATGTATATTGATCGTCATGAAATGTTCCATCAAATGTATAATCACAACTGATCACAAACGCTCACACCGCAGCCACGATCTACCAAACTCACCAAAAATTAATTATTGAATAATACACGAGAGAAGAAACCATCCCGGTGCTGCTAAATGCGCACCTATAATACAAAAAGCCTTCCTCAGCGAAGCTGAATGTCCTTCACCAAACATGTTATCCCGTTTGGTCCACATCGGTTTCTTCGGCAGGGTCCAGGTCCGCTTTACGTAACTCATGGAGAAGACTGGCACGGCCAGGAGCACGCGGGCTATCAAAAGCACGCATCAACATGTCGTCGTCGTCGTACGAGTTAAGCACGGCCCGCGTGTTTCCGAATGGAGAGTAGTAAAACTCTTCAAGGTACGACGGCGAATGCCACAATTTGCGCATCACAGTACCGCTCAGCGGTGTTCGTAGCGTGCGAAGCGGCGTCTTGGCTCCCGATTTGGGTGTTCTGGCCACTCCAGAACGCGGGGTGGTAAATGTTGGAATTGGGGGCTGTAGTTGCGGGAGATGCTGCGACACAACACGGTTCAATGTGATCGCCGGTAGACTTTGCAGAAACGCGCCGTTCTGTGGTGGTAAAGGTTCTAGCAAAGGACCCGTTTCTAGTGGCTGGACAGGCAGAAGCTCAAAGTTCAGACTACAGCTGAAACTCAGTGCAAATGTGAGATGCTTGCCTGCGAGCAACGGTGCGGGCGATTCGGAAACAACCAATGCTGGCGCAGGTGTGCGGAGTAAGGATGAATCAAAGTCTGGTCCTGTGGAATCAGACTCATAATCTGTAGAAATCCGGGACCTTTTCAGGGGATTCTCGCCTTCTGTGTCTGATGGTCGCTTACGTTCATCGTGAGCTTGTGGTGGCGGCGACAGTGGTAGCATGCTGATTGCCTGCTGACGAGCAGTAGCCAATTGGTCCATCACCTCATGGTACAGGCTTTTCTTATTATTCTTCGCCTTCAAAAACAAGTCCTCGCACTCAGGCTTGATGCACCAGAAGTGGCCCTTGCCGTCTTTGGATTTTGCGCCTTTCACAAAAGCCTTATTTAGCGACAAGTTGTGGCGGATCAGGTTCTGCCATCCCACGTCTTCACGGCGGTAGTACTTGAATGTTTCGGATATCCACGTGTAGATCTGCGAAAGCGTGAGCTGCTTGTCTGGATGCGTCAAGATGGACATGCCAATGAGCGTGGCGTATGAGTACGGGGGTTTTTCGTTCGAGTCGAGGGAAAATCCTTCTCGCGCGTCCCGTTTAGTTTTCTTGGGCCGTTTCTTCTTGCCATCTTCAAGCACCGGTGCACACTCGAGACCCGAGACAGCAGGCGCCAGAAAGGGAGCGGTTTCGGAAAACGCTGGTGCCATACACCGGGGCGATTTCATGAGAGAGCTTGGGTTTTGGAATACGGGAGGCTGCTGCTGTTGCGGAGACGAAAACGCTGGAGACATAAGAAGGCTGCGTGCGGCGGAGCTGGCGTCGGAGGTGCGGACTGGAGTGTCCAAGACTGAGTGGTTGCGTTTGGCGTAGACGGAATGAGGAGGCGTGGTGATCTTAGTCAGAAGATGGGTAGCGGGCGTTTCTGCAACCGTTTCTGCCGCCGATATGGGCACGTTGAGGTTTTGCGAGAACAAGGGTTTTCTCGACATGGGACTCGGGGTGCAGAGTCGAACTGGGGAAGCAGACGAGGGGATGTCTAATAAGCAGAGACGCTCTTGGAAGCACAAAGGAGACGCTCGAGATGGGAAAGGAAAGATGGGAGCAGCGCAGACAACGGAAACAAAAGACGGAAATAAAAAGACGGAGCGGGCTCTTTGATTTTTTTTTTTTTTTTATCCCTTGTCTGCTCAGGGAGATGGGTGGAAGTGGAATTAAAACGCTTTTGGGCGAAACGCGCCTGACAGCTCGCGTCCTGCAGGAACACCAGGGTTTGCAAACACCGCGAAGCGTGTCTGACTGCAGATACTCCGTGGTCTGCATGTAGGCCTCGACTCCGCTTGTGCACCTGAAACTGTCTGTTTGTTCCAGACGGCACACGTCTTTCTAGATGTCTTGTTTGGAACGGCGTGGGTTCGTCGTGCGGCCAGCCATATGTGCAGACGCTGGTGCAAGGTGTGTTCTGTCTGTTCACGTGACCGGCCAATCGCTCGCCCACATCGCTCTTTGCCCATGTCTTGTTGCTCGCCTGTATTAGTGGCAGTGCGTGACTTGGCTTACGCTGCGTGCGCTCTGCCCGCGTACTGTTCAGTCCGCTTCCACTACATGCTCTCTACACCGATTCTCACCAAGACAGACCGAGCGTACTGAAAACCACATTCCAGGCACCATGGACGACACCACACGGTCGCTTCTTCGTTTTGTGGCTCGAGGCTTTTACTCGCGGCCCTACATTCTTATTCTCGACGCTGTTCTTATCCACTCGGTGCTTTCCGAAGACGATCTCATCTACCTTCTAGGAATCAATCGGAAAGAACTCCGCTCGCTCTGCAACAAGCTCGTGGACGACCGCATCATCGCCTCGCATAACCAGAAGGAGGAAAACCCGCAGCAGCGACTTACGAACAGAACATACTACTATATTCACATCACTGAGGCCATCGACGCCATAAAATGGAAAGTCCATTCGATTGTCTCGTCTATCAAAGAGGAAATGTCGCTGTACGGTAACCCCCATGGCTACTTATGTCCCCGTTGCGGGAAAAAAGTCAGTCAGCTCGACGCCATTTCTTTGCTCAGCGACGATGGGGCTAGCTTCATTTGCGATTCGTGTTCTGGCGTGCTTGTAGAGGATGATTCGCTGCAACAAGCGTCCATCAAGCAAGAGAAGTTGGAAAAACTCATGCTTCAGTTGGACCCAATCATCGGGTACTTGAAGAAAATCGATAACTCCGACATTGAAGATAACAACTTCGAGATGGCCTTGACGAAGGCTATCCCAGCACAATCGGGCTCTACAGCTTCGTATATGATGTCCAACCGTGTTCCTGGAAAATCAAAATCACAAATCTCCCAGTCTCTCCAGAACGCTGCGTCGAAGGCCAACGCAACGTTGCATGTTTCCATTACCGCTTCGGACGAAAACTACGAGCGCGAGCAGCAAGAGAAAGAAAGTCGCAGACAGAAATTGGAGCAAAATGCGTTACCTTCGTGGCATTCCGCTTCCACAGTGGGCCAAACAAGCAGTTTTGGTGTTCATGACGATGACGCCGATGTCACAGTAAAGGAAGAAAAGCCTGTGGTAAAGGAAGAGGGTGAGGCTACGCCAGAGGTGGAGCTGCACTTGACTGAAGCGGAAAAGAAAGAGAAGGAAGCTCAAGACGTCCTTGCTGCTTATTACGCAGACTTGGCCGAAAGAGAAGCGGACGAAGACGATGATGATGACGATGATGACGACTTAGAAGATCTCGAGGACATTTAAATCTGTACACACGCTGTGTCCATTAATGACTATGGTTGGCAGTGCTTTCTTTCATAAGTCTTCAGTGGTGATGTTCTAATGATGTGTCTACATTAGTCATCGCTTTTTATAGACTTTGTTCATGATTAGCCTTTGAAAAATGGCATGAGTTGCTGGTGGGCTTCCACATCCTTTTATCTCTCAGATTCATTTGCATAATAGAGGATCGGATAAAACCAGAAGAAATGTATGGCCCTTTTATGAGACACAACCAATATGTTAATTGTCACGCACAATTCACCCATGCAACGCAATCCAAATACTTAACTTAAGCATGCTTTTCGACTCCCGCGGTTTAGACTTTGCTCTGTAATTAAATCAGCAATCCTATAACATTACTTCATTCTTCTATGGAATTTTACAATTCCCTAAACTAATATAAGATAACCAATGATCGATGGAGTGCTCTGTACATGAATTTACGTATCTGTGATTCTGAGTCATGTTCGCGCACCAGAATTTCCACTGAGTCACACACCATAAAGCACTATGTCTTCAGACAAAAAGGTATGTAGTCGGGTTTCCCATACTCTTATCCGTTTGCATTGCTAACATTATAGACTGTCGACCCTTTCAAGTCGTTTATAGCCGGAGGCACAGCAGGTGCCGTTGAAGGCGTTATCACCTATCCTTTCGAGTTTGCCAAAACTCGCTTGCAATTGGTGGACAAATCGTCCAAAGCGTCGAGAAACCCATTGGTTTTGATCTACAACATTTCCAAAACACAAGGTGTATCGTCATTGTATGTCGGGTGTCCTGCTTTCGTTGTGGGAAACACTGTTAAGGCTTCAGTGCGCTTTCTAGGTTTTGATTCCATCAAGGCTCTTTTGGCTGATAAAGATGGCAAACTTTCCGGTCCGCGTGGTGTGCTTGCAGGTTTGGGCGCAGGCTTGTTGGAATCCGTTGTGGCTGTCACGCCCTTTGAAGCCATCAAAACTGCTTTGATTGACGATAAACAGACGGCTAAGCCTAAGTACCAAAATGGACTTCTTTCTGGTACAACGAAGCTCGTGCGAGACTTGGGCTTCAAAGGTATTTATGCTGGTGTTGTTCCTGTTTCAATGAGACAAGCTGCTAATCAAGCAGTCCGTTTGGGGGCATACAACTCCATCAAGACAATGATCCAGCAGGCTACAAATACCAGGCCCAACGAGCCTTTGTCGTCGGCTGCAACGTTTGCAGTGGGATCTCTTGCAGGAATTATCACGGTTTACTCCACCATGCCGATCGATACGGTCAAGACACGGATGCAGGCGTTGGGTGCCGAGAAACTTTATTCTTCCACCTGGAACTGCTTCTCAAAAATCTTCAAAGAGGAAGGGTTATTGACCTTTTGGAAAGGTGCCACGCCCCGGCTTGGGAGGTTGGTACTTAGCGGAGGCATTGTGTTTACAATCTACGAAAAAATGTTAGTGGTGATGGCATAGCATGAATAAATGCAGAAACGGACTCTTCCGTGAATAACCTATGTAAGGGGTAACCGTGCGGCACAGCAGCCGTAATCTAGTGAAAATGTAACAGAAAGTAAACCTATGGTATCTGTACTCAGTCCTCGCTTGGTCCGTCTGCTGGTTCTGTAGATGTATGTGTTTCAGGCTGCGCTTGCGGTGCAAGCATGCTTCTCTCCATCTGCTTCACGTGGTAAAAATCATAGACAGCCTTCAATACCATGAAAATCCCAAATGCAATAACTCCGTAAGCAAAATAAGGCTCCCGCAGCGACACCTCGCGGGCTAGAGAGTCCAGATGCTGCTGGAATCCCAGTTGATATTTGTCAACGCGGCCACCAGATTTAATGGACAGAGACTTGGAAATATCCAACAGGTTTGGGTTGTCTGGGATATAACGTGGTGGAATCTTGTCTGGACGTCCAAGATTGGCCGGAATCCGTGAGTGGCCGTACGTCACCAAGTAGATCCCGAGACCGGCCCGAGAACCGTGTTTGGCTGCGTGAGATGTGTGGAGCAAGTAACACAATAAGAACCCCACTAGCTGGAATGCAACTGTCACAAGAATGTTCCAGACAAAATTAGCTATGTTTCCCACAGGCAATCCCTGAACGAATACCTCGTCCTCGTAAATTGGACTCATCATTGTGGATTCCCAGTATTCCGGAGTAGCATCTGCTGCTGCCTCTTCGTATGTTGGAGGATGTTGCTCTTGGGCTATCCGCGTTGTTTCTGTATCCGGCTTTGCCATAAGATTTCGAAACACGCCATCAGTTCCTTGGCCAACAAATTGGCCTGGGTTGTTTGTTTGTAGTAGTCCTGTGTTGATGCCGTTATGCAACCTTTCATATGTCTGTCTAAACGGGAAAATATAGTGCACTATCTTCATAGCCTTTTGCTTGGCCGAAAGGCCTCTCTCCTGTTGTCGTTCCAAGTCACCATCAGCCTGTAAGTTGTTGTTGAATACCGCGATGTTGGAAGAGCTACCTTCGACTCTTTGGTTAGATGAATCCGGAGGTCTGTCCAAATGCTCTTGGTTTGCGTCCGGGGTAGAAACCAGACTTGGGTTCTGATCGGGACTCAGGTTTACTTCTGGGGCGCCACCAAAATTCCGGATAGCCTCGGTTTCCTGAGGCATAGAATCAGGGGCTTCCAAAAATATGTCCGAGTCTGAGTCCACATCGGAAACGCCTCTTAATTCAGCATAGGCGCCTAAGCTTCTGTTCGTGTTCAGCATATATCCGGGGGTACAACAGGAATAAGGCGGTTTAGATAAGTGTTGAGTTTCCTGCACAGCCTCAAAAGTTTACATAGCCTTCGTTAAGTAACGAGACCAATGAAAAAAAAAAAAAATGTGGAGACAATAGGCATAGTAGATGAACCAACATGGAGTATTTTGCGGATCTGGGACTTTAGTAGATCACTTGATGTTGATCAGATTTTTTACTTCGCTATTACGATTTTTCATCCCATGAGTTGTTAAACAATTATTTTCAAAAATGGCGAACATACGCGAAAAACATGCAGATCAGCATTTCTAAGAGCCACAAATAGTAATGGTAAATAAAACGATAAAGTGTAACAGCATACAGAAAAGATAAAAAATGCAAACAGAAGAAAGAGAACAGAGACAAAAGTACAACACCAAGCGCATTTCTGTACCTAGTTGGCATACAATCAATAGATATAAGTGATGATTCCTACACATTTTTCAACAAACAAACGAGGTCTGAACTGATAGAGAGAGCCGAAGAAGTAAAGATATGTGACTGCTCCTCTGCCTAGCTTTCTGTAGCTAGAAAATCGTAAAGTATGATTTTAAAATTTTTTCGCCTTATGAGCGGCACAGTATGTATAGATACCTGTGATATTCGAAGGATAATTGGCTCAAGTCTCTGCCTAGCTTTTGCCTGCATCTTTTGTGGCCACTTGCTTGAGATCATTCCAGAGCTAGATTGAAAAAATAAATGAATAAATATTCTGATAGAATATGTTCCGTACAACTTTTCAATCATGCCTCTGTTGCCATTCATTTATTTTCACTGAAACTTGCCTTCATAAACCAAAATGGTGCTTGGTGTATGCTTTCATGTTTAAAGACAACATTTCACTCGCGTTCCTTGGCGACCGAAATATCCGACAAACTTGAGCCGCACCCATACAACAGATGGTTCAAGTCCATGAAAAACCACTATAGAGGCACTGGAAATAAGTATATGGGTAGCATAGATCTTTCGACACCCAACGTATATAGCTAGTAGGCCGAAAACGAGTCCCTTAAGAATTTATGTATAATCAAAGGAGAATTCAGACATTAGTTTCGGAAGAACTTGCTCTTTTAATATAAGACAGCACCATTCTACATCCATAAAGAACGAAAGCAACCTTACCTGCTCATATGAGCACAAACAGAATATTTCGGGTATTTACTTTCTTAATATTACTCTGGTGTTTGATTCTGTATCCATTCATCTGCTTACCCATGCAATTAATTTCCCACAGCGCAATGCACGAGGGTTAAACTAAACGCAAGTTACGCATATCCTATTGCCCAATTTATTGTAATCTCTTACACCATATTAGGTTCACATTCCGCACTGGTTCCTATCAGGAAACATACCGATGCCGGCAGCACAGAACTCCTATGAATACAGCAAATAAGAATTTGAAGGTGAAAGCATAACATTAGAGGAGAAAGCATATGCCAGTTTTTTTTTTTTCTGTCGGAATCGGAAAAGAACATAATGTATTGGGTCAACAAGTACTGTATTTAGGGTAACTTAGCCGACTTCGCTGCGGGAAATGCACCCATAAACGTTCATACCGTTCTCCCATGCAAAGACCCTGCATGCACGTGTACAATCTGCAGAAAAACCGGTAATAAGCAAACACGTGCATACGGTTACACACATAGAGCCCATGTGGGTGCAATAAAAGGAAGCATGGTATTTAGTGATGCTTCTTGCCAAAATTTGAAACCTCGAAAGTATCTACGTTTTTCCTAGAACACATGAGATTCGCTTTATTTCTTCTCCCCGTGGCCTCGTGTCTCAACATATTGATGTCGTCCACAGATTCCTGGGTGTCGAAAAACCCAAGATATCTATATCGTGCTTTGATAGAAGAGGGCCACAACGTGATGTACGTGGGCCCACTACATTCCCACATTGATAACCATGAGAGCGAAAAGGACCAGTTACTCAGGCGCTCGACAAGCGGTGGTGACTTTGGCCACTTGACGGAAGCTCTGCAAGAGTACTACAGAAACAACCGCAAGTTCAAGGTATTGGCCAGAGGAGCCAAGAATGTTGTGCGCAGAAAAGACTCACTGGAGTTTGACGCTTACTTTGATTCACAGACACTAGTATCGGAATCATCTATCGGGCAGGACCCGTTGAATAGGGATTTCTGGTATGTCGACGGAACGCCTTTCCAATCGCTCTCTGTTGCCCTCACTGAGATTATACCAAAGCATGCCGCTACCTTTCAACCCGACTTGATTATCGTCGGCCCCAACGAAGGACTTCATTTGAGCACCAGCTCAGAGAATACTGAGATGGGTTTTACGATGGAGGACTTATCCGCCAAGGAAAATCAAGTGGAAAGTATGGTGCAACTTGCAAAAGTACACAAGTACCCCGTGATTTCTGTGTCTACAGAAGATAACCACCACATTTACTTTGAGAACGAGGAGTACTTCAACGTCGAAGAGGCTAAATATGAGGATTTGTTCAAAGACAACGTTGTTGCACAGAATGTCAAGTTTGTCAATGAAAAAGTCATTCTGCTTGTTGAGAAAATGGCACTTAGCCTTGATGGCTTCTTGTCCCTCAATGTGAACTTCCCTTCCATCAACCACAAGTCTTCGTCCTGTTTCACACATGGTTCTTCGGCACCTGATTTTGTTCAGGTTGTTCGTAAGAATCCTAATTCTGGAGGCGTTTACGGAAAGATCTTGACCGTTCCTCAAGTGATTATCGAAAATGATTCTGTTGTCGTCGGAGACATGCTTCACTACAAGCTCTCAGAGGAGTTAGAGAACGCAGAAGAAATCTCCGACGTCGAACAATTACGCATAAAACATCTCTTACTGAGTGGATCGCTCTCCCGAAGCTCACACAAACAACACGAAACTGTCAATCGTGAAGAACTCCAAGCTTTGAAAAAATGCAAGATTGCAGTATCTGTCAACCACCTTACAAAGGGTAACAATCTTGACAAAACAAGCTTGAACATCCACTCTAAAAATTAGATACCATTCAAATTCATGTACTATTCCTATGATGCATTCACATTTTACTTCTTCAATTAATATACTCTTTCAATAAATGTTTTGGTGTCCATTGCACAATGAATTCAATTGGTAGTAGAAACTTCAGATGTATATGCCGATACTGGTGTTACTAGGTTCCACGTGTCCAAATATGTCAGCAGAAATTGACTTGTTGCTCTCAAACATTATCACCAGTGCAACGAAGTGTAAGCAAAAATAAACTAATTCGAGTTTCTGCTTTCATTAACATCGCACAGATGTGGATTCACGCGAATTTTGACACTATCTGGAGTTTACGAACGCCTTCGCACGTGACTGATAACTGTCCAAATGAGCAGATGAATACAACTCCATCAAAACTTGTCAGATGCCAACATTAATACCCTCAGTTTCTCTGGATGGGGCTTCTTATACTGAGCTCGGCAACAAAGGCCAGCGAAAGTACTCCAAATTGGGGACGCTTTCCTGCATTTCTCTTATCACCAACAAGATGATAGGAACTGGTCTCTTCAGTACACCGTCAATCATATTCAAATACTGTGATGGAAATGTGCCTCTTTTCCTTTCACTCTGGCTTTTGGGAGCTTTGATCATCTTCTCTGGCCTACTCATATATCTTGAATTTGCATTGAACCTCCCGTTCAAAAACGGCGGAGAAAAGAACTACTTACTTCGAGTCTTCCGCAATCCAAAAGGATTGAGCGGTTGTGTGTACGCATTTCAAATGGTATTTTTGGGCTTCAGTTCGGGCAACTCTTTTGCCTTTGGCAAGTACATTTGGTATGCCTTTAGCGGCGAGCAAGCAGAAGATGATGCATGGGTAGCCAAAATCATTGGTGTGGGCTGTATTACATTTTGTATATGGCTTCACATCAAATATCCAAACCAGGGAACTGCCCTTTTCAATTTCCTTGGAGTTTTCAAGATCATCATTCTTTTCCTCATCATTGGCATTGGCTCTCTTGTAGCAGTCGATGCAATCCAAGTCAGCGTTGAAGACAATACGCTTCCCAAATATGTCCATAAATCGTCCAACGACTTCTACTCGATATCAGTGGCATTATTGGAAATTGTCTACTCCTTTAAGGGCTGGGAGAATGCCAACTACGTTCTTCTGGAGATTTCAGACCCATACCATGTGCTTACTATAGCCGCTCCTATGGCAGTTTTGTTGGTTACAGTACTTTATTTTTTGGTGGTGGTTAGCTATCTTATTGTGATTCCAAAAGATGAGTTGCTTTCTAGTGGAGTTTTGGTTGCCGGGATATTTTTCAACAAGGTTTTCGGCCAATCAGTGACTACAAGGGTGCTTCCAATTTTGATTTCTCTTCTGACTTTGGGAAATGTCATGGTTGTGTCGTTTGCCCACTCACATGTCAATCAGGAGTTGGCACTTAACAACTACTTGCCCTTTTCTGGGTATTTTCATGATTTGAACCACTCCCTCATATTACACTGGGCTATCAGTGTCTTCATCTTGGTCGCTCCGCCAAGTGCAGAGATATACGAGTTCGTGGTGAACCTCTACATTTATCCTGGCACTTGGATCAACGTCTTGATTACTGTCGGGTTAATATATTTGAAGTTGAACAGCAAGAAGGAGAATTGGGGCCACTTCAATTTCGTGGAGGATTTGGAAGTCTACGAGGGTGATCTTCCTTCGCCCGGTCTTTCTCTTTCTCCTTCGGGATCCATTCAAAACTACAATCCAAACTTGCGCGATTCCAATGAAGTAGAGGATGACATGACCCAACTGATACTCTCAGTACATTCAAGCCATTTCAAATCTTCGCATAAAAGCTTTTCGGCACCATGGGTGTGTGTGATTTTGTTTTTATTTGCCAATCTCTTTTTAGCATTACTTCCATTCTTCCCACCTCCGAAGTCTTACCAGTCTGGCTCAATTCCTTATTGGTGTTTTCCAGTCGTAGGTACTGGGTGCATTCTTCTGGGAGGAGTATTCTTCTATACTAGAAGAGCATATTACAGACGCAGCGGAAAATCCGGGCCACATTACATTGAGTGATGGAAGAGGTAAATAAAAAAGAAAGAGTATTACACTATGATTCATAATGTAGCTTTATCTATGCACGACCAGGTTAGATTGTTCTCTCTACCCCACTCCAAGGGCGTGCGCGCACATTTTGTGGAGTAAGTGTGCTCAACGTCGCTTATCAGAGTTCTTTCGGTTGATCTTGGTTCCTGACATGACTAGCGAAAGCATTCTGTATTCCTCAATGGAACTATCGGCGCCACAGACGGTAATAGAGAGCGACTATAAGCTAGCACTAAAGCATTTTGTGAACAAAGACTTTGGAAAATCTTACCCAACGATTGTCAAGTTACATGACACATGCTACCGGAACTTCGAACGTAACATCATCACAGAGGCATTATTCATCAAAATTGTTGCCTTATACTTGACCCAAGTAGGGGTACTACTCAATCCGCTGGAGGCAAATGCTTCTTTTAGGTTGCCCATCCCAGAGAGGAAACGGCTCTTGCAAAGCATCGAAGACAACACCGTATATAATACACTCGCACAGTTTTATGGAGGTATTAGGAAAGTTCCTTCTGAGCTCCTTTACCATGCTTTCCTATTAAATTACGCTTGTCGCAAGTCAGTGTCAGACACACAATCAATTGCTGCCGAATTTCAAAGGGTTTATTACTCATTGGATTTCGATACCGACAATGCCTCGAACGACAGATATTTGAAAAGATTCGTTGATATCTATGTGTTCAACGTTTTGCCTGATAACGAGGAGTTCGATTTGGCCCTTCAAGTGGCGAAAGGAAATCCCTTGTTGGATTCAGAGAAGGCCGAGACGAAATTGAAAGGCATCCGCGAGCTCAGGCACCAGGAAAAAGACTCTAGAGAGAAAATGACGAAGGCAAAGGTGGAGGAGGAGAAACAACGCTCGATGTTAGAAATGGAAAAGAAGAAGAGGGCTAAAGAAGAAGCTGACTTGAAGTATCGTTCACTCAAACAAATCAAGCAAGAGCACGAGAAAGAACGAACACTCAAAAGCAATCACCTGGCACTGTCCCATGATAAATCTAACACATCTCACATTAAACAGTTATCTTTGAGAGCACAGTACATGATGAACTTGTCAAAGAGTTTCTTCATGAAAAACTACACCATAATATTGGTAATTTTAGCCATGGGATTCATTTCGACGAAGCTTCTAAGGACACGAAGAATTAATATCAAAGAAAAGTTGAGGGAAACTTTGAGCATGGCTTTTAAGGTGACATACTTATAGGAAAAGAGGTATCTCAATGGCACCTCCCACTGTGGTGACGTCTCCAGCAAGTTCATCGTCTTGAATCTCCGGCTTCCTTGACTTGGAAGTTCCCTCTTCTGGGCCATGACTAATCCGAGGTCTCTTGAAAGATGCATACGAAAACGGTTGCCGTGAATCTGCCAGCAATTCAACAACAGCATTTTCGTCAGAGTCTGGGATTCTGGATTCTATTTCAGCTCTCGATCCCGAAGGTTCGACTTGTTTTATGTATCTGTAGAGCTGGTCATCGAATATGTCATCGACATCCACATTCACTTGCTGTCCTACATCATTCGTGTTGACCGCAGTTTCTAGCATATTGAATGTGATGAGAGTTCCCGGATAATTTGAGCTTGTAGGCTTTTTGCACAATAATTGCAAAGAGAGAACTCCAGATGAATCTTTCATTATTTTACACTTGGAAGACATTTTCACCGCCCTGAGTGTTTTTGCAAGAGGCAGGAAATTGAAACACGATAGTACTGTGCTTTTAATTGGTACCACTTTGCCGTTTTCTTGCTGGAAGATTTCTAGTTTCTCCAACATTGTTTTCCCGTTCGGGAATATAAGCTTCAGGTATCCGATCGAGCCCTTGGAGATGAAATTGAGTTCATTGTGCTGCGTCACTGTACCTCTTTTTGCTTGGTTTGATACTTGCATATATAATTCTTGGGTATTGAGGTTTTGTAGATCCTGTAACAAATTCGAGAGCAAATCTCCTTTGAGAATCACCTCAAACTGAATAAGATCACGATCGATTAGAAGCACATGGTCTTCTGCCTTCTGCTGCAGCGTCAAGGTGTCATAAGGGTATTCGGTCTCGATGAAAAATGTAGCAAACTCGATTTGCTCGCTCATCAAACGATCTTCGAATTCTATGATCAATGGACTTCCTTCTCCCTCATACTTCATGTAGCAAACTACTGTCTCCGTAGACGATCCGTTTCCGTATTTGCCTCTTGGTGCCGAAGCCGTGGAAGCAGCGGCAGCAAAAGAATCACTTATGAGCAGAACATCTACACCCAAGCGTAGTTCTCGATTTGATCCAGAGGTGTCTTCGCCACCAGTAATCTCAAATACAGAAAAAAACGACGCGTCGATTGTTAACTGAGCATTAAGGATATGGTTGTACTCGGAATATAGGGTAATTCCTGAGTCGTTGATGATAATTAGTGCCTGATGATGGATAGACGTGATTGCACCCAAGATTTCAGCCATATGAGCCACTTGAATGGTCGACGCTGAGAACTTCAAATTAGAATCAACATATTGAGAACTTGGCGGAGGGGATTTCTGATCGGGCGACGACGGTATAAAAAGCTGAGACATCACCTGTAGAAGTCGTCTTGGTGATCACTGTCTTAAGTTTGTACGAATTTCCTGTACAGTAGGATTACATCTGTATTCGTCAGCTATTTAAGTGGGATGCTCCAGTCCCAAAAGAGAACAGGAGGGAAAGAAGTAAAAATTTAATTTTGGTTCAGAGACACTCTAATGGCACCGTCCATGATACTGGAAAGAAACAGAATGGGATCGAAAGTTTCGAGTCTAGAAAACAGAAATATAGTTATCGATTCTGTTCTTTTGGTTCTGAGCAATACATTCAGCAATCCAAGTGATATTTCTGACCTCCTGCTCTTTGGATCTCAACCATGCCCACACAGTAGATAAGGTAAATTGTTGGGTGAAGGCCGTTCTTATTGTACTGCATTTCCCAATAAGTAAAACCCAGTCTTCAATGTTTCATGGAACCCACCGTTGCTTTGCGAGTCGCTGAATAAATTCTTGGTACTCTCCAACATTTTCCACAACATATTTTATCTGTTCAACTTCTTCAGCCTCAGATAATTCCTTGTGGTACACTGGGTACAACTTCCCATAGTTAGGAAACAACGCAATCTTATCTTGTGGTTGTAAGTCAGCGTTATTCAAGGAGTTCAAGGCGATATTGATAACTCTTTTGTCAGCCTCGAACGCCAAGAGTCTGGTCATGATTTCCTGATCTGGACCATCGAATTCAGACTCAACGAATTGCACAAACGCCTCCAAGTAGTTCTTGTACAACTTGTTTCTGATGATTTCAATGTTCAAGTCGTCCAAATCCTCCACACTCAAACAGTCTTTAAAGAATGGGGCCAAGGGAGTGTCAATCAAAACGGAGTTGTACAAGGCGTCAATATCCGTAGCAATAGATAAAGTTGGTAAGGTCTCGAACCATCCCAAGGGGTGACATTTAGGTAAAATATCGGCACAGTCTCTTTCGTGCAAAGTTCCAGTGATCATCAAAATGACATTGTCAATCATGTACCCGTAGGTGATGAAGTCCATAAACTTGGTCAATTTTCCTGAGCTTTGGCTTTTCAAATACTGAAATTGAGCATACAACTTCTTCGACAACTTTTCTTGGATGATAGACGTTGACAATGGGCCCGAGTGGGAAGCCAAAAAGCTTCCGTAATCTGTCGCCGACAATTGTAACTTCAAATCTTGAAGCGTATCACACTGGGTCAAATTGACGTACTGATTCCCAGTCAACAAAGCATTTCTGTAACCACGAACAACACCTTCCACGTAACCGTAGTCGATATTAAAAAACAATCCTTCCATGGCAGAAGTTGGTTGGTTTGGAAGTGAGATTAATTATGTAGCGCTATCAATTTAATTATGTCGGAGGGATCCGGTCGTGTCCCAGTGCAAAGTTGCACCGCCGTAGATAATAGGCATGATACTATATGATAATCAATAAGGATGATGATATAATACGATGGAACTACGTCTCAAGGGAAATAGTAAAGAAAATTAAAAAGTTGCCCCTTCTTGGAGAAGAAAGTTTTTCCCCCGCCCCCAACACAAGAGCCACTTTACAATAATTTGAATTTGATTCCTGTTTAGAGTAGATGTACCAGGCTAGTAAATGTAAGCTCAATACCTTCGATTTTACAGTTGGTAATCTTCCATTGTCTTTCTTCCTTTATTCTATTATTATGTCTCTTCATTCGGTTCATGGTTCTACTTCTCGCATCACTGATAACCAACTCTTAATTCGTGCATACACCGTTACCAAAAGAGAAAGCACTCTTTGGGCTGACTTCAAACACAAAATGTCTAGCTTGCTTATAGATACCCTCAAGGAGGATTTGGATGCCCAGATTGCCGAACAGCTAGATACGGACAAAGAATTGCGCCAAGTGGCAGAAAACTATCTCCAGGAAATTCTTGTCAATGAACAACTACTTTCAACGGAGGTTTTCACCACAACCTCACAGCCAGATTCAGGCAGAAACAATGAGCAAAGAAGGACGCTTACTGAAGAGATTGCCGAAATAGAAGCAAAGCAGCGGCAGATTTCCACACAGTTGGGCGAAATCACCAACTCAAACAGAGAACTAGTCATAGGCGTCAGCCAGAATTTGAAGACTGCTACAACCAAGGTAACTTCTGAACTCGAGAAGCAGATACAGACAACGCTTGACAACTTGGACCAAAACCATATCACTCTTAGTTCGAAAACTATAGAGAAAGATATTCAAGCGATGTCGTCAGACAATTCGATCTTGTTGAATGTCGATTCTATCTTAGATATCTTCGAGCTTCCCACATTGTGCAGACTCTGTATCATGCAAGGTAATTATCAAGAAGCCTTGGAAATTGCGACCTTAGTCAAAATGTTTGCCATTAAACACTCTAAGTTCGAAACTTTCCGGTTGATGCAAGCTCAAATCGAAAAAGAATTGCGCCTTATGACCAAAGGATTGGTCAAGCTTCTCAATACGAATCTAAAACAGTCAAACATCCTTAAAATCTTCCAGATTTTAAGCCGACCCGACATTTTCCCAACCTCAGAAGGCACGGGTGCTAGAAGTCGAGAAAAAGCCTTAAACCTCATCTACTTAAATTCTCGCTTCAAGTTCATTACATCCGAGGTGGAGTCTTTGAAACCGCTCCTCAAATTGAAAAAATGGACCTACGTGAAAAGGTATATCGAGGTATATCGTGAGTTCCTTTTCAACTCATTATCAATCTATCAAGCTATATTTGAGAATAGTTCATTGACTTCTTTAAAAACTGAAGACCTGTTCATGGTAAACATGTACATCAAGTCATTGTTAGATCCGTTACTTGCAGTCTTGAAAGAACATCTACGTGCACGTTCAGAGGATGAAGAAGAGGCCGAGTTCGAGAACAAACGAGATGGTGTCATTTTACAGATTATCTATCTCTGTCGCTCATTGGCAAAATATGGCATGGACTTCGAAAGCGCTGTTACTTGGGAATTGTGTGAGAAGGAGCCGGCACTCATTTCTGAAGCTGACTGGATCCGTAATTTGGCCAAAGTGAAGAAGTTTAGAGCTTAGTATTTGAGACTGAATACTTACAGCATCGTATTGCAAATGTAGTTTCCGATTTTCTTGTATCTATACAATTTGTCCCAATGTATTCAAACCAAACAAATAACCCAATTCTCTTCTTCCAAGGTGACTGCTGTTTTTCAACTCCTTTTCATCTAGTGCAGCATTTATCAATTCTTTCTTGCGCTCTTGCAAATCCATGATTCTGTCCTCCACACTGTCACGAATCAAAATTTTATATACATGTACCGGCTTCATCTGTCCAAATCTGTGGGCTCTGTCCATAGCCTGGTCTTCCACAAAGGGGTTCCAAAATGGATCCATGATAATAACATGTGATGCACACGTCAAGGTCAAACCAACATTACCAGCTTTCAAAGAAAGGAGTAACACTCTAGTATTCCCTTCATAAAAGTCTTTGATTGTGGCATTCTTCAGATCAATATTCATGCTACCATCATACCGCAAATACTTTATGTTCTCCTGTTTGAGGGCATAACCCATCAAGTCGAATGTGGTCGTAAAATGAGAAAATACGATGATTTTTTCATCAAGATTGCTCGTCGTGATGTCTTTGATCAAGTCCAAGGTTTTGTTCATCTTCGCTGAAGGTAGAAAGCCCTTGTGCTGGCGAATGAGATTTGCAATTTTATCCATGTTGCTTGTTTTTTTCTTCTTGTTCGTATCGAAGACTAGATTCAACCTATCATAGGTATAGCCATCGTAAACCACTTTCTGATATAGAGGGAACTCAATTAGATCTGCAACCGCAACGTCATGATGACAAGTCATACAACACGCTTTATCGCTGCCTGTACTTTCATTTTCGATCTCTTGCTGCTCAAAAAAACTTAATGAACATCCGTCACATATCATATGGCCGCATCCAGCAAATATCAAGATAGATTCGCTTCCGACGACATCCAAGCAAATCGGACATGTGAGTTGAATTTCCGATGAGTTGTCATCCTCCTCCTCCTCCTCGCCATCAATAACCGCAACATCTCCACCATGCGATGCAATATCAATTTCACGTTTAACTCCATCACTCATCGAAGAAATGAGGTGGAACATGCGCTTCCAGTCATTTCCATCAGGTCCATTATTTTTTTTCCTGAGCATTGAGTTCACCCACTTCGACTAGGAATTGATGGATACAAGCCTGTCGTAAACGAAGAAGCAACGTCAAATATCTGTATGCAGCGATTTACCATGACGCTGAAGCAATTTTCTAGCCTTCTTTTGGATACCTAACTCTAAATCCTTGTACAATTTTTTTTCGTCCTGGTCCATGGAGACAAACACTGACTTTACTTCTTTTTTGGGAAGTTCAATAAGGGGTTTCCCGTCAACAGTCGAGTCTTTTGTTCGTCTCAACATAATGGCCAGCAATACGGCCCTCAATTTTCTCATCGACTGTACTTTCCTGTAGTCACTCATCTCATCAGCATTCGATTTAATAGGAACAGAGATATCTCTCTTGAACTTCGATTCTTCATCATATGGCCGAACTTTCAAAAACCGTAGAATCGGATAAAGTTCATCAATGCTGTTTTGCATGGGAGTACCAGTCAAGCAAAGCCTATGTTTGCCCTTCAAACATGCGGTAGCTTTAGATGTTTGAGAGAGTTTGTTTTTAATGTATTGGGCTTCGTCCAATACAATACGGTAAAATCTGGCCTCTCTTGCGAAAAATGGCGAAACATAGTTTTGACCGCCTGAATACAAATCAGGTAGAACATTTTGGCCCTTGGTGATTAAACTTTCTTCAGTGACTTTGTCGTAATGCTGTTTGAACTCGGAAGCGAGCGTAGTGTAGGAAGTCAAGATGATATCACACCTTGCCATTTTCTGAAACGTGTTCAATTTCTTCTTCTCCTGACCATGGTAGAAACCTACCTTCATTCTATGTTCAATTTTCAATTTTGACTGAAATTCAGCTGCCCACTGTCTCAACAACGAAACAGGACCCACCACCAAAGTTGTTTTGCACAGACTATCTTCTGACTTGTTAGCCGCGATTAGAGCAAGGGTTTGCACAGTTTTTCCCAAACCCATGTCATCGGCCAAAATGCAACCGGAGTTTGCTTCCTCCTTGTTTAAGAGCCAAAAAAGACCCTTTCTCTGATGGTCTAAAAGCTGAATTGAAAGAGATTCTGGTGTGGGTGCCATTCCTTGTACTGTCTCTTCTTTATAAATATCGTTGAATAAATTTCTCAAATGAACGGAATCCTCATCATTGACTAAATAAGGATTGACATTCGTACCGTATGAGTTGGTCGCATTAGGACCATTTGGCATTCCGTTATAATAATCAGCCATTTTGGGTACCACATTAAAGGAGAAATTGGAAAGCTGAAATGGAAAATTTTGTGGCAGAGATGGTTGGCGGGCATGCTGAGGAACTTGCCTGTATTCCTTGACGCTTTGAAGCACAGCTCTGTATCTCCTCACTTTCTTTGAGTTTTCTATGATCTGCTCGGTTTCTCGTAGACTATCTGTGATATTCCGCATCATTGCAGCTCTAAGAGATATTTGGTCATATGTGAGATTCAGCAAACGTCCTCTCAAATCAGCAACATGACGTAGATTAACATCTCGCGTTTCGTCTAGCGTTCTAAGTTGCTGGTGGAGATTGTGTTCGTGTTGATAAAGCTGTTGCATGGACAAGCGTTCGAAGTATTCCCGTATTTTCAATTCTTCATAACGATTCGCCATCGAAGAAGAGGCTTCACTACCAGCATGAAAGACAGGGGCAGGTTGGTTGTAAGCAGGTGCTTCAAAAGATGATGCCTTGAACGCACCAGTGCGTTCTGCTTCTTCTTTGGAAAGAACTGCAATCTCGTCGTCCGAGTCTGAGTCCATGCCATTAGCTATAGGAGGAGCGTTTTGAATTTCCCTGACGTCTCGCCGAAGGGACTCCGCGTCAGAATTATGGATGTGGCCTGCTACTGATGCCTGCGGATTACTTATAGCTGAGGCTTGGATACCCTCTTCTTCTGAAATCCACATATCATCGTCGCTCAAATCCACAACCACAACATTCGCATCTTGATTCTGTGGTGAAGCACGAGACTGCGGTCGCTGTTCAGACGAAGCAAACATCAGACCATTCAGAAAAGTCGGGTTTGCATATGTTTCCAAGCCCCCTTGTTGCATTTGCAGTTGAGATGTGTCTGGTTTGTATTGGGACATGGAGTTTTGCCCCAACAGATGATCTGGTGGATCCTGAATCATCTGAGTAAGTATTTGCGGGTCACCCAAGAGAATCTCCTCTGCACTGGTAGACTGAGTATGTGAATCTGCCTCTGCAGCTCTTGCAGTAGACTCAACTTGAGTCGAGTCATGTGGCGCATCTGGACGGTGTTCAGAGAGAAAATCAGAATCAAAGTGGAAATCCTCAGACTGGGAAGGAGGGAAGTTATGCGATATAGACACATTCGGGGCATCTTCTTCATCTGAAGAAATGACAATAACGTCATAGGCTTGCGCCAGCATTCCAACAGAAGGCTATATTGATATAAGTATACAGATGGTAATAACGTGTGTCGCACCCATGTAGGATGCAGATACGGCTTGAAGAGTTTGCATTTCGTGAAGGTTATCTACTAAAGGCATGAGTATAATTCATCCCTTGACCTTCGAGTCACTGAGACGTACAGCTCGAATAAAACAGACACTATAGATGGATAACAAAGAATTAGTCATGCGAAATCTGTCCTTTACCATTATAAGAACTTATCAGCTGGACTGCGAAAACTCCGTGCAGATTCTTATCTCGCCGAAACAACACTTTGAACAAGCAAATAAGAGAAGCGATTCTCCCCTTGTATTCTAGTCTACTGTGCTCACAAACACTCGAATCCATTTATTGTACATAGCTTAAAGGTAGTCTCCATTCTCGTCGAGGATCTTGTCCAAGCAAATATTTAACTCCGTGACAAGCCTCTGGTTATTCTCGTCAAAAGCCAAACCTCTTTGGTAGTCCGCTCTAGCATCCTCGTAATTGCCCAAGAAATAGTTGGCCACGCCTCTTCTCAAAAAGTTGTCTGGCGTACACATCATCATGCCTATCAACATGTCTGCGTCATTGAATGCTTTCAAATACTCGGTGCATTTCAAATATGCGTCCGCTCTGCTCATCAACAAGAGACTGAGCTCTTGCAAAGTGCCCTGGAAGGACTCAAACTTATTACGTCTGTTGATGATTTCAATGGCAATAGTAAACTGCTTGGCCGACTCGACGAACTTTTCTTGCTTGAAGGACTGAACACCGCCTTCATAAAGCTTCTTGATCATCTTGGACATGTCCTTGTTGAAAGTTTCTGGTGTTGGGTTTGGAGGAACAGGTGCCGTGATTCCGATTAGCTCCATGCACAAAGTATTGAGTTGTTCCACATCTTGTTTAAGGCCTGGCTCCACATTGCCAATATCTTCTGAGAAAACAAGGCCCTTGATCTTAGGTTCATACTTGACGTCAAATTCCATTATAAGTGGTTAAGGCTAAGTGAGTACACGGTGGTTTTTCTAAGTGTATGTGTGTGGGGCACGGGTGTAAAGTCCATAATACCACAGCAGATATTGGAGCAAACGAAAATGTATTATAATGGGAGCGGAAAAAAAGTGCATCAAATGTAGAGAAGCAAAAAATAACAGAAACAAGACGGTCTGCCATTAATTACTGCCAGAGAGGTAAATGAAGGTGTTTAGAGGGTTATACTGGCTCATTGAGGAAACCTGTGAGAAAATTGTATGAGTCGCACAAAATTGTATGGCACTTTTTGCACCCATTATTTATACTCTTGAGTGTCACAAATGGACGAAGAAGTTACTCCAAACACAAGAGGTCTGACAGCTGAAGCATATGATCCTGCAATACTGCCAGTCGAAAACTTAGAAGAATTTTTCGAAGACGTGGAATCTGAATTTAAAGTTATGAAATCCTTCTCAGACCTGTTTGTCAATGCTGATGTTGACCTTCAAAATTTTTGGGACACAAGACAAAGTCTGCTCAAGATAGATGAGGCAAATGAATTTGATGGTCAAGAGTGGAGAAAATTTGCAGAAAGAGGGTTTAGCGAAAGAAGGCACGATGAAAGAGGATTCAAAACTTTAGATCCTATGAAATCAGGAGAGAAAACCCCATTTCTTTCTTTTAAAACGCTACGAGAGTCCCCAGAAACTAGCACAGAGTCTATTGAAACTGGTGGAAGGACCGACGGTTCAAGGATTGGCCCAATTAGATCCAGGTATTTGCGGACATCATTCCACATAGGCGTTTTAGAATGGGCCAGGAATGTCGCTAACAGTTTCCATTCTTCGCAAGACAAGAGGCGGGATACGAGCGAGATATTCAACTTCAACGAAAGCTTTGTGCTCAAAGAGCCTAAGTTGGGGAACCTAAATAGTAAGGCTGATGCCCCGGTAGTACTGCTGAAACCAAAAGGATCTAGTTGGGGCAGGATATGGCTCAACAATTCTACCCGAGTTTTACTCTCAAACTGGTCCAAGAAAGATACACCGCAGAAAGATGATAGGGCACATCCCAGGAAGGTAACAAACAAGCCCGAAGAACAGGCAACCTTACCGAGACGGCATTCTTATTATAGTATATCTTCCTTTTTGGGAAGAAAATCGCAGAAGAAGGACCCCATGTTAAATACTTCCGTGTTTCTTCCCCGTCCTCAAGTTCCACACGTGAAGAATTTTGTTTCGACTAACCAAGTAGAAGGATATGCTCAAGGAGGAGCAGACTATTCAATTGTACCTCTCGAGTCCGAGGAGTTTTTTGATTCGGTTTCCAGAAATGGAGATCTCGCCCTCGATAGTGGAACCTCCAAAGGACCCCAATCTGCACCAAGCCATGAGAAACTTCACCTGATTAAAGAGAGGATGAGATTGAGCATCTGGCCCGGAAAAAGAAAAACAGAGTCTTTACGGCTACGTGCTTTTCCTCCCCCCAATCCGCCAAGTTACCCGGGCCCTGTAACTGGAGTGGTCTAAGGAACTAAAGCTTAAACAAGTAAAATGAACGTCTGTTCAAAAAAGAATTTACTCCATCAAGGAAAACCTCTTCTGTGTTAAATCGATGTGAGCTTTTCTCTTCCAAGTACAAAAGAGGTAACTGATTTACTTATCGGTGTGCATACAAACCCAATAGTGTATTTGAGTCATAGTGATAAACGAATTCCGTAGATTTTCTAGACGTTTCTTTAGTATAGCAGTTTTTCTTATTCAAGTGCTTTTATTCACGAAAAATGTCCTTCGATTTACTGCTGTTGGTCAGAGAAAACATTCGGACCCTTGAACCTTACCGATGTGCTAGAGACGATTTCAAAGAGGGTATTCTTTTAGATGCAAATGAAAACACCCATGGCCCAGCATTGACCTCTCTAACCTCATGGGAGGAACAATTGGAGTTGAACAGGTATCCAGACCCGCATCAAATCGAGTTGAAGAAACAAACGGTTGATTTTAGAAATAGAACTCCCAACAAGTATTTGGACAACTATGAGGAAAATAAGTTAACGCCAGAAAACTTATGCCTTGGTGTCGGATCTGATGAAAGCATTGACTTGTTGATGAGGTGCATTTGTACACCTCATCAAGATAAGTTATTGATCTGCCCTCCCACCTATGGCATGTACAATATATGTGCTACAGTGAACGCAATTGAGATTGTCAAAGTGCCATTGACCGTGCCCGAATTTCAGGTCGATGCTCCTGCTGTTTTGGATGCCGTTAAAAAGGACCCTTCCATCAAATTAATTTACTTAACTTCTCCAGGAAATCCCACGGCAAAGTTGTTGGATGTAGACATTTTGATTGACATATTGAAATCTGCAGCGGACAGTTGGAATGGATTGATCGTTGTCGATGAAGCTTACATTGACTTCACGTGGGACCCAGAATCGCCCAATTCCAAGTCTATGTCTACTTTGGTGAACCAGTTCCCCAATCTCGTGGTGATGCAAACCTTCTCCAAGTCTTTTGGTCTTGCAGGTATTCGTTTGGGTATTACTTTTGCTAGCCGAGAGTTATCGCGCTATCTCAATGCAATGAAATATCCATACAATATATCATCCCTAACTTCCGCGATTGCAACAAGATCAATTTCGCCAGAGAATGGTTTACGCGTTATGGAAACCTATGTGGGGAATATTATCAAACAAAGAAACGAAGTATTGAAACAATTGCAAGAAATCCCTGGAGTCGGTAAGAATATTGGGGGCACTGACGCTAATTTCCTTCTTCTTCAAATATTAGACAAGGACGGTAATCCATCCAATGACATTGCCTTAAAACTTTACCATATGTTGGCTGTCGAAAACAAGGTGGTTGTTAGATTCAGAGGAAAAGAACTAAACTGTACCGGAGCTTTGAGAGTTTCTATAGGTACTGAGGAAGAAAACCAGGTTTTGGTGAAAAAGTTTGCCCAGTGTCTAGCTTCCATCCGTTAATTATATGTAAGAAATATCATTACTGTCTATTCTGCCTTGTATCTAGTATCGTCAGTAGTGGCATACTGATATGGACAGAGTGTGCACACACCGAATTTTTCATTTTTTTTCTTCCGACTAAGCGCACCACAAGTGTAGTTTTCGCTTCCCAGAACAGATATTGGACCACCGTTTTCGAAATGGCCAGACAAAACTTCGTGGGGTTGGTCGTATCCCAAGGAAAAATGAACAAGACTGTGAAAGTCAGAGTTCAAACAAAGGCTTACGACACGAGGGTTCACAAGGAAGTGATCAAGAGAAAAGATTACCTTGTCCACGATGAGGGCAACTTGTGCAAAGAGGGCGATATAGTTAGAATCGAGTCGATTCCAAAGATCTCTTCCAGAAAATATTTTGCTATTGCGGAGATCAAGGTCAACAAGGGTCAACAGTTTGCGCTTTACGAGAAGTTGGCCAAAGAGAAGGTTGCACAAGAGGAGAAGCAAAAGATAACAGAATTCTTGCAAAGGAGAACTGAGTTTGAGAAGACCGTGAACCCAAATTGAAGATTTGAAGCTTTTGGACCGCTTAACCAAGACCTTCCAGAGTAATCCTGAAGCCGACAGACAGGCGATTATTGCGGAGATAAACCAAATTAAAGAAAAGTATGGTATCGCAAGCTGGCCATCTTCAGAAACAGTCGTTAGTCTTGAAATTAACGAAGCCTCGAAAGACTTGAGTGTCATGGAGAACAGACATGAAAACATCAAAGTCATTTTGGATAAACTCATGAGCTCGCAATACACAGCTCAACGTGAGCGTATTTTGGCTGAAGTGGCCAAGGGGAATTTTGAAGACATGAAACCACACACACAAAAGAATCTCTTGAGAAAGTACGTTTTGGATCCTAAAAACGAGGTTCCAATTTCGCTCTAGGGTAACTCACGTCATATTTTGATCTTGATCAAAGCCTGTAAATAGCATCAATGGATAGAATGAGCAGCTGAAAGTATAGACTGGGGATTTCCCTGTGGTATTGACGGCGTTTCACCGTCTCCGTATCTCTATCAACTGTATTAGTGCCTACAATTGCATTATTGCAATCAGAACTCAAATCGAAGAGATGTAATTCTGGATAAACGCTTAAATTACTTCGAAGCGGGCCGTTCCCCTAGTTTTCAATCAGAGTGTTTCAAATTATTCTGTATTTTTTCGCTATTACTGTATGTTCATTAAGAGCTAAGCCATGCTTGATGGCGCGCGATATTGTATGATGAGGCTCATCCTCAAATTTATGTGTATTGTCCCCTCCACGCAAAAGTAAATGCTTTGACATCCGGATGGATACAAATAACCTCCGAAAAAGGCTAACGGCTGCCAAGGAACTGCTAGGCATTCTGAAAAATAACACCGTTTCCGGTCTTACCAGCACTTCTTTGGCCAGATACCAAGACAAATTGCGTCCGTTATTCTCGGATGAATATTATCAACCACTCCAGGGCATAAACGAGAATGATACAGAGGATGTTTTCATGCCGCGTGCCGCTGCGGTGTTGAATCTTGTACTCCGGGCTCCTATATTGACTATCACCAATCTTTCGGTCCAACCAGGAGAACGACATTTTGTATTGTGGCTTCTTATTTCATCATATCTTCCATTAATATCTGCCTGTATTGCCCCATTGGCCAATTTAATCTCTTTGGTTGGACTTGTGGAGCATTGGCGGGTCAACGGACAAACCCACAGAAGTGTTCCGGACCAAACTCCGGTTTTCGCTTTGAATATTTTTTCCTTCGTCTTGGGCATTGTTGGGAACAGCTCCTTGGTGATCAATTTTTCTGGAAAAATGAGATACATTGTCACTCACATTGTATCGATTACATGCTGGGTCTGTGCCGCTCTGGTGCTTTTGGCTGCTGTTCTCATATCAAACAGAGAGTTTAATGAGGACACATTTTATAAACGATCAGAGGGTTTTTGGCTCGCAGCATTGACCATCTTCATGTACTTCTGTTGTATGATGACCATTTTGATCAATCTTATTGGTTACAAGCTTCGAAAGTACCCTCCAACATTCAACCTAGACAGGAAAGAGAGACGGTTGATGATTTTCACCATCGCATTCTCCGTCTGGGAAGGTGTCGGTACATTGGTTATGGCGCATTTGATTCCTGGTATCAATTATGGCTCTTCGCTATACTATTGTACTGTATCTGTGTTAACAATTGGTTTGGGTGACATCGTCCCCCGATCTCATGGAGCAAAGGTGTTCGCGCTCATCTTCTCATTCATTGGTTTAATCATCATGGGTCTTATTGTAGCAATGATAAGACAAGTGGTGTCTTCTTCGGCTGGTCCGAGTGTTTTCTGGCATTTGGTGGAAAAGAGGAGAGTATTGCTCTTGAAGGAGCTTCGTGAAAGAAACGAGCCCATGACCAGGGAGAAATCATTTCATCTTATGCGACTTCTCAGGAAAAGAGTTCGTATCCATCAGCTCAACATGTCGCTTGCTCTTTCTTTCTTAACATTCATTGCCTTCTGGTTAATCGGAGCCATGGTGTTTCACTTTACCGAAAAATGGAGTTACTTCAACGCGGTTTACTTTTGTTTTCTATGCCTTGTGACAATTGGCTACGGTGATTACAAGCTTGAGACAAATTTCGGCAAGGTTTTCTTTGTTGCATGGGCTATAACTGCAGTACCCATGATGACTATTCTCATTTCCAATGTGTGTGATACTCTTTTCGAAAGTGCGGGAAGGCTCCATACGATTAAAAAACGCATATTCGATCCTAAAACATACTACCTTTTGCTTACGCCATCGTTCTATTTTAGAAAAATGCTGAGGGACAATTTAGAAGTTGAGCTTGAAGAAGAGGAACAAAGAGAAGAAATTGAAGAAAACGAAATCCAGGCGCTCGTCGAAGAGAGCAGTGGAACGGCCATATCGGCAGCGCAACTTTCTGAAGAAGAGGTCGACCCTCTAACACCACGTCAAACGCTTGAGCATTATCAAAAGCGATCAGAGCAGATATTGAAACGTTTTTCTGCAATGCGTGAAGCCCTATTAGATAGCGTCAATCTGCCCGACAAAAAGTATGATGCGAGAGAATGGAAGGAATTGTTGGAAGTTTTGGAACCAGAAGATGGTGGTGACGTGGATCCATACTTCTGGTTGGGAAAGGACTCCCCGCTCCGGCTCCCAATCAAAGAGCCCAACTTTGCATTGCTCAAGATTTTTTTCCGCGTGGAATCTGACTTCAAGGGTTTGTTGGCAATGCAGAAAGAAGAGCTTCGCCAACTAAACAAGAAGGTAGATTCGTAATCTTGAATAAAATATTTGTATTATTAGTTTTATTTTATTAAACATTTATGTCCAATGGGACGTTACTGTATCAAGTAGATCCAAGTTCAGCTAAAAGTAGAATTGGTTCGCGACCACCTTATCAGGACGGTGTATCACTTCGATAAGCCGCGCACACTTTTTCAACTCCAGCGTTTCGACTGTTTTTCTCTACAGTCTGTCGAATTTCGGGTATTGCCTCTCATGACCCGAACACCGTCTGTGGTCAGCCACAATCCAGTGGTGCTTCGTGCTGGCCCACTCAAAATCACTTTGTCCCAGTTGAAATACTTCACTTTTACCATGATCGGCATCGCTCTCTTATGGCCTTGGAATTGTTTTCTTTCTGCCTCAGCTTACTATGGTGATCGGTTTGTCCATACGAAGCCGCTTGTCAAGGTCTATTCCTCGACCATGATGTCTGTCTCGACTGTGGTTTCCACGTGTTACAACTATTATCTTTCGCAAGTGCAACAAGGCGTTAACTACACCTTCCGTATCAACATCGGCTTGGGTTTGACCATAGGTGTTTTTGTATTGATGGCATTCTCGTGTGTGATGGATCTCTTCATACGCATGAACGACTATGCTTTCTTTGTTGGTCTAATGGTGATGGTTTTGATTAGTGCCATGGCCACATGCTTGGCCCAAAATGGAACCATGGCCACGGTCAATGTTTTGGGGCAGATATACACAAATGCTGTCATGGTCGGTCAAGCTATTGCTGGTACACTTCCTGCTATTGCTTTGATTGTCTCCATTTTACTTGTGGGTGAAAAGGGAGCTTCTATCACCGCTCTTGAAGGAGACGACGACTACTACGTACAGAAGAACTTTGGCGTTTTCATGTACTACATTACTGCCAGTGTGATTTCGGCTGCGTCTATTGGTTTATTAGCGCTTACAAACTACTACAGAAATGACTACTACTACCGCTCTTTAACGGAAATTATTCTGGATGAAGAAGGTATTGAAGGACTTGAACCCCAAACAACAATTCAGGAAAACTACGTGCCATTTGCTGTCTTGTGGAGCAAACTTAAGTTCATCGTGCTGACGATTTTCTTGACATTCAGTGTGACTTTGGTGTTTCCCGTATTTGCATCTGTCGTGGAGTCGGTTCACGTCGACTCCACGCATGTGTTTTTCCGTAAAAGTATCTTCATTCCATTCATTTACCTTGTATGGAACTTGGGCGATTTAGTTGGGCGGATCGCATGTGGTGCCAAAAATTCTATTTTCTTAGTGAAAAACTCGCATACTTTGCTCTGGTACTCTGTGGGACGTCTACTTTTCATTCCCTTGTTCATGACATGCAACATCCATCCAGGCTCTGTGACTCCACTAATTTCTTCGGATGTGTGGTATATCTTGCTCCAGTTCTTGTTCGGTTTCTCCAATGGCCAATTGTGTACTTCTTGTTTCATGGTTGTGGGATCGCATTGCGACAATGACGACGAGAAAGAGGCTGCGGGCGGCTTTACTGCAGTATTTTTGAGTGTGGGCTTGGCTGTGGGAAGTTTGTTGAGTTATCTTTTGGTGTTTGTAGTTGGCTGAGCGCATACATGCGCTTTTACAATGCAGATAGAACCTTAGAAATTCTACATCCATCAAAGCAGTTACGTGAGCTTCAATTACTAGTATTAACTGCTGCATAACTTGGCTATTTATCCCGATAACGCTGTATTCTAAACATGAGTTATTAGATATCTCCGCTGCGTTCATACACAGACTTTTAGATCGAACGCAAAGTTTAACTTAATTCATAATTCTGATTTCTTAATGATTTCATTAACGGAATTAACCGGTCTCTTCACAAACAGATCCCTCATGTATGATTTCTCGTTGTAATGTAGTGTGATTGTTTTTTCTGCTCCAATAGCTCGCCTCAAACTCTCTATTTCGCGCGCTTATCAACTTCGCCTTGCTCAATCAACCTTCATGTCCTTTTGGCAGGAAAACAAAGGAACATTCAAAGCTGCAGGCATTGCAACTGCCAAAGGAATTGGAACAGGCACCAAAGCCTTATCGAAAGCTGGTTATCGCACATACAAGAAAAGCGAGGCAAAACGGAAAGGACAAACTCTTGAAGACTCACCTCCACCTTCACTGGAAATGGCGCCACTTCAACCTGTGAGCCGTTCAGAGCTAAAATCGCTTCCGGAGCCACCGAAAAGAAATGTGGACGCTGCTGGATCTCCTGTTCCGGGCCGTCCACAACAATCGTATGTAGCGCCAGCAGATCAGCACCAGAATTACCAAACTCAACCAGTCCAGCAGCAGCCACAGTACGCAGCAAGTCAAGTGCAATATCAACAACCGGCCCAGCAGACCAGCGCACCACTTCAGCCGAATCAAGTGCCAGTGAATTATCAGCCGCCCGTTGAACCGCAAGGACAAACCACTCAGCCACAGCTTGGGTATCAACCCCAAGTAGGATACGCTGCTCCAGTCAACCCGACACAACCGCCTCCTCCTGTTTTACCTTCCCGGGCAGTTCCCCCAGTACCACCACAGCCTCAACCTGTTCAGCCCCAATCCGTTCAGCCTCAACCTGTTCAGCCGCAATACATACAACCCCAACCTGTGCAACCCCAATCTGTTCAGCCCCAATATGTGCAACCTCAATCTACTCAACCACAACCTGTTCAGCCGCAACCTGGGCAGCCTCAACCTGGGCAGACTGGTCAGAATTTGCAAGACCAACTCACAGAGCGCTTTTCAAATTCTGTCTCTCGTTCATTATCACTGGCGATTACACAGACTGTCAACCAGACCGTCAACCAGACTGTCAACCAGGGAAAGGAGCAAGTGGGTCAGGCCTTTGGACAAACTAGTGGGGCTCCTCAATCTGCTGAAAGTCGACCTGGTCAATTGCAGCCTGGTCAACTGCAACCTGGTCAATTGCAACCTGGTCAGCCTCAATTTCAAGCAAACTCTGCGTTCCAATCTCAAATGGCTCCGGCTGATTCTGGTCAAGCTGCTCAGATGTATCAGGCACCTCAATTTCAACCGGCTCCATCTGAAACTCTCCAAGCACAACCGGCTCAACCCCAAACGTTCCAACCCCAAGTATCTCAGCCTCAAGTAGCTCAGCCCCAGGTTGGTCAGCCTCCTGTTGTTCAGCCGCTGCCTGCTTCCTCTGTCTCGGTCCAGCCTCTGCCAGTCCAACCTTTGACTCCTCAAACCCAATATGCACCGGCGACATACACCCAACCCCAATATACTCAAGCCCAGTACACCCAACCCGCTCAAATCCAACCACAGTTACAAAACTATACCAATCAATACAGTCATCCCAGTGCTACTCCAACGGCGGCGAGTGAAACTCCCGAAGAAGAAAAACACATTCCAAAGCCGGTTCCTGATGCAAGCCATTTCCCACCGCCGCCGATCCATAAGGCGAGAGGTACTTTCTCTGACTCCACACTGTCCACACCTCAACCTAGGTTCACCTCTTCCAAACCTCCATCATTACCTTCGCGAAGCGGTAGTCGAATAAGCCAGGAAAAACTGGAAAATGAGGAAGATGAGAAGGGTGGAGATGATACAAGTTTGAAGACAGATGAAAAAGACGACAGCATGCATTTGAAAGCTGTTCATAGTAATAAAGTGGAAAGCAAGCCAGTGAAGTTTGAGGATATAGATATCAGCAAATTTGGACCGCCTCCACCGCCAATTTATCGAGGACACACTGAAGAGCCTGGAAGAAACGTCTCTCCACATACAAGAGGAAATGCCCCTCCTCCACTTCCTGCCAGAAGATCACAGTCGTCAGACATATCAGTGAAAACTCCTCCTCCTCCTAAACCTTCGAAGCCCCTTGCTATACTGTCCCAAGAACCGGAGAAAACAGAGCATGAGGATTCTCAAGAGCCAAACTTTGCTACCCAGATTTCCCAAATTCTCAATAAGACCCTGGGGCAGGAAGAGTCATCAAAGAAACCAAACAGTTCAACATCGACGCCAAAACCTGTAACAGCTCCAAAGCCTGTGATAGCTCCAAAGCCTGTGACAGCTCCAAAGCCTGTGACAGCTCCAAAGCCTGTGACAGCTCCAAAGCCTGTGACAGCTCCAAAGCCTGTGACAGCTCCAAAGCCTGTGACAGCTCCAAAGCCTGTGACAGCTCCAAAGCCTGTGACAGCTCCAAAGCCTGTGACAGCTCCAAAGCCTGTGACAGCTCCAAAGCCTGCAACGGCTCCAAAGCCTGAAACAGCTCCAAAGCCTGCTGTTGCGCCAAAATCTGTGATTATGCCAAAGCCGGCTGTTGCCCCCAAACCTGATGTTGCCCCCAAACCGGCTGTTGCTCCAAAGCCAGTTGCACCCAAAGTGGAACATGCGTTGAAACCTGCAATTGGAACAAAGCCTAATATTGCTCCAAAACCTGTGATTGTTTCCAAACAGGGTTCCATCCTGCCAGTGCACAGCTTGTCTTCAGCCTCTCAAACTAGTAAGCTCGAAGAACCAGTCCCTGTCAAGGAAATGCAAACACCAGAATTTTCAAAGCTCAGCCTTCGGCATGTGGTTCCGAAGTCAGATTTGCCAAAAACTCTGGAATCTGTTTCGACACCGGTAGTTCCTAAACCCAGGGCACTCCGCTCAAGTACATCCTCGATTGGAGATTCTGTCACAAAAACTTCTTCACCTATACTGAAGCCGATTGTTCCGCCTCATAGGGCTTCAAAGCCCAGTTCTCCATCACAGGCGTACTCTTCTGAGTTGCAGACGAACCACGAACAGGAAAAGCCCGTGGTTGCTCCAAAACCGACGAGTATAAAACCAATTCATAAAATTGGTGCAAAACTGGTATCCCCTCCAGTAGTGAAACCTAGGTCTTCTGCTGGCACTCCTACGGAATTACCCTCGCAACGCACACCTAAGCCTGTCAAGCCGGTTCCGCCACAGCCTGAAAAGCAGAAGTTACCTTCAGCAGTTGCGGCGTCAAGTCCAAGAAGAAGTTCCCCCACTCCACCTGTGCCTCCGCCTCGGAACTATGCCCGCCCCTCTGAACCTTTGCCTAAAGCTCACGCCCCAGACTTAGACTTGGCCCTCTCTTCTGGCTGGTTTGCACGCTCGCCATTCGAACTTCCACCCGCTCTTGCAGGCTTGAACTACTCGACATCACTTTCCGTCTCCTCCACTGGTGCTCACACATGCAACCTTGATGTCCGGCTTCGTGACTTGTCGCGAATTGTGTATAAGATTTCGTGGCAAGGTGATGCTGTTTCATCAGCATCTGCAGAAATTGTCTCTTTCGTGGAATCTCCCTTGAGTAAACCTATGGCGAAAAGTGATATGGTTCAATACAGTACTCAATTTGGTCAGTATGTGTCGGGTTGGTGTTTGCATCATATGGGTCAGCAGGTGGGCAGAGGTGAATGTTGGGATCTTGCCCATGATGCCTTATTGAAGGGATGTGGTAAGCATGCCTTCGTGTCCACTTACACGCATCATGGTTATCCTATTCTAGAGATAATTGGCACAAGTTCTGGACCATCTGTTGTCCGTGGACCAGAAGATGAAATTCGTGAAGGAGATGTGTTGCAGTTCACTTCTGCCCAGTTCCGAGACGGTGGAGAAGTTCGTACAGCAGGTGCCCCAGATCACACTGCTGTGGTCATAGGCAAAAATGGTGATAAGCTCGAAGTTGCAGAGCAAAATGTTGGCGGTGTTCGTGTTGTTAAGAGTGGCAGCTACGTGTTGAAACATATTGAAGCTGGGTCTGTCGTGGTTTATCGACCAGTGCCGAGTGAGTGGGCCGAGTGAAGAGGACAATGCAAAACTTCTTGAAAACTGAGAGCATCTGATGAAATTGGTAACTATCTGCCAAATCACGGCCAATACCGCGGCTTATTATGGTGTTGTATGTTGGAACCTCACTAGACGATGGATGATACTAAAAGAATGTAAATAGAGTGAAAAGAAGAACTATTAAGATTGCATGGAGATCTAATCATTAGATAACGCTACCAATTTGGGCAAGTTTTCAAATACGTCTAAACACCTAGAACACCAAAGGAAATGGTCTCATTGGAGAATCAACTCATATAGTAGTCTGAGATTGATGCGATGAGAGAAAGTTTATTAAGGCTGAATCGCATATCATGGCTCAAGAATTTCTCCGATGTAAGCTGAATCTCTGTCAAATTCGAACATATGATTTTGCATTTTTCAAGCATGTCTGACAGCTTCAGCCCATTTCGCAGTGTAAAGCCGATGGTAGTATTTGTCTGATGAGCGCGAAAAGCATCTCTACATACTCATCTCCAGCCAATAGACAAAAAACCATAGTCATCCAAAGCATGGCCACAGCACCAACTTTGTCTACGCCTCAGGACGAGTCGGTATTTTATGCCAAGGTAGCTGTTTCCAAACCACGCCGTCGCAGTAATATTGCCCAATACTATAGTCTCGATGAGCTTGCAGATGCAGTTAAGAAATATAAAAGAATCACGCTTCAATTCCCCGATGAGTTGGTAGGAGACTCTGCTGCAGTGGCATATGAGTTGCAATCACGGTTGGACAAGGCAAGTGCTCTACTACAAAAAGAGGATTCAGAAACTGGAAATGGCCAAGCGGCCCTGCAAAATGAGAACGATAAGACAGCAGAAGCCAAAGAAACCTCCGAATGCAGAGGTGATGTGGACCCAGCAGCAAAAACCCCAAAACAACAGTGCTCCTCAAGCACTTGTTCGACCGGCAACAACTCATGTGCTTGCTCTGCTTCCTGTTCAAGCTCCTGTTCAAATTCAGATGCCAAAACATCTTCCCAGGTGTGGATCTTGGCCGACACATCCTACTCTCCGTGCTGTGTGGATGAAGTGGCGGCACAGCATGTTCTGGCGGATGTTGTGGTACATTTTGGTGACGCTTGCTTGAATCCTGTAGCGTCACTTGCGGCCGTATATGTTTTTGGTCGGCCCCACATCGACTTGGACGTGCTTGTCACTCGACTCAGGGAAAAGTACACGCCAGATTCGCAGCTTGTTCTCATGGCCGACACGCCTCATACGCCGCTTTTGCACGAGCTTCAGGCTCTTGTGCCAGAGCTCAACACTACAGTGGCTGATATCTACATTCAGGATAAGCTGTCTGTAGTAGGATACAAGCCACGAGTGGTCCAGGAAGATGATTTGAGGACACTTAACCGGGTATTCCCTGGAATCTCAGACGAAGCCGAATTGCAAAATTACGACTTGTTCCACATTTCTGAACCCAAGGCGCCACGCATGCTCCAACTCACCACCAAGTTTCAATCTGTCACCACAGTCGATGCTGAGACTGGAGATTTCTCGCTGAACCCAGCGCCTGCTCTTGCTCGCAGATACCGCTACATGCATATGGCCCGTTCTGCAGCTACGGTGGGGCTTCTTGTGAATACCTTGTCGTTGGCACATACTCGTACACTCATGAATAGTTTGGCAAGCCAACTTCGGGAAGCAGGAAAAAAGCATTATCTTTTTGTTGTCGGTAAGCCGAACGTGGCTAAGTTGGCCAACTTTGACGCTGTGGACATGTGGTGTGTTTTGGGCTGTGACCACCAGGGCATTATTTTGGACGAAACACGCGAGTACTTCAAGCCGATTGTGACGCCGTATGAACTTGTGCTTGCCTTGAGTGATGAGCTTACATGGACAGGCCAATGGGTTACAGATTTCCAAGAGGTGTTGACTCTTTTGAAGGATGAGAATGAAGACAATAACCAAGAAGGTAACAGCAACAGCATGAATGACGAAAGCGATGGTGATGATGAGCCAGAGTTCGACTCCGTCACTGGTCGGTATGTCAGTGCCCGCCCATTGAGACGCCTTCGGCATTTACAGATTGAGCAGGAAGCTGAAGAAGCCCCAGATCCAAATACGGCTCAGCAAAATGGCTCTAGCGAGTCTGGCGCATCAAATGGGAAGAAACCATCCAACCAGTTGGTCAAAAAACTCTCTTCTGCCGTAGCAGTACGTGGAACATATTCCACTTCTGCGGCTCATCTTCAGACCAGAGAATGGACAGGCTTGGGCAGTGACTGGACCCAGGATGAGGACGATGAGGGCGCAGAAGTTGAGGAGGGTCGCAGCGGTATAGCACGTGGCTATGATTTTGATAGAGAAAACCGTCATTAGACATGGAGTAATGGGGAGAGATGCATGATGTATATAAGAGAGGAAATGAGGAATAGGACCTAATAGATTGATCACCAAGAAACGTCCACATGTATTAGGCTAAAAGTTAAGAAAAATAATGTACGTGCAGATGTATTTACAAACTATACAGGGCCATACGCATCGAATTAGTTGTTCTCGAGCATGTCTGGTGAAAATTGAGTATTCGAGATACTATGCGGCATGAAAAACTCCACCTGATCGCGCACCTTCAACATGGTCTGGTCTGTGGACACTTTATTCTTTGGGATCAAGAAGCATCGTGGCTATGTGTACCTCTTATTTTTCCTCCTATGGTATGTTTTCTTTCCTCAATGGTACGGACTCCTGCTAACCAACAGCATCTATTCACGTTTCCACTGGGTATGGGTATACTCGTACTTAACCGTGTTTCTTGTTGAAGCATTTTCGCTCGTCAACTATGCGTTTCGAACTCCAGTGAGCTGGAACCTGCTTTCGGAATCAGACGTTGCCGTTGTGACAGGAGGTTCTAACGGCTTGGGGTTGGCTCTTGTGAAAAGTCTACTTTTCGATTACAAAGTTGCCAGGATTTACATCATAGACATAAAGCCGCCTGATTTTCTGTTCGATAAGCGCGTGGAGTTCTGTCATTGCGATATAGCAGATATTGGCAAATTGAATCTTGTACTCTCCACCATTCAGAAAGAACTTGCCAAAGAGAGCAGGCACATTTCTATTCTCGTTAATAACGCTGGGGTCCGTGCTAGTGGCCTGCTTCTTGCAATGGACAGTACACAGATTTCTCGAGTATTCGACGTGAACACTTTTTCACCCATTGCAGTGCTCAGGACTGTGCTTTCACATCATTTGAATCATTTTCCACATCGTACTCTTTCCGTCGTCAATGTGTCATCAATACTTGGGGTGTTTGGTCCAAAGAACCTTCTGATTTATTCCGCTTCTAAGGCGGCCATGATCCAGATCCACGAATGCCTTCGGGAGGAAATCCGCCCCCATAAGAATATCCGAATGTTATTGGTCATGCCCGGCCAGCTAACCACAGATATGTTCAAAGATATTTCTCCAAGCAGGCTATTCTTGGCTCCTCTAATCAACCACACATGGCTTGCGGCTAAAATAACAGCTCGTGTAAACCGGGGCGAGGAGGGTGTTTTATGTGAGCCATTGTATGCTAATTTTTTGCCTATGGCGAAATCATTGCCCTTGTTACTTCAATATTGGTGCCGAAAATTCTCTCAAATGGACGACAAAGTGCCAGATACATAACATTATACGCATTACCTTACAGGTATAGTCTACATGTAATTACAGAATACTCTCGTCTTTCAACTTGTATATGTATACCTTACTGCTGATCTCTACTGCTCCTTTTTCTCCACCAAACCTGAAACAAGGCTGCTAAACTCTTGGCGGTTTAAGTAGCCAAACTCGTCAAAAAACTTGTTGAATGCAAGTGCGCCAGAATTTGCTCCATCTCTTTTATCGTCCAAGACGATCTTCACGTTGTAGATCGGGTCGTACTTTGTGCACCACGTGTGGACGGTGATTTTCTGGTTGGATTTGTTGTATCCGACGTAGGTTGTGTTTTTAAGGTTAGGGTGGGAGTTGAGATAGTACATCACCAAAGAAACTAGCCCATACAATGCAATAAGACCGGCCACAACGTAGTATGTCTCGTTGAAGGAAAACTTCTTGTCGATATAAAACAAAAGAGCTGCAATTGCCACAGTCACATAGCCCAAGGCTAACTTGATATCGCTAAAAGTGAACGATTGTTCGTAACCCAAAGACTCCAACACTTGGGGAAGAGCTTCATCGGAAGTAAGTTTCAATTCCGATACAGAACTAAAGTATGTTAGAAGTGAGCTGGATGGACAATGTAATGAAACACATACTTTAAGTTGGTCTTTTTCTCCGAAGGCATGGTTACTTGGCAGTGTTCGAATATCGTGTTCACAATATGCGCGCGCAGTAGTTTCCTTCACTTTGGATTATTCCGTCTGAGCGAAAGCAGGCAGTAACTAATTCAATTTTTACTTCACTCGTATATCTTTGAAAGGCGCAAATAAATAAGAGAAAAACTACACCAACGTCTGCAAAATTATTTCGTTATGTATTTACGTGTTAGATATTGTCCTTCTATGCTCTACGACCAAGCAGAGCCTGAAGAAAGAAGTACTATTTTCTTTTTCTTCTTCTTTTTTCCCGGTCCTGATTGTGCTTCAAGCCTCTCCATCTCCTCTCTTGCCTTTCGAATCATCTCCTCTGCATCCCAATCATTATTATCATCTCCATTAATGTCCTTTACTTCCCCTCTGGGAATAGTCGTACCCCAAACTGTTTTCTCCATAGCAACTGACGGCTTTTCTGACTCTGGCAGATGTGCATCTGTTTTGGGCTCATTGGACAACACGGGTAAATCTGCGTAGTCCGAAATTGTCAAATTACTGAACGAACTGCTTGCCCAATTTTCACTATCACCTCCATTCTCGAGTCCGTTGTTTTCACGATTAATGAATTCCCGGATGCTCTTTTCTCCCTCGCTGATGGCCTTTCTTTTATTCAACTCCTCCGTACGCAGCTTTTTGAGCGAGATCTTACTTCTTTTGAAAAGATCATTCTTAAACGTTGCCCACGTTTCTTCAGTAATGTACTCATTATTCTTCCAGTTGCATTCAATGAATCCAATCGTAGTACCTTGTGGCAAATGAGACAAATATTTATACTTGGTTGATGCGGTTTCAGCAGTCAACTCTTCGTACCGGATGCTCTCCACTTTCACAATCACCGAATTGGGAAGCTGAGTATAGTCCTGATTATAGCTTGACTTTATCACTTTAACGTCTAAAGGTGAAAGCACGTACGTGGTTGAAGACTTGAACCCTGTTTGGTAGTAGTAGTATGTGCTTTGTGAGTGTGTACTTGACTCCTTCGGCTCCGTCTGTTCTTTGGGCAAATCTTGGGAAAAAGCTTCCGTCCATTTTGCGATATCTTCATCAATGTTCTTCAATGCAAGCTGGAGAAGTTTACCATCACTTTGATAAAGTTCCCTATCCTCATTATCAGCCAAAATCATTTGTTTTTTCTCCTGTTCGTACATCGACAACAAGTAGCTTAAATCTCCTTTGAAAAATCTCAGATACTGGCTCAAGTCCGGATTAGTTTGGTTCGCCCATGGAAACAAGTCTATTGCTTGCCTATAAGACTCGAAATGACGAGGTAAAGGCACAATGCTGTCTGATGAGCGAGACATTAACGTGAGTACGATTTCATCTTTTGGTTTTGGAATTTCAAACCGCTCATCAATATTGTCCACTTGAACGGGTTTCACATCATGCTTTCTTATTATTGACCCACATAAGGGACAATCATTGTACTTCTCCACGATGACTTTACTCTCACGCTTTTTGTGCACAGGCACCTCACTTTCCAATAATGACAAGAGACAAGTGAGGCACAAGATGTGGCCACACGAAGTAATCATTCGAGGGGCAACCAAATCCTCGGAAAGACATATGGGACAGGCATTTCCTTTGGGCACGATAATTCTCAAAATATCTTGTGTATCAACAGGAATATTCGGGTCGATCTGTTGAGGCTTATAAGATTTGCGATAGTCAACAACAAACTTGTAATTAACATTGATGAAACGCATTCCATGCAAGTAGAGTTTCTGCCGTCTATTCTTTGGGTTACCTGGATTCCGTCTGTTCCGTTGATATTGCTGGTTCTGGTGAAACTCGGGCAGATCGCGATACAGCTGGAAATCCAACAAATGATTGATTGAGATCTGATTTTTTCTAGAAGTAGCATTAAATTTCTTGTTCTGTTTGATATGGTTATCGATATTATCAGAGTATCCACCATTCAAGGACTTGTAATCGTTAGTCTGTTTCGTTTTTTTTGGGGCATGCGCCGACGCTTTGATTGCCGGGCCTGTTTTATCGGAATTGCTCATTGTAATGTGAGCAATAAACGCATATTGGGACTGATTCACAATCAATCGGAGTAGAAAACAAATTTATCAGTCGGTTTCTCTTTAACTTCAAAAGAAGCTAATAGCGACTAAAGCTGAAGAAAGAAGGACTATATAAACGTGCTGTGTTATATACAGGTGTTGCCATGTGTGGGCTTCCCCCCGGTAGAATCAAACAAAGGTGAATGCAAATGAAAAGTAAAAAAAAATCTACCTCCGGTCTGACTACTATCTGGTTTTGCCCTATAATTTACTTTAAACTGTTCCCCTAAATGCGGATTGTCTTGTGTGAGACACCATGCTATGTCTGAACTAATATGTTTGTCGACTTATCAGTTCGCCGGTTTTGCGGGCATATTACATTGAAGGCCGAAGTATATTAAAGTTGTGTGTTAGTTCATAGACATATGGCACGGGTGTAGAAACCGAACTATCAACTCCGCACCGAAAGTCATGGTGAAAGTAGAATAAAACGGCATGGTACATTACCATTAAAAAAGTTGCCATTTCCAGTCTGTTTCTGGCAGACAACTGACCATTCAAGAGAAAATCGGAGGCCACTTCGGTCTACTCTTTGACTTACATGTTGATATGTTAGGTAGACCATTCATAGTAACCATGTTCGTACAGGACGACCCCTTATGATGCAAACTGATAAGCCTCAACTTCATCCCCATGAAACATCGTAGACGGACTAACGACGCGGTCTGGATTGGATAAAAACCTCTGTTGTGTCTGTATGAAGACATGGAGCTAATAAGCTTACTTCTCAATACACACCTCTTCAACCTAACACTGCAAGATAAGCATGAAACGCTCAATCCAAGCCTTCCCGAAACAAACCCATCCCCATCTCAAATGTAAGTATTTTTCAGCGAATAGCTCTGATCTTCCCGCTAAAGACGGTTTGTGGCTCACAAAACACTAAGACAATGGTTCAAGGCAGTGCTTGGTCACGTGTACATGACCCTAAATACATAGCTCTCGCGTATCGCCTCAGGACACCCAAGCATCCTGCTACCTATTCGCTTCTTTCTAGTTTGTATTCCGGAGACATATTAGGCTGCATTTGAAAATGAGTCAATATCGTCGTCTTTCAGGCTCCATGCCAGCATTTCCGCCGGCCTATGATGACTCGGAGGCGCAGTCTGAACTACCCCGAACGAGTGCGCCAGTGGAGCAGTTTGAAATCGACGAGGATGAAGTATTTGAGCCGATGAAACGTGACGGCTTCTTGCATCGAGCGGTTTTTGCGACTAAGCGTTGTGTTTTTACTTTCCGAGATCGGGTTGTTGGGCCTTTATCGCAGATTATGGATCCTCTATACGAGGGCTACAACTACTTCCACTCCAAGTATGAACTGTCGGTAATGAGGATTGGCAACCCCTTGGTGGTCAAAAGATTACTCTATGTTCTTGTTGTTGTTGCAGGCATGTATTTGCTTACGCAAAACGAGAACAACGATGGCATCAGTGGCTCTAGCTCTGACGCATTTTCCTCTGGTAAGTTCTACGACTTGGAAAAGTTGGCCACAACTCTCAAGGCGTACATCGAGCCTAGATCTTTGGAGGAGAACATCGAGTATATTTCCTCCATGCCGCATGTGGCTGGAACCACAGGGGATTTAGCCTTGGCAAAGTATGTCGAGAGCTATTTTTCCAATAACGGCCTTCAAGTCCCAGAATTACAAGAACTCGAGAGTTTTTTGAACTATCCAAAGGCGGAAGGTACATACTTGAAGTTGGCTGACGACTCGTTTGCTGCTACCCTTTATGAGGGCAATTCTAATGAACAGATGCACATGCTCGCTTTCAACCCGAACTCTCCAAACTCACAGGGTGAAATCGAAGCGCCTTTTGTTTACGCCAATCATGGCGATCCACAAGACTTACAGAAACTTACAGATGCTGGTATTATGGTAGAGAATGCTGTTCTCGTTGTGAAGTATGGTGGCGACACACCAGAACCCAACAAAGTTCTTGCTGCTGCTCGCTTGAAGGCGAAAGCTGTGGTATTCATCACGCCTCAGTTTGATATTGGGGGGAAGCCACAGGATGACGTTATTGAAAAAATAAATGTGGGATTGACTCGCGTGAGCACTGGTGATGTTCTCACACCTGGATACTCTGCGCAGAGGAACGCCGTTGGCAAGCTTTCATGGGAGAATTCTTTAACGACAGCAAAAATCCCAACCCTTCCAATTTCATGGAAAGATGGGAAAGCTTTGGTGGCAGTTTTGAATGGAACAGGCCATGACTTTGGCGATGGATGGTATTCGGGAAAGTTGGAGAAAAAGTTGAAACTTAGCGTCCAAAACGAAGAAAGATCTACACATCTGCTTTGGAACGTGTATGGCTATATTCCTGGCAGGGAACAAGCAGATAAGGGTGTGATTTTCGGTGCACCTCGTGATTCCGCCTGTTTCGGTGCTTCTACTGCTGCTAGCGGAACCGCTGCATTGTTGGAGCTCGTCAAGATATTCACGTCTTTGCAAAGAAGATACGACTGGTCACCTTCGCGGCCGATCTACTTTATTTCATTCGATGCTACAGAATACAACTTGGCAGGCTCAGCAGAATGGGTAAAAATGAGACAAAAGGAGTTGATGAAGGGAGGTTATGCATATATTGATCTTAATGACCTTGCCTCTGGGGATGTCTTGTCTGTGAAAGCAAACCCATTAATGCACGACCTCGTCAAGGAAGAGTTACTGAAGGTTGAATTATTGGAAAGTCAAAAGGGGAAGAACATGAAGACATTGTTAGACCTTTACAAATCGCAGAATGGCGGTAATGACCGCATTTCAAACAACATGTTGGAAAACAAGAACTACTTACCCTTTATCAATATGTTGAATATGCCTTCTATGGAGATTGGCTTTAGGGGAGAAACTTTCCCAAAACATTCGTGCGCTAATTCCTTTAAGAACTTTGAAAAGCAAACAGCTTCATCCATGAATTTGCATGCCCAGGTTGTGGAGTTGCTTGGAAGAATTGGATTGAACTTAGCAGAAAATCCGATCATTCCGTTTGATTTTTCAGTTCTTGCCGATCGTTTGATGGATTACAGTTTAGACTTGGAGAAATACGCAAAGGCGCAATCAGATTCCAAGCTCAACCACTTGGAGTATACGAAATTGCGTGAAGCCATTCATTTGCTTAAAGGGTATGCGAATCGTGTTAACGAATTTCGCCATGACAGAAATGAATTTGTTGCAGGAACCTCTTCTTTAGAGCCTGCTGTCTTGTCAGCTGCAAGAAGAAACTTGAATGTAAAAATGACAGAAATCAGTTCAGCTTTCCTCATTCCATCACAAGGAGCCTCCCGTGCTGGATATCTCAATCTGCTTTTTGGATTGCCTTTCAATGCACCCGAGCATGATGATGACTCGTTTGAATGGAATACTTTTCCATTTGTCAGAGATGGTATTGCAGAAAATGACCACAAGAAGGCGCAGTTCGAGATGGAACGGGTCGCCCAATTGTTGGAGATTGCATCACAATACTTCAATGATTGATTGCATTGCATCGGGAAGTGAGAAAAGTTGTACTATCGCATATAGGCTGGTTATTTCTATATAGTGGGATAAATGGAAGATTAAATTGATATTTTGTAAACGTCTCTTATAGGTTGAGCATGTAGTATGTGTAAAACTAATGATATTCATGCACAAAATCTTTGCATATAAGCTCCTCTCGGTGGCCAAGCTGGCTAAGGCGCGAGACTGTAATGGATTTGTAATCTTGAGATCGGGTGTTCGACTCACCCCCGGGAGACTTTTTTTTTTTCTCCTTGGAATGAATGTTTCATCTATCTACATACTGTTTTGTGCCAATCTAGTTAGATCCTCCAAGTAGTAGTCTCTGGATCTGCTGAGGCTGTCCAAATTACGAACCGCCTCGTTGAGATTACATAAGTACTCTAGGTTCGGCCCGCTCTCGCCTCTACTGTTTTTGATGATGCTTGCCGTCTTCTCGATCTCCTCTGGTCCGACAAAAGACTCATTGTCGATAGTGCCAATATATATCATGGACTCGATGAGCAAGTCGCCCGCTCCATTGCGAGGGACTTTCTGTAGTACTTTTTCGGCCTCAGGCGAAGCATCAACACTGTGGATATTGAAGAACACTTTATGCGTGGAGTAGCCATCCTGCTCTCTGACGTCTAGATACTCTTTCATTTCCTGGACGTGCTCCGGCAGAATATAATAGGCCACGCCCCATACTTTCAACTGGCTATGCTTCAAAGAAGAAATGCGTTTTGGTTGGTCTTTAATGGCCTCATTGAGCAGAAGATCACACACGGATTGCGTAGCAAGGTCTGCTTCTTCATGGGCCGCATTAAGTTCGTACATGTGCAACGTATCGTGGAACTTTTCGTCCGCCTGGAGGTCTTCTAACGAAACTAGAGTGACCACTCTACCTGGATTCTGTGGGGTGCCTCTGTGGTCGGAAGACGACTGCCAGAATCTCCGGATGAAGCCAGATAATGTTCCGGTGACACGGAAAGAATAGAGCGGAGGCGGCTTGAAAATGAGAGAGCCGTATCCGATAATCCACATACCTTCGTTATCATTGCTGGTGTGAGACATTGCTAGTGTCTTTTCTTTTTCGGCTCCACTATATCCACCGCACGCTTTTCTCGAAAGCGTTGGATCCTTCGGTTCCGTTCTCATCTGCAGTCTTGTCATCATCTATTTCTGGACACCAGATGAGCCGTTACTTCCCTCGTCTTTCAGTCGTTTCTGTCACTTTTTTCTTTGAAGTTTTGGTTTTCATGAGGTCATGGCACCTCGAATTCCTCATATGCTGTCAGCACTTGGGAAATTTTCTGAATCCATCTGTCAATAGTCCACGCCAAGACTAATCTACATTTGCACCTGCACCTGGGCTAAAGATGCGGCTTGTTATCGAACCTACTATTACCGTACAGCAAGCCCTGCTTGTACTCGACTTTGCTGCATCTTTTTCCTTAGCATTTTTTTCTCCGGTTCCATGCCGACATCATTATGTGGGAACAGCTAGAGGTATGTCGTCCATCCCTACGCCTATCTGAACATGCTACTAACTCGCTCCTAGATAGAAAAAGCGCACATTGCCTACGCTTGTATAGGCATTTTCTCGACGCTCTTCTCGCTAGCGTCTCTTTTTGTCAAGGAACAACTCTACATTGGTGAAGCTACTGTGGCAACGCTTGCGGGCTTGATCCTAGGTCCGCACTGTCTCGACTGGTTCAATCCGCTATCATGGGGTAACTCCGACCATATCACTTTGGAGATTTGTCGCATAGTCTTGTGTATCCAAATTGTTGCTGTGGCGGTAGAACTTCCTCGGAAGTACATGAAGAAACACTGGGTTTCAGTCACCATCCTCCTATTCCCTGTGATGACTTGCGGTTGGTTGATTGTGGGTCTTTTCATTTGGATCCTCATCCCCCATTTCAACTTCCCCTCATCCCTACTTGTTTCTGCCTGCGTCACTGCCACAGATCCAGTCTTAGCTGCTGCTGTTGTTGGTAAAGGCAAGTTTGCCGAAAGAGTTCCAGGTCACTTGAGAAACTTGTTGACTGCTGAATCGGGTTGCAACGATGGAATGGCTTTCCCGTTCATCTACTTGTCGTTGAATTTGATCACCCATAGCGGAAATGCTCGTGAAATTGTCAAGGAATGGTTTACGCTCACAATCTTGTGGGAGTGTTTGTTTGGTGTGGTTTTGGGTGTTTTCTTGGGCTACACTCTTCGAAAAGCCGTGGCCTTTGCTGAGAAGAAGGGTTTGATAGACAGAGAATCCTTCTTAGCCCTTTTTGTGTTTTTGGCATTTAACTCGGCGGGTATTGGATCTATGTTGGGTGTTGATGATCTCTTGGTTTCCTTTGCTGCCGGTACTGCTTTTGGATGGAATGGTGACTTTGCTAGGAAAACCGAGGAATCGCACGTGTCGACAGTCATTGACTTGTTATTGAACTTGTCCTTCTTCGTTTACTTTGGAGCCATTGTTCCTTGGCCTGACTTCAATAACTCGGAGATCGGTCTTGATGTATGGCGACTTATCATCCTTGCGGTTGTAATTATCTTCTTGAGAAGAATTCCTGCTGTTCTTGCGCTCAAGCCTTTCACTCCAGATATCAAGTCCTGGAGAGAGGCATTGTTTTGTGGTCATTTTGGGCCTATTGGGGTTGGTGCCATATTCGCCGCTATCTTGGCGAGAGCCGACCTCGAAAAACATTACACACATGAGGAAACACCATTGAGAAAAGTTCCAGATAAGTCATTCCCTCATTACCAGCTCATTGCTTCTATCTGGCCAATCATTTGCTTTGTGGTGATAACTTCCATTGTCGTTCATGGCTCATCTGTTGCTGTGCTTACTCTCGGTAAGAGGTTGAACAGAATGGCCATCACAATGTCCTTTTCTGTTACAAATACCCAGGACCAGGGACCTTCTTGGATTTCTCGTTTGCAAAAGCTCGACAAGACTTCAACCTCATTTTCATTGCATAGAATTGACACGACGACTGTCAGTGACAAAGACGAGCAGCTTTCCAGAACTAATACCGTCGAAACAAGTGGCGTCAAAGTGCGTCCAGCTGGAGGTGCCAAGAGAAAGAAGCGTGGGAAACGTAGCAAAAAGTCTACAAAGCATGAGGAGATCGGACTGTCTCCGACCATCGAAAGGCAGCGTCCGCAAACTGAATTCCTTCAGCTCGGTAAAACTCCTTCTCGCCATCCACTGAACCTTGACAACGAAGACGAATCTCCTGGAAGCACCACCATTGCCAATTCTGAATTACAGACAACCAACGAGACTAAAGAAATACCCCCTGAAGCCCTTGAGGAAGTCAAGAAGAAAGTATCAGAGATTCAAAGAGAGGCTTCAGGCACGAGCCAAGTTCCTACTACCGTATATCAAGAAGGTCTGCGTGTGGTTGTGGAAGACCAAGACGGAGAGATCATTGATTCTGCTTCGCTAATTGATTACGATAAGGAGCGGCCAGATTTAGGACGTGGTGACGCACCTGATGGTCTGGATATGAGTATACATTCCATGGGCTCTCTCAGAAGGCACATGTCTGCATTCTCGGCTTTATCAGACACACTGAATGCTTCAGGTACGGAGTCTATGACAAGCAAACTCACTCGGACTCTCAGCTCTAATGTTAGAAAGGCCTTTGTCAAGAAGGATGGTAAAGGCAAAGGAAAGAAGTACTATGCACATCAAGTGGATAACTTGCTTCTTATTGAGAATGCTGATGGAGAGATTGTGAGGCGTTTCAGAGTCAACAAGCATGAATCGCTGCGTGCTCGGTCCCGCTCTATTGTTGGTAGGGCCTTGTCCTTGGTAGGTATCAAGACTCGCGACAGTGCAACTTCCGCAAGTGGCGCTCCATCAGGGCTGACATCGGCTGTGGAACCAAGTGAAGTCAAAAACAAGCTCACTGTTCCTCCGACAGTGCATGAAGACCTGGACCGGCTGTATGGAGACAGTGAATCTGAATTTGAAACTGAAGATGACTTCTCCGAGACAGAAGTTGAGAAGAGGAGAAGATTGGCTGCATTGGGAGAGATCTCTGACGGTAGAGCCGAGAGTGATGAAGAGGAGTAAGCTGAAGGGGTACCCACTAATTAACATATTTATGCATTATCGACTTTCAAGCCATTTTACGGCTTCATTCAAGTAATATCCAGTTTTGAAAACCTGTTTCCCTATATGTATGTAGAATTAATTACTAGACTTACAATCAGTTCATCTGAACAACCTAGTGGTGGTCTGCCTTGGCAGCAGTAGGCAACTTGATCAAACTCTTTTTGATGGCATCGACACCCTTCAACAAGTCCTCCTCCGAAATGACCAATGGCGGAGCCAATCTGATGATTTCGTCGTGTGTTGGCTTCGCCAAGACACCTTCATCCTTCATAAGCAAACAAAGGTCCCAGGCAGTTCTGCCATTAGCCTTTGACTCGTCAATGACGATAGCAGACAATAAACCCTTTCCTCTGACCTCAGAGATGATGCCATCGAACTCAGACTTCAACTCCTCCAACTTTGAGCGCAACAAGGAACCCAATCTTTCAGCACGCGAAACCAAGTCTTCGTCCTTCACAACTTGCAATGCTGCCATAGCCACCTTACAAGCCAATGGGTTTCCTCCGTATGTGGAGCCGTGGGAGCCTGGAGTCAATGTCCACATGATGTCCTTAGAAGACAAGACAGCAGACACGGGATAGACACCACCGGAGATGGCCTTACCCAAAAGAACAATGTCAGGCTTGACACCGGCGTAATGCTCGTAGCACAACATCTTTCCTGTTCTGGCGATACCAGTTTGGATCTCGTCACAGATCAACAAAACATTGTGCTTTTTGCACAATTCTTGCACCTGGCTAAAGTATCCCTCTGGTGGAACAACAATACCAGCCTCACCTTGGATAGGCTCCAACAAAATAGCGGCGATCTTGTCTCCGGCATTAGCGAAAGCCTTTTGCACATCTTCGATAACACCGTATCTCAAGAGGGTACCCTTGGGTTCGCCTGGAATTTGTGGTCCGACACCGTTCAAGTATGGGCCAAAGTTGGTAGTAGCCTCTGGGTCAGTGGACATGGAAATGACACCCAAGGTTCTACCATGGAAGTTGTCCACTGCAGATAAGATAATGGCCTTGTCCTCGTCAATGCCTTTCTTGACATAGCCCCATCTTCTGGCCAACTTCAAGGCAGTTTCAACTGCTTCAGCTCCTGTGTTCATAGGCAAAACCATCTCGTAATTGAAGTACTCGGTCACGTACTTGGCATACTCACCGAAAACGTCAGATGAAAACGCTCTGGAGCACAAGGTCAACTTCGATGCCTGTTCGACCAAGGCGTCGATTATCTTTGGATGACAGTGGCCTTGGTTCACTGCAGAGTATGCGGACAAAAAATCCAAGTACTCGTTTCCTTCAGGGTCCCATACGTGGGCACCTTTAGCCTTGTGGAAGACAACTGGCAATGGGTGGTAATTGCGGGCCGAGTATTGCTCCTCGTATTTTCTTGCTGTTTCAGATGAAAGACTCATGATTGCCGGGAATAATTGCGTACTCACTCGGGATCCTCGTGGGGTATTTATAATTTTTCACTCTGGAGAACGTTCGCTTGACCTTGCCTATAGGTGACACGTGCGGCTTCTCTTGCCGTTCGCGGGCAAGTACAGTCGCCCACATTAATCGATAAAACCTGCATCTAATTTTGGAGCAAGTGTCCGCGAGGAGTGAGGGGGTTTGCACATCAATGTTTGGTCAGGTACATAAACTTAAAGCTTAGCATAGCCATAAAACGTACACCATTACTGGAGACCACGTAAAACCAGACAAGAAGAACAGAATCTTCAATAATGGTAAAGATCAAAGTTTTCATCCATAGGCTTTGCATCTTCTTAAGACCTCTCAACTCTTCATGTTTGGGAATGTAAGTCAATTCGGATTTCAGGGCTACTTCAGACTTTTCATGGGAAAATCAGAGTAGTGTGCAAAAAGCAAAGGACCAATGTGGGTGAAAAAAATAGGAAAAACATAGGTGAGAAAACTAAGAGAGTAAAATTGCTAGTGCTTAGACAATCTGAACCCACAGGAAGCATCTACAGATTTTTATTTGTTTTGTCAACACAGATGTGCCCATCTATTGGCGATGGCCTAAGAGAATACATACATTGGACCTGCATGCGGACATGGGTTTTGTCCTTTTAGGAAGGTAATTTGGCGCGCATCATACAACTCAGACTCTAGTCATTTTAGTTTCCAGTGTCCTTAAATTTAGCCCTTATTTCCATTTGTATTTATACTACATATACCTCACGATGGAGCGCCAGAACAAAAGAATGATGACGCAGGCCATTCTGCCTCAGACCCAAGATCCTGAAACCGCTGTTTTATCCACGATCGGCATGCGCATCAGAAAAGCCGTTGCTGAAGGTTATTCTGTCCAAACCCCAGCGTCCTACAAACCAGATTCTGTCCCCGCATACTCCATTTCATTTGATGTTCCATCCAACAACCACCCTTCCACGATGAGAATACCTTTACCTAACGGAATGGCGCAACCACCTTCTTTAACTAACGCTGGCTCAACGTTCCAGTCAGGACTGAATGTCTCTGAATGGGGCCAGCAAATGAATGTCATTTCTATCCCACACATGCCTAGCTCGGGTTCCAAGAGAAGATTCGACCAAGATGAAGACGTTACCATCAATCAACCTAGCTTGGAGGAGTACAACGCCAGGTACGGCCGTTTGAGTTTCAATGAAGACTTTTGAAAAGTCTCATGCTTTTAGTTCTTTGCCTTTTACATGCCTGATATCCGAGATTGCTGTTCGTAGTTTGATTATAGCCATACTTGAATGGTTCGATTTAATACACCTCGTAACCTTACTCTACCATACGGATGACTCAGTTACCTTGAGCAAACTTAGTTATTCTCCGCTTTCTTTCATACTTGCCCATATTAAACATGCCCACATTTATAGCTCAAAGTTTGATTGTGCCACCTTAAATGAAGGAACCGTTTACCTTCAGTCCTGCACTCACAATCTAAGCCCCATCTACAGCTACTTCCATCAGGAACCAAGGAACAAGCATTACTATCGCATCATGAAGCCATCGCTCCGCTGGCTTTCACTACGAAATATCAAGTATTACTTCACTCTTGTATTTCTGAATCTCACGCTCTCACAGCGTATTCTTCAATGGATGCGACTCGGATCATCTTTCCTCACGATTTGCTTGACGACTGCATTATTTATTTTCCGAAACGATCCTAAGCATGCTTATATTGCAAGAATCAACTGTGGTCGACTTAATGTTGGTCTGGGTCTTTTTCACTCTATCGGCTCAGCTATATCCGTGAGCAATCAAGATTTCCGGGCAAAGTTCTTAAAACCATTAGGATCAAGTCTTACTGATGCTGAGGTCAATATCTTGGCTGAATATACCAATAGCAAAATCGAGGATGCACCCCAGTACATAGATTTGGGAGAAAATGTTTGGTGCTACGGGACTTACGAAACCCAGAAGGACTACTGGGATTTGGACAATAAAGGTGCAAAACCAAAAATAACGACCACATGCGAAGCCTACACCGACTTCAACCTTTTGGATATTAAAGGAATCCTTAGCTACAATCATCTCAGTGTTATAGTTGCATATGCTTTTCAATGGGATGGTGTGTCTGATGAGCAGTACGGAAAGGAAGTATCAATTCGCTTGAAGCAATATCACGGCCTGTCAATTATCATTGACGTTCAAATCTTCATCCAGATTTTGCTACTCAGTACAGGTGTGTTTGTTTATGGAAACAGAGGCAATGCAAAGGACTTGCACAAGATTCCTAAAAGCACACTTAATGTTGTTGCCATCGTTTCCATCTTGACAGCTTTGATTATCACAGCAAGCACTGTCATGGTGACATACTCAATGCAAGAAATGAAAGCTCGTGTTCATAAAAACTTGAGCAGTTATGGAATCAACATGACTTTGGGAAATCTATACTTCACATTTATTTGGCTCACATTCGGATTCACCATCCTTTGCACCCTCTCGTGGGTTGTCCCACTTTGGTGTGCAAATCCTCCTGAGAACGTGTATTGGGAGGAAAATACAGCTGACAATGCTAGTGGGAGATTACGTGTTACCGAAGAAGAACATTACACGATCAAACCGTATCAATTTGACCGGTCAACCAAACAAAACAAAAAAGTTAAACGATCAGCCTCCAACTTCCTTGATGAATCATATGAAACGAGTCAAGAATTGACAAACTTGAGTGATTCTCTGGACACGGCTGAGAACACAGGCGATCTCTCCGAGCCAGAAATGTTTTATGGACTTGAACTGAGCAGCAGAATCCACAGCCAGCGTGAACTCCTTAAATTAGGGGAGAAAATGTCTTACCGACCCCCCGTTAGGAAAATGAGTCGCAAGATACCAACCATGAATATTCCCCCTCAGGAAGAAACTCGCAAACTCCTCTATAGGGAGAATCCATTTTCAGGCCACCAGTATCCGAAGGCTCTTCCACAATCGGAAGAATTGTCTAGTACGGAGCCTAATAATCTGCTTTTGAGAAGCTCTTCCGGAGTTCGGACTAGGGTTTTGCTGGACAATGTTCCCCATCCAGATTCTTCTACAGCGGCAGCAGTGGAAAATCCTTTCTTGGAAGAAATGTCAATAAAACTGCAAAAAAGACCCGTTTCCTTTGGCATGGCGTCTGTACTAAACGAAGAAGAGATGGACTATTTAGACCAGAACCATCTTGTTAATAGGTTGTGATGCAAGATGAGTGCGCAGCATCTCACTCATTTGCACAAACACATGATTGAACATGACCATGAACATTCTCAAAGAGGCGCCACGAGAAGCCAAGCTGTACAGTTCCAGGAAAATAGCTCGATCAGTCAATGCAAACATTGTCGCTGCTTGGGTATTCTGGTTCATATTGTCCTCCTTAATTCTGTTGTGTATCCTTCCACGAGTATTTGGAACGTCCCTTCGGATGTCCCATATTGACCTCTATTTTAAACCATCCTCGGAATTGGGATGGACGAGAACGGTGGATGAGGGGCTTGAACTTTTTTCATTGTTCACCAACGATTTGGCAGGTACCAAACAAAGCCGCTCCCGCTCCAAATTTGCGTCCATTTCAACCAACATCTACACTTTTGATTTTGCTAGTTGGTGCCGGAAAAACTCGAACCAGAAATCTGTTGTCTGCTATAGAGGTGATGGAATGAATATAGTATCGGCTTTCGTTACAGATTTCGGGTCACAAGTTGCAGATATCGGGAATCTTGAAGACCCCCGCCTGTTTGGCCAATCACTCGCACAAACCTACAGAGACATAGTGAATGACTTGGACAGAATCTTTCACCAACCAAAAGAAAATAAAGGAACTCTAGATTTGGATATGGACAAGCTTAAAATAGTGCACAGGCTTCATGTATTTGAGAATATGGGCCGCACTTTAATGACATTAAGAATTGTTCATATTCTTCTCATGTGCATCGTATCATTGACTGTATGGACTCGAGAAATACTAGCAGTTAACAATGCGCCTGTGTTTTTCAAGTACAACATCTTCATGTGCTGGACCATATACGTTGTTTTAAATTCTTGCACCCTCTTATCGTTTTGCTTTTTTTCAAGCGAGACTGTGCTTATCACTCGCCTAAATGCGGCACTCACGAACCATGGAGTTCGTTTAGTGCAAGGCCCCGGGAACATATTGCTACTCGTGGAGACATTTGCGAGTCTCATCTTTTCCTTGGTTGTTGTCTTCAGCGACTAAATAAAATACACTAAGCATTGCATACTTCTTATTGAACAAGTAGCGACCATTCTCAAGCACCGTAAACCTTTTTGAACGATTGTTCAAAGTCAGCAATTATATCTTCAATATACTCAGTTCCAATGGAAAGTCTAATCATGTCCTTTGTGACACCTGAAGCAAGCTTTTCTTCGTGAGATAATTGTTGATGTGTTGTGAAGTATGGAGCAATAATAAGGGTCTTAGAGTCGCCGACGTTTGCCAAGTTCGAAGCAACTTCCAAATTGTCGACGAATTTGGCAGCAGCTTCTTGGAATGGATCATCGACTTGAGTTTCCAAATCCTTCACACCAAAGGTCAATGCTCCACCAAAGTATTCCTTGTGGTTAAAGTATTTCTTCGCCAATTCGTGGCTTTCGTGAGATGGCAAACCGACGTACGAAACCCACTTAACATAAGGAGACTTCTCTAAGTATTTTGCAAGTTTCATTGCATTGTCGGATTGTCTTTCGACACGCAAAGACAAAGTCTCCAAACCTTGGAGCAAAAGGAAACTGCCGAATGGGTTCAATGCTGGACCCAAGTCTCTCAACAACTCAATTCTAACATGGCCAATGTATGCCTGGTTGCCCAAAGCCTCATTCAAAACCAACCCGTGGTAACCTTCAGAAGGTTCAGAGAACTGAGGGTATTTTTGGGGATACTTAGCCCATGGGAAGTTTCCAGAGTCCACAATAACACCAGCAATTGTGGTACCATGGCCGCCGATCCACTTAGTGGCAGAGTGAACGACAATGTCCGCGCCAAGCTTGATTGGGTTGACCAAAAATCCACCAGCACCAAATGTGTTGTCCACGACAACAGGAATGCCATTTTCATGGGCAATTTTAACAATCTTTTCAAAGTCTGGCACATTGTACTTTGGGTTGCCCATGGATTCGAGGTAGATGGCCTTTGTCTTATCATCAATGAGCTTAGCAAAGTCCTCTGGCTTGTCGCCATTCACGAATCTGGACTCAATGCCCAATCTCTTGAAAGCGACCTTGAACTGGTTGTAAGTTCCACCGTACAAGTAAGACGTACTGATGACGTTGTCACCATTGTGAGCCAAACCGGCAATGGCTAAGAATTGGGCTGCCTGACCGGAAGAAACAGCCAAGGCACCAACACCTCCTTCCAAAGCGGCCATTCTCTTTTCAAAAACATCGTTGGTAGGGTTCATGATACGCGAGTAGATGTAGCCCGGGGTCTCCAAACCAAACAATTGGGCGCCGTGTTTAGAATCATTAAACACATAAGATGTGGTGGCATAGATTGGAGGAGCTCTAGCACCTACAGGTCTTTCGACTTCTTGGCCAGCGTGCAATTGAAGAGTGTCAAAGTGAGAAGGCATTGTTGGAATGTGCAGCAAAAGTGTCTGAAGGCAGAAATGTGGCCATTTTTATGTTATTGCAAAGTATCACGGGTCCCCAAATCCTTGTGTGCAACTGCACGTGAGTTGGGGTTATCGTGCATGCTCGTACATTCCTCGAATCGACACAACTCCACTACTAACAAATGCCGGATTCGGCCACAAAGGAAAGCGGGAGAAAAAAAAAAAAATAAAAAAACGAAGAATGAACCCATTTTGTAATACATCTCTGACTTAAAGCAATTTCCGCCATAAACAATGGGCGAATGATTACTAAATTGACTCATAGTAATAAGACATTTGACGCGGAGCATAGACGTACCCAATCGATTGAACTATTACTCACTCAATTCGAATAAATAACCGTATTGTCCAGCAAAACAGAACCAGAAACACAATTACTTTGACAATGCAAATCACGTTACAGTCGGTCAAAACTCGGCCTATTTCTACCACTCAAAGTCAATTGACGTTTTTTTTGACCAGAACACTTCCAAACTGCGACATTCCAGCTTGCTTGTGTACATGTGTTAGCTGTATGTGCGAAAAGAGCGTCGTAAGACGTTTATTTTAATTAACCCTCATTTAGTTAAGCTACACGTCTAAATGTTACGCACCACACAACTAACTGCAGGTTAAGCTCATTACTAGATCACAACCTTCCAGATGTGTCTAAAACAGTGTACCGGTGTTACAAAAAAAGGAACACGGTGCTTGAAGAAAGTCTCCAACGGCGAATTTTGCCATTATCATATTGGCCAGAAGGGAGCCACGTCTCCGTCTCGTGGCCCGCCTCTGCCGCTGAAATATAGCGTGTCTAATCTGCCCCAGAGACGGAATGTGTCTACCCTGCCCCAGAAATATAACTTTTCCCTGCCACTACGCTTCCCAAAGGTCGAGCCCAGTCTTAAACCAGGTTATATCTATGTGTACACATTGGCCGCTCTCTTGAGCAAAACCCAAGGCGGCGGATTTCTCAAAACACGCAATTTGCTGACGAACGCAAAACATAAAGATAAATGGGTTGACTTCAATGCCAAACGCCTGGACATTATGTTAGTCAAGGTCGGTATGACCACGCAAACCGTGTCCAAGCGGATTCTGCAATGGGAGAGCAAGTGCAACCACAAGATCGAATGTCTTTACCCCAACTCGCATAAATTTCAATCTTCGTCCTTTTTGCAGAGATTTGAGCGTCTCTCTTTAAATGGCCGCCACAAGGCGCCAGAATTTGCAACTTTCCAAGATGATGCCAAGGGATTCTTTGTCCCACGAGACGTCATGAGGGCAGAAACAGAAATTCATCATTTGCTCAAACTAAAATTTGGAAGAGGTGATGTTTATTGTACTGGATGCGTGGCCAAACTTCAGGAAGAGACAAAAGCAAAAGAGAAGCCCTTCAGCCTACGAACTTTGTTCAACAAAAAAGAGTTCATTGAAAGTGACTACAACGTGCATGTGGAGTGGTTCCCCATTCCGAAGAAGCAAATGATGGACGTATATCGCATCATCGATTCCGTATGTCTAAAATACGCCCCATGACGGGGGTTTTAATTAGAAAAAACTTTTTAATTGTACACAAAAACACGCACAATGGCGCTACTTCCTCTTTCATATCTGGAGAAAAAAATCAAGTGTTCATGTAGGTCGAAGGGTCGATACCTTCTTCTGGGAACTCTGTGACCTTCACGTCGAATCTCGATTGGATCTTTTCCAACACTTCCTCGTCCTCCTTGGTGGAAACAAAGGAAATGGCCAATCCCTTAGTACCAAATCTACCAGCTCTACCAACTCTGTGCAAGTATTGGTCAGCTTCACTTGGCAAGTCGTAGTTGATAGCCAAGTTGATTCTTTCAATGTCAATACCTCTACCGAACACATCAGTCGAGACACAGATACGTTTGTTGAACTCCTTGAACGACTTGTATCTAGCAATTCTTTCCTCTTGTTTCATGCCCGAGTGGACAGCAATGGAAGGGAAGTTACAGGCACACAACAACTTGTTCAACTCGTTAGCTCTCTGGGTAGACTTGACGAAAATAATAACCTGGTTGAATTCCAAAGAGTCCAACAAGTCTGACAACTTTCTGTTCTTTTCCTTCTCAGACAACTTGAGGTAGTATTGTTGCAAACCGTGCAAAGTCAACTTGGCCTCATCGTCAACATAAATTTCCAATGGGCTTTGCATGAACTTCTTGCAGACTGGACGAATTTCCTGCGACAAGGTGGCAGAAAACATCATCACCTGCTTCTGGTGAGGGGTGTTTCTGAAGATGTCTTGGACATCTCTTCTCATGTCCAAGGACTCCAAGACCTTGTCACACTCGTCAATAACAAACGACTTAACGTTGCCCAAACGAATGCCCTTTTCTGCAACAAGCGCGTGCAATCTACCTGGAGTAGCCACGACAATGTGAGGACAAGTGTCTTTGTTCTTCAACTTCTCCAAGTCTCTAGCAATTGGGGTTCCTCCGTAGAAAACGTCAGTCTTGACGTCTGGCATATACTTGGAGAAACGAGCGTACTCGTTACGGATCTGGTAAGCCAATTCTCTGGTGTGACAGATCACCAAAGTGGAAATTTCACCTGGAACTGGGTCCAATTGTTGCAAAGTAGACAAGACAAAAACAGCAGTTTTACCCAAACCAGACTTGGCTTGGCACAAGACATCGGTACCCAAGATAGATTGTGGGATACACACCTGCTGGACTATAAAATGTTAGTTGATGAACGCGATTCGAGGCAAGACGACAGGAGCTTCACCGAGAAACAGCTGCTATTCTAATGATTGTCTGTTTCCAGAAATAAAGAACAAGACGCAAAAGTGAAATTAACAGCACGTTTAAGTGCCCCAAGATTAATGGTTCGGCAACATGGGTTTCGAGGTTCATAGTCCCGTCGCTTGAGCTCGTTCATGGCAAGAGATACGAACCTTCAGATGGATGTTCAAAACCACAGTCTCCAATGGCTCTCAACAACTCTGGCTTCAAAAGGAAGTCTCTGAAACCAGTGGCGTGGATACCAACATAAGAGCCTTTCTTGTCAGCTTCCTTGCCAGCAGAAGCATCTTCGGCTGGAGCCGTCGAAGTTTGCACGGCGATTTCTTCCGAGTCAGAGTAGTCCAACAATTCTTCTTGGCCTTCGTGAGACATGGTGATGTGTGATTATTCGGTGTTAATATCCAGAAATATTGTTGATTTTTTCCAAACTGAATGGTGAGGTGTTGGAGAAAGTCGTGCGAGACCCATGCGCGAGGCGCACAGTTGCGAAATAGTCCTAGTAAAAGATTGCCAGTGGAGTCTTGGTCTCTCGAGTTGCTTTGTATCTTTTCCCTTTGAAACCATGATCGCCAGAAATCTTGCTAGAAACGTTCATACTAGAGCGTTTTGCTCTAGAAACTCGTCTGCAGCCTCTCTTATTGGTAAATCCTTTACCACGTCTTTTGCTAGAACATTCTCTGTCAGAGCAAACCCGGTTGTGGTAGCGCCTCAAAATGTTGCCAAACGTTGCATTTCTGTCCGTCGGGCATCCAACTCGAGCCATGATGATGTTTCAGAAGATACCCTCAAGGCACAAGACTTGGTGAGCAAACTCCAGCTGCACCCAGAAATCCGCCAGTTGTTGCAAGAGTTCCAGGAATTGATTGTGACCAAGGGATTCAACCCAGAAAAACCTCCATCCTTTATGGAAATGATGAAGCTTTTCGCCCACAAAGATGTGTGCGATTTGGTTGCGAAGTTGAAAGTTAAATTAGACGAGGCAGGCATCAAGATCTCGCGCGACGACATGGGCCTGTTGATGAAGTTGTTCAAGTAACGACAAATGGCTGTATAGAAACTAGAAGTAGCATATGAAAATCACCTTATGAGCAGATATGAAACAGCACTCACACAATCGCTTCGTAGTGCGTATGAAGGAGAAACCATGCCAAAGGTAAGCTTTCGGTGGAACATCAAATGATGACAGTAGGCTAAATTAAAACTATGTAGAAACCTGAGTTTTGCTTCAATGTATCCTTGTGAGCCATATGATAACGTACATGCTTCATTAACATCCTCCAACCACACATTTTGTAGTTTTATCACAGCTTTGTTACTGGCATTTATTACCTCCTCCAACTATATGCAATTATTTCGTGGTTCCTCGGATAGCGTTCTCTCTGGTCATTGGCAGCCTTCAATGTCTTACTGTTGCATGTACATTTCCATCTATTTGGAAAACGAAGCGGAGATCACTGCAGCCTCCTCAACTGCCCTGGAAATGGCGCCTCTGACACCAGCATCCTCCATCTTCAACAATCCCCCAATTGTAGTTCCACCGGGAGTACACACCTTACTTTTCAAAACAGCAGGATGTTCGCCGGTTTCCAAAACCATCTTGGCCGTGCCCTCCATAACTTTTGCGGCCGAAAGCTTCGCCACATCGTGGGGAAGTCCCATTCTAACTCCTCCATCATACAAAGCTTCCATCATAAGCAAACAAAACGCAGGACCCGAGCCCACCAATGCAGTGGCCGCATCCATGTTCTTCTCCGCAATTTCCACAGCGCTGCCAACCGTGTTAGCAAGCGCAAGCACCTCGTCCTTGAATTTTTCTTGTGCTTCAGGCGAAAACGCTACAGTGGCCATTCCACATCCGAACTGGGCAGGAGTGTTTGTCATGACACGTGCAATGTAAGGCGAGAAAATAGTCAATTGGGAGATGGTGACACCGGCCAACAAAGAAATCACCAATGGCTTGTGGCTCAAAGACGAGCTCACCTCTTCGTACAAGCCTTTATAGTGGAACGGCTTGCAGCCCAAAAGTACCACATCCGATTCGGCAACACACTTTTTCTTTTCCTCCAAGTCCGCCACAACATGGATGTATTCTTGGGGGTAGTTTTCCCGCAATCTGGCCACAGAAGCTGAGTCCTGGGTGCACAAGTATATCTTACCTGGGAAAGGCTTAACGTTGGCTTTGATGATGGCCGATGTCACAGCTGAGCCCATGACACCTGCGCCCAAAACTGTGAATGTGTAACCTTCCTTGATTGCCATTTCGATCTTGTGGGTCTGGAGAGAAAAAAATGTGTTGTGGTGATAAGTATGACTCTACTGGAGTATGATAGATCCAGTACTGGTACTGCACGCAACTTCGGTTGCCCATTCCGTAAACGGAGAAGTGCAATCCAATGCGAGGCAGAAACCGAAGTAGAAAGCGAAGCTTAAAGACAATACCGTTTTCTGTACGAGCGGAGATGGAATTGCCCAAACGTGATGCAGCCGAAGCCGATTGTTGGGTTCCAACTCATGTTTCAATTCATTTTTTATTTTTTTTTTTATTCTTCAGCTCAACCACCTTTCTGCTTTATCTGGCTCTTACTTCCCCATCCTCGCTTTCTACCGTCTTTTGCTGTGATGCAGGAAAGTTCTTGCCCAACCGCTACAAATCTTCAATATTCGGGCACTTCTCCTGAAAAACTAAATTCTGGCTGGCGTTTAAATTCTTCCAAATCTCTTTTTGCTCTTTGAGAGCGGAACTTTCCTTTCCTTCGAGTTTGTAGTCCCTAATCTCGAACTTAGTTTCAGCTGAAGTGGTGCGACATTTGATCGCGGGATTGCTTCTTCTGTTCTGCAGCTGCGGCTCCATCTACATCTTCCACTAAATAAAGGGTCACCTGTATTAGGGCTTTTTTTCTTTTGGAAACGTCAACAACATTATCGACTACTAAGGAGCAGATACAGTTCCTCAAAACTCTTAGGGGAATTTCGACATGACTTTCGACAAAACTTTATTGAAGCCCTGTCCTGTACTACTACCATCGGCAGAAGAATTTCAGAATCCCATAGAGTACTTGTCGAGGGAAGACATACTACAACTAGGGAATGAGTTTGGTTTAGTAAAGGTTGTGCCGCCAAAAGGATGGAAACCACCATTTTCCATAGCGCCGTCCTTCACCTTTCACACAAGAATCCAGAAGCTTAGTGATTTGGGAATCACAACCAGAAGCAGGAAAATCTTTATTGACGGCTTGAACAGATTCTGCAACATGACCGGACGCAGAAATGTCCACTCCTGGTTTGTCACTCACAACCAGAAGATACATTATTATGATTTATATCTCGCAGTTTGCCGGCTCTACCCCGGCCGAAACGATCTAATGGGTATTTCTCAGGAGGAATTAACGAAGCTAAATTTGATGTTTGATCTTCCCGCCTCAGAAACAATTCTTAAAAGTGAATTTACCGACAAAATCAAGGCATACGCCCAGTACTTGTCTCATAACGGCAACAACTTTGACTTTCCTGAAAGCGATCCTGAAGATGATACCGAAAGCTGCTTGGTCTGCCGGAAAAACCACTCGCCCACGCAGATGCTTTTGTGTGACCACTGTAATAACCCTTATCATCTCAAATGTCTTCTGCCGCCTCTTACAGAAGTCCCTGAAGGAACATGGTACTGTGAAAAATGCTTGATTGGAACTGGCGCTTATGGCTTTGAAGAAAACCCCGAACTTAAATTCAACATCTGGGGCTTTGTTGAACATTGCAAGCAATTTGAACTGGAGTTCTTCTCTAGATACAGTAAGGATGGTCTGCCCTTATCTCTCGATGAGATTGAACAACTTTTCTGGAACTTAGTAGAGTCTGAAAATTCCGAACTCAAAGTGAGGTATGGCGCGGATATCCACAATTTAAGGCCTGGAGAAATAAGTGGTTTTCCGACAATGGAAATCCCAAAGAGTCCTTATGATTCTAATGCAGATGGTTCTCAGTACATACATCATCCGTGGAATCTTACAAGACTTCCTTTTGCGAAAGGATCTTTACTTAACTTCATCAACAGCACCATATCAGGCATGACCATTCCGTGGATTTATGTGGGCTCCCTTTTATCTACCTTTTGCTGGCACGTTGAAGATCATTATACTCTTTCAGCCAATTATTGTCACTTTGGCAATGTCAAAAAGTGGTATGGAATTCCTAGCTCATATGCTGACGAGTTCGAGAAAATAATGAAGGCGCTGGCACCTGATCTTTTTCAACGGCAGCCGGATTTGTTACACCAATTGGTTACATTGATGTCTCCCTCGGAACTTTCTGCCAAAGGTATTCCCTGTGTGTACGCCGATCAAGGGCCAAACGAGTTTGTTGTGACATATCCTAGAGTATATCATGCGGGCTTCAATAGTGGTCTCAACTTTAACGAGGCTGTGAATTTCACCATGGACGCATGGATAGATTTTGGCGAGAGGTCTATCCGAGACTATGCGGAGATAAAGAAAGAGAATGTATTTGATCATTTCATGTTGGTGCAAAACATATTAGAGAACTACCTACAGCCAAACAGTGCATTTGAAGACAACCACAAAAACTTCATAGGCAAATGCATTCGCAGTTATGAGCAATTTCTCCACCGGCAGAAAAGCCTTGTACACGATCTCGAGAGTGATAGGTTGGAAACTGTGCTAAAGGTGCCTGAAAGCAAAAGTGGCTTGATGACGCCGGGTCCTGCAACAAGAATGTCAACGATGAAAAAGAATAAAGCCAACACCGAAGATGAAGACGATGATCTTTGTGACATATGTCGTACTTATGTGTCATTCCAATATTGTGATGTTAACAATAAGCTCCATCGGTTTGGCAAGTGGTACCATAAGAAATCTAGGAAAACTGATAGTTCTAGCATTGCAGTTAGTAATCTTCTCACACCTACCGAGTCCCCTTATTTGAAAAAGGGACAAGAAGATGGAATGACATATAGTGCTACAGCTGTGGCACAATCTGGATCTGCGGAGAGACTTCAATCTTTGCAAGACAACAATCAGGACCTAAAAGAAGAGGAATCTGAAGAGGAATTTGGAGCAAAAGTGCCTTTTCTGGACCAGATGAATGAGCTCATACTGCAGGCCAAGAGGAAAGCGAGCGAAGAGGCTGAAGAACCTAGAAGTAAAAGACGACAGTCGAGTAGACTTCAACAGAAAAGCCGCCTGCCGGAATTGGAAGCTAAACCAGAAATTAACGAGGAAATTGAAGATAGCGCAAGCCCTCAGAAGAAAAGCCAGTACAGCTCGTTACTTCGACAGCTCAATCAGTTTGACCATATCAAACTCTGTCTCAAGTGCACCCAGAAAATGTGCGGAGATCATGGAGAACGACTTCCGAAAGGCTCGCATTTGATAGTGGAAAAACCATTTGGTGAAATGGAGGCCATTCTAGCCGGTGCCAAACGCAAGTTTCTCGGTTATTAAGTGTATGTCAAGCATATTAGCATGGGTTGCAATGTTATGTTGAGTATTTAATTCTGAAAATCGGCAAGAGGATGACCACCAACAAATGATAACTTAAAAAGTGAATGGGAAGGAAAATGGCACGAGCAACATGATTTATTGCACACCATAAGTAGTGAAGGAATCTGGGATTATGTGAATGACGAGGATGGCCGGAGATGAAAAGTCAATAGTGGGGTATTCGACATAGTATTAATTATATGAATTACGATTATATTCTGCAGCCGATGCTGATGGTTGTAGACTGATGTTTGTATACCTTAGTGAAGATAGTTGCACAACATGGATCATTCCACTTGCATCAATATCTAGCGACATGGTGGTGCAGTAAGAGCCACAGTGGCACGGTTGGATCAATCGATAACAATACGGTCAAATGTAGGGACACAATCTCATTTGGAATAGATGAAATCATCTAAGAATGGGTCTTAGCAATGAATAAAGTTACAACTATATAACAGTTTGATACATTTGATGATACAATTGCAATAGTATTGATAATGCAACTGGATTCGCTTTCACTCATGGCTCCACCATAACTATCACACATGAGCATTTATCCATTGAATCAGCCACTACTGTCTTTAGCCCACTATTATTGCACCTATTCACTTCAGCTGATGCAACTAATATAGCTGATACACCGCGCCCTACAAAGCATCAAAACAATTGCACCCAAATACTAAAAGCCAAACAGCAGTACATTACAGTCAAGTTATCAAGCACTCATACAATTCTATAATAGATATCACTAGTTTTACACTAAGCACTAATACCAGTAAGTAACACAGAACACTAATAATACAAAACACTAATACTAACAAGTAATACTAAGTACGCAATAATACTAAACACTAATACGCAACTGTACATTACAAGTTTCACCATTGACCATGAGACCCGTGCACCATCCACACTATTTACTGGCGCCCTATCATGAGAGACACGGCCACCTTTTTCCATTTACCATCCGGTTGCAACTTGGCAAGAAAGTCAAACATATATAGACACCACCAACTCCACGATGGGACATGCCCTGCATCGAAGCCAAAGTTCCCCCATATCCACACTTCCAGCTCGGATTCCCACCGGACATGCGCGAAAAATACCTGCCGGGTAACCCGTGGGCGCCCAATGATATTGGTGTTCGCACCGGAAGTGGCAACTCGCACGCTCATTGGCCAATATCCCTGGTGCGACTTTCGCCGACCGGTATGGAGAGTCGCGCACAGGCCTCTGGGCGAAAACCATATAACGCACAGTAGTGGCTTCCACCTTTTTTTTCTCCTTTTCTGTTAGTCCAACGTGAAACATCAACAGTTTCTTTAAACAAACGATGGTTCTTCCAAGATTGTTTAACACTGCTTCTCGCAGCGCTTTCACTGCTGCTAAGCGCAACTTCATGTTCAACAGAGGTTTGGCTACTGCTGCTACCACCACCGGTAAAGTCAGGTATGTATTCTAGCTTTTATCAAATCGGAATTCGGCAAAGGCGTGCCAGCGATGGCCAATGGATCATTGCAATTGAGGGCTTCTGCACTGGTGTAGGGCCGGTGCTTTCTCCAAATATCACTGGTTGAAAAATTTTCTCGGCCCGTGATTGGATTTGATTCCGCTAAACAAGTGGTGGCATTTAGCCACAAAACCATTCGAATGTGGAACTCTTGCTTCTGCGGTTTCCTCCAGTGTCTTTTTTTCGGTGTTTTGTCTATGTGCCTAGATTCGGCTCTGCCTTATTCAAGCATTGTCAAGAATGACATGTGGCATCAATCTTTTATTACAAGCACCGTGGAAACACTATGGAAGTACATTCATAAGGTATAACTTTCAGTTGCTCCACATATGGAATTGGACAGCCAAGGCTACTATCTTGGCAAATGTTCTCAGAACTTGCCAATTCAGAACAATTCCATAGAAGAGCAATTTCCGATACAAGTCAACCTGGAGGATTCAAGCATGACAATTTGGCTGTCCAATTTTTAGCATCCAACTCCACAATCTTTTTTTTTCTGTGGAGTTTTTACCTGCTGAAATTGGCCAATCAACGTCCACCATGCGCGCCCGGTTGAGCACGACCTTTTTTCGCCCAATCCACACCCAACTCTTGTACTAACATATTAGAGCTGTTATCGGTGCCGTCGTCGATGTCCAATTCGAAGAAGGTAACTTGCCAGCTATTTACAATGCTTTGACCTTGAAGAACGGTGACCAAGACTTGGTCTTGGAAGTCGCCCAGCACTTGGGTGAGAACACCGTTAGAACCATTGCTATGGATGGTACTGAAGGTTTGGTTAGAGGTGCCTCTGTCACTGACACTGGTTCTCCAATCTCTGTCCCTGTTGGTCGTGAAACCTTGGGTAGAATTATCAACGTTGTTGGTGAGCCAATTGACGAGAGAGGCCCAATCAACTCCAAGAAGAGAAACCCAATTCACACTGAGCCACCATCGTTTGTTGAACAATCCACTTCTGCTGAAGTTTTGGAGACTGGTATCAAGGTTGTCGACTTGTTGGCCCCTTACGCCAGAGGTGGTAAGATTGGTTTGTTCGGTGGTGCCGGTGTCGGTAAGACCGTTTTCATCCAAGAGTTGATTAACAACATTGCCAAGGCCCACGGTGGTTTCTCTGTTTTCACTGGTGTCGGTGAAAGAACCAGAGAAGGTAACGATTTGTACCGTGAAATGCAAGAGACCGGTGTCATCAACTTCGAGGGTGACTCCAAGGTCGCCTTGGTCTTCGGTCAAATGAACGAACCACCAGGAGCCAGAGCTAGAGTTGCTTTGACCGGTTTGACTATTGCCGAATACTTCAGAGACGAAGAGGGCCAAGATGTCTTGTTGTTCGTTGACAACATTTTCAGATTCACCCAGGCCGGTTCTGAAGTGTCTGCTTTGTTGGGTCGTATTCCATCCGCTGTCGGTTACCAACCAACCTTGGCCACCGATATGGGTGCTTTGCAAGAGAGAATTACCACCACCAAGAAGGGTTCCGTCACCTCTGTCCAAGCCGTTTACGTTCCAGCTGATGACTTGACTGACCCTGCTCCAGCCACCACCTTCGCCCACTTGGATGCCACCACTGTGTTGTCCAGAGGTATCTCTGAATTGGGTATCTACCCAGCTGTCGACCCATTGGACTCCAAGTCTAGATTGTTGGACGCTTCTATTGTTGGTAAGGAGCACTACGATGTTGCTTCTAACGTTCAACAAACTTTGCAAGCTTACAAGTCTTTGCAAGATATCATTGCCATTTTGGGTATGGATGAATTGTCTGAGGCTGACAAGTTGACCGTTGAGAGAGCCAGAAAGATCCAAAGATTCTTGTCTCAACCATTCGCTGTTGCCGAGGTTTTCACTGGTATCCCAGGTAGATTGGTCAGATTGGAGGACACTGTCAGATCCTTCAAGGAAGTTTTGGACGGTAAGTACGACCACTTGCCAGAAAACGCTTTCTACATGGTTGGTGGTATCGAAGACGTTGTCGCCAAGGCTGAAAAGTTGGCTGCCGAAGCTAAATAAGCGGCCGTTGCATTGTATGACTGAATGACATGCCAGTTAAAGACGCCATGTATTTAACCACGTCGACTCATTTCTAAAATGAAAAATTATTTTATAACGTTGACTTAGATATTCCAAAAGAACGCTTTAAAGTTTCACCTTTTCCTAGCTATGGGACACTTTATATTTGTGATTCTTCTGCGATGTAATCTTTTCTTTCATGCTACTCTATACAAGCACCTTCTTTTTGGGCTTTTTCTTCTTTTTGCTAACTTTGGAGAATTCTCTCCACAGCTGTACTCTTGACTCTCTCTGTGATTCCCATGCTTTTTCCCATTCCTTTTTGCGTTCTCTTTCCTTCGCCATAGATTCCATCTCGCTGTGTTTTTGAGTTTCTTGTCTCTGCTGGTAATTCTTCTCCACCTCCTGTTGTTTTTCATGAAGTTCGAGTGCCGCATGAACTTTTGCCCGAATACTGGCATTTGCAGGCGAATCGTAATCCGCCTCTTGCGAGTCCAGCGCCACATGGCGATATAAGTCGATCAAATACCCTCGTTCCTTGTTTTCTGGATCCGAAAGAACAATCTCTGCTTTCTTCAACAAGTCAAATGCTCGTGGGGCATCTTCGTGCTGGATTTTATCTGGATGAAGAAGAAGCGACTTTTGGCGATACAGCTTTCGAACTAGCGAAGGAAGCGAATCCTCATCTTGTAATGGGTTGATTTGGAGAACGGCAAAATAGTCACTGGAATGGCATGCAAGTATGCGCCGTAGCTCGTCTTCTCTCTTGATTTCTGTCTCTTTGCGACGAAGCTGGTCTTCTACGCTCATAACAGCCGTTGGATTTTCGATGATAGGAAGGTAAAGAAATAAGTCTCAGAGACTATGGTAGCGCACTAATAAATGTATGAGATAGGGACTCAAAGTCTACAGAACACTTGTAGTATACAGTAGTGGGAAGATAAAGCCCCCAATAAACTTCTGTCCTTCGAAGCTAATTTTATAGGAAGTAAAGTCGAAGAATATCTCAAAGTATCAACGCTCCAATACCGTCAACATGATACGAAACAGTAGCCAAAAAGTACTGTTATATTAGCTCGGTCTTGGTGCGTACATACTAAAGGTGCGATCTTAATTCGCGTTATGCTTCATCTCAAAAGAATGGCATCGACCCAAGCTTGGAAGCCCCGTTACTTCGACATTGGCGTCAATTTTTCAGATGCCATGTTCCAGGGATGCTACAACGGCTCGACAACGGCCAAACATCCGCCCGATGTTGAACAGGTGATCAAACGAGCACAGCTCTTCAACGTGAGAAAGATGCTAATCACAGCATCGTCCATTGCTGAGAGTGAAGACCATTTTACACTTGTACGGGAACATTTGGGAGCTTTTGGATCTACAGTAGGTGTACATCCATGTTCAGTGGCACAAGAATTTTATGGTGGCTTGGAAAATGAACTGCCTTTGGCCGACGTACAAGAGAAATTGGCCCGCTTGAAAGGTTTAACAGAGAAGGGCGTTCAAGACGGACTAGTCAAGGCATTCGGAGAAATTGGCTTGGATTACGATCGTTTGCACTACTCTTCTGTTCTGCAGCAGAAAGAAATGTTCCGTGCTCAGTTACAAGTGGTTGCGTCGCTCAAACATTTGCGTTTGCCGTTGTTCTTACACATGCGTAGCGCTTGTGCTGACTTTGTGGAGATCATCAAGCCCTTCATTGAATCGGGAGATATCGAGAGAGGAAATGGCGTGGTGCACTCGTTCACAGGATCTGCGGACGAACTTTCCGAGATCTTGAAGCTTGGTTTCTATGTTGGAGTCAATGGTTGTTCGCTCAAAAGCCCAGAAAACTTAGAGGTGGCTAAATTAATCCCCAAGGACAAACTTCTCATTGAAACTGATGCTCCATGGTGTGAGATCAGAAAGAGCCATGCAAGCTACCCTTTCCTTTCGCCATACCCGAACTTGTACTACCCTGAAATAACCGTTCCTTACAAGGATAAAGACGAAGAACAATCACAGCTGGTAGAACCAAAAAAGGGCCAGAAACAGCAAAAACAAAAGCTGCAACAGATCAAATTGGATGATATGTTGCCGTTCCCGTCGATCAAAAAGGAAAACTTCCACAAGCATATGTCACTTGTACAGGAGAAGCTAGAAAACTTGGGGGAAAACCCAAATGGTTTGGTTGGCGAATTCGCATATCCTTTGATGAAATCTAGAAACGAGCCAGTTTTTGTAGGAAGTGTGGCCGAAGTCATGGTACACTTATATGACTTGAAGGACATCCAAGAGATCCAGAACTTCATTGATTTGGTTTACGAAAATTCGTGCAATTTATTCCGTCTATAATTTAGAACGTAATTCATTCATGTCTGTAGGTCGTATAAGTAGCTATAATACAATTAATTACCCAAGTTCCTCCTGGTTCGGAGACGCCTTCCTAAAACATCGCCATTGGAGACGACGTTGCTGCTTCGAAGCCGCCTAGATTTTCTAGTTAGACTAGGCTGTTGTTTTTTTCTTCGAAAGCGTCGTTGAACGACCTCTTCTTCCAGATCTGAAGTTTCTTGTCCTTTAGTCGGCCCAATTTCCAAATATGTGTCGTATGTCTGTAAACCTTTCTCTTTTTCATTATTGAAATCACCTTTTCCTCCACCTGTTTGATTACTGTTACTAAGTTCTTCATCTGCATCATCTTCATCTGCGTCATCAGCGTCATCTTCATCAGCGTCATCTTCATCAGCGTCATCTTCACCTGCGTCATCTTCATCAGATTCATCCTCATCTGCATCATCCTCGTCCGCGTTATCTTCATCTCCACCATTTTGGGTATCCTCAAAAATAGCTTCATCTGATGCCTCCTCTTCAAGATCCGCAGATTCATCATACGATGGTTGTTCATCATCAATAATTTCATCAATTCCCAACTCTGATTCCCCCTCTGAAACTTGCTCCTGAAACTCGTCCATGATTTTCGGATCATTACTTGCATTAGTGTAACTCCTTACCATCGGTATCCCATTTGCAAAATCAGGATGGCACACAACCAAGCTATTCGTATCCCACTCTCCATCTTTAGTTCGCCATCTTCTGAGATTGTCTTTGACTTCCCCAGATGTGAGCAGATCGATTTCTTTGTATGCTTCTTCTTCGTATGTGTAAGGATTATTGATATCGTCTTTCAAAAATTCTGAAATCATGGAAATGCTATTGCTTATTGGTATAGGTTGCGACGCTTGCGAGGCAGCGCCGGTATTCCCCGCCAGAGCTAAATATGCTGGTGCGGAGTTAATTCCTCCAGATGGGCCATAAATTAATGGCTTCCATTGAAGATTTTGTTGCTTGAGCTTGATATAGCCTTTCTTTTCTTGTTTTGCAATGACTTTGTCAATCACTGGCAAATTGATGACAATCGCGTATCCTCCAGTTTCGACACTTTTTACGAGAGCATTCAATTGTTCAAGCCCAACGACAACATCAGACGGTTTCATTCCTGTAAGTTTGGACAAAATCTCAATCGATAGCATGATATTATTGTCATTGCTCTGTGACAAATACTTGTTATGAAGATCTCTTAGAACATATGCTATTGTAACTTTCCAGTATGCCCTATAACTGAGAAGTCCCAAGTCACTGAGAGGCTTTTCTGGAGTTCCAAATTTGAACTCGCTGCGGGAAAGCATGTAGCTAAAATCTATCAATAGGCTGCCATAACCTTTCCGTTGGTAGATTGGAAGAGTAACGATGCAACTGACATTATAATCCGAATTATTCAATTTTTCTTTGGAGAAATATCCCACAAAATGATATATCAGCGGGTCATGATCGTCGATCTCTGTAAGAATATAGAAGAGAAAAGGTTCAACATCGTAGTATAGCGTTTTCGAATTCAAAAAGAGCTTAGCCAAAAGGCAAAGGTTCTGGCAATACTCAATGTTCTTCCGACCATCGACCTCCCATATGGCGATTTTCGCCTCTGAGTCGCGATAAATTTCCACTCCTGGGGGATGATTGTTTGCGATTGTGCAAATTTTTAGCTGGTGTCTGTCATAGGACATGGGCGATTTCATGTACTTCAAGCAATGTTCACAAATATACAAGATCTGGCTTTGTGAATATTCTTCGGGGTATGGTGACGAGTACCACGTATCTATTACGAACTCGCGAAACTGAATTTTTTCGATCCGTGACTTCTGGTAGTAATACAGTTGAGGCATAGGCGTCGAATTGTTCGACTCTTTCTGTTCTGTGTCATCATCTCGTAGTTGGAGAATAGCATCTTCTTGTTCGCGTTTTCTTCTTTCACCTTCTAGTTGGAACTGGGCAAACATTTCTCTATCCAACGGGGTGGGATCTGTCAGATTGATCGTGCAGTCAGGAAATGGAAGAACACCTTTATATGGAAGCTCCAGATCTATGCTTGTTTCAAGCACATCCAAGTCTGGTTCTTCAGGTGCAATGTCCTCCAACACTGGAGGGGGCTTAGTAATAGGAGGGCGGCCACGTTTCCTCTTGCTAGTTTGGATGCTCGGAGCATACGATGCTTTTTCGGGTTCTGGTTTCGGTTGGTTTTTAGTCCCCAAGAGTCGACGGGCCATGCGATTCCGTCTGTTGTACTTGATTTTGAGAATATAGCGATCTGGGTTCTTTTCAAGCACCGTCACAGAAAACAAGCGCGGCCTCCCGATTCGCCGCAAAGTAGTACCATTCTGGGGTACAACGGTAGGAGCAGATTGTGTTTTTCGGCGCGGTAGAGCCTTGACCTCGATGGGTTTTCCAGAACTCCGAGAAGACCGAAATACTCGCTCAGGTTCGCGTGTCGAGGCTGCCCGTCGGCGTTTTCCCTCGGGTATGCTGTCGTAAATTCTATTATTCGTGATTTTGATCTGATTTAGAAGATTTCGCCGCCTTGTATTTAGTGTGGGCGGCATTGTGGAGAATCTCAGACAACAAGATGGGGTTGACCCGGATCAACGGCACAACGCAAACGAATGAAGAAGAGAATATCGAAATCCACAGGGAAATCAACAATTTTCCCCTTGATAAAAACAGATGCTTATCTGGAAAGTAAAGTGTTAATCAGCGGGGACTAGTTATCTCTTGAAGAGGCTGAAAGACAGTGAACGCGTGTTATGTGCAGTATATTTCCGACGCGAATTTGTAGTTGCAATGTGTATGTTGGTGAGCTTCTCAATAGATAAACTGTATGTCTACTAGGCCGAATTGCAAAAGTGCCGTTTAGTGGAGCTATTAAAATTATAACAGAGCGCAAAAGAAAGACGTAAACATCGTAAAAAATACAAGGGTAATGAAGCAAAAAAGGAGGAGGGACGAACCTTAGCGTTGTTTTATTCTTCCAAGTATCAGTGTTACCAAACCATAGCATAAATCTCTTCTCAAATTCTTCTTTTTTTTTCTTTTTTCATAGCTTTTTTATTGCATCATCATCTGAGATTCTTTCGCACGCTTGATCCTTGTTGCTTTCAGCTGGACTCGCTTGGTCCGTCTTCAACTTCTTCAATGTGGCTTTCATGGACATCCTCGCCTTCTTCATCCTCCTCGGCGGATTCCGTAGGCATACCGAAGGATGCTAACAATGACTGTGCGGAAGAAGTATCCAAATAAATAACGCCGTTTTCGTTGGTGATCACGTTGCTGGACAATAATTTCTGTAAAGAAATGGCGCCATTTCTGAGCGAGTCGTCTTCGCCGTTGGAAGCCTCTTCTTCGTTGTCGTCTTCTCTAGACGTGCTACGCATGCCCATGTTCCCGAACATGGAGTAGCCGTTGGAACCGCTTGAGCGCGCGTCAGTGTTAGAGTGCTGGCCAATCTCCGCAAAGTCGCCGAAAAGCTCCTTATACAAATCGTTGTATGGGGGTGAAATGGGCCCGTATTCAACAGCAACAGGAGCTTCTTCTTCGTCATCGTCAGTTTTGTGCTCTTCCATTTGTTTCTTGTTCAACTCAATCTTCAGAATCACACGGTCATACCATTGGTCCAAAGTTTCGTTCTTTGACTGATCCAATAATGCAACAATGAGAATCGACATGTTATCGCAGCCGATTCCTGGTCCGTCTGCGTTAGGCGCACAGCACAATTCCATGATTTCCTCACAAATCTGTGTGAAAGGTTTCCTCTCGTAGATGCCTCTTCTCACACATTCCACACAGCTCTGAGAAGACAAGCAATCCCAGATTCCGTCGCAAGCTAAAATCACAAACTCGTCCTTTTCGTAGTCAAGATCGTGCAGAATCACTTCGGGATAACAGGTGACGATTTGCTCTTCGGCAGGCAAGTCTGAGTTCTTCTTAAACACAAAGTCACCAATTCCTCTAGACAAGGCCAAGTTACCATTCACACGGCCCATTTCCACGTAGCCTCCAGCAGCACAAATACGGGCCTTTTCTCCTTCATTGTATGGCTTGTGGTCAAAAGACAAGGCCTTGGCAAAGCCGTTGGTAGACAAAACAGTTCTGGAGTCACCAGCGTTAGCACAAATGACCTGCTTGGGTGTGATGATGGCCGATGTTGCAGCACATCCACTCTCGTCGTTTCTGGTTTCCTGGTTTTGCAAGATGGCTTGGTCACACAGCAAAAAGCCATCTTTCAAGGCGGTAGAGTAGTCTTTACGGCCGAACGCTTCTGTCTGTTGAATCAACTCGTGCAAATGCAAGCCGGTGAAGATGGCGGCCTTTTCGCCTCCGTGACCGTCGTAAACACCAAAGAACGCCACCTGGTCGTCGCCATCCTCGTTCATGCTCAAGATGGTAGCGTGAGCATCTTCCATATTGATTCTCCAGCCTTGCATGCATGACAAGCCGTAGGCCAAGTACTTATTGGCGTCTTTCTCGGAGTGCTTTTCTGTTTCAGGTTGCGAAAGAATTTGTCCCATGGTCGGTGTTGTTTTTTCTTCTTAAAGATAGTTCAGTTCAGTATCAAGCCGATACCTATTGGAAAGTGTAAGAAGTTGTCCACGTCGAATGAATTTAAACGCTTGGCTTTTCGAACTTGTGTTTCAAACTCAGGGTACTCGGATCCTCCAGTGGCACAAGTGAGTGGGGGGAGGGAAAAAGAGCAAACGCGGGTGGGGTTTGCTGGGACCGGAGTATCGGGGCTAAGAGGGCGAAGCGGGATTAGAAAGTGCTTCCACAGTAAAGAATCCTAGCGTTTCTGTGAGTATGGATGCTATCTCGCAAAAAAATTTTCCTTGGGTCTTTCATCGTTGAGACATCCAGTAAACCACCATTTTTTGCATCACGTGCGAAAGCGATAACCATAATGCAAACCTCGAGCCTCCATTTTAACGAACTGGGCGCGTTGGGCCCACTTTTGGCATTTGCACTCACGCGACTACTTTGCTTGGAAACACACTTATAAAGTTTGGAAGCAAGGTAGACTTCTTGACAGTTTCCGCTTTTTCAGTACTACAGTTCGTGTTCTTAGCTTGTGTTTGGGCCCGATCTAGACTCTTTTTCCTTGTTATCGTAGTTGCGACCTGCGGTTTGGGGGTTTTTCCGTCTCTTCCATTTGGTGCGTTTTCTGACTGTTCTTGCAGTACGTATTTTGTACCTTGTTCTGAACCTTTCTTTAATCTTATTTTGAACCATGTTCTGGCATTTTACATGCCATTTTCTCTATCTTCTAAGCTATGTATTTGAATCTCTCACGTTGTCAGAGCTTGTGTCGTCAATTTTACATTTACAGACGCATAATGCCAGTGAAGTTTCTTTTCACAGGTCGCAGTCAAACTTCATCAGCGCCTATTTTTAACCAGTCACATCTCTATGCCTAGTACTTAAACTTACAACTCCAAGCAATACGCAGAACCAAATCATACGAGGTCATGAAACGCCGGAGGGAGCCAGCATTATTGGATATTATGAGTTAATTATTCTCGTGAGGCCTCTGTTCATCGAACATTGGAAGTACTGATTGCGTAGAATTGGCATGGGGGGGACTATGCAAGTCAAATATTACGTTTGTATAGCTGGTCAGCAGTGTATTTGTATTCCCTTACCAGTAAAAATATTAGCGTACAGTGTCAATGACGCATTACCGTTCAATGCACCATAAGACAGCCTTGTAATTAGCGCAACTGATGAGAACCACGGATCAATAATTTAGTCTATTCAATCATATAATGATCTTAAAACTTGTCCAGTAAAAAAAAAAACCCTTAAGTACCGATCTCTCATTTTCCGAAGTGATCTCTGTACTCTTCTAGGCGATTGAATGAACAGTTTCACCGAGCTTCGCTGTCTCGAGTATTGTCTCTACAATGTAGTGCTTTTAAAGACATTATCAATTATAAGGCGTGTCACAAGGACACATACATGAGAGAGAAAATCATTTTAAGGAGTATTGTATCCTTTTGATCATTAGTGCATTAAACATAAGACATCAAAAATTTTCGTAATCTGGTATGAGGGTGCCGTGTTGTGCAATCCAATGAGGAACTGAAAAGCCGGCACTTCTTCTGCTGGAAGAATATTTAGATCATTAGAGTAATTTCTCTCGAAATGCATTGACCCAATAAAATAACGCAATCCCCTTCAAACCGCTATTTTTTTGGGCCCCAAATTCCTCCTCCCGATTTTTGTTGCTCGTACCCGTTGCTCAAGTTGAGCGAGTTGAGCTTATTAGACAACGAATCGTTCATAGGGAACTCCTCGCCGGTGCCTGTAGCTGCTTGCAAAGAGGATAAGCTTCCTGCAAGGTGGCTGTGTTGACCAAAGGGAGCAAAGCGGTTCGCCAAATCTGGATTCCCTAATGGAGTTCCTGGCTGGCTTACAGGACCACTAGCAAAATACCCTGCATTGGGTCCCTGATACAATCCTGGAGTCTGGACTGTCGCAGAATGTTGCGCAGTTGGAGAATCAGTAACAGAGTGGGGGTTAGGGAAACCGCCGTTCATGTTGGCGGCTCTTACATCAACAAACGAGCGGTTATTTGAGGATCTCAACAACGCTGCTGCACTGGAGGTGGGTGTTCCAATGGAATTTTGAGCTTGGTTTGTAGGACCCGCTGTGTTTTGTGCGTAGTTCCCAAATGACTGGTACTTACTTTGCGAACCCGAAGGTTGTTTTTGGTGCAGACTACCTGATGGCTGATATTGCGAGAATTGTTGCTGGATGGGGGTAGTGGTTTGCTGCCTGAGTCTCGGCATCTGTAAAGCCGACTGAGACTGTGATCTCAATAGCTCCGGCGCATGGGGATTTGTCGTCTGCGGGTTAGGACCGTAATTGAGCAACGCAGGCAATTGGTTTAAGTTCATCATTGATGATGAATGCAGAGACATTGGAGGATTTTGTTGGGGGACATGAGGGTTGAAAGATGTGCTTTGCTGATGGCGCTGTTGGATACTCTGTTGACCAGGTTTTCTTCTGATAATAATATAGCCATTATCATAGAGCTCGAGCAAGTTCAAGAACGAGCACAAATGAGAAATGACTTTGCGCTGTGACATTGTAAGATTGGAAGGGAAGGCCAACTCGAAAATAAGCTTCGAATTATCATCTCTATAAGTGAGCAACTGCGAGTACAACTCAAGGATCTCTGGGTCATTTAAGTTCAACTCAGGAGGTGGTTGAGGTGCGTTGGAACCAGATGGAAAGTGCACAAACACCCTTTCTGTTTGGGTACTATATTGTTGACCATTGACACTCAAGTTTTTTGTGGCGGCCGTTGTGGATGCAGCGGAAATAAGAGAAGCCAAAGAAGCATTGGACCCAGACCGGTGCTGTTCCTCCAATTGACCGCGTTTCTCTCTTTTTTCTCTCTCAATACGCTCCCTCTCTTGAGCTGGTAACATTTTCTTATACTCAACGCGTAACTTTCGACCACCGATCTCGCGGCCGTTTAAGTTATTAACCACCATCGAAGTTTCTTCAGTGGAGGTGAAATTGGCAAAAGCCAAACCACGGAAAACGCCATTGTCAAAGTGATAGTTGAAAGCGTATGGCAAGGGCAAGTTTAACTTCGTCATAACGTCCAACAATTGCTCTTTTTTAATCGCAAAAGGAATATTCTTGATGACAATAGCTGTGGGTATCAACTCGTCATCATCATCATCCATAGTAGCTGAAGTGTTGACTGTGACGGAACTCATGCTTGTCATTAGAGAGGTGCCCCCATTTGGTGATTGTGGGGTTCTTCTCGTATGAGTTGGCATTTCGGATGCCATGTCTTTTTTTCCGTTGTCCAATGAATTCACATTCAAGGACTGTTGTTGCTTTTGTTGTTCAACCCATGGCACAACATCGTTTGGCACCAGAGGCGGCATTGACGAAGGAGTAATCAAGTTTGGATTACTTGAGTTGTTCAGAATTCCCGAATAAAGTCTGTTCAGGCCCGTGGATTGCCTCAGGGTTGGACCTTGGGAATTTGAATTTCCCGGGCCCTGGGCAGACATTAAATTCGAGGGCCCGTTATTGCCGTATGTAGACGACTCGTAGCCCGATGCAGAAGACAACGAAGACAAAGATGGTCTCCGCTGGATAACGGAGTCCATCTGGTTAGGAGTAGTCGATAAGTTTCTCAAGTCCATGTGGGATGATACACGAATGGAGATTTGAATATGGGTCTGCGTGAGATGCAAGTCTTGGCCAAAAAGTTTTTGGGTGTTTCACTTGGGCAGTAAACCGATAGTAGTATTCGGTCTTGCAAAAGGTTGTCTGACACTGAAAACAACAATCACCAGAATAGGAGAAGTAGCCAAAGTTATTTGCTTCTCTTTTCGGCCAAAGAAGGATATATGGGCTCTAAGGGCACTTGTATGGGTCACACAGAAGTACCTGTGAGGGAGAAAATCAGAAAAGAAGAAAGAGCCCAGTGGACGATTAAAGTGGCCAGTGATAACGCAGCGATATGTCTGCACGCAAATGGACAGTGCTTTTGGCAGGAAGTGAATATGAGCCTGGGCTGACTAATGATAAGAGAACTCCAAAGGGATTGACCCGGATAGAAAAGTTTGATCCTGTTAGTACCTTGTTTTGAAGGTAGTTACGGAGCGAGAATTTTTAGGCGAGCTAACAAAAATGCTCGACACAGAATCGCTTGTGGGAGGGCCAGAAGCGCGCACGTGACCCATCCCCATATGTGAATATTCTTTTGGACGACTCTTCACTGGTTCCGCCCAGGCTAATGGTGTTCTCCTGCAAGTCAATAAATTGAAAGAGTAGAATAGAAGTTTAAAAGAATACAATATGGGCGGAGAACAGAGCGGAGGCATAAAGAAGGATATTTCAGAAATGCCCACTAACAGAGGGTCTTCCAACACAAGAGCTGATGGGCGGTTATCCGCTCCGATTCGGCACATTTTTTGTTGCATTCATCACATCTGTTGGCTCCGTTCCATACGGTTTTGGTGCTATCTATGGGTAAAATCTACCGGGCGATCTATGCGCACGTGACCGTGCGGCCTCGACGAAAAATCAGCGACGTGTACTCAGTAATCTGTCACTACACCTGTTGCCCATACAATAATGGTATGTTTGCCGAGTGCAAAATGAGAGAAAGTTGTAACTAACATATAGTCTTCGTCTGCAGTTGCCCCAGGTGGATTGAGAAGCGCCGCCAAGAGAAGAAATGCCGCTGACAAGAAGTCGAAGGACGCTAACCAAATGCCCTTGTCCACAAGAGCCGCAGGCGCCGGTGGTTCTTCGGCTAACATGTTGAAGTTGTTCACAGACGAGGCTCAAGGTTTGAGAGTTGATCCTTTGGTTGTGCTTTTTTTGGCTGTGGGATTCATTTTCTCTGTCATTGTCTTGCATGTTTTGGCCAAGATCACCGGAAAGTTCACTTCCTAGGAGACTAGTGGCGTTGGAGGTTTGCTTGATCACCAGTAAGCTCGTCTTGCAACAAATGTTTGGCGGCGGCATGCTGTGTAGTATACGTTTAGTACATGGATAAATTTGTTTTCTGTAGAAGGGCAGGACACTTGCGTGTGCTGAGAGAATAAGTACGGTGTTTCGGTGGTTTGCGTCACCATTCCGGCGATTCAAGCCTGTTCTGAGCCACTCGGATGAGGACAGAGAGTCCTTGAAGCTGTTCACCTTGTTTGAAGGATACATAAAGCGAGTCTATGACTTTATGCTGTCAACTATATACAATACATGAACTTCACTATGGAGCATCTAAATCGCTGGTCTGGACCTGGCTGTAGTCACACGAGTCCACCTACATGTCTGCGAGCAATGCCGCTGCGACTTTCGGCGCATTTGCACAATCCACAATATGCTTGGTGTGCGAGGCGCCTGTCTCCACTATCCAGTCGAACAGCAGTTCCTGGCGCACTGTTTCCCACAGGCGCCCATGCTGGCGCCCGCGAACCTCGATTTCCACCGTCGGGTAACGCTTGCCCACAACAAGCACCAATGGGATCCCCATGGCATGCGACTCGCGAATCTTGCGGCCCAAGCGTACCAGGGGCCGCGCGTCGAGGCGCACCTCCATGTCGCCCAAAGAGCGCGCCACCTCGTGGGCCTGTTCTTGGGCGCCCGCATCCACAACAGTGACATGCCAAGGGGCTATGGCTGCAGGCCAGCGCAAGCCGTGGCTGTCGCGGTTGATTTCGGCAAGCGCTGCAATTATGCGGCTGATGCCAATTCCGTAGCAGCCCATCAATACCGGCTGTCGGGACACGGTTCCGTCTGCACCAGGCACCTCGACCGTGCAGTCGAGAGCGCGCGTGTAGCGGTCGCCCAAGTAGAAAGTGTGCGCCACTTCAATGGCCCTGCTCGAGCGCAACGTGCCCGAGTCGCAGTGCGCGCACAACTCGCCTTCTTCGGCCTCGACAAGAGGCACATCTGTCAATGTGGACACAAGCGAACGGTTAGCGAACTTGACGGGGAAATCAGGGAGGTTCAGGCGCAGGTCGAGTCTGCTATCCATGATCCGCACCACCCGTTTGTCGATGATCGTCGCCTCGTCGCGGAAAAGTGCTAGCACCTCTTCTTCGCTGAGGGTGCCCGACAAGTCAATGTCAGGCACTGTTTCGCGGAGAAACGCCGGGCGGAACGCGCGCGACACTGGGTAGTATGCGCACACTAAGGTCGAGCGGTCTATGGTGGGGAAATACGCTACGGCGGCCTCCAAACTGGTCTTCAGGGGCTCGGCTGCGTCTTCGGCTGGGAATGACGGCGTCATTTCCACATTCAGCGTGCGCCCGCAGTCCGTGCACTCGAACAACGTGTCTTCGCCCGCCGCATGAACGTAATGCCACTCGTGCGACATGGAGCCGCCAATCTCGCCCGTGTCGGCGTCCGCGCGCACACACGGCGCCCGCAAAGCAGCAAACACCCCGGCGTAGGCGCGCAGCATGGTCTCGTACGCCCGCATGGCTTCGGCTTCGCTCACGTCAAACGAGTAGGCGTCCTTCATGACAAACTCGCGCCCCCGGAGAAGCCCACTGCGCGGCCTCTTTTCGTCACGGAACTTGGTGTTGATCTGGTAGAAAAGAAGCGGCAAGTTTTTGTACGACGCCACGTTTTGCTGCACCAAGTGTGTGACCTCCTCCTCGCATGTTGGCGCCAAGCAGTATTCGGCGCCCTTCAGGTCCTTCAAGCGGAACAACTCGGCGCCACCCCAGCGGCCCGTCTGTTTCCAGAGATCCAGGTGCGAGAGCGCAGACAAGCTTATCTCCTCGGCGCCAGCATCTTGCATGTGTTTGTGCACGAGCTGCTTCATCTTGTTGAGCACAAGCATTCCCATGGGCATCCAGTGCACAAGCCCCGGCTTGGGTGGAGAAACATACTGAAGCCGTGCAAGAAGCTCGTGTGTGGGGATGCGGGGCAACACCTGGGAGTCGAGCAATTCGCTACTCACCAGGTAGAGCCGCGGCACGCTCTTGGTGTGGAGGCGCCGAAGAAGAATCATAGTCTTGTGATGAAGCGAGTTGGCGCGCGAAATGGTGCAGATAGTAGCACGATGCGATAAAGAGTGGGCGGGGCATATTCGAACACGTTTGGGTCTTGCCTACTGTTCTCCGTTTCGATTCATGTTCGTTTTTTATGTCTGTTTCACTCTGCTCTTTCTTGGTGGTTTCCTGAGTAATATCCTTTACAGGCCCTTGGACATACTTTGGGTGGGTGCAAAATGCACCTATAGCGTTGTCTAAAATCCATAAGCTCTTCAATCGTTACCATTTCTACAGCTGCACCTGTCTACACTCGTTAATTGCTGATGTTCATTGGCTCGTTCTTTGTAATGCAAACTACACTACTTTCTGCCAGTCACTTGGTCAACCAAGTTTGCTCCATATTGTTTCAAGTTGTACAAGGCGTTCTCAAGGTCCTTCTTAGCACGGCTCAAATGGGCGTCATCCGTAGCTTGCTTGCTCAACTCCTCTAAGTTGCGCTTGGCACGGTAGTACTCCTCAATCGATCTCTGTCTGCCTGCTTCCACAGTTTCAGACCACTCTCTTTGCTGCTTGTCCAAAGAAGCTCTTGCATCACTGTGAGCTTCTTGGGCTCTTGCCTTTGTTTCGTCAGCCTTGGCACTGCCCCAGTTGACCCACTTATCCTTCTCCTTCTCAGCGTCTCTCTTGACGTCCTTGGCGGTCTTTTCAGCCTCATCTGCCTTCTTGGAACCCCAGTTCAACCAGCTCTGTTTCTCGGCCTCGGCCTGTTGCTTTCCCAGCTCCCATTTCTTCTCAGCTTCGCGCTTCTTGTCAGAACCCCAGTTCAACCATCCTTGTTTTTCAGCCTCGGCCTTGTTGGCCAATCTGTCCTTTTCTGCTTCAGCCTCGCTCTTCTTGCCAGACCACCATGACGACCAAGACGTAGACTTGTAGTCCAAGTCGTTCTTGATTTCTTGTTGTCTCAAAGACGTGGAACTAGCAAGTTCCTTCAACTTCTCGTCCTTGGTTTGGCCAAGAGAGTTGACAAAGTCAATGTACTTCGCGGCCCAACGGTTTGGCGCAGGCTTGTTCTCAACTTCGTCCGCAGCCACCTTCACATCTTGGGCGTACGAGTCCAACTTCTCCGACCATTTGTTGTACGTGTCGGATTCCTTGATAGAGGCAATGGTAGAGTCAGCCTTTTGTTTGGCCTCGTCAGCCAGGAGACTCACGGTTTTCTTCAACAGAGAACCAAAGTCGCGAGCCTGAGACCCAAGTTCTTTCGCTTTCACCTCGACATCTTGAGCAGACTTTCTAACATTCTCCAGTGGGTGGGGCAAAGTCACTTGGTTCTTTGCATTTCTAGGAAAGATGGGTTGCACTTGCTGGTCGTAGTAGTAAACACCAGCGCCCAAAACGGCGGCTCCAATCAAAAAATTCTTAGACATGGTGAGACAGTTTTATAAGAAATAAGAGAATATTCAATGAGTAATACGAGACAAGGAAGACTAAGGAAATAGGTGCCCCTTTATAGTGTAGCTTGTGTGCAATGCCACCCCATGATTGCTAAAGAGAACCATTAGAGAATTCGGCTCCACAGGAAGAAGATACAAATCCACCAAGGACAATGTGCCATATACACCGTCACACATCCTCCAATAGGGCCAATTGGCTTCGAGGAGGAGCCAATTGGGCATTTTTTCACTATTAAACGAAAAGAAAAGAACTGTGCTAAACCACATGGTTGCTCTGTGTTACGAGCCCGGGTGTGCACTGAAATATGGGGAAGCAGTCTTTCTATTGCTGTTAAGGGCATGCTGCACCGGATTCAGAGAGAACAATTATGGTGCTTAAACTCCATCTCGTACCGGAATCTTAAGCGGAGAAATTTCACAATGTGTTTACACGCTAAACTTTTGTCAGTTTGGAAATAATATTTTCTTCGGTATTCTCGGTTGTCCCGTTTGGGTATTCATGAGCCATTGTTCCATAATGTCACAGCAGAGGTAATTTACTGTAATTGAGGCATACAAACGAGTTTGATCTATTATTTTCATGAAGTTGGCCAAAGAATCCACACCTGTTTTCGCTGATTAGTGGTCATTAAAGAAATGTCATCTGTTCTCTCCTCTCGGTCTTAACCCCTTGATTTTGGATTACTCACGGGTGCCACTACAAAAATATTTCTTGAATTCAGTGAGGGTGTCATTCTAAAATTCTTTTCTCTTTTCTCTTTTCTCTTTTCTCTCCGTCGAGAGGGAAGCGCTAAAGTCAGAACCTTATGATGGTACGCCCGGAGACTTTAACAAAACATCTTTCATGTCCACGTTTTTCTTCATAATTTGCAATAGTTTATTCCTCTATTTTAGAGAAATTTTTCTGCTCATCTACCCTTCTTTTTCATTATCGCTCTGTTTTCTCTTTATTATGCTCGCTCGGACTTTTTGCCAGTAGGCGGCGTGATCTGTCAATTGATGTCACGTTTTCTGGAGAACGAAAAAATGAATGATCACTGATAGCAGAAAAAAGGTGACACTAAGCCCGCAGGCTCTAACACCAAAGGCTTTTTCCACGCATAACCCCATTTTGTACCATAATCTGGCCTGTTCTCTGTTCCTTCTTTTTCTTCTATTCACATCGAGTGCATTTTTTTTATTCCTTGGTTTTCCCCGTGGTTGGTTTTGTTTCCGGTTGCAGGCGCAAAAGGAAAATAGCATAACCTACAAATCTAATAAACCACGCATCTCCTATTTTCTTTTTTCCCATCAAAAGCAGCCTTCTCCAGACTTAGTCTGCTCATTTGAAACTCCCGAGAGTGAGCTCATATCCACCGTTTGTCGATTTCGTGGTCTATTTATCTTTGCCCTTTGAGCACTATATGCTGAAACCCGATCTGTCATGAGTTCGATGGTTACTACTTCACAAATCAGTCTATCCCTTTCATACGACTGTGAATCTAGCGCCTCGCTATACAAGGTCTGGAAAGTTACTTGCAACAAGGACTTGGCCTGTTCGTGTTCCTCTACTCTGAGGTTGAATAATCGGTCCTGGCGACTTTTGAATGATCGTTTACTAAGCCGGCCAACAAAGAAAATCGATAATTCGTACTTGGATCTAGCCGATCTTCTGTTGGATCTTCGAGAACACTACCGCAAACCGCCCCAAGTGGAACGGCCACCCTTGTTTTCCACAAACTCAAAATCCACAAGCGAAAGCAGGCTTAGCTTGAATCCTTACGCCAAAAAACCGCCTTCAAATGGCGAGCAGCATTTTATTTCTAGTGGGGAGTCTTTAAATGAATCGGGAGAAGATAAAGATGAGTACAGTGATGGTGGCTTCCCCGGAAATGGTACAAGTGATGAGAGCAATTGCAACCACCGTGAGGACACAGAGGGAAATGCTTTTGTAAAAGATTCGATGAAAGATTCACAACAATTTGAACTTAATTCGCATCATCCTAACGGGCTAGAGTCTGAGGGAAAGAACATTTTTTTCATTGCAAACACTCCTTCCCCGGACAGTACCCAAGCTCGGTCTCATTTAAATGAAGTTGATTCAAAGATCGAACTCGCTAGTACTAATGAAGTTCCTGGGATCAAGCGACAGGATTCGCTTTTCGGGGGCTCAAACTTCAATTCTACTGCAGCTGCTAGTCACATTTCTTTATCTTCAACGGATATTTCAGAAGAAGATGAGTATACGAGCGAAAGTGAGGGTGAGGAACAGTCTCACCCAGACTCTTCGGAGATCAAATTAGCAGCATCGAAAGCTAGCAAAAGTCAATCTGCTGGTGATAATGATAGTGAGTGGATGTCAGTCTCTTCTGAAAGTGAGTCTACAAATAACACACCTAACCTGCAGCCGCTCAATTTTGCAAAACGTATCCCGCTTGTATCCAAGAAGCTGATGGAATCTAGAGCCGATACAATATCGCTCTCAGAAGTAAAGGGAGATTCGCCCAATCATTTTACTCCGCGGTCGCTTTTATCGGGGTTGTTTTTAAATGAGTTGGCGCATTCAACACAATCAAATCCATTCTCCAACACCTCGCTGTCCAAACAAACCACATCGAAACCAATCTTAAAGAGATCTTCTACCACAGGTTTCATAACGTTGGATAAGGCCAATCTGCTTCGAAACAAAGTTAAACTACAAAAGCCGTCAATTTTGTTCTCAAAACGCTTTGCATCGCTGAACGACGTGACTAAGAATGTTCCTGAGGGTGAGTCGGTTCTCTTTGTGGAAGAAGAAAATAATGTCGAAGATCCAAAAAGAGCGACGGAAGGGGACCATTTGTACACAAAACAAGCTTCTAGTGTGAGCTTGTCCAACTTTATTGTCACCACACATGCTACTAGCTCAAGCACAAACTTAATGACTCCTAACTCACCTATTGATGAGAGTTCGCACAGCACAGAAAGGGCCGAAGCTCTCTTATCTTCGAGCCTAAATAAATATTCCAACTCGCTTTCGGTTACATCCTTGAAAAGCATATTTTCCAAAAGTTCGCTACAGTTGACATCTCTTTTTGGACTGTCAAGGAGGACAAAGCATAGTACATTGGCCACGGCAACCTCGTCTGAAAACATAGGGACGCAAAGATATCACGATCTGATGTCACACGAGTACGCCTCAAGGTTTTCTGAACAAGGCTTGCAAAGCTCACTGTCCCGAGAAAAAAGCGACAATGTGAATTCGCCGTCCTCTTCAAAGCCAAACGAGCCAAAACAACAAACACCCAGCAAGTTCGATGTTAATATTAGCCCCGACAATGACTTTGAACCATCTGTCGAGATGAGTCAATCGCTTAAGAATTCGATTCTAATCGATCATAAACTAGGTAAGATCCCCAAGCCTGAACGTGTGATCAGCGCAGAACAGTTATTTAGGGGACAGTTTGATCATGTATCCCCGGAGGATAATGATGACTACCATTCGAAGGGTTGGTGATATTAAGTATGATACTATAGTTATTCGAAGTGCCATATCGTAATAGACCGAAATGTATTGTAAAGGTATTCTTCACGCTGAGTTGTGCGCATAAGCTACTTTTTTTTTCCTATCAAGACTTGTAGATTAATACGTGCTCTGAAACCAAGAAACCTACTATGAAGACATGCTATTACGAACTTCTTGGGGTTGAAGCGACTGCAACAGATTCTGAGCTCAAGAAGGCGTATAGAAAAAAAGCTCTTCAGTTGCATCCAGATAAGAACCCTCATGATACAGAAGGTGCAAATGCCAGATTTGCCCTTGTCAGATCTGCCTACGAGGTCTTATCTGACCCGCAAGAAAGATCCTGGTATGACGCCCACAAGTCTCAAATTCTACGTGATGAGGATGATTTTTCTGCTTCAGATGCCCCAGAGGAAATGGTAATCCCCAGTATATCAGTGCAAGAGCTTCTACGGTATTTCAATCCATCCCTCTTTGCCCAAATAGACAATTCCCTATCTGGAATGTACAATGTTGCTGGTCGTTTATTCGAAAGATTGGCTGCGGAAGAGGTCACGCATGGGAAGTATCAAAGACTCCCGAAATTCGATCTGTACATGGATGATTCTGCCAACGTCAATGCTCTTGATGAGAATGTCCTCTTGTATCCCAGATTTGGTAACTCGCATACAGACTATGCCAATGTCATCAGAAATTTCTATAATACTTGGAGCAATTTTCTGACTGTAAAGAGCTTCAATTGGGTAGATGAATATCGATATTCTGCTGCGCCTGACAGACGAACGCGACGTTTGATGGAAAAGGAGAATAAGAGAGCTAGAGATGCAGCTCGAAAGGAATATAATGAAACGGTAAGAAAATTTGTTGGTTTCATTAAGAAGAGAGACCCTCGAGTGAAAAAGGGTGCTGACCAGATAGAAAGTAATCGAAAGAGAATGCAAAGAGAGAATTTGGAGAGACAAGCTAAGGAACAGAAGATCCAAAGAATGGCTGAGATTAGTAACCACACTGTTCAGGACTGGCAAGAAATGGATTTGCAAGAGTTGGAAGAACTCGAGGCAATGTTGCGTGAAGAATACAATTTTGAATCTGACGAGACCACAGACAGTGAATTTGATGAATTTGAAGATAACATTAATGAAAATTACTACGAATGTTTTGTGTGCAACAAAAATTTCAAATCCAAAAACCAGTTTGAAACGCATGAGAATTCAAAAAAGCACAAAGAAATGGTAGAGTTATTGAAAGAAGAAATGCGTCAAGAGGGTATTGAGTTGGGTATTGATAAAGATGACATTGATCTTTCTGAGTTTGAAACCGCCAGCAGTGGGGAGTCAGGGAATGAAAGCACGAATATGCCTAATGAAGAAATTAGCTCCAATGTTGACGAGCTGAAAGAAAGCTTCGATGTTGTCGAGGATGAAGAGAAGAATTGGAGCTCTTATGAAGTCGACGATGTTATTGAGAGTGGAGAAAGCGAAAATGAGCAGATAGTTGAGAGCGTCAAGAAGAACAAAAAGAACAAAATCAAGAAGAAGGGGCCAGCAAATATCGAGAAAGATTTGGAAGACAATGGCAATATCTTGGATGATGAACTTGAAAAGATTGTGAACGGAATTAGCTTAGAGGATAGCGATGACGATTGGGCTAACGATAAAAAGAAGAAAAAGAAACCGAAGAAGAGGTCAGAAGCCAGTAAGCTGCCCTCTGTCACTGAGCTTCCCTTGGATGATAAAGCTGAGAAAGCTATGCCTGCGAAAGTTCCAAACGGCTCCGAAAGATGTGAAGTGTGTAAGGAGATTTTCACATCAAGAAACAAACTTTTCCACCACGTCAAAAAATCAGGACACGCCGCTCCGATCTCAGATATTAAGAAGAAAGGGAAGAAAAAGCGTTAATGAGGCAAAAATCCTACATAACTTTTTATTTAATTCTATTAGACAGCATCAACTGGAATGGAATTTCGTTTTCACATACTCTATAACCTATCTCAAACCAGTCTTGGATTTTTTAACTGTCGCCATCAAGGGTTCACTGATACCCTTGTTTCCGTGGGCACCCAACCCTTCACCTTTGACCCAGCCCAATTTCTCTAGTAATTTACGACCAATATTGTTCGTTCCGATTTCCGGAGCCTTAGCACCAACAAGATCACCTTCTTTCACATACGCTTCATTAATTGGTCCACGACGAGATTTCTTTCCGTCCGTCTCTGCAATTTCTTCCTTTGTTCTCGATTTAACATCAGAACGCTTGAATACCGGCCTTTGTCGCATTATATACGCAATTTGATTGTAATCTGGTAAATAATGGAATGTTTTCCGAGTTTTTGCCACTTTCATATACATCTGAAGACCGTTTCCGCCACATCTTGTGCAACGCATATTGTAACACGATGAAAGCTTATTGATCGTCTTATTCCCATGGGGATCAAGAGGGGGGAAGCTCATCGTATCACGGGACACGTCATGCAAAAAGGTTTCAAACTCTTGTTTAATCTCTTTTATGTGCAATGAATAGTCATATTTCACACTTAAGTCATTGTCGACCAAAGCTTGTTGCTGCCTTTTTTCCTTCTTGCGAAGCTTCTTGTCTCTTCGTGACAGCTTTTGATACTGAAACTGTTCCATTAGTGACTCTCTTATTTCAAGATCTAGATCTGTCTGAAGCTCTGGTTTCTGTTTCTTTCCTCTTCCCTTCTTTTTTATCGTTTGAGTAGGAGGAAACTCCAATTCAGAGATGTTCTTCTGTTGTCTTGCGAAAGCAAGTATCTCTTCGAGACCTTCCTCATCTGAGCCTAAGAATTGGTTGTCTATGCTCTCGTCATCCAGATCCTCCTCGGATAAGCGCATCAGGTTTTCATCATCCAATTCATCTTCATATTCATCTGCTCCATTTACCTCCATTAGTTGAGCCATATAATCTTCGAATGCCGCTTCTTCATCTGAATCCTCGGATAGTTCAAGATTGTCGTCAGATGCCAAATCTATGAAGCCTTTGGGATGTCACTTTATTTAAATGATTGAGTGTTGGCAACAGGGCCTCCACTGATCCGTTTTCAGTTGTTGTCTTCAACATAACGTGACCAATAGTAAGATGGGGATCATGTTCCGTAAATGCCTCATACTTGTCATGTTTCTCGAAATTAGTTGCTGCGACTGTTTTTCGTGTTTCACGGTGTCTTATAACATCATGGAACTCTTTTTTCTGTATGTTATGAGTGGCTAAGATTTCTTCATCGCCTCTTTCGTCTATGACGAACATATCAAGTTCTTCACTTTCGCCATCGCTGGGATCAGAATCCAGGAATTCCACAGAATCATCGAGATTATTGTTATGATCACCTATCAAAGCATCTTCTTCCTTTATGAAATCCTCCTCTTCTTCCTCAGCAAGTTCCACATCTTCCTCCTCTTCAACAGCCACAACTTCCTCCTCTTGAACAGCCTCGTCTACCTCCTCTTCAACAGCCTCGTCATCCTCCTCTTCAATAGCCTCATCCTCCTCTTCAATAGCCTCATCCTCCATCTGATCAAGCTCCTCTCGATGTTCATTAACATTTGGACGTTCCTCTTCTTCGTGTTCATCATCTCTTAGTTCGTCCTGCTTTTCAGTCATCCGCATCCTGTCTGTTTGTGTTTGAGACTCTTCTTCATGGGTGGCGACAGTATTGCCCTCACTTTCGGTTGTCTTTCCGAAAGATGTGTCCTCTTCCATCTTCAACATTCCCATATGTTCAGTAAGGGTATCATTTTGCTTTTTGTTGTAATTTGCGAGCTTTTCAATAAGGTCTTTGCTTGGATCATAAAGGGTTGTTGCTTTAACAAACTCAATCGGGCGTTTCCTTAGAGGTTGCTTCATAGTTTGCTCCATATGGCGATCTGTAAATCTGGCTTCATCCATCATATGTCTGTTTGGCCTCTTTGACAAGCTTTTCATTGATACTTGAAGGCAATTCCTTGCCTTTATCAGGGACATACACACCTGAGTTCAAGTCCATTAATTCGGGCATATCGTTTCCCTTTCGATGGACACTGGCTTTGCCTCTCGCTTTTCGTTTCTGGGTCTACTGAGGCGGAAACGACCCCCATTTCCTCCGCTTCTTCCACCTCTGGA